TCATATTCAAAACACAATATCTGACACAGTAAAAAATAATGTTTCAGTCTTGACTTCAATTATTAAAATCTCATTTGTATTTGAATGCTTACGTGTAGGCCTAATCTGTAATTCTCATTAAACTCAATAGCTTCCAATGTCATTCCATGGACAGCTATAACAATGATGGGTTCTTTTAGTAAAGCATGCATAACTTCAGATAGCATGGATCAATTTCAGTATTTCTTCTTCTTTTTTTCATAGGAGTGGAAGAACATGCTCTTGTAAGACATACTTTATTGGTGTATCAAATTTGATTGCTTTTTAAGAAAGAAATCTTTAATCCGGTTCACTTTCTTGTCTACCCACCCTGTAATTTGCTATACTATCGTAGATGATACTATTTGGGAGACACTTTAGCGTCAGAAGTTGTACATATGGGGGACAGGTGGAATTAGGGAGATATTTCAATGTCTCCCTAATGCCTCAGCACCTAAGCTAGATCGGTTGCTCGTGGTCCAATTAGTACAATTATGCCCAAATTTGTAAGGGTTGGAAAAGGTAAAATTGGGGTTAGGGGTCGGGAAAGTCAGAGATAAAAAGAGTGAGGGAAAATCTCCCTGATGGTATATTTTCCGGTTATTTTTATCAGTACGAAAATCACCAAATTATGGTCCGTAGGCTTCGCTTACACGAGGTTATTTTTCAAATGTACTGCTTCGGTACAACTTATGAAATAATTATTGTTCAATAAACCCAATACGATGTTTATTTCTGAATGCAGAGGTTTTAGCAGCGTAACAAAAACAGGTGGATGGATAAAATTCCCCCATAATCTTTCGATTACACGACCTAATTTATATTGCCAGATACTTAGCGTTGCGAAGTTCGGTCTACTGTCCTGACATGACAGCGAATGCGTGTCTTACCTCGAGGATGACGTCTTTAATCGACTACCTATCGCTCACAGCAATGCTGTGCCGAAAAAAACCGCAATGGCTGGCCCTTAATTTCCTTTCTATTAGAGCAACTGCATTTCCTTGACGAGACATTTTGCGTGTGTCGGCAACTGCGCTGGCCGGCTATGGACAAAAAAATTCGAACAAAGCTGACGTTATTAAATTTCCATCTCTAACAAACATGTCCCATCAAAGACGACATTGGGAATTTGTTTATCTGCCACAATGTCTGAACATTTTAAATTGCTTTACGATTGCCGTCTGTAAGGTGGTCTATGGAATATCCCCTTGCACAGCAAGGGTCTTATGCGAGCAGATTCGGCTATTAATTATGCAAAACAAGACTGCGTCTTGACCTCGAGTCTCTGACCAGAGTCAGCGGGCGCCGGGCGCCTTCTATCGGGCCTTCCGTAACCCGTTGCTGTATTACAAACTGGCATCCAAATTGGCCAATCCACAGAAAATAGTCCACATTTCTGATCGAAATGACGTCACAGTCGCCATAGACCACTCCGATTGGCTGGCACGGGGTCGCATAAAAGTTACTTGCTACGATATACCAGACGATCGTACCGTAGTTTAATTGCTCACGTGAATGTCTGATACCCAGACTACCTGCAAGGAGCCGTCCATAAAGTACGTACGAACGAAATGCCGACTATTTAGACTCCCCCACCTGCACGCATGGAATACGCAGTGGAAACAACATCCCCTCCTCCCCCTGTACGCATGCGCGTTCCATATTCCTTTTTGACTTAGTTTACAGACTACCCTATTCTAGCATCATTTTATGTCATAGTAAACCTGCTGTAGTAGTATGATTAAAATTCCTGTTAAAACAATATTTGATGCACAAACGCTGGTCCTGGTCGGCACTAAATTACACTGATTTCATGACAATTATTAAAAGCAAATTATCGCTCTGTAATGTACGCATTGGCGTCAACACAACACCAACCCCAACCCCCGTATGCATGGTGTCGCATTGTTAACACCCCCCCCCCTTCGTAAGTACATACTTTATGGACGGTCCCTAGAACGCTTACGTCTGACAACCTAGCTCGATCATGATAAATAGAGACTGGTGTTTGTGTCGATATCACAGGTCATATAGCTATCCAATTAATTAACACGCGCGCGTGTACGATAACCCAACTCAGCTGACACGTATGACAATCTCCTAGCACGGTTTAACAAACAAGCCATATGTAGGGGGGGGGGGGTTGGAGGTCTTTATTATCGAGAGAAGCGAGGTTGAAGGCAGTTGGGTAAAAGACAGGCAGATTTTGCGAGATCACAAAGTCACTCTCAAATCAATGTAAACGAACCGTCCAAAATAATACTACTCAATCAAAAAAAGCTTCATATCTCAGTTGTCTAGACCTAGAGACCGTTGTCTCGATAAAACAGACAGAAAATGTAGTATTTCATTCATTTGGATGCGCGCCAAATTATGACAAAATGTGTACAGACAAACATACGAAACCGTGTGCTGTGTGAAAACTTTGTAACTCGATATGTTTTATAAATAAAAAGTTATTACCTACCTAGTCTGATGATCGGACATTCACTTGGGCATTCACGGAGTCGACTTTAGATAATGTGACGTCATTTCGATCAGAAATACGGACTGTGGATTGGTCAGTTTGGATGCCATAGTTTTGTAATACATGTACATCAACGGGGTACGGGAGACCCGATATAGAAGGCACCCGCTAAATGGTCCGAATCTCGAGGTCAAGACGCAGTCTTGTTTTGCATTAATCGCCGAATCTGCTTGTATATCATAGACTCTTGCTGTGCAAGGGGATATCGGGTCTTCTGGAACCCGTTGTTGTGTTACAAAAACATGGCATCCAAATTGGTCAATCCACAGTTTAGTCCACATTTCTGATCGAAATGACGTCACAGTTTCTAAAGACCATTCCGATTGGCTGGCGCGCGGGGTCGCATAAAATTTACATGCTACGATATACCAGACGTTCGTACCATGGCTTTGCCCACGTGAATGTGTGATCGTTAGACTAGTCTGTATTAGAGGCTTCAACAAACTGAAGCGCTTGGGAAAATGACAAATCACACAATGATAATGTTTTCTTTACTGTCCTTGATTTTGATGCAAGAATGTTGCACGTATTCCTTAACCTAATCAAACAATCTCTGTTTGACTCCACACCTTGCTGTTTCACGAATAGTTGACACTTTTAACAAGGCCCGTGCGACAACAACCGAACGAGGCTGTTAATTCGTACTTTACTAGATTTTACATGCAACGTCATATTTGCAACAGCAAAGGGCGTGCTTGAACAACCATTTCACTTGTTAAGCATATTAAATTATGTGCACATCGCATGTTAAGCAAAAACAAACGATCCACAACGATTCGATTACAATCGCGCTGACAGATTCGCAATGAAAATTTAACTAAAACTATATTTGGTCGATGAACAGAACATAGGGCTGTTCCGCATAACGATTTTTGTTTATGAGTTCCTGCTATTTTTGTGATGCGCAGCCTTGTATATGATAATTTCGTGAACTGAAAATACATTTATTGTACACATTTTGCTGGTGGCCAAAAATATATAAGTTTGACTAAAAACTTTTTTTTTTAAATGAAACATGCTCAATTTACCGTTAGACATTTTGATGTACGAGGGCAAAATCTTCGAAAATCAATTTCTCCCGTTTTGAAGACCGTATCTTCATGCAACTTTCAGGGTTTGTTTCCCTTATAATGATCGAACTATGTGATAAAAATCGTTTCGATATGTTCAGTGTGTTTCATTAAAATTAGAAAAATAGGCTTGGGTGCGTCCATTTTTCAAAGCTGTAACAAATAGTGTTAGCAAATTCTGTCAAAAATTTAAAGCCTCATGGTGTGCAGGGTGCAGTAAACATTTTGTTAGACCCCCTTCTTCATGAGTTATTCATAAATAAAAAATTAATGAAAAATGTCAACCTTTTTGGCGGGCTTCCATTGGTCAATACCATGATTCACGCGAAGTCACGCCGAGTGACGCTTATGAATACGTTATGGCATAACGCGCCGTTGCGGCCAAATCGGCCGTGGTATAATGTACAGGTAGCTAGATAGACCACGTGCTGTTGTTGTTGTTTTTTTTTTCAACAAAAATACGAGTCGAAACTTACCTTGGTGATAGAACGAGGTGTAACACAAGCGTTTGCAACAACAGATTAACCTGAAATTCGGTAATTAGATGATATTAGTGTTCAACTACTTGTGAAATAAAAAATGTGTAAGCATTCGTAGAAATTTAGATAAGCAAATAGATTTGGGGACCTTTCGAACGATTTTTCCACGACTTTTAGGTCAGATTTACCAGTGACCAGTATTGACGTTTCGGCATCAATAATGGCGATTTTTTTTCACTGACATGAAGTTTAGGATTTTTCCGACTATTATAATTTAACATTTAAATCATACCATATTTTTTTTTTCAAAAACAGAACGTTCAAAAAATAATGTTTGGGGGTGCAGTCAGTTCACTACTCTGTCTGTGGTGTTCAGTTACGTAATCGGATTAACTTTGCTTATCAACGCACGATGCAAAGCCTTTGCAACCGTTAGACTGTGTAGGGACTATGCCTATGCCAACTTTGAATAATGTATGACAAAGATGTATGGCCACAGTGGATGTCACAAAAATCACGTACAAAGTCTATGGGATTTGGGATAGAACAAAAAGAAGACGGAAAAGCCAAAAAGAAAAATCAGAACAAAAACAAAGGCTTTCCGCTTTTGAGCGGAAAAGCAAAACAAAAATTCAGAAAAAAACAAACGCTTTTCCGCTTTTTAAAAGCCAAAAATGAGAACCAAAAAAAGAGGTTTTTCCGCAACTTTGCGGAAAAGCCAATTCTGAAGAGACATTTGGACGTGATTTTCTACAAAAATGAATATTTCCAAGGCAGGTTGCACTTTGAGCCCTTGCCCGTATGCGTAGTCATGTACTAATGTGAAATCAATGCACGTTGAGTGTATATATTTAAGACCTGACGAGATTGTATATTTTATTTGAAATCCACACAATCCAGTGAAAAATGGCAGGAAGGCTGAAGTCTCAGATCCAAGTTCTAACTATAGGAATTCTGCTGGCATTCAGCGGCGCAGTGGAAATTGGTGAGTTGTTTCATAAACATCCATGTTATTTCTCATAGGTATAACGCACCTGTTTCTTAATTGACTGCGATGCACTGAATTGAATTTCGATGCCAGAGCTCTAATATTGTTTCGTTAATTTTGAGCTGTTTCAATATTTTAATGCAGGTTCGTGTTTGTTTTGTTTTTCTTTTTTCCTTCTGTCCTTATGCTATTTTGTTATATATCTATTTATATATATACAAATTGCATGCTATCTCTCGACGTCTGTTACTCGTTTATGGATGTTTTTTATATATCTATTTATATTTTTTATTGTACTTAATCATATCAGTGACTCGTGGTTGGATGTATTTTTAGTTGCGGACAGCGGCTCAACAAATGGTCGTGTCTCTTCGTTAGTTAGTAACAAACGTTCTATGACAGCCTGGCATGGGTATAATACCAACTCGTCCCTCGGGCCCTGACCCCATTGTGTGTCACTTTAATGGGTCTACATTGACCGCCTTCCAACTTGATCCAGTCCTGAAAAACAAAACCTTGGCTTCTGTGGACTCCTAACACTACTCCTTTCAGAAGTGACGTGGCACAATCACATCACTTTAGGAACACGAATTCGTCGGCCCGCAGCTTTCGAGATCAATTCGAGCTTGTTTTAATTTGTACAGGGTGAGTCAAAAAAAGCGGAACCCAAACCCGAAAAAATTTATTTCATATTCAAAACAGATATGTAGCACCAAAATAATAACGACTGGAAAGCCAATTTCATAAGCTACTTTTAGATGAAAGAAATACTGAAATTGCTCAATCCGTTCAAAGAATATCACCATTTAAACACAATGACCCTAAAACCTCTTTCGTCCAAAAATGCGATTTTAAGAATCGTCGTCACAATTGTCCTCGCATATCACTAGCCATAAAACCTCAGTTTAAAATACAAAAATATTCAACAAAAAGTCCTTTTGAAGGCCTGTCTTTAAAAAAAAAAAAAAAAAAAAAGATTTATAACTTATATTGTTTTCCTAATGAGGGTTGTTTATAAAGATATTGTGTACTACAGTTGTTGAAACAGGTATTCTGTGTCATTTTCTTTGTTGTTCCAATCAGTCAGAACACACAATACATTGCTTTTTTATTTTGGACGAAACAGGTTTTAGGGTAATTGCGTTTAAATTGTGATATTCTTTGAACGGATTGAGCAATTTCAGCTTATGATATTGGCTTTCCAGTCATTATTATTTTTGGTGCTACATATTTTTCTTTGAATACGAAATATATTTGTGGGGGTTTGGGTTCTGCTTTTTCGACTCACCCTGCAGGAATATAATATGATGACGATTGTTGACATCAAAAGGATCTCATTCATTTATATTTTGTCATTACAGATCCTCCAATACAGATCAACCTGACCATGGATTCACCGGTAGATATCCAATCTCGTAACTACCCCGCCAAATATCCCGGCAATTACGTCGACACCTGGCTCCTAGTCTCGCCTCCAGACACTCTCATCAGTGTCAAAGTTTTGGATTTCCAAACGGAGAAGCATCCTGTTGCTCGTGACTTGCTGTACATTGGGAATGGACTGAACTACACGTCTACGGTGAGGTACAATCTTCCTCGTTCAGCAGAAGCAGGAACGGCAGGAATGGTTCTCCAAATGATCTCATCAGGATCGGAGATGTGGCTGCAATTCTCGAGTGATTTTTTCTCGTCGTCGAATGAGAGAGGATTTCAGCTTCGAGTGCACACCATCAACAACACAGGTATAAGTAGAAAACGTGTACCGCCAACTTCAAGGCATTCATTAGGAACACATTCTCGTAAACTTAGTCCGGTTAACTCATTCTTTATGATGAGGCTTGCGGTTTTGCCGAAGTCAATTGAGTGTGATCGGCCGACTGATATAAGGTTTGTGCACAAAACCCCACGGTGCTTTGGGTTTTGTGTAGAATGGTTGCCGGACCACTTTTTACGGGAGTGTGCTAGTAATGGTATCGAGCGATGGTGATGGCCGACCCTGCGTGCAGCCAAATTTACCAATGGCATCCCTACATTTTCTCGTGCAAAGGACCCATTTTCCGACTGTAATTTTATCAAATCTGCCCTTAGATAATAGCCCAAAAGCTTGGGAGATGATCCTCGGCTATATTCGCACGATTCCACCGTTTTTTAAACCAGACGGTCTCTTTTTTTACAAAAAAATTGTAGGGCCGCTTTTTATGCAAAAGACCCGCGTAGAAATTTTCTGAACCCTAATCAATCGCGAATTTATTGCGCGCGCTGTCGGTCTAATTGCGCCATTCGGATATATCGTCTGTCCAGGCCCCCCCCCCTCCCCCCTCCCCCCCCCCCCCCACCACCACCACCACCACACCGAACAAAATTATAGTAATTAAATACTGTTTAAAAATGTGCTCGTTTATTCAGAAATTCATTAGTGTAATATCCAAACTGATTAGATGTTTCCAAAGTGTCTTTCCCATTTGGAAAAGTTCTTTTGGAAAAGTACATCATTTGCAGCTATCCGAAAAAGTAACTGACGAAGTTGGTGTTGAAAAGCATACTTTGTTTAAAGATTGTTATGACACTAAACTCCCTGTGAAATTATTCTCTCTGGTATGCTGTCATTTTGAAGAAATCAATAAAAGAAGGTTGTTTCCAAAGATGCGTAGTTCGTTTTTAATTCGGCGAAGCCGTGAGTGGGTGCGCGCAAACGTTGACACGACGCACACGCGCGCGCGGTTGCTATAATTCGTCGGTTCACTGCATGCGTGGCATCGCGTAGCTGCAATCGGCTGAATGAGAACGTGTCCCGGACGCTGATTTCGGCCCGGGCGCAATTCAAAACATGGCTCGGCAACTTTTGAATTGAAATCGAGATCCTAGGTTGTTTTTCTCGGAATATACAGCAATAACCGAGCTAAAATTTCGTCAGGTTACTGAGGTTAGTTGTTAAAGGGATATGACGGCCTGGAATGCGCCCAATTGGGCTACAAAACGTGTTTTTAAACGAAATGATATTAAATGAAAAGAGCATGACCTGTAGAATATAAACGTTCACACAACCATCTTTTAACAACTTGACGTTTTTCTAGTGAGAACCATACGAGAATGAATTTCGGGGGTCACAATATTATTTTGTCCCCAAAAAATCGAGCTGCATGTTGAGTGCTATAGGCCATCAGCCTGGGGGTTTGGCCAGTATCAAAATCAGGGCATGAATGATTATAGTGCGCATGTGCATGGTATACCGCCCCTGGAGTGGTAACAAGCATTTTGATGGACATTTTGAGAAAAAAAGGGTGATAACACCCAAAAAGCTGCCACCGCTGCAATGCTATCACCTATTTTCCAACTCTGGAGGTGTATACCTTGCCAAAAATCGCTATGACGATTATTCCCCTCATTATTTTGATACCGGTGGCAAAAATTTTGGACCGAGGCTGATGGCCTATACCGGTAGTTGTGAATCCAGCCACCCTGTTTGTCGCATTCTGCGGACGTGTAAGAAACAATATTTGTGTATTGGTGCTGTGTGTATTAATTGCATTATCACACACACAACGTGAACTTTACATTACATTGCATAGACACGACTTGAAATACGAATATGTACGCCACAAAATGTCTCACGCGCACAACGTAAACAACCGGGTATTTTTTTCGTCTTTTCTCGAGAACGGTAAGACATTAGGTTTGTTTCCTTTCAACCAGACCTTTAAAATAGTACTAGTAGACAATCCAAAATATGTTATTTGCGGGGATTCAGGCTGTAATGTCCGTTTAAGTACCCTTCTTTAGAATGTGAGCACTTAATTTTGTTGCTTCAAGCGAAAACAAATTCGCAAAAAAAGACAAACGATGTACTCTACCTTTAATGTACAGAATAATTAACTTAATTAGCTTGTACACCAACAACGTCAAGGTTGTTATGCATTATATCGATTACTAATGAGTGATAATTGCTCTTTTTCATGCTCTCACAGAGTCAGTCTGTCGGTACTGTGCATGCAACACAGGTACCGAAACCGTTATCTGGAAGGATACAAGCAATAACAGCAAAGCTATTATCCTTCCGTTTGCAAAGACTATAGCCAGTTCATTGCCGTATAGATTTTTTTTGCACAAAAATTTGATTGATGAATGGGTTACACGCACATTATTACAGCGCGACTGAGTGGGTGTACGTGTACGTGTTGGATGCCTTCGGTACCTGTGTTACATACATGTACATGTACACACAATGCACACACACACACACCCCGACTCCGTGAGAGCATGGACTTAAGAGAAAATGAAAAACGTACTAATTAGCATGAAAAAAATACATGATGATCGCACGTTTACCAACCAAAATAGTCTACGATGTGTAGAAAGCTGAATGTCGTGAGCTAAAACTCTCGTAGTTCAAACTTTCCTTCTAACTTGGGGACGAGTTCTGCCAATCCCACGACGTCAAAGTTTCGCGTACGTCCTCCATCTTGAACAGTCCGCGCGCGCCTACAATGCGATGTATAGGCCTACGCGTTTACCTCACACATTGTAGTAAACTTCTGCCGAACTCGGAGTAAACAACAACGCGTTTATCAACTTTTCGGAGTAAGATTCACAGGCTACGTATTATTGAGCAAAATTTACCGTGTGGAAGGGTAAAACTCGTATTTTGTTATTACACAAGTAATAACAAAATCATCGCCAAATATTTAGGTAATAAGTCCCAAAACAAAAATGTTTCTTTTTGTTCTTTTATGTCGTCAGCGTTTTCACGAAGGGACGAATTCGGCACAAAATCCTCTTTTTTTTTCGAAATCCTTTTTCCGGGTGAAATCGGTTAAGTAAACAGCAACGAACCTTTTGGCCAAGTTTTGTTGGTCAAAATCAGTTTAAGTCAATGAAATCACGACAATCAATGTAGGGAAAATTTCATCTGAATCGTATTTTAAGTTTTTCACGACATATTCCAACTTTATCACGTTGCTCTACGGGGCAAAAACAACACCGCAAAACAACACACGCGTGGCACTTTAAGTGTTCACGGTACGAAGAGACGAATTTAGCGCGTAATGTGTATATATGGATGGGCAAAGTTGCCCTGCAAAACATCAAGCGTGTTAAGCGTGTTAAGTTTTCAAGAAGAGACAAATCTCTATGGAGATTAATTACTCCGCAATTCATTGCTTTATTATTCTGTAATTGGAACATTCTTGAAGTTTAAGATCTCAGCTTACTATCTGTATAAAAAAATAGTCAACATGTGCTCTAAAAATAGGTGAAATCGTTATTTCCAAAAGTGACCAACTTCAAACCCGATTTTCTCAGAACCACTGTTCAACCCCCCGTGGTCAAATTCGTCCTTTCGTGAAAGCGCTGACGATAATAATGGGAACTAAGCGGCCTTTTTAACTACTCAACTACCATTAATTTGTTTCATTAATTATAATGGATATCCTACTCGCAGAATTGAGATGTATGTCGTTATTGAGTGCCGGTAATGAATGGACTCAGTCGGTTCAAATAAATTGGAAGCAGTGTTTTCCTGTGCCCCATACCGCTCTTTTCATGGTCTTGCTTCGCTCAAGATTGCACGTTTTAGTCGCGTGGATAATGGGAAACCTTTTAAACTGAGACGTGTAATGAAGAAATCCTTTCAAACCCATAATTAACGTTCAGGAGATTCACCCTCAACATGCTGCGCAAGTTAAACGAGAACTGATGTAAATTACTGATGTAAGTTGATTAAACTGCCGTATAAGGGTAATGACGAAAATGTGTAATCTAAAATGTGTAATCTAAATTGCCGACATTGAGACAAAGAACCCGCAAGGAATTGATCAATGTGAGGGAACATTACTTGCAGTAGGGAGCATTCTGCAATTTCCGATGGGATTCATTTCATGATGATTCATTGTGCAATGTAGATTATCGTCAGACCCCCTAAAGCTACGCGGTCCTTTTTCTACGCATTTACCTTTGTGACAACGCGCGCGCGTATGCAAGTGTTATACCTGCGCAGATAATGGAGAGTCGAGGATACACATTTTTGTTTTCGTCATTACCCTTTACGGCATTTTAATTAACCGGAAGGCTATAGTTCCAAACAAATTTCAACATGATTCAAGGAACTTCTTAAATATAGCGATTTATTGTTACCGAGAATATTATTATACCTTATCGGGAGACATTCCCATGGGGTTGTACACATTAATGTTCAAACTTTCTTGACCCGTAACCCCCATTTTACCTAATCCTACCCGCACGCACTTAGGTACATTTATGTTTTGGACCACGGGCAATCGATCTACAGCGCGTCCCAAAATACCCGCAACTTTTTTTTGCGAGGCTCTATGTAGCGTCGGCGCGGAAACACGCACCGCCATTATGTCTATACCATTTGAAAGCTTGGAATCTGAACCTTACCTCTGATGAGTATTGGTTTGATATTTAAAAGAGTTTTAAATGATTCGTGTTCAAATAAAGGCGTGTCGAAAACAAACTCTACCGATTTCAAGGAAATTCGATGATGCGGTACATCAGATGCAAACTCGAGTCACACTTAGCGCGGTTTTTGAATAGGTACATACTTGCACGTGAATTTCAAAATTGAACTTGAACGAAACACCATGTTGTGAATGCATTCATGGTGTAGTCTACGTGGATCGAAACGAATAGGAAACACAGAAAGTAAAATGCAACGAGATCTTTTCATCATAAACACGATGAACCATCCACAATTCTCGTGATTGATTTTCCCTGAAATCGGTTGAGTTTGTTTTTGACATGCCTTTATTTGAACACAAATCATTTCAAAACACTTTTAAATATCAAACCAATACTTACCAGGGATAAAGTTCAGATTCTAAGCTTTAAAATAATATAAAAATTATGACAGTGCGTGTTTCCACGGCGACGCTAGAGCCTCGCAAAAAAAAGGTTGTGGGTATTTTGGGACAGTAATATTTTGTCTCAGTTGTGACATTAGAGTGGTACTGAAATGTCTCCTTAATCTTAACTTATGACGAAAAAAATATAACTTATGACGAAAAACAAATGTTTCCTTAAGGGTACATTAATATGAATTTGGATTTCAATGTTTTGTGGCTGTGATAGACAACATTTACTAATTTGTTTTCCTTCGTGTTGATAATGTCGCCTGCATGGCGTCGCTTTTGTCATCGATATAATGCGGTGTTACTCTAGTTTGACTTCAATATCATATAGCCACATATATGCAATAATGAGAATCTTATCTGTGGCCTCCAATATTGATCTTATTTCATTTGTAGAATCTTGTTCGCCAGACGAGTATATTTGTAACGAGGTGATAACGGTGTGTATGGATGAATCGATAGCGTGCGACGGCCCACCGCAATGCAGCAACGGAGCTGATGAAACCTTTTGTGGTATAAACCAAATTCTTTTCAGTTTTTACAACGCCGAAGTCCAGGATTATTCCCTTTCAATGCAATTATTTATGAAAGATACAATTACATCACTACATTTGCTATCTGTACTCAATCTGTGTTGGTTTATTACAGAGCACTGTGGGCAGACGTCCATCGACCTATCACAGGGCGTCTTGTATACTGTTTCGTCTCCAAAGCACCCAGACGATTTTCCATACGAGATCCTCTGTCATTGGCTGATCAACGCCAGCGACGCGTCTTCGATTTTGATTTCATTCGACGTCTTTCGCTTGGAAGAAAACAGGGATCTTTTCTCGATTGGGATTGGTCACGACCCAGCTAACGAAAGCTCCATTGTGCTCATGCGCAGAGGAAGCGTCACTCCAATAACCATAGCAATCCAATCCAACCAAATCTGGCTTGAATTTATGACAATGGGAAGCTTACATCTCCTGAGTCTGATGCAGGTTACTCTTCAAGAATTTCTACCGCAAGGTAAAGAGACATCACTTCTTTTTTTTTATTATCGATGCTATAATTGTAATTCCCAGCTTTAAATTTGGTATATACCTGCTTTTCCAAAATTTCGATTTTCTTTTCTGAACGAAATTTAAAGGAATAGCCTATAATGTCCTGCAACAAATAGATTTGCTTGTTTATTGGTGCAGGCCTAAATACAGGGTTAGTAAAAAAAAACCCGTACATTGAATGGACACGGCTGGAAAGACGTATGCGTGTGCGGCGTGCGCCACGAAATGTCCGCCGTGTCTAATGTAAACGACCGGCTTTTTTATTTCGTCTTTTCTCAGGAACGGTAAGACATTAGGTTGGTTTCCTTTCAACCAGACCTTTGAAATAGGATAGGTGAACAATCCAAAACTACAATTTTCGGGGATTTCATGCCGCAATGCCCTTTCGTATCGCGACTTCACAGCTGTCTCTTTTAGATAATCTATCAAAATGTAATTCGTTAGTCATGGGATTTTTCCTCAGATATGACCATTTTTTTTTTTTGTTGTTGTTGCAAAGTTGAGATTTAGGGTCGGGGATGGCAGGATGGAGCGCCTTACGTTATTCGAGAAGGGCGCATTTGCGCCAGTTTACTATGATTAAATTAATAAGAATTAGGTTAAAAAACCTCGATATCGTGATTTCGATTCTGACTTTGCTTATTTTGTATACTCCAGATTGCGCTGAAGGGCTGGCGGCATGTGATTCTGGCCTGGAATGCGTTCAGCAAACAGCCGTCTGCAACGGATTTCCAGACTGCTCAGACCAGTCAGACGAATTGAATTGCGGTGAGCATATGCAAATCTTATGACCGTCTTTTATTCTTTAAAAATTCATCACGCCAATAAGTCATCGTCGTGCTTGAGTAGACCCTGAATAAATTAGGCCTAAAAAGTATCGTGTATGTTTTGCGATCGATTGAATTGACATCGTGTTTGGACGAGCAATTTTCCGTTCAATTCGGCCTATATACTTGTTTTAATTATACGAACGCTTTGTCCTGCTTTATTTTATAAGGGGAAATGAAGTTCATTCGAACTGATTTAATTCCACATGCTTACATGAACAAAGTTGTAGCCCCCAAGACTGAAGAAACACACGAAGAGACAGCGTATCCAGCATTTTGTGCCAGTGTGGGCAAAATTACCGTATCGACTTCTGAAATATCTTAAAACCGTCTTTAAAATGCTGTTGTTTTATGACACCCTCAAATGCCGTCATCAAATTTCCACCCCCCCCCCCCCCCCCCCCCCGCAGCTGGAAACGCCAATGGAAGAAACGCGGGAGAACTAAAATTTAATGAAGAAGTAGAATTAAAAAATGATAGATTAAAGGTGGAGAATATCATTTGCAGCTATCCAAAAAGTAAACATTGACGAAACTGACCACTTTAACCATATATTTGTTCGAGCAAAAGATGATGGCGTATATATGCAGTGGCTACCTTTTTGCGACGTCACTTACTAAAAAAAAAAGGAAGGCAAAGCACAATATTTCCAAAAATCCTTGTACTTTCTCTAGCGTATTCTCAAAATCCTTGTACTTTCTCTAGGAGGGTTTGAAAGCTCCCCCTTGCCCAATCCTGGCGACTTCCATGGACATGGACAATTATTTTGAAATAGGAGTGAATTGCCTTTTGAGACTTTAAGGCTGAACACAAAGTAATTGAACCTTCCCTGCCCACAATTACGCCGTGTTTGACCACCTGCCTGCAACACAAATAGAGTTTCGTTTTGAACTTTTATAAGATGTTCCTTTCGCATTGACAAAGAACCCCATCATTGTGTAGTTGTACATTCAGTTATTCTTTTATTTCATAGATAATTGCTCAGCCGCCGCTGATACGTGTTCATGTTTCAAAGAGTCATATTTCTGCAATGGCGAGAAAAATTGTGAGGACTATTACGACGAACTGCGATGCGGTAAGGAAAAATAGATGAGAAATATTACAACTGAGTGAAGGAAATTAAACTATTAATAATACTATTTTAGGAACGACATGGTTACTTCAATTTAATTAAAGTTCGTATATAGGCCTATATATAGGTTTTCCCGGACAATTTCCTGAAATGTTCATTCATTCCTGAAAATCGGTCATTCGTTTTCGTCTTAATAAAGTTGCTTGTTTGTTTTTGCAGGCCTTCATACAGTTTTAAAAATTGGTTTTAAAAGGCGCGCTCCAGTTCAGAAATTGCGCACACACTATTCAGAACGAATTAGGAGCGTCCCGCTCTTAATTCAAAAGTTGAAATTAATTAGTTGGTTGCTTGTCATGGGTTGATTTTTTTCGTGCGATATCTCATTGACAAGCTCATAATTAATTTTAATGCTAGAAAATTATCAATTCAATTTGAAAATCTAATTTTTCGAGGTGCCACACCCAGAAAGCATGTATACACCAACTTTAAAATATCTACTTCTGTAATATTAACGGGCCATGAGATGATTTTTTTCTGAGGAACACATTTTGTGCAACTTTCTGCCGCTCTTGAATTTATGGCAATTATTTAACATTCCGTTTTAGTTACTTTTAATTAAAAGTGCACTATTTTAAACATTTTTTTGTTAAAATATCCCTGAGGGTGATGTTGCTTTGATGTCATTTCAGGAAGACACTGTTCAGTTTCAGGGTTTTCTGTTCAAATTGTGAACCCGAATCTTTGTTCATTAAAATTTCATATGTGAGAAAAGGTTGCTCATTGGCTTACTGTCATGTACTCAAACAACAACGAATCACCAAAGAACAGAAAATTTTACGACAGCAAAAAAATATTCTGGCAACTTTTGGTGCTGAAATAGCTGTCACATTGACGTTTCTGCCCGAAATGACATCACACATTAATTTTGCTCATAAGTGCGAAAGTTTGCATTAGCATAAAAAAGGCTCCAAAATACCATTGAAAATGACAAAACGGAGGGACACGAATGTGTTTTCCCCCAAGAACTGCATTAAACAAATTTACATTGCATGTGCCCTTTAAGAAGATAATATTGGTTTTCCCTGCTATTTTAAGAGATTTTGCATTCAAATTCATCAACTTTAACATTCAATTTCGTCCACGAAAATTTTTACACGCTTTTACCAAAACCAATTTGGTCATTTACCATTCATTCTTAAAGTTTGGTCACCCTCTTTAGTCAACGGGTCGAGAATATTCGTCATTATACAAATTAAATTCGTCTGGGCTGTTGCCGAATGGCAGCATTCAGAGATCGAATTCGTCTTATATAAATCATTTTGATTTCTTAATAGCAAGGTTTCGCGAAGATGACACGAAATTGAATACTCCGGGACGAAAATGTGTGCACATTCTTTACAATTTGCTTGAACTGAATTTGAAATTGTCTGACAAAAAGACGAAATTAAATATTGGAAGTGCACTAAATCGATGTTGCTGGACGAATTTGAATATTAGAAACGGTGAATTCGAGTGATAAACGTTTTGAAATAGCCGGAAAAACCTATCGTATATAACCTGGCATCTGACTATGACATCTTATGTCTTTATAATCACAGCGACTTGTGGTGACCCGTTTATTAATCTCACGGGTGATACTTCAGTCAACTTTTCCTCTCCCAACTACCCCTCCAAATATCCGCGAGAGCTATCCTGTCTCTGGCTCGTCACTGCCCAACCGAACCACCGTATCCTCGTCAACTTCGTGGACTTCAAACTCAATGTTGAGACACTGTCGCTTGGCAACGGACACCACCCTGGCAACGCATCCAGTCTGATCCTGCGCCGCGCCGGAGCGACATCTCCAAGAATGGTCAGTTCTGAGGGATCGACACTCTGGATGACGTTTGAGACTTCAACAAAAACGAGTCTGTACAGGGGATTCTTATTGGAACTCTCGCAGTTTGTGGCAGGTGTGTGGTAGAACTAGAAGAAACCGCAATTGCTCTAAATGCGTGAATGTTATGAAGCTAAACACTGCCCCCCCCCAAAAAAAAGTCCACACTCATTGGAGGGGTCATTATTTTGAATCTGATCGTCTTAAGATAACGTCATTTGTAGACCTTTGGGGAATGTTGTTACCTACGTATTGATATCCCGTTTGCTACCAGAGACTGTAAATCTTCCGACATTGACAACGTTTCATGAAAAATTATGGAGTTTGAAAAGTTGCAAATTTAAAGAGTACGCGAGTGGAAATTGATGCGTGACAGTGTCACACTGCCGGAAACCAACGGCAGGGAATATCGATCGCACAGTGCTTGCATGCATGGGAGCACGCGAATTGAATTACCCGCGCTTTGTTCGGCCATCGGCACATTGTGCAGTCGATAGGGGCCAATTACGGGAATGTTTGGTTACACTGAGCAATTTCTCCGCCTCGCATAATCTTTTTAAAAAAATGTCAAACTGCATAATTTTTCATAAACCGTTGTGAATTTTGGACGAGTTACAGTCTTTGGCAGCAAACGGGGTATCAAAATGTAGCTTACGACATTTCCCAAAGGTCTATGCAAATGACATTATCATAAGACGATCAGATTCAAAATTATGACCCCTCCAATGAGTGTGGACTTTCCTTTTTTGCGGTGTTTATAATTAAGATACTCGTGAGCTTATCTCAAATTTTATGAGACATGATAATACTCTACATTGTAGCTCTTGCATTGGTATGCTGGTTTTTTTCTCAAACTACATTCTTGTCTGTTTGTTGATGTAGTTGAATGTAGGATGAATGAGTTCGCCTGTGATTCTGGTCACCAGTGTGTGGAGAATTCCAGTCGATGCGATGACATCACGGATTGCTGGGATTTCTCGGACGAAATCGGCTGCGGTAGGCACAATCAATCCTTGAATACTTGGACAGATTCTATAACAAAATGTACACGAATTTTGACAACCGATCTAGTATGGCAGATAGGTGATGGAATTGTGCCTTTGATGATACAAGCATTGAATTTGACATACAGTCCGAGTATGTAGTCATGAGAAAGATATTTGGCTATATGGCCATCGCAGATTTGTCCGTTCAAAAAAATGTAGGTAGATAGAATAACAAGCAATGGCAGCCATTTTGAAAATTTTGAAAATTGCTTAGTTGTACCTATATTTTTTCAAAGGACAAATCTGCGATGGCCCTATAGCCAAATATCTTTCTCATGACATAATCTGTGCCAAATGCCATGCTTGTATTATCAAAGGCACAATTCTCCCAAATATTTATCTTCAAATATTTATCTGCCCCACAAATCCACCTTTCGGACTCCCACATTCTCCCAACCTTATTATATCAACCTTTTCCTTGTATAGAATCATGTGACGTCGACAAGCTCCCATGTATGGATGGCGTGTGCGTGGAGCATGATGGGATATGTGATGGTTACGCAGATTGTGAAGATTTCACCGATGAAACTGGGTGTGGTAAGTAGCCTGGTTGTACATTATTTCCCAAATAAATGATCTGCTTTCAACGTTTTCCATACTTAACCTAGTCCGAAAATGTGGGACTCATATAGCGCTTATACCAAAGGTCTCTAAGCGCTTCACGATTATTACCCCTGTTCATCGGGCCATTAGACCAGTTTTTGCAGCAGCTCAAGATCAGCGCAATCTGGTCTCTACCTTCACAGGTACTCATTTATACTCTTGGGTGGAGAGAGGCAATTGTAGTAAAGTGTCTTGCCCAAGAACACAAGCACCATATGTTCTCTGCCAGTGTTGAACCCACGCACCACGGCATGTGAGTCGAACACCTTAAACATTGGAACACAGCGCTCAACAAGAAAATACTGTGTTCTATGAGAGTCTCAAAACTATAGTAAACAAAACAATGCAATGCAAGAAAATAGACTGGCACAAGAAACAACCAGTCCAACACCCCTTTAGTACTGCATTTAAGTCAGCTGTGTCAAAGGAAACATCCGGTACCCAGTCTCTATTCCTACACATTCTGTATAGTCTTGCCACCGGACTACTGAAAGGTCAATCTTGTCACAAAGTTGGACATAACAATTCTAGTGTTATAGGCTTCAAATTGAAATCACTGGGCTTCACTCTCAGATGCAAAATGTTTGAGGAAAAGTCTCCTTTATTGAGACTTCAAACTTGGCTGGTGAAATGCTGAGGGCCTTGTCTTTGCCTCGAGAAAGTTTTGGAAGATTTTGTCTGCTAATATGTGAGTTTAAGTTGGCATGATTTGGTTTTGCATGTTTCTCACCCTCAAGGTCCCAGTCTGCTTCCAAACCGATGTATTCAAATGATTAATTCCAACAAAAAAAAAATATGAAATTTTGTTTTACAGGAACCCTTTGTGGCAAACGCAACATCTTACTTACTACAGAGGCACCCACATACCGATTATCAAGCCCCGATCTCGATTCAACGAATCTACAATATCCACCAGGGTATTCCTGCCTGTGGATCCTATCCACTGATCCACAACTACAAATCGCTCTCAAAGTTGTGGACATCAGCTTGATCGGCCGAGGCGAGGACACCATCCAAATAGGAAACGGTCAAGATCCAGCCAATTCGACGAGCACCCTCGCCATCTTGCAAGGAGCAGACGACACACCACTCGTAGGCAGAAGCTTCCTCTCTTCGGAATCGAAGATGTGGGTTGCCATGGTTACAGCCTCCAAGGAAATCAAGTTCGCAAAATGGGGAATGTTCGACTTGGACGTAACTCGACATAATACATCAGGTATATGACGGAATGTTTTCTCGGACAATCACGAGCATTCGTAACTGTCGAGTTTGAAGAATTAGACGAGCATTTAATCATCATTATTTTGATCAAGTTTTAGTAATCCTAGTAATCAATTACTAATTAATTGTACTAGTATGATTTCAACCCGGCGCGGTAATCTTAAAGAGTCAATGAGATGATTTTTTTTTTAGGAACACATTTTGTACAACTTTCTACTCCTCTTAAATGTAAGCAAATTTATTTTATATCCCTTTTTGGTTAATTTTATTGAAAGGTGCACTTCTATTGAACTGAATATTTTCAATGCTTTTCCGGATATCTGAGGGCACTGTTGATGTGATTTCATTTCAGGCAGACACTGTTCAGTTAATAGATTTTCTGTTCAAATGTGAACCCCAAAATGTACTCATTGAAAACATTCGTGAGAAAAGTTCGCTCATTGGCTTACTGCCATGTACTGACACAACAACAAATTACCAAAGAAAAGATATTCACGACAGCAACAAATCCAAAACTCTGGATTTTTTTGTGTTCAAACATTGATGTTTCTGCCTGAAATGACACCACACTTTTCCTCATGGATACGGTAATTGGCTTTGGCATAAAAAAAACTAAAAGGCACCATAAAAAAAGTATACCCTTGAAAATGGCAAAACGAAAATTGAATATAAGGTTAAATGGGACACTAAGGTGCATTTTCAAGGATTGCATTCAAAATTACATTACATGGGCTGTTGCAATTTCCATATTATATGCGGGCTTCCGCGGAGCCGTTAGTTCAAGTCAGTTAATGTCACCTAATCGTCTTAATTACCAGGTGAATGCATTAATGGTTCTTGGTGTCGACATCAACCTATTTGCGTCTCGGACTCAGCCGTATGTGACGGAATTTCAAACTGTGGTGATTACAGCGACGAACAGCACTGTGGTAAGTCTGTACAGTCGTTAAGTAACGCCCTTTTCTGTCACACCGCTAATGGTGTCTGCAATACTTTTTTTTAATCTTTAATTCCGTCGCAATCAATTTTATTTCTTTTAATCAAACAACGCCGATATTAACAACCAAGTTTGCTGGTCATTTGGGGCCTTCTTATACAGCTGAATTTTGGTCGTAAAAAATTCCAACCATTCCGTACCACGACACAGGTAAATCGTAATAACCTCTTCATTAAAGGTACAGTCCATCATTTGCAGCTATCAAAAGGTAACTGACGTAGTTATTGTTGAAAGGCATACTTGGTTTAATAATTGCAATGGGACTAAACTCCCTGTGAAATTATTCTTTCTGGCAAGGTGTCATTTTGAAGAAATCAATGAAAAAAGGCCATTTCCAAAGATGCATCGTTGGAAATTTCCGGAAGCGCGCGCAAGCGTTGACATGACACACACGCACACACGGTTGCTATAATTCGTCGGTTCAGAGCTTGACATCACGTACATGTAGCTGCAATTGGCTCAGTGCGAACGTGTCTCGGACGCTGAATTCAGGCCCAATTCAAATGATGACTCAGCAACATTTGAATTGAAGTCAAGATCCTAGAATATTGTTTTCACGGAATGTACAGCATTCACTGAGCTGAAACTTCATCAGGTTAGTTGTTCAGCACCCTTCTTTAGATTTTGAGCACTTTCATTGCTTCAAACATAATGCACAAATTACAAAATGATGGACTGTACCTTTAACAAGGCTTTAGTTTTTACTATTAATGTGTGTCATGCGTCAAAAAAAGAGCTTTTAGTTGCCATGGACATAAGATAACTTCAATAGTTGCCTCAGTATTTTCTGACTTTTTTATAATTTTTTTATATTTGTGTAGCTCACTGCGGAGCCGAGTCGACAGATGGTATTAATGTCGCAGACGGCGCGCCGTACCTGTTAACAGCTCGTCTGACCAGCCAAGGAGCCGAGTTTCCCCTCGGCAAAGATTGTCTTTGGATCGTCACCGCTTTAGCCGGTACCCGCATCCAGCTCAGATTCCTGTATATGATACTCATCTCCGATACCAGCTACTTCAACGGCATATTGGTCGGTGACGGCACCGATCCGAGCATCCAATCCAGTCTGCTCTTGAGACATACGGGCAAAGTTGTTCGTCAGGTTGTGACTTCATCCGGCTCCGAAGTTTGGATCGTAGCCGACACGTTCCGGTTGCAGTTTGAAGAGGGTTTCTCTGTACTGTTGAGCCAATTCAATCAAACAGGTGTGTAGAAACACCTGCTGATGAGGGAGATTTCTTCTTATTTTAACTAACGAGCCCAAGCCCATTCAGTGGAATCCACTGGTCTCCCATGGGGCTCAGTAAAGAGAAGACAATGCAAAGAAATTACAGTCTTAAATGGTGTAAGGAAAACCCCAGGATGATATTCTGAGAAAAAACCCAGGCAGGGACTGAAAACCCAATCCACATATTGGCCCAGGCAGGAATCGAACCCGGGTCACAGTGGCGGAAGGCGAGGAAAGTGCCGCTACGCCAACCTGACCCCCAAAATCCAGGTTCACAACAAATCCATCCTTAATAGTCTGGCATGATTAATGTCAAACCAATCCTCAGTCTCTCCGTGATGATACATCTACAATTTAAGCATGTGTGTTCAGCTCCCCCTGGGTTTGAGAGTAAAAAATATACAGGGTGGATAAAAAAAAACGAAAGCGAGATATTACTGCTAATTGGAACAGAAGTAGGGCACATGCGAATCAACGGGAGATATCCTCTGTTAGGGTTGAATCTCCTCTTTAAAATGACACCCTGGTCATGTCCTTACATTCAAGATTGACTGAGCAGTGACCAATTTTATGAAAGGGTCTATTTAAAGAATTGCGGCACGTTTCATGGTGAAATCTCTTTTTTTTCCCCACCTGCCTTGAGTGGCAACCATAGCCTTCCCCTCTGTGACAAATGACACAACAAAAACCGGAATTGAAAAGTGGCGCAATTCTCTAAATAGACCCTTTCATAAAATTGGTCACTGCTCAGTCAACGGTGAATGCAATGACATGATCAGGGTGTCATTTTAAAGAGGCGATTCAACCCTAACAGAGGATATCTCCGTTTGATTCACATGTGCCCTACTTAATTCTGTTCCAATTAGCAATAATATCTCGGTTTTGTTTTTTCGATCCACCCTGTATATAACAAAATATATTTATGCAATAAATTCAGGATATAAGTTCATCAAACTTTGCCATATGTTTCTTCTGGACAAACTGTTTCGTACCGTAAGGCACTCATCAGCAGAACTCATATCCTGAATTCTTTGCATAATTATAGCTCTGCAGAGATGTATTGAACACTGTGGATTGTGATAGATGATGATTCATTGGATATAAAAAAATAAAATATACAACAAAGTATTTTGGTAAATACGAAGGCTAAACAACAACAGAAACTTTGTTTCTAATTATTCAGTGGCGTGCATTGTGTTTTATAAGACGTGATCACATAGTACAATAATTATTGCCTAAACGTTTACGTATTTTACATTTTTATTTCAGTCTGTGCCTCTGATCAGTATGCCTGTCCGTCTGGCTTGTTATGCATTGAACAGTCTCAGCGATGTGATGGGATACCAGACTGTCCGGGAGCTGGAGATGAATTTGGATGTGGTATGTACGCTGATCGACACAAGAACCCAATAGCTGATAGACAATTGACCTATTGCCGTTTGCGAGTTAGCCACGCCCCTTAGACAACCCTATGGAATTGTGTACGTTAAGTTTTGTTTGTCTCAGATTTTGATATTTGATAAACCGATAGTTGATATTTGTTGTGAAATCGATAGCTGATGGGCAATTCCACGGTTACTCACATTACATTTTTGATGTACTTTTGAGTTTCCTTGGGCTGTAATTACCTTACTGAAAAGGTTTAATAACTGTTATCCCCATGGTAGATAGAGTAGACCTAGACCTACCTAAGCACCAAAGATGACATCCAGAAAAATGTGTTATCACTGTTGTGTATGATAAACAAGACGCACAAAATTGGTTACTCACGTTACATTTTTGTAACGAGAGTAACCGATTTTGTGCGTCTTGTTTATCATACATAACACATTTTTCCGGATGTCATCTTTGGTGCTTAGGTAGGTCTAGGTCTACTGTATCTACCATGGGGATAACAGTTATTAAACCTTTTCAGTAAGGTAATTACAGCCCAAGGAAACTCAAAAGTACATCAAAAATGTAATTTGAGTAGCCGTGGAATTGCCCTGATAGTCTCCCCTCAATACCAAATTTATTCTTTATTTTGTTACAGCCGAATGTTCATCCCAACAACTGTACTGTGATGGAGGCAGGTGTGTTGATTCGGAACATATCTGCGACCGGAAACAACTCTGTCAGGATAGGTTAGATGAACGAATCTGTGGTAAGTTTATAGAAAATCGGAACTTGATAAAAAAACAATTACAATATAGGGCGAGTCAAAAAAAAGAAGGAAACCCAAATAGCAGGACCAACTTAGTTCTGCATGTAGCACTTTCGAAATCTAGGATATGAAAGCCCAATTAACAAGCTTTCTTTTAGTACAAGAATCATTCCAATCCATCTTACTTTTCAAGTTACGGAAAATTTAAACTCAAACACCATTTGAAAGTTCTGTCCACAGATCACAGAAAAGGTAAGTGTACTTTAGCAAAATGCAAAAAATTCACATACATCCCTATGTGAATTGTTTTTCGGTTTGCTGAAAGAGGTATTTTTATCCATGGACAGAACTTTAAAACGGTGTTTGTGTTTAAAATTCCTTAACTTGAAAAGTACACGAGTGATTTGAATGATTTTTGTACTAAAAAAAAGCTTATTAATTGCTTTCGTATCCTAGATTTTGAAAGTGCTTCGTGCAGAAACGTCATTAAAAAATTGGTCCTGCCATTTGGGTTTCCTTTTTTTTTTTTACTCGCCCTGTAGATTCCTGAGAGATTGCAGTTTTTGTGTGGATATTTCAGCTTTTGTGTGGATATGTTGGTTTTTGTGTGGATGTTTCAGTGTTTGTGTGGATACGTCAGTTTTCGTGTGGATATGTCAGTTTTTGTGTGGATATTTCAGTTTTTGTGTAGACATATCAGTTTTTGTGTGGATATTTCAGTTTGTGTGGATATGTCAGTTTGTGTGAGGATATTTCAGTTTGTGTGTGGATATTTCAGTTTTTGTGTGGATATGTCAGTTTGTGTGAGGATATTTCAGTTTTTGTGTGGATATGTCAGTTTGTGTGTGGATATTTCAGTTGACACAGCCATCTTTGGTTTCTCCATTAGCTCCCTGCGGCGACAGCATCATCACTCTACCACCTGATCCCGACCAGCAAATCATCTTCTCTTCTCCTTCTTACTCCGTCGCCGACTACCCGTTCGATATGGACTGCGTCTGGTTCCTGACCTCCCCGGGCGGTTACTTCATTCAATTAGAGTTTCTCGACTTCAAGACAGAGGTGCACTTTGATCAATTCAGCGTGGGCAACGGCCACGATTACAAGGATGTCTCATCGGCAATCTTAAGCGGGATTAGCGGAGAGGAAGCGCCCAGGATTATCTTGTCTGATGACGATCGGTTGTGGATCAGATTTACTGCGGATCATTTTGTGACAGATCGAGGATTTCAGTTGTTGATCACACAGGTCAATGATACAGGTGCATAACCACTTAGATGTTATTAACCTAAGAATTAAAATTAAATACATGTATCACTTAAAATGGCTCAGTTGGGCCAATGCAATGTAATATTTTTTGATGCAATCCTTGAAAATGCACCATTGTGCCCCATTTTAACCTATATTGTCAAGGGTATTTTGGTGCCTTTTTTTGTTTTTATGCTCATGCCAATTTCCATCTTCATGAGCAAAAGTGTGATGTCATTCCGGGCAGAAACCTCAATGTTACAGCTATTTCAGCACAAAAAGTTGCTCTCTTCTTTGCGCCCACGCCAATAGTACCAAAATTAACCAGTTCACGTCGGAGGCCGTGATAACACGCACTGGCTGTTTTTATACACAGGCACGGCTGACAGGTTAAAACGTCAAGATTGCCTCGACTCGCCTAAGGGTGACGTCTAAACACGCTAATCTCTCTTTGCTTTTGCACACATACACAAAGTCCATGAAGTCTGTAGAGGCAGACCGTGTGTTGATCTAGAATTGGCCATTTGCATTAAGCACGGCCTATTGTTGTACAATTTACGCTTCTGTGCACACCCCGGAGTAGTGAAACATGAGGTTTCGGCAAGAAATATCGTAGAAATACTGTTGAAATGACTCTTGCGAATCAGTATTTGTGGCTCTTTGGCTGTATATCAGAAGTTGACTGGAAAATTTTGCCTTTTGCGAAAATCAAAATTTTCGGCAAATATAATCCCGGCGCAAAGTGGTTAAAAGGCCAGTCAACTTTAACAGACGAAGTTCATTTATTTATTTATTTATTTATTTCGTGTTATTTTACCAGGGTAGCCCCATCAGTTGTCAATGAACTGTTCTCCCTGGGGGCCCTGGATTACATAAAAACATGATATAATAATGACAAAAACCACAAAAACACAATAAAAGACATAATGAATACATTACTAAAAAATAATCCAAGGAATTAAAACCACACAAAATTAAAACCCTAAATTACAACAGACGATGTATAACCCAAGCAATTAAAACCACACAAAGTTAAAACCTTAGATTAAAACAGACGATGTATAGATAAACAGATTTAGAATGGAACCTTAATCCCGAGTTTAAAAAACCATTGTCCATTCAAACACAATGGTTGGTTGTTATATTTGATTTTTTTCTCCCATCAGTTGAATGCAATGAAGCGGAGACGAGTTGCGAATCGGGTCCTGGTATCGTGTGTTTGCCTCACGAATCGCGATGCAATGGACTTATGTTGTGCCCTGATGAATCCGACGAGCAATCATGTGGTAAGCTTGTTTTGTACGCAACCAATAAAGTAAACAGGTAGTGTTAGTCAATCAATCAATTCAGATCAACAAGATGTAGTCAACAAGTTTTTCCTGTGGGTTAGATGCGACAAATTAATTTGGTCTAATTCCAGGATATTTATCGAAAATTGAATTTATAATAATAATTATGCTTATATGGCTTTCCATCATATCAACGATCTCAAAGCACTTTACAATTATTACCCCGTTCATCAGGCCATGGGACCACGCGGCAGCCGATATCAGCGCTCAATCGGTCTTTGACCCTCACATTTATACTCCTGGGTGGAGAGAGGCAATTGTAGTTAAGTGTCTTGCCCAAGGGCACAAACACCATGTTTCCGGTACGGTTCGAACCCACACACCTTCGTACATGAGTCGAACACCGTAACCACTTGACCATGGCGTTCTACAGAGAAATTCAGAGATTATATACCAATCTCTGAATATTGTAACAGTCATATTTCATGTGATCATGTCACATGGATGCAAATCCTCAATACTTCCGTCCTAAACAACAGCTTGAAAAAATCGAGGTGTCAAAACGAATTTGGATGACAAACTGTATTGCGATTTCATCTCTTCAAGTGGCTATTCTGTTGATAACAGGTATCGTATGGAGAGGTATAAAGTGCAGTAATTCACTTAGGCTACTGTGCTCTCGAATCGTGGTTAATGCTCATGTTCTGACATCACATTCCATTATCCCTAGGTATTATTAATTCACAGCAAATTTTACTGTTTAGAATTTGCAAATGCACTTCAAAGCGTAGTGGCAACAATCTCTACCAACTACCGTATTAATCAATCATTGCATGTAATTTGCTCTCTGAAGGCAATGTACTTCAACTGTTTACACAAGAAGAGTTAAATGAATTTAATTATGATTTTGACGTTGAGAGTAAACGGCACAGGCGAAACCAAATTAAATTTGTTATAACAAAGGTGGGTTTTTTTGTTGGGGGTGGGGGAATTAGTTATTTTAAATTGATGTCAAAGATTTATGATTATTCCTTTAGGCCTTCGGGGTGAGTCAAAAAAAGCGGAACCCAAATCCCCAAAAATATATTTCATATTTTAAAAAAAATTTAGCAAAAAATGAAACAATTACTAAATTACAAAATGAAAAAATTACACGGGTCAAGCTTAGCTTACCACAATGCTTTGTGTGTCTGTACTTCCCCCACAAACTTTTGTGAAGGAGATTAACACTTCCCAGAGCACCCTGTTTGAGCGGTGGGGACAAGCCAAGTTTAGGATCTGCCTCGGGTATGGCAATATCGTCATATCCACCCTAAATTATTCATTTTGCATTAAGAAATCCATCAACAGAAATTTGTAGCTCAAACATCATATGTCGATAGCCCAAACATCATGTCGATAGCCAATTCGATAGCCAATTTTAAGTTCAAATACACGTTGTTAGATTCGACAGCTGAGTGGCATAAGAACCAGAGCCACGACGGACTAACTGACTGAACGTCCTCTGACGCTGAACAAACTTACAACTCGACAAACACGACCGACCAAATAAAGTTAATTTCATGGTAAACACTCGGTCTTCCTGGTGCTGCCGCCTGTTCTCACCAAAGAACAAACATTAGCACGTGTGAAATGGTACAGACAGAGACTTAATGTGAAACACGAGGACAGATCTGCCAAATATCGCTAATGTTGACATGAGTGCAGAGATGGTTACACACACCGGACACATTCTCATCATCAATCAAAATGTGAAGAAACTTTTGAACTCGGCACATGGCATATGCGACTATACTGTGGCTGCTTGGGTGATAACATACAAATATTGACTGCTTCAAGTGGTGTAGTAAAACAAGCCTCCCGAGGTTATCCGTGCAGCGTTCTGGTTTCCTGAGGCGTAGCGGAGGGAAATGGAATGCCCCATGGATCACCCAGGGAGGCTAGTTTTCCTACACCACGAGTTAAAACAGTCAAGGCTTGGGTGTTTGTTTTTTTTAAAGACAATTGCAAGATGTGTGGGTGGATTGGATTTAACACGTAACTAGTGTACAATAATATTCGTTTAGGTTTTACACAATTGCATGAAAACTTGTATTAAGGATATAAAAAAACAGACTAGAGGTCTATGTCTGTTTGAAAACAGAATATATAGGGCTTTTCCGCATTATGATTTTTGTATGACTTTATGCTTTTTTGGCCGAGGTGCAGTGATGTACATTATAATATTTGTGTTCAAAGTCCACAAAAACTAATAATGAGCTAGTAGCAGTGTTGGAGTACTCGTACTCGTACTCGAGTACAAATTACAAGTGCTCGGCCCGTACTTGACTATCAGTACTCGAAAATTATTTGGACTCGGCCCGTACTTGATTCTTTGTACTCGAATTTTGGCACGGACTTGTTGGTTTGGACTCGGTACTTGACTCCAGTACTCGGGAGTACAAATCGAGTACATTTTTAAAAAATCAATTCTATACACTGTGTTTCACAATTGTATTTGTCAGGTCCGGCGGTGGAAGGCGAGGAAAGTACCGCTACCCAACCTGACAATTTCCCTTCTTATCACTTTGTCTTTCCAAATGACAGGAATTTGTGGCTCCAACATCATCTACTTGTTCGACAGCGATACTCATAACCTAACCTCGCCTGGCTTCCCTGGTCAATACCCTCCAAATCAACCGTGTAGTTGGCGCATTCAGACCAGTGACAAACCGGCCACCGAGGGCGCTAACGCCTGGAAAATCTTGGCTTCCATACAGATATTCGACTTGGAGAACCAGTACGACTATCTAACGCTGTACAATTGGGATGAGGGCGGCGTGACAGATCTGATCGCCAGGCTAACTGGAAATATCAAGCTGACCACCGTAGTATCGTCTGGCTACGCAATGTTCATCAAATTTACAAGCGACAACACCGGATCGGCAAAAGGATTCAAGATTCACTTCCAAGCTGTCAATAAAACAAGTACGACACTATACAGGGTAGTGCAAAAAGAAGGAAACCCACTTTCGACGGCAATTTTCACCTACTTGTTGATCATTCAAAATCAAAATTCAATTTAATGTTATTAAAATATTGATCTTTAATTAACCATAACTCCCTAGGCCTTTTTGCTAGGATGTAGCCTCAATCCTGCAAAATCCTCCAATTGGCCTCATGGAAAAATAGCATATAGCCTCAATCCTGCAAATTCCTCCATTTTTTCTTGAATATGGTCCATGGAGGGGTGACCACTGCCTGAATCCTGCAAAATCCTGCGACAGTGACTGTCAATATGTTGAGGCTTGGCCAGTGACATCCTGGAGCAGCACGGAGGATTTCAAGCATAATCTAGGCCTATATTTATGCATGGCTGAGCAAAAACAACACAAGGTCCAGCCCAAGACCTTGACAAAGTGCATCCTACGAAATCAGTAACGCACTTTTGCCATGTAACCTCAATCCTCCAAATTCTTCCTCTTTGGCAAAGAGAATGTTGTCTCTGAGATATGGTAGTTTTAAAATTTCATGTGCCAAACCTGTTTGTCTACGGACGGATTTATTCCATCCGCTTGACTGAGCTCCAGAGCTTGATTTGGAGACCAAAAAAACCCCACTACACTAGACTTACATGTGGACAACAGTGATTTTGATCACTTGCATTCAAATAAGCATAATAACACTATTCGTGCATTTTTTTAAAAGATATTTTAAAGAGCTATACTTCACTACATTATAAAAAAACTAGTTCAAATAATTTAAGTAAGTAGGTTAAAATTCCTGTCAAAAGTGGGTTTCCTTCTTTTTGCACCAACCTGAAATAAAGTAACCAGTCAATGATTTACAGTAACACAGATATGAACATTTGAGAAATGATGTGGACGTGGCGAGCACTTAAGAGCAAAGCGAGATAATTTAATAAAAGGACGCATGATACTATTTTAGCATCACTCAACCTCCCGTTTTATCAATCAACTTAAGTGGTTTGGGCTAAGTTCTTGCCATTAAATTGTTGGCAATATACGGGGCCGGTTCCTATAAGGGAACAAAATCCACTTTTAAATTATTTGACCTACAAAACTAGTTGGTGACATTAAAAACATATAGGTATGTCATAGATAAAAGGACGGGGTTTTGAATTTGAGGAAATTTGGGGGTAAAATGACGATGACGACAAAATGCAACACGAAAATAAAGATGGCGATCAACGGTGCACCGTGCAATATGTGCAAGGCGCTCTGAATCGACAGACTGTTCCTAACAGACTCTTAGGAAAATCGTAATTTCTACCCCAAGAAACTATTCAAAAATAACAAAAAAGCTGTCAGTATATTAAGAGAAGTCTGCTTTAGGTTGAAAAGGTCATTTTTGAGTAATAAAAAACACCCTTGACTCTAATTTGATTGAAACTAAACAGGGGTCCTCTAACACTATACGATCGCCAAACCGTTATTATGCATACAATGTATTTAACTTTTTTCATATTTTTTGGTTTGCCTTTGAAAAAGATCCTGCTAGGATCGAACCTTCTATTTTGTTTGATTGCATTTTTCTATTTGTTTTGTTAGGTAAGTTTTGCACTGGATCGGACTTTGACTGCAACGGTGAAGAATTCTGCGTCAGTGAAGACGCCAAGTGTAATGGCTTCAACGATTGCCTGCGATATCAAGATGAAACAGACTGTGGTATGTACAATGTACATCTCAAATCTAGCATGAAGTCACTAACAACTGAAAGTCCTTGTCATCATTATCGTTCATTCACAAAGGCGTGATGACTTGACTAACAGACACACAAGACGGCCGTATAGCGAACGGAAATCACTATCATTGTACAAGTATATCAGTAGCTTTTGATAAAATGATGGATACACCTATTTGATACACCAAAGAGGTGTGCCTTAACCAGTTTGCGCCGGAGGCGTTGTGTACACACAAAAGTTTTGCGTTTTTGGATGACAGATAAGCAGGCAGGGAGCGAGACCGGATATATCAGTCAGCAACCCGCTCGCAGCGAGCGAGGCTGGGAATATGAGTGTGCTGCCCTAGGGTGATGGCTTCAACCCGCCTGGCTTGAGGTCGAGTGAAAAGTAATCCCGTGCCTTGTTCCGTTTTTGTCCAAATAATCCCGGCGTTAACTGGTTAAAAGAGCATGTGTTTCCACTCATTTAAAAAAAAGCAGTTACTGAAATTGATCCATGCTATAAAAAACCCTATTTTTATAGCTGTCCATGGGAATACTATTGGAAGCTATTGAACTGAGTGAGAATTACAGATTACACACAGGCATTCAAATACCAACAAGATTTTAATCAATTGAGTCAAGACTGAAACATTATTTTTACTGTCAGATTTTGTGTTTTGAATATGAGGGACAAGTCAAGTTTTTTTTTAGAAATATTGATGGCGATTTTTGTTGGTGTTCCTTTGCAAGTTTTCATTCATTCACAGAGGTGGGAAAACATTCATGTTTCATTGTATTTAATGGGTATTCATCAGTTTGTAGAACGGAAAATGATCGGTGGTGGACAGCTGAATTTTGTGATCTTTTAAAAAAAATAGACATAACTTGGGAATAGAATATGCAAATTACATGAAATTTTCACAGTTACTAGTCAATAACATTTACTTTATCCCATTTTTTTAATGAAAAGTAGTGAGCCACATGTTTTTCAAAATACTCTTTTTTTTCTAATTCATTCACTTTCTTTTTAACTCACTCGGTATTTCTATTTGAAGGCTGTTTTGAACAATAGCTTTTCGGAATTTGGTTGGAAGTTTGTTACTCAAGTTTTATGTTCAATAAGAACCGCACAGCAACATTTGTAAGCTTTTAGCCGTAATTTCCTTAAGTCTTTCAGTAATTCTATTGGATGAAGCTGAGATTCTTGTGTATTTTTTTTAATTTTTTTTTTTAGCTGAAGTGAATTGTCCCGGTAACTACATGTGCGATAACGAAATCATCAGTGATGATGATTTGGTTGACTTTCAATGCGTCACGCTCGATCTGGTGTGTAACGGAAGAACCGATTGCCCGGAACATGACGACGAAGTGCAATGTGGTAAATAGTACAGTGCTTCTATTATCTCATATCGATTACATGCACTTATTGATTATTGGCAAAAGGTGAAAGTAATGATGAAAATCAATGTGGTAAATACATACGTCCGTTATCTCATATCGATTATTCATTGATTATCGGCATGAGACGGACGTGATTGTAAAATGCAGTTTAGAATTTCTTAAAACCAAAACTTTTTTTTTTTTTTTTTTCAAAGTTAAAAATTTGTGACGTTCAATTTAGCAATGGCAACCCTCCAGCAACCCTTCGTAACTAACGATGCATCGCAGCACTGCGACACGTCGTATCCCTACGATGCGCCCCAGCTGCAACGCGTCCTGCGATTCATTTCACAAAACGCGTCGTAAGTGCAATGCATCATAGCTGTATTTATAGCACAACAGGGTGACTGTTATATGTATTTATACAGCGTACAGTAAATAGTCGTCTGATCACATTCAAGAAAGAGTCGTCGGATCTTTCGAAAAGTTTTTAAAACGTAAAACAAAATGGCGGCCATGCGATGCAGTTTTTAAGGAAAACAAGCTCGCATTGGACTGTATAGCTACTTTGAAATTTCAACTGCAATATTCCAGGCTAATTCATAATTACTTCAATGCATTTTCCATCTACAACTTTACACACAATGTCTCAGTTTTATAGTCTCGCTTGTGTAAGTTTTATGGCATAAAACTGACTAAGAAAAGAATGCTTCTTATTTTGCGATGACCACTGGACACATAGTATTCTCTGACTTGTTTTAAGCCATTGTCAAGAAACTTATGACGCATTTAACACATCGCAAATTTAGTGAAAAGGATCGTATGACGCGTCCCGAGTTTACACATCGTAACTCCGGCTGCGACGCATCGCAGTACTTCATGAAATCGGGTGCTGAACTTCAATGATTCTAGAGATGTTAAAATTATCGTTTTCTTGCATTTAGACAAAAAGAAATGCCCAAGTGACTGCAACTGTTACTATGACAGCAACAGGTTGGTCATCAAGTGTCTGGGATCCTGGGAGCAGAGCACAGTAGATAACATGGCCAAAACAGTCGCTACACTGTAAGAGCATTAGCAATAGCATTCATATTTCTAATTTCTTCTGGGGAAAACATGTCCCTTTTTTTACAGGATATTTTCACTACTAAAGATGGCAAGGCTGTCTTTTACAGTAGAGAAAGATGTTAGAAGTATTTTCTAACCATGTTCGTAAAGAAATTCAGCTTAAAGGGTCCTTGCGTATGGAATTTTGTTTAATGCAGTCCTTGAAAATGTACATTTGTGTCCCATTTAACCTGATTTTCAATTTTCGTTTTGCCCTTTTCAAGAGCATTTTTGATGCATTTTGGTTTTTATGCTAATGCCAATTTCCATATTCATGACAAAAGTTTAATGTCATTTCAGACAAAAACCCCAATGTTACAGGCATTTCAGCACCAAAAGGTGCCAGAATATTGCATATTTTTTTTCTTTGTTTATTTGTTGTGTCAGTACAAGGCAGTAAGCCAATGAGCAAACTATTCTCACAAATGTTTTCAATGAGCAATTTTTGTTTTGCAATTCGAACAGAAAACTCCTAAAATTGAACACTGTCTTCCTGAAATGACATGACAGTAACAGCTCTCAGTTGTACAGAAAACGTTTATTGAAGGCTGTTTTTAATCAAAATTAACCAAAAAGGAATGTCAGATAGTTTTCATGCATTTAAGAGAAGTAGAAAGTTGCACAAATATGTTCCGTTGAAACATTCTTCTCATGGACCTTTTAAATTGTTATCAGTCCAAATCTGGAAAATTGTAAAAGTCGGATGGCCAGAAAATATGATACAAATAAAAGAAATTTTTTGAAACAGAAAACGGACTTTTAAAAACATGCATACTGCTATCTTTCACTTTGAATCAATTAAAGTTTGGACACGGTAAAATAAAAAGCGAGGTGGAGAATTCTAAAACAAAGACACAGAGAAAAAGGCTAAAGAAAAACACAGCCATGTTCAACAAACAACTGCATGACAACATCTTCTTGTAATCCTCACAAAATAATTTGGTTGTTATTTAATAATGATGACTTTTTGTTCAATATTTCTGTAGGAGTCTGAATGGCGGGAACGTGACGGTTTTAAAGAAAGGTACATTCAAAGGAATGAATTCACTCCGCACATTGTAAGTAAATCATAAAAATAAATAAACTGAACTTAACACTTTAGGCCAAAAAAAAAAGTCTCCGGTTTCTGGTATGCGCGTGCGTCGCCATGTGCGTCGGCAAAATGATAAAGTTTTTTTTCAATGAAAGATGATGTCTCAAAACCGCCAAACTCACTGGTTTGACTGGAATCCTGCTGCTGCACAATTTTAACGTGTTTTTAGATGGGGTTATGGTCGAGAATAAGCTTTATGTGGCCTCTCTGAACTCCCATATATTTGCACTAAGTTTGGTCGGGCACCATTTTCAGTCATCAGCCGACATTTGAAGCAAAAAAATCAGGTTAAAAAAAAAAAAAAGCTGCGTCGCCGCACCACTTTTTGGGCAAGCTCCATACCAGAAATCGGAGACTTTTTTTTTTGGCCTTATGAAACTTTATAAAACTTAAATGTACAGTTAATAACGTCATGTATTTTAAAGATACCAGTAGAGTAGATCATTTGTCATTGGTGCATTTTTTTTCGTTTTGAAGCAATAAAAGTGCTCAAAATCCAAAGACCAGTGCTTAACAACTGACCGGATGAAGTTTTAGCTCTGTGAATGCTGTATGTACCGAGAAAACAATATTCTAGGATCTCGATTTCGGTTCAAAACATGCCAAGTCATATTTTGAATTGCGTCTGAAATCAACGTCCGGGACACGTTCTCAATCAGCCAATTGCAGCTACGCGATGTCACACACTGAACCGATAATAGCAACCGTGCGTGTGTGCATCGTGTCAACGCTTACGTGCACCCATGCACATACTCGCCCAATTACAAAACCAGCTACTAATGGAAATTTTCAAAAATGTATCACTTGACACATTTTTGGAAATAGACCTTCTTTTATTGTTTTCTTCAAAATGACAGCATGCCAAAAGGACTAATTTCACAGGGACTTTAGTGCCATTACTACATGTATCTTTAAACCAAGTAAGCTTTTTAACAATAATTTGATCAGTTAATACTTTTTGGACAGCTGTAAATGATCTACTCTGCCTTTAACAAAACATAACTGAAATCAAAAGTAAAATATTAGTTTGTTTTTTAAAAAGTTTGACTTCGTTATACATGTATTGCACACAAATAAATAAACTGAATTTCACATAAATGAAGACGTCACTTTCAATATTTGAATTTCTTTCCAGATCCTTGAGTGACAATAACATTGTGACTATTGAGACGCGTACATTCGATGGCCTGGACAATCTGATGTGGCTGTAAGTTCAATCATCTCAAATTTCACCACCTCAAATTTCACCACAGGACGAAGACGGGATGGGGAAGGGAGTGTGAGCCACGTTTGTCTTGAATAGAACTGCCTGAGAACGGCTTGGACTGGACGAGGACGGATTATGGTCTGGCATCCAAGCCTGGAGCCATAATTTTATTACTAGCCATATTACTAACAACCAAACTCTCGTTTTATCCTTCGCAGAGAGCTCTCCAATAATCAGATCTATGAACTGGAAAGTTACTCTTTTCAAGAACTTGGCTCACTTGAAGGATTGTAAGTTTTGCCATATTTCTTAAACTTTCCATTTCAGTTTCTTAAACATTCCCATAACTCTATGACAAAACACAGATATCAAGACTAGAATTGTTCAGCCATATGAGTTTGACATCCAATTTCTGCTTCCGTTGACAGAACTTTTTGGAATGTGCCGCTACAGCGGGTCAACGATTATGCATTCACAGGGCTTGCCAAACTACAAAAACTGTAAGTAACCAAGGATTCCTCAAAAATGGCCCTAGGTACTGTAGCTCAAAAGCCTGAAGAAACCTACAGGTAGAGAGGAGACATTACAGTTTTAGATGTGGGAGGAAAATCCCAGAAGAATATTCTGAGGAAAAAACCACGGAATCAGGTAGGGACTGAAAACCCAATCCACATGTGGACCAGGACAGGAATCAAACCCCTGCCAGAGCGGTGGAAGGAGAGGACAGTAAGCACTGTGCCAACCTGACTCCCCTTAAAAAGTTAAACAGGACAATACGAAACAACAAGTAGTTGATTGGTAATAATAATAATGATAATTCTGTAGTCTTATATAGCGCACCTATTGGTATCTTCCAACATAAAAGTACCGGTACCCAATGTGGTAATTATGTCTATTTTTAAAGACAGGTGAATGAAGTGTATGAGAAATGTGAGACCCATTATGTAGCACCTTTATAAAGGGTATACAAGGTGCTGCGGCGCATATTGCAGCCACTGCCAGAAACACCGGGGCAAACCCCTCCTTGGTACAATGTTGGACTCCAAGACTAGCACAGTGACCCTTGGTATGCATGGTTCCAATCCAACCTGCTGCTAGGGCTGTCCACTTCCAAATAAATTAGTTTTCGGTTATTGAAACTCCATTTGACCGAATACTCGAATATTCGAAACTCTCTGATCAAGTGTTACTTTTGCCAGCTGCAACAGCGGGCCACGCCTTTGAACACAAAAAAAAGCGCGCCAGTTAAAAATTTGTATGCTGAACTGGTTAAACGTATACCTGTTTTTTAATATCATGAGGCAGGACAGGAATGCACTGAAACTATAGAAAGGATATTTTGTAATTGTTATTAACGTGACGTCCATTTTTTTTTTATTATTTATTTACATGTAGTTCAATCATTCGTGGAGTCCTGGACAGTCCACTGACAGTGGCACCCAAGGGATTCGATGGCTTACACAGCTTACAAACATTGTAAGTCTGGCAATACATACCGATCAAGTAATGTATTGATCAACGTAATCTTCACGCAAACATCAATGCATCAGTAATTAAGCAAGATTGTATCAGTAATATATAAGCCTCCATGGTAAACACTTAAGAAGAATCAATGATTCCTGAAATTAAATGTCTATGATTGTTTTTGTTTTTTTCTGGTAATGAAACCAAGGATTCCTCAAAAGCACCCTAGGCACTGTAGCTCGCAAGCCTGAGGAAACCCATAGAAGACAAAAGAAATTACAGTTTTAGAGGTGGGAGGAAAACCCCAGAATGATATACTAGGAAAAACCCACAGAATCAGGCAGGGACTGAAAAACCCAATCCACATATTGGCCCAGGCAGGATTCGAACCCGGGTCACAGCGGTGGAAGGTGAGGAGAATACCGCTACGCCGACCTGAGCATCTCAAGACACGGAAGTTGGAACTGCTCACTGGGAACATTCAGGTCACTGACTACTCTCAGCAGGAAGAATCTAGGAATTCCATGGCAACGTTTTGTTAAGACTAAGGATGATGCTCACCAGAAAATTGCTTGTTCTGGTTTTTAACAAGTTAGGAATCCAGTGTATTTCTGTGGCTACAAGCCCAATACTAGCCAGTCGGCAGAGTTAACGCAGTCAAGAAGCCATCTCCTCACTATTATTCCATGTAAAATGAAATTCATAAATACCTCAGACAGTTTAGCTATTCCTATTGGTCGAGAGCCTGTCACGTGGCCGGTCTTAAACGGATGATAAAGACATGGCTAGCTGGTCTTAAACACTTTTCCAGTGTCACAATAAAATGTGGACTCCTAAAAATCCAGTGCCTCTTACTGTTTCATTGGTTGAACGTAAACAATCCTCACGTAGGCATGCGCAACACTACCAGCGAGTCAGAATTTTATAGTTCTAACTTCAAAACGCAACGCCCCAGGTGGGTTGTGCGTGACATCGCGCAGAACATGCTACGCGCGCGTCAATCTCCTTAAAAGGGTTGTTTACATCTTACTCACCAAGCTGAACACTCCATTATTTTGCTAAAGGGATGTTTCAAAAAGCATGAAGTGAACTTGTTGAACAAAATCAGGATTTTTTGAACAATTTTTTTTTTTTACCGAAAAGGTATTTATGAATGGGAATAAGTATGTGCTTGGTCGGTATTTATCACTCTGTTTAAGACCACTTAGAGTCTGGGTGCTGATAATTACCCGAGCCTCCGGCTCGGGTAATTATCAGCACCCAGACTCTAAGTGGTCTTAAACAGAGTGATAAAAACCTCCTGAGCACACATTTATTCCCTTAATAATGCCTTATCGAAACCAGTCCTTTGAATATTATGTTTCATTGATAAATGCTTTATTCCACAGTTTCTAAAAAACTTTCAATCCTTTGATGCTTCAGGTATGTTGATGACCATCGTCTGTGTTGCTACTTCCCTGACGTTACATGCACCTCCATAGAGCCCCGCCCACCTCTCTTCATGTGTAGTAACCTCATGCCGAACCTGGCCCTGCGTATCTTCATGTGGATCCTCGGAATTAGTGCCCTGGTGGGTAACTTTGGCATCATGATTTGGCGATTCCGTGAGAAGAATAGTAAGGCGAGTCGTCAGGTCCATTCCTTCTTGGTGTTCAACCTGGCGGTGTCGGATTTCTTCATGGGCGTCTACATGTTGATCATAGCTGCCGCTGACGTGCATTACGGCGACGAGTACTTCATGAGGGCGAGCGAATGGCGTTCGACTGTAGCGTGTAAGGTAGCGAGCGCACTCAGTATTCTCTCGAGCGAGGCATCTGTCTTTATCGTCACGGTGATAACCATTGACCGGTTTCTGTGTATCCTGTTTCCGTTCAGTCAGTTTCATCTTAGACGTCATTCCTCCCGCGTCGTTTTATTCATAGTTTGGTTTGTTGCCATCTCCGTCAGTCTTATCCCAACACTTCTTGCGGACGAAGAATCCAACGTCTACGGCCTGTCTGATGTCTGTATCGGTCTCCCGCTCCAGACAAGGGCAACCGACTTCGCCTCCACCACCCAAGACATCGAGAGTCCGTTCTCCAACGAGACGTTTGACATTCCGGTTGCTCTGAACTATCAACCGTCCTGGGTGTTCTCCATCGTTCTGTTCCTTGGTGTCAACTTTGTCTGTTTCTTAGTCATCTTGGTGTGCTACGTTGTCATCTTCATCCAAGTTCAGTTGTCTCTGAAGCAGGTGAATCGTCACATACACAGACACGAGGAAATCAAAATGGCGGGTAAGATGGCGATCATCGTCGGCACCGATCTGGTCTGCTGGCTGCCCATCATCATCATGGGCATCTTGGCCCAGTCGGGCGTGGTCACCATTCCCGTCGAGATGTACGCCTGGATCGTCGTCTTCATCCTCCCGATCAATTCCTCACTCAATCCGTATCTGTACACCATCTCGTCTTGCGTTGCCGACCGCAAACGTGAAAATATGTCCACGGCAACGACCAAACGCAACGGAACGTTGGCAATGACCAATAGAGCAAACTTGGACAAGAGTGTTCAGTCACAAGGAATCAGCGTGGTGGACTAAGTTTGTATCCTCTCCGAGTGATTCCTGTTTGCCATTTCCCAGGTCTGTATCGTGACTTTGGGCGTGATCCCTGGCTGTATGGCATACGGGCTTATGGTCTCTGACTAGGGCACCTGGAATACGGATATAATGAATTAGGGAACCGCCAACGTAGGTCTGGATAGCTCAGTTGGTAGAGCACCGGAAGGGTAATCCGGACATGTTCTAACACCACTGCAGTCAATTTCTTTGTTCAACTTTACAAATTAAAATGTAAACTAGAGCTATGCCTGTTCGCATGGGCGTCGCCAGGATTTTTTCTAGAGGGGGGGCAAAACATATTTTTCCCAAAAACTTCTTGTATTTCTCTCGATTTATCAGTTTTAGAGGGGGGCAGGGGCATTTCCCCCCCCCCCCAACTCATTAAATTTACACCACTATGACTTCGCATTTTTTTTTGGGGGGGGGTTTTTTTTGGTTTTCCAAAAACTTGCCCCCCCCCCTCGCGACGTCCATGTCTGTTCGATGAACAGGACATGGGTTTTTCCGCATTTTTAAAAGATACGTGTAAAAAAAATTACTTTTAAAATGTACTTTGTCTATTTTTCCATTAGAAGAACATGTAACAAGTTTTTTAATTAATACAACATCAGGTTATGACGTCATCATGACGACACTTTAGGTTTTTAATACTAATAATAATTTCTTCCTACCCACCAAGTTTCGAGACGATCAGACTGAGCCTTATATGTGATTTAAAAATTGCATTTTTAAAGACGTCATCATGACGTCACACACGTATAAATTTTATTGTGCACATAAGTATGATCTCACATACCTATTACAAAAAGAATTTTGAAATAAGCTTGTTCTGTTGATGTGATATGGATTAAATTCAATTTTTGATAACGTCATCATGACGTCACACACTTATAAATTTTTGTTGCACATAAATATGACCTTACATACCTATCACAAAAAGAATTTTGAAATTAGCTTGTTCTGTTGATGAGATATGGCTTAAAGGTCCAAAAAATTCAATTTTTGATGACTTCATCATGACGTCACCACTTATAATTTGTTTATGCATATATAAGTATGACCTTACAAACCTTATACAAAAAGAATTTTGAATTTAGCATGTTGGGTTCGCAAGATATGCTGATACTCTTCAAAACTTTAAAAAAGCGATATAAAATCACATGATGACGTCACCTCAATTTTTATCTATAACAGATTCCGGTCTACCTTCATACCGAGTTTCAACCCAATCTGACTTACATGTACAATTCTTTAGATATAGGGTCATAAAGTTTGAACATTTAAGATGACGTCACGTGACCCATGATGACGTAATCATGACGTCACTCTTCGGGACACAAACTCACTATGCGGTCTTTACATAGGTTAGGTTTCATAAGAATACGAGTTTGTTTAAGGTACAAAATGCCGCAGTTAAAAAAAACGTGTACATGTATAAAGTCTATTGGATTTGGGGGTGGAACAAAAAAAAAGAAAAAAAAGAAAACAAAAAAAATCAGAACAGAAACAATGCTTTTCCGCTTTCAAGCGGAAAAGCAACAATTAAGTACATATGTATAAAAACTGCTTGCTACATGTATATGTACAAATATGTACAAAATGCTTGTATAGCTACAATTAATCAACACAGTTGAAACAATGTATAAAACATTCACATGACTCTTCGTCCTTGTCTTTTCGTAAAAGGTAAATATTCTACAAAATTGTTCAACACTTAATATTTTTTGCATACTTGTACATATAAAGCCTTTGCATATACTCTATCACTGCACCAAAATAAAGGTAAGGATCTCATCTCAGGTAATACGTACAAATATCGTTGCTCTCTTGTATTGTGCTTAAGGGCCTGTCACATTATATGCGATCTCATAGGAGTACCTGTCATCTGGAATGAACCGCCACAAACCGGTTGACTCACATGTAGTTTTTATACGAGCAAACTAGAATAAACTGGTACGAGTACCTGTCATCTGGAATGAACCGCAACAAACCGGTTGACTCACATGTAGTATTTATGTGAGCAAACTAGAATAAACTGGTAAGAGTACCTGTCATCTGGAATGAACCGCCACAAACCGGTTGACTCACATGTAGTTTTTATGTGAGCAAACTAGAATAAACTGGTACGAATACCTGTCATCTGGAATGAACCGCAACAAACCGGTTGACTTTAGCCGATGGGTCGTCGGCTCGAACCTTGCCTTGTCTGGTGTAATTGTGGAGAAATGTCGGCAGGGGAAATATGTCCACGTCTTCACTGCTGCGACGGTCCCAGTTCACGTCGTATCGCATTCCGTGTTTACGAAGTCGCATCAGATAATCAGAGTGGTATTTACCGTCCGTGTAGTCAAGGAAACGACGGTAATCTTGTTGGATTGCCTGAAAAGACACAAAACATTAACACTTTAATCATTCATTCTTAAACTTATTGTAGAATTTGGAAGTATGAGTGTTAGTATGAATGTTGTAATGAGGGACTTTGGGTCTTAGGCCGAAAATCCATGTCTGTTCTTCACGTGCATATTGCCTAGTTGCGTATCCGTGACGCGTATTCTGTAAATCCATGTGTACACTTGACGGACGTACATTGTAAAAGCTCAAATAGAGAATACGCAGCAGTTTTGCAAGTAGAAAAATCAAGTCTCAAATCAAATTTGGATTAGCTTTGGCATTTTACAAAAAAAAAATTGACAAGATTAGAACTTCTCAAGAAAATGCAAAGGGTATAAATATTCCATGTTTCATCAATTGAATGCCCTGTAAAAGCCCTTTTACACATACATGATACGCACAAATAATAAATTTGATCACTTAACAGATCAAATTGTTTATAAGCAGGAATATCGATTCAACTGGGTCTGTTTTAGATGTACAATAGTCGAGCAGTCCCTCTGCATAGCTTTTACTGTCGCACGCCAAGCGTTTTTGAGCCCAGGTTACATGGAAATATTTGTGAACAAAGCCCATAAATGCGGCTGGGATACACACGATACCTAACGGCTAGAATAAACCAATTACAGCAGTGCACGGGATTTCTAGCCAATTGGCAAGCAAGAAAAGTTTGCAGCATTCCATTCAGGATGGGGTGATCTTCGGCCAATGAGAAATGGGCGGCAAGGCACATTTGGCGGCAAACCAAGCCATAGTTGTCGCGCAATTTTGGCGGCAAAACCGAGCATGCAGTCACTTTTGTCTCAGCCTCCAACAGACAAACACTGGAACAATTGAATGCGTCTCCAAAATTTTGTTCCCACCGCCACCCCAGCTACCTCCTCTCCTTTCAATGAGCATTTGTGCTCATGAGCCTTTTTTGTGCTCGTGAAATAAAACAGCCCACGGTTTTCCCCATTTTGGGTTATTATAATGGCTTATTATCTACATTAATTAAAGGAAGTATAACCACAATGTATATGTTATTGTTTATTGCATTAAGGTTATTAATTATAATCGTAGTTGTAACAGGTAGCAGCTTCTCCCTTGAGTCAGTTCAACGGGGGAGGAGCACCGTTCTTCCTTCTGTGAGTATAAACCAAGGAATCCAACGGCGCCTGATGGGAATTTATAGTTTATTGTTCAGAGCATGTTAAAGAGGTTGTGGAATGCTCGAAGACATTTCCGTCATTTTTTGGGTATATGTAGCCTAAGGTGTGATGAAATAAAAACGACTATTGTTTCTGTCGTGAAATGAGTACAAAAGGTACTTTTGAGAGCTGTTTTACAGGTCCTGTTTCGACCCAAACGTGCAATTTGTGTAAAAGTCGTCGTTGCGGGCAGCAAACAAAACACAGTAAATCGTGACGTAATAAACAGGACTCGTATATGCTACTCTGCATCGGGAGTCCTGTTTATTACGTCACGATTTACTGTGTTTTGTTTGCTGCCCGCAACGACGACTTTTAGACAAATTGCACGTTCGGGTCGAAACAGGCATGACAGGACTTGAAAAACAGCTCTCAAAAGTACCTTTTGTACTCATTTTATGACAGAAATGGTCGTTTTTATTTCATCACACCTTAGGCTACATATACCCGAAAAATGACAGAAATGTCTTCGAGCATTCCACAACCTCTTTAAAGGATTGTATATCATAGGTTGGAGGGAAACAAGCACCAGGCAAGGATGCAGCACATGGGAAAAAAGCTTTTGGGAAAAAAAGCTATTGGAAACAGCCTATGTGTAAATTGGCCTTTAAGATGGCTAAAAATGAATTGAAAGGTCTTGCTTATAGATTTACAAACGTTAAGGAGGTATTGTGAATTAAATGATTCTGTGTTTATGTGATTAATGGTATCATTTACCTTGAAGTCATTTTGTACCATCTCTCGTGCTTCAATCTCGTCACAAATCTGCCGCTGTAAGTCTTCAATTCTACAAAACAAATACATGTTTAAATAAACACAGTCGTTAACACAAGTTAACACTAGTCATTTTTTTTTCACAGTCGTTAACACAATGTTGTAACCAAGTCATTGTTTTATAAGTCAAGTCAAGTGTCGCTCGCCTGCTCGCACTATTGTCTTGGGAATCCTGTAGTGGCTGTTTAACATTTTCTTTATTCTCTCCCAAGGCTTTCCTAGGGAACCAATCAGCGATCGCAAAAACTAGCATTAAGGCCGGTATCTCTACAAAAGTCACTGTCCATGGTCTACAACGATCACTGACGTCTTGGGCCAAGACTCTGCTTACATATGTTCCAGTCTCAAGACTTCCTCTCTGTGAAGTTTAGCTACCCTCGCCGCCTCCTCTGCTGCAATTCGCTCACATTCCACCCTGGTGGCTCGAATTGCTTCCTCCAATCGTTTCTTGAACTTCTCCTTCAGATAAACAAACCACAAAGATGAACAACTTTTTAGGACAGAGAGCTGGATAGTGTGGCAACATTCTCCAACAAGTTTGTATTCCGTAAACCCAATATTGGTTGAGAAAATGCGATATATGCGACAACCTTTTGCCCAGTTTCTCTGTGAATGTAAAATTTTCCAGTTGACTGACCCTTGGGGGCCTCGGCCACCTGGAGGCCTAGATCTCGAATTTTGGGAACCTTGTCGGTAAAAATATCCAGTAAATTATACATGGATAGAAAGGTGGATAGTGTGGCTACACCTCCATCATATTCAAGTCCGTAAACCCACGACTTGTAAAGAAAAATGCAATACACGCAACAACTTTCTGGCTAAGTTTTCATTGTGTGTGTAAATCCCTGTACAGCTGTCGGCCCAGCCTTGGCGTGGCCCTACAAGGCGGGCTATATTTTGGATTTCCGGGATCTCGGTAGTGAAAATCCCCGGTAAATTATACATGGATGTAAAGCTGTACAGTGTGGCTATCGCATTGAACTTGTTAAGTGGTCACGGATTAATGTTTCAAACCAACCCTTGCTAGAGACAGAGCCTTGGCCACAGCTAGTTCCTTCTCAAGCGCAAACTCCTTGCGCAGTCTCCTCGTCGTCGCAGCGATCGCGTCTTCCACGGCTTTCTTCTTGATACGCTCACATTCCTCCCACTGTTTCTGTAAAGCGTCTTCCTTCTCGATCTTGAACGCCCACGTCAGCTTAGCAATCCTCTCCGCCTCCAACTGATCTCTTGCATCGGCAACACGAGCAGCTGTACGTTCTGCTTCCTGAAGAAAGATGACAATACATTCAAATCGGGTACATTCATTCGGTTCCCACCCCATCACTTTGTCCCGCCCCAACCCCTCCCCCCCTCCAAAAAAAACCAACAACAAAAAACAACATTGCTATTTTAGATGCCTATATTCTTGTTCCATGAATCTTGCTTTACTTTCAGGGGAACCAACTTCATTTTTGCCAACATGACAAGCATTTTTGCGCTAATTGTGTAGTTTAGGACACCATCCTGTTTTTTACTTGTTCCGTTCAAAAATGACTTTTGGAAACGACTGTCAACTTCTCCAAAATGACTTTTGCAGCCCCAAGCAGTCTTGAGATAAACTCTAGGTTTTTGTATTTTTGATTAGTAGGCCTACTTTGGAACAAAATGCAACATTCTTACCTGTTTTAACATTTAGAGACATGCAAATCCCAGCAGTTCAGGCGCTGTCATCATTTTACCCAATAATTTTCCTCATAAATAACAAATCCTACCCTCTTCTCTACAAAATGAAGCCTGCTGATATTCAATATGGTATTTTGGCGATCTAAAAATACGAAGTTACTTTTCCTGCTGGTATTTTAAAAAAAAGTAACCTGCTGGTAACATAAAAGTGTCTTTTTGTTCTCTATATGGAACGGCGTCCTAAACTACATGATCACCACTTGCCCAATTACTAACAGACTTATCCCCCCAAAAATCACAAAGTACGCAACCTGGACGCAGCCTCAAATGAATCTAATGACTGAACTCTTTATTCCTACCAATCGGGCTTCTTCCAACGCTTGTTTTTTGTCAGCTTCTGCTTTCTTGCGAGCTTCCTCAAGACGTTTCTTGAGTCTCCTATCGGCCGCTTCCTGTGTTTCTCTGACTGCGTTATCCACAGCATTGTCCCTCTCCTTCCGAGTGAAGTCTAAGAAGTCGTAATATACCTTACCACCAACATCTACAATAGAATTTGTTGATTTCAAAAAGATTTCAGTAATTGTTTACAGTATTGTACCCATACATAGTGATTTCAAAGTTGGTCTCGGCATGTTGCTTGATTTAAATTCAATATTAGGTTTTTGCTCTTCCCCAAAGTACTAACACTCTATACTCAGTGTGTTACCTCCCGAGTGAAAGTGAGAAAAATCACTCGGGTGGGACTCGAACCTACGACCTCCTGCTTTTCAGTGCAGATGTCTTACCACTCAACCACCGAGCTAGCCGGGATCGGTACATCGCCCCAACACAAATTCCATCTTATGAATAATTTCTTTGCGGTATCCGCTGGCTGCTGCTACATCGGATTTGAACTAGCCAACCGATCCTGCAAGCTCGGTGGTTGAGTGGTAAGACGTCTTAAATGATTAATCCAGGTCACTTTCTTTTTGACTCGCCCTGTAGTTTGAGCACAACACAGATTTAAATAGATTCAGGGGATTAAAACTCTTATTATAGAAAATAAAAAGGAGAGTCAATTTTTGTCAAATATTTATGATAAATTCTTCCAGCAACCAGCCAGTCGGTAAAGGGGAGACATATGCATAGCAAACCTTCGACGGTCTTGTGCCCAACTTTCTGGGTCGTAAGTGTTGTTCGCTGGAGAATTCTCTCTATCAGCTCCAAGCTGTCTGGGACTTTTCTCACAGGTTTTCTCGACATGTTGGTTACGTGAGTAACATTGTGACATGCCTCAATGAAGCGGACGTTCAGTCACAGATCTGTTTCAATTTGAAAGTAAACAAGAATTCAAAAGTAAGCACTGTGCATATTGCTATTGCACACACACACTGTTTTGGCCAATGGGAGACTTTTGAGACGTTGATGGCAGCAAACATACCGGCCCTTTTTCCATTGTTTGCGTTATATTGAGCATGCGCACTTTGGCTTAAACATGACGTAAACAATTGCTAAAGGACTGGTATGTTTGCCGCCACCAACGTCTCCCATTAAATATGGAACACCATGTAGTACACTCAACCAAAAAGAAAGTCTCCTGACTGAAACCAGATTAGATGGTCGACTATCCCCAAGACTAGACCTAACATAACAACCACTGCATTTTTTTTTCATAGTTCCTTTTTACAAACATTTTTGCAAAGACACCATCACTGACATTGCATTCAGTAAAAAAAAGGTTGCTTTACGGTTTTTAACCAAGTGTAGTAAAATATTAATTATCAAACAGGTCTGCCGACAACTCCCCCTAGCTCCCTCCCCCTTTTCACTCCCCCCCCCCCCCAAACAAATGTGCAACTTGCAAGTTGCAAGAACTCCCTGTCCAATTTCCAAATGTCGTCAGTCAACGTAAACTTTGTTGAAATAAAACGAGTTAAAGTGATATTGGTCTACAGCTTTCAATAAGTATCTGTACAACGTTAAAAATCATATTTTCTTGGATTCTCACCTTTGTGTCCGACTTCAAAGTTCAGTGATTTGCAAATGGGATTCTCTAGTTTACCATCACCATGGCGTCACCGCAATTTACTTTTTCAGCCAATTTACTGAAAGGCCGCCCTCTAGTGGTCAGTTTGTGATCAACCCTCTTGCTCGCTCGCTGGTACCCGTCTCCCCTGCCTAATTAAACGGTGAAATAAAAAAAGAAACCAACCATGTAACTCGCTGATTGATTTGCACGTAGGTAATGTACACATGTAGCGCGAGCGAAAAAAAAAATAAACGATAAATTTTTACTTTTTCCCACCACCATGGCGTCGTCGCTTGTCGACGAGAGTTTCCCCGTAGCTGGGTTACTACCAAAGAAGGAAACAGGAGCTTTGACTTTCCTGTCCAAGTATCCGGACTACGATGGACGGGGAGTTACTGTCGCTATTCTTGATACGGGCGTCGACCCCGGAGCGCCGGGTTTGCAGGTGAGTGATGTCCAGCATTTGTCCAGCTAGCTCAGCTGATGTTCATTGCTGGGTAGTGCAAAATGCAATGGCAGGCCTATTTTCTGATGTTGTGATGTACCCCATTATGGTTTGTCAATTTAGAAAGAATTTTGCAACCTGACGCTCAGTGGCGTAGCCACGGGTGGGTGGGGGGGGGGGCGACAGCCCCCCCCCCGAAACCTTGTCGCCCCCCCCCCCCCCCACTGAGATTTTGAGTTTCCCAAAAAATTATCATTGATCTACATGATGCCCCCCCATGAAATATTCCAGCGCCCCCGCCCCCCCCCCCCCCCCCGGCCCCCACCCCCCCCCCCCCCCACTGAAAAATTCCTGGCTACGCCACTGCTGACGCTACATCAGCGGTTGTGTACAAAGTCTATGGAGAGTCAAGACAATTTTCCTAAGTATTTCCTAACAAAATTGGATTTGGAAATGTTTCTCAATCTCAGTCATGTTTCTCAGTCCCAGATTCACGTCTTTTCATGCATTTTTGCAATGACTGACCTTCATTGAGATGACGTCATATGAAGAAAAAGCAGCATCAGGTTGCAACATTCTTTCCATCAATTTTACGATTAGCCTTGGCATGCTTGGCTTGTTGATTGTTTTGTTTTTGGCTTTTTTGTCATCATGGTCATGTTTGTACCAAGTGAATTAAAAATAAAACCTTAAAGAAGGAATGGATGTAGGCTACATAGCCTAGGCCGGGGCAGGGAAAGAATGTTGCAATCTGCATGACCTGGCGCCACTTCAGCAGTTGTGTACAAAGTCTATGGAGAGTCAAGAAAAAGTCTAAGTCAAGAAAAAGTCTAAGTATTTCCTAACAAAATTAGAAAGCCGGCTAAACTAGCCGGCTAAATATGTGTCAGTTTTAAACCCAATGGTTCTCAGTCTTTATTTCCCTTTAAAAACAGTTCTTCAGAGGCATGAATCAGAAACTGAGAAAGATTCAATAAAAAGTAGATAGTGGATATATTGCCAGATCTGGCTTTAAACGATATTTAGCCGGAGAGATCTTACAGCACCCTCTTTGACACATAGATGAGTAGGCCCACATAATAAACTATTATTATTGAATTGCATGTAACACGTGTGGCAGAATGGATGGCGCGTCTGTGAGTGAGAGATCCCGGGTTCCATACCCCCGTCGCGCTCATTGGACATTTTCGTTTTGCTTTTATTTAATCGCAAACAATATAAATATTCTTCTTTTATTATTTTTAATTGATCCTTTGGAGGATTTTTATTAAAGGGAAATAAAGTCCGAAATTGTAAATGGTCTGATTCCCATCCCGTGGATACGAAGCCACAACGACAATGTTGGCGTGGAACCACACTAACATTTGTCACAGTACAAATTTCTATGTCCAACGCATGTTCAGTGCCATCGGGCTTAATATCGTTTACTAACAAAAAAAGCCGGATCCTGCCAAATATCTGCCTAAAAAGTATGATTTAATTTAAAATAAAGCAAAATAACTCAAAGTAAATGTCACCAGGATCCAAACCCTGCACCCTACATGCACAGCATTCCAATTGTATTATTAATTGAAAACCTTGTATTGATCTGCAGTGTAATGTTGAAGTTCCGTAACTATAGTCATACATGTAGAAAAATATTATTACAGCTTTCAAAATCCTCCTATGCAAATATACGTTCTGTGCCAAGTTGTCCTTGCAGTCAAAATCAATCAAGAGACTGTTTTCAACGGTTAAGAGCTCCCAGCCTACATAGCAGGATTGACTGGCTGTGACTGTTTATGTAAACTTGATACAGCTTTGCTTTGACTGTGGGCGATTGATAAGCCAGCTGTGCCTACCACTTGCCTGCTTTTGTCCGTTGACTGAATTTGACTAGTCAGGGTGCTTGCTAAATGATCTGACTGTTGGTGACTAGCCTGTGTAAAAGGCAATGGCAGGGGAAGAGGATTGATATTTTGACTGTCTGTGACTGTTCAGATAGCAGGAGGGTTAAAATTGGAAAATCATTAGAAGAAAAAAAATCCATTTTTGAAGACCACAGTGTGTGCATCTTTACCGTCCAAAATCCTCAAATTCTTCAAAATCCTCTTTGCAAAACGGAGGATTTTGCAGGATTGAGGCTATACTTGAAATCCTCCGCACTGCTCCAGGATGTCACTGGCTCGGCCTCAACATATTGACAGTGATTGCTGGAGGATTGCGGCAGTGGTCACCCCTCCAAGGACCACATTCGAGAAATAAGGGGAGGATTGTGGAGGATTGAGGCTGTATGCTGCATGATGGAAGTTGCATCCTAGCAAAAATGCCTAGGGAGTTAGAGTGAATGTACATTATACAGTTTAATATGCATCCAATACAGTATGCACGTAAAAAGAAGAGATAATTTCTTGCGTTATTCCCAACTTGACCCGGACTATTGAAGAAATACATTTGCAAACTGAACCAGCAACTGTGTACAGTCATTGTCAGTCATGACAGAAATCTGTCATTTAGGACTGCTGTACAAAATACCAATAGATCACATCAATGCAATGTTACTGCATCCAGTTATGTAGTAATTTATTAGTCATTACTCATTTCTGACCCACGTACACCGTGCATTCATTATAGCATGTAGTTCCATCCATTATTGTCGGCATGCTTTTATCATAGACCTATGATTATCATATCATAAATATCATAATGACTTCCTAGAAAACAGTTAAAAAGGAAAACTGATGTAAGTCATTGAATTATAAAAGATGGATGTCTGCTTTGTCTGGAGACTAGACATTGAGTCACCCCATAACAGGACATTTATAATAAATTAAATGTAGTGGTTTTAGAGTTGATAATTGGTGTTTTTCTTTCAAAAAATAATCCAAACAACCAATATGCATTAAATTAACCCTTACTCTCTGAGGGTAGTTTACTGCATGTCAGTTGGTTATGCCAATGCCCTCCAGCTGCAGTTTATCGGCAGATAAACTATCTTGGCAGTGAAGGCTCCAATTGGCAGGAGTTGGAGGCCCTGGAGGGTGCCTGATACTGACCAGCTGGGGGCACTCACTTTGTTATCAGAGGACTCTCATTGTTCTCTGTGGCATGTATTGGAGTGCCTGTCCAGTTACCCTTGAAATGACATGGCAGATATTGGAGGGCCATGCAAAAAACATAGGAGATTTTCTTGAGGCACATGTTGGCATGCGTTGGAGGGTCAAGTAGGGTAAGGGTTAAAGGGCCCATGCAATTTAATTGTTTTAATGCCACCCTTGGAAAATGCACCTTTTTTGTCCCATTTTTAATTTTCATTTTGCCATTTCGAAGGTATTTTGGTGCCTTTTTGGTTTTTATGCCAATGCAAATTGACATATTTATGAGCAAAACTGTCATTCAGGGCAAGAAACCTCAATGTTACAGCTATTTCAGCACAAAAAGTTACAAGAATTGTGGCTATATTTCGCTGTCATCAATTTCCTTTTCTTGGGCAATTCACTGTTGTGTAAGTACATGGTAGTAAGCCAATGAGCAACCCTTTCTTACAAATATTTTCAATGAGTAATTTTTTGGGTTCACTATTTGAACAGAAAACCCCTTTAAGCTGAACAGTGTCTTTCTGAAACGACATCACAGCCCTCAGTTGTCCGGAAAAGCATGGACAATTTTAAATGTTAAAAGAAGTGCACTTTTCAATAAAATTAACCAAAAAGGGATGTCAAACACATTTCATACATTGATGAGGAGTAGAAAGTTGCACAAAACGTATTTCTAAGAAAAATTCATCGCTTGGGCCCTTAGGATGCCATACATTTCTGAGAATTATTTTCATTTATCTTTACCTCGACTCAATTGACTCAAAACAGTCTGTAAAATGTGGTATATTATCATGTTGTAATTCAAACCTACATACTAAAAAACAGTAACGACAATTTAACGCATTCATTAAACAATTTAAATTAATGAAAACTCCCTCAGGCATTTTTGCTAGGATGTAACCTCAATCCTGCAAATCCTCCAACTGCCTCCATGTAAAAAAAAATGTACATTTTAGCTTCAATCCTGCAAAATCCTCCGTTATTTCTTGAATGTGGTCCTTGGAGGGGTGACCACTGCCTCAATCCTGCAAAGTTCTCCGACAATCACTGTCAATATGTTGAGGCCCAGCCAGTGACATCCTGGAGCAGTGTGGAGGATTTCAAGTATAAAGTAGGCCTAAATTTATGCACGGCTGAGCATAAACAAGGTCCGGCCCAAGACCTTGACACAGTACATCCTCCGAAATCAGCAATGCACTTTTGCCATGTAATCTGAATCCTGCAAAAGCCTTCATTTTGCCAAGAGGATTTTGGAGGATTTGGGAAGGTTGGGGTTAATTTATGAACTCTAAATAGTCTGTAAAAATGTGGTTTATTATCATTTTGTAACTCAAACCTACCAGTACATACTAATAAACTCTAACGACAATTAAAGGGAATATACAACATTTGCAAACATCGAAAAATAAAACTACCAAGTTTTTACGAAATAACTTACTAGGATGTTGGTAAATGACAGTCTAAAGCATCCTGTAAAATTATGGCACCTGGTGTGAAGTCATTTTTAAGAAAATTGTATTTTTGTATACATTTTCCAACGGTGGTCGGCCGACCACCGTTGGAAAAACCTAACTATTTTTCAACTACTGCTCCAAATTTACCTTTTTTTTCCAGTCCAAATTTTGTTTGCTATTGGTTACATGTTCATAAACGGGTGCAGGCCAGCTAGACTGGTTCCCTTACCTTACAATTTTCTGGCATCTATAAATTGATCCATTTTATGTTTAATGGAGTCAGGGAACCAGACTACTTGAAAATGTTTGTTTTTCTTGGTTTTTCCAGCATTTTCAAACACAACATTTCAAACATGTTCAGTGTAACAATATTTGATCTATTATACTAACCCCTCAAATAGTTCATTTCTGAAAATTATAGCAAAAGCCAATGATGTATATTCACTTTAACCTATCCCGCACGAGTAAATTTCCTTGTCAGAGCACACTACAAAATGCCCATCCCATATCCAGTTGATCCCTAGCGTGCCCCGGTAATTATTACTTATACATCACCATCGACGATGAGTGACTCGGTGCGGGACGGACTGTGCATGATGAAGCGATACATCAGATGGCACAGCGTGCGTGCGTTGTGTGTGTGTCATGGATTGACGTAGCGTGATTCTTACGTGCATGACTCACTCCTCTGTTATTTCTCGTCATGACCCGATAGCTACATGTAGTTCACACATGGCAATCCGCGGTGTATCATTCAATTTGTGGATGACTTACATGCTCATGGATTCAGTTGTACTGCTGATTTTCTCACACGTTCATGTTCATGTATCACTTCAGTCTCGCTCGCCCGTGGACAATGAATAATTATTTGAGTGGATTTATTTTTCCCGGCAGAGTGAATTCCCACGGTGCATGTACATGCTGTAATGTATTAGCCATGGGTGTGTGGCCTTTTTTTGAGAGGTGGGATTTGTTGGACATTCAGTTTGAATTTCACTATTCTGTTTCGATTTTAGACACGAGATATTCGAATCCGTCCTTGAAACAAAATGATTAAATTAATTAACCCTTACCCTACTAGACCCTCCAATGCATGCCAATATGTGCCTCAAGAAAATCTCCTATGTTTTTTGCATGGCCCTCCAATATCTGCCATGTCATTTCAAGGGTAACTGGACAGGCACTCCAATACATGCCACAGAGAACAATGAGAGTCCTCTGATAACAAAGTGAGTGCCCCCAGCTGGTCAGTATCAGGCACCCTCCAGGGCCTCCAACTCCTGCCAATTGGAGCCTTCACTGTTAAGACAAACTATCTGCCAATAAACTGCAGCTGGAGGGCATTGGCATAACCAACTGACATGCAGTAAACTACCCTCAGAGAGTAAGGGTTAAGCCTTCCATTTTTTTTGTGTGACACAAGCTTAACCCTAACCACCCCAACTCCATCAAAATCCATCCCCTATTTTGGTGGATTTGGGGGGACTTGGTCCAGAAGGCCTGGCGTGACTAAATATTGATGGAGTGTGATGGACTTGGGCCTAATGGCCTGAAGCAGTGCTAGGGGTGTCCGATTGATTTTGCCTAGCTTCCTGTACTGCTGTTGTGATAAAAGCCATGTGTAGCAAGTCCATGAATGTCAACCAGTGCGTCAGTGGTGGATTGTTTACATTATGTAAATTTGATGACTCTTTATTCTTAACCCTTACTACCTAGGCATTTTTGCTAGGATGCAGCCTCAATCCTGCAAAATCCTCCAACTGCCTCCATGTAAAAAATTGCACACAGCCTCAATCCTGCAAAATCCTCTGTTATTTCTAGTATTATGTGGTCCTTGGAGGGGTGTCCACTGCCTCTTGCAAAATTGTTCAGCAATGACTGTCAATAAGTCGAGGCAGAGCCAGTGACATCCTGGAGCAATGTGGAGGATTTCAAGTATAATCTAGGCCTAAATGTATGAACAGCTGAGCATAAACAACACAACCTACACGTAAGACCTTGACACAGTGCATCCTCTGAAATCAGCCACGCACTTTTGCCATATAGCATCAATCCTGCAAAATCCTCAATTTGCAAAGAGGATTTGGGAGGATTTGGGAAGGTTAGGGTTAAAAATGTGTGATTGTCCATTGATTGGCCATGATTGATCCAACAGAGATGTGGCCATAGAGCAAAATTAATCTTAAAAAGCTGATCTGTAGTTGAAACAAAAAGATTTCTGGAATTAATTTTTTTTTTGCAAGTTCATGATCCTGAAATCTACTAAAGCTATTTATAAATATTACTCTTGTTATATTTATGTTTTTTAGAACATGCATATTTTGCTAAATATGTGTTATGCGATCAAGCTAAATGAGTGGTTTGTCAGGAATTTCCATTAGGAGATACAGGCCAAAATAGGCCCACTTCATCACATCTCTTGGTGTTCCGACTTCCATAATTTTTGAACTAAAGATGGTATCATTATGCGGTTTTTACTAATACTGAGATTGTTCTCTTTTTAAATCTGTTTTAAAAAATGCCCAGGGTCGACATACGACTCATTTTGCTTGATCGCATCACGTATTGGTTTGGTTTTTATGGCATTTTTTTTCACAAGGAAATAATGAACTTCAAAAATTGTACCATGCATATCAGGTGACGACACAGGGACTTCCGAAAATTGTGGACATCATCGACACAACAGGAAGTGGTGACGTCAACACGTCGACGGTCGTTGAGGCAAAGGATGGAGAAATCACTGGGCTTACTGGGAGAAAACTCAAGGTAACCAAAAACATCACTACATCACCAAAAACATTACTACAATATCTTCTTTCGTATGATGCTGTTTAGAACTCTTCATCTGTCAACCAATCGGATGGTCTTACCATGGAGGTGAGGGTGAGGGTCCGTGCGGTGGGCAGTACCAGTTATAGTCTGGTTCCCAGACCAAAAGATCACGACTATAATTTCTGACAAATCTGAGGTTAGACAACCGCCACGGCTAAAAAAAAATGATGCCCCTGTCTCAAAGCTCGGTCGAGAGATGGTCAAAATAACCCGGCCCTTTAAGGGTTAACCCTAACCCCCTAGGCCCTTGTTGCTTACAACCATCCTCAATCTTCCAAAATCCTCCAAAATTTTTCAACTCCGCCTAAATTTTTCAAAATTGTCAGACAGTCCTGCCTCAAAATGCATTCATCCTCAATCCTCCAAAATCCTCCTCATCCCAAAACTTTGCACTCGTGTTTAAATGAAGGATAACCAACGCCAAATCCTTCAAAATCATCAGACAGTCCTGCCTCAAAATGCATTCATCCTCAATCCTCCAAAATCCTCTTGTGCTTCATTCACCATTCATCCTCAATCCTCCAAAATCCTCATGTGCTTCAATCACCATTCATCCTCAATCCTCCAGAATCCTCATTTGATTCAATCACCATTCATCCTCAATCCTCTAGAATCCTCCAAAACCGCCAGGAGGATTTTGGAGGAGTGAGGTGGGTTAGGGTCAAGCCAAGTAAGCTTTTCAACAATAATTTGGTCAGTTACTTTATGGATAGATGCAAGTGATCTACTCGACCTTTAAAATGACGAGTTTTTGCCTGTCTTCATTTAGATCCCACCAAGTTGGCAGAATCCTACCAATCAGTATCACATCGGCGTCAAGAATGCGTACGAGCTCTACCCCAAGCAGCTGAAAGAAAGAATTCAGGTAAGTTCATAAATACAGCGTGTCAATAAAAAATGTAGCAGTCAATCCATAAATATTAAAAAATACTAGCACTCTCTTTTTGCAAAACTTATCTCTAGAGTCTGAATGTGTAGTGAATACTCTTCACAGTGGTCTACATCCCATCTCATTTGGACAGCCCAGTCCAGAGATACAGCTGATTAAACGAAAGGACTTGAATTCCAAGTTGGGCCACTTTTCAGGTTATCTGGTATCTAGTGAAAGGTATTCACATACCAAGAAGGTGTTGAGAACAATTAAATAAAATGGCAGCCCAAACAGATTTTGACAGTCTTTTCAAGCTTTGCCCTAACTTTGAAACAAAAGGTCCAAATCGCACAGAACAAAAATCACTGTATCATCTCATTGTAATTTTTTTACAAAAAAACCCAAACAATTTGGTTTCCTCAGAAGAAATATTGTTTGACTGCTACATTTTGTTTTTAGACATGCTGTGCATTTTGTAAGGTGAGCATACTAATGAGAGAACAAGTTCAAGTAAATTGATACATGCATACTGTACAATGTAGGAGAACATAAGAGTTTTCCCCGAAGCGAGAAAAATAAAATGAATTCAAGTAAGTCGATGTATACATACAAATGAAAGCATTACTCACATTGTCTAAACAAACGGACCACAGGAATTAATGTGTGCTACGTCGTCAGCCAATAAACAGTCCTTGGGTCATATTGGCATTATCTATTAAAATAAATAATTCTCTAAAATTAGATGCAGCCGAGAGATAAATGTATGTATTATCAGTTGAGTGAACAAAATGTCATTGGCAAACAAAAAGAAGCTTGTGTTATCGTGTCGGGGTTGAAACATGGTAATGTACTTTTTGAAAAATAACTACAGTTGTTTGCAAATTAACAACAAGAACATTTTAAGGAAAGTTCATCTGTGATGGGAAATCGACCTTTACCTTCCCCAAACAGCAGAATTCAGAAGTTCATTTTGCTTGCTGATGTTAGATTCAGGACCACAGAGATGATATTTTTCCAAATTTTATCGGAAATTCAACTTTTTTCAAATTTGTTTCCAAAATTCTGATTTTTCCGACAATATTTTCTCCGCAAAATCGTAAATGAGTTTGATGAAAACGGCATCGCGACATCTGTATTGCAAGTGGAATCTGACATGTAATCTGTTTTTTTACCAGCTGTCAGTGCACAGTGAATTTTGACTGTCTGTTACTATACAACATTTGCAAACATCAAAAAACAAAAGTACCAAATTTTTATGAAATGCCTAACTGGACTGTTAGTGAATGACAGTGTAAAGCATTCTGTAAACTCATGCCATCTGGTGTGCTGGCATTTTCAAGAAAAGCGGTATTTTTGTATATACACATGTGTATTTCCAACACTGGTTGGCTGACCAGCGTTGGAAAAAAAACCTTTTTGTCTTCAAATACTTTCCCCAGTTTTCCATATTTAGTTAGTCCGCATTTTGTTTGCAATCGATCACACACCTATGAATGGGAACAAGCCTTCTAGAGTGGTTCCCTGATCTTACAATTCCCCGACGTGTATGAATTGCTCCGTTTCATCTTAGGCGGGGTCAGGGAACCAGACTACAGGAGGGTTAATATGTTTGTGTTTTTATTGCAGTAAACCAGTAATTGTTGTAATGCTATCTGATAACAGAGATTTGTTTTTGGTTCCATTCTTTGTAACAGAAAGAGAGGAGGGAGAAGCTGTGGGATCCGCTGCACAGAGTGGCACTGGCTGAAACCATCAGAAAGTTGGATGCATATGACAGTGCGCACCCACACCCTAATAAACAGGTATGGTTTCATGCCCATCGATAGTGCAGCCCTCTGGGTGCACACATGTAAATAGGCCTAAACCCATCCGCCGAGCTCCTGAATAAAAGTTACACCCTCAAAATATTCTGTATTAGAGAGTTCTGAGAGCCATATCATTGGGGAATTGAAGAGATATGGCAATGAACCTCTGGCCCAGACGACAGCGGTTCATTGTTCACATCTTTTTAGCAGGTTAAAGGGAATAAACATCATTTGCTTTTGCTGTAATTTTCAGAAATGGATGGAATTGGGGGGTTGGAAATATATAGCAAATATAGTTACACTGACGTTTTTGAGGTTTTGGGTTCGAAAATGCTATAAAAACCAAGAACAACAATCATTTTCCTGTAGTCTGGTTCCCTGACTCCATATAAGAAGAAACAGAGCAGTTTACATACATTGGGGAATTGTAAGGTCAGGGAACCAGTCTAGCTGGCTTGTACCCGTACATAGGGGTGTAATCGATTGCAAACAAGTGCGATGGTCAATTGGGGCCAGTATTTGAAAAAAAAAGCCAGTTTTTTCCAACGCTGGTCGGCCGACCAGCGTTGGAAATTGATACAAAAATACCACTTTTCTTGAAAATGACAGTATACCAGGTGCCATGATTTTACGGGATGCTTTACACTGTCATTCACTAACAGTCCAGCAAGGTATTTCAAAATGATTAGGTAGTTTTATTTTTTGATGTTTGCAAATGTTGTATTTTCCCTTTAAAACCCTGTATAGTTATACATATTTACTGCAAAACTCTCCAGCACTCCACATGTAAATTTACTGGCGCGCTCTTCCCTCAACTTTTTACCGACGCAGTATGCCGTTAGTTGCAGCTGGTAATTTTGAATGTTCGTTCACACATAGTTTTGAATAATGGAATACTAAATTATTCGAGAACGGTCAGCCTTAGATCCTGGTTTAGATATATTAGTTATATGCTCGGGAAGAAATTGTAAAAACTAGATATTGACTGAGAAGGCATTTGGTGCTGGGTTGAAGAACTCTTTAATTGGTGATAGTTTTGATTCTTGAATAACTCGGATTGTTTGTCCGTAATAGGAGGAGAAACTAGCTCGTGAAGATTTAGTCGCACAGATTGACGTACTTACCACAGCTGATAAAAAGTTTAACGACCCCGGTCCCGTTTACGATTGCGTTGTCTTCCATGATGGAGAAACATGGAGGTAAGTCAACGCTGATCATTTCAATGAAACACCTGTAAAAATCAAGTTGGCTCTGTTTTGTCAAAACATGCCATGAAGAGCCAACGTAATTTAACCTTCGATTAAATATTCAAGTAGAACCTTATACAGGGTGAGTCAAAAAGAAAGTGATCTGGATTAATCATTTTTTCCCCCCGTAAAGCCATCAAATTCGACACACCAACGAAGTATGCCTTAAAAAAGAGCATGTTCTTCCACTCATCTGCAAAAAAGGATTACTGAAATTGCTCCATGCTATCAGAAGTTGTGCGAGTTTTACTAAAAGAAACTATTTTTATAGCTGTCCATGGAATGAAATTGGAAGCTATTGAGCCGGGTGAGAATTACAGATTACGCACACGCATTCAAATATAAAATGGGAGTTTAATCATTTGAGTCAAGACTGAAACATTATTTTTACTGTCAGATTTTGTGTTTTGAATATGAGGAACAAATCAACTATTTTTTTCCTGAAATATTGATGGCCATTTTTGTCTGTTTTCCTTTGCAAGTTTTCGTTTATTCATGGAGGTGGGAAAACATTCATGTTTCATTGTATTTAATGGGTATTCATCAGTTCGTAGAACGGTAAATGATCAGTGGTGGACAGCTGAATTTTGTGATATCTTTTTATTAAAATATACATGACTTGGGAAAAGAGTATGCAAATTACATGAAATTTTCTCAGTTAGTAGTCAACAACATGTATTTTATCCCAATGTTATTTTTTCTCAATTAGGCGAGCCACATATTTTAAAAATATTTTTACCTAATTTGGTCATTTTCTTTTTGACTCGCCCCGTACATTACGATTGTTAGTCCGATCACAAAACTTGTCAAAGAACAAGCTGACGCAACATTGTCAGACAACCAGCAAAATCACAGACTTGTTGGGAAAAAAAATAAATAGATTCTATTTTGATACCACAATGAATTGAATTTCTGCATTTCTTTGTCGACAGAGCCGTAGTTGATACGTCCGAGACAGGCGATCTCGCTTCATGTGTGGTGCTAACAAGCTTCCAAGAATCTCATCAATATGCTGCATTTACATTAGCAGGTGGGTGTAAGGCCTGGCCATACATCCAGACCCTTCACTCACAGCTTATTTTAGAATTATTAATAGGCACTTGGCAGGGATTGTGCACAGAAGACCTCGAACATGAGGAAGGCAATTACAGTTTTAGAAGCAGGTGGAAAACCCAAGAATTACATTTCAAGGAAATCCATTGAAAGAAGTACACTGCTAAAAATGATTTTCTTACATTTCTTTAATAGTTGAAGAAAATAATTCTTGTTTCCAGGAATGTTTTCTTGTCTCATTCCCTAGAAAATATTTCTAGGGAGTGAGACAAGAAAATGTTTCTTGAAATGATATTTTCTAGTTTTAAGAATACCATTTTTAGCAGTGTACAGACTTAAAGGTAGGGTAGATCTTTTATTATTTGTACATTTTTGTTTGTGTGAAGCAACAAAAGTGCTCAAAATCTATAGAAGGGGGTGCTTTACAACAAACCTGATAAAGTTTTAGCTCAGTGAATTTTGTATATTCCGAGAAAACAATATTCTAGGATCTCGATTTCAATTCCAAAGTGGCCACGTCATGTTTTGAATTGCGCCCGAAATCAGCATCCGGGACACGTTCTCACTCAGTCGATGACAGATACCTGATACCATGTACCGACGAATAATAACAACTGCAGGTGCATCATGTCAACACTTGCACGCACCTTTTCACAGATTCATGGAATTACAAACCAACTAGTAATTTCCAAAAATTTGCCACTTGACTAATCCTTGGAAATGGCCTTCTTTTATTGTTTTCTTCAGAATGACGGCTTGCCAGAAAGAATAATTTCACAGAGAGTTTAGTGCCGTTACTATCTTTAAACCAAGTATGCTTTTCATCAATAATTTTGTCAATTACTTTTTGGATGGCTGCAAGTTATGCACTCTACCTCTAAAACCCAATTCACTTGTTGGCCCTGGCAGGATCTGAACCCAGGTCACAGCGGCAGGAAGTACCACTACTCCAACCTGACCCGGTGACAACCCCCCCCCCCCCTCATTAATATGATGGAGCTTTCATGTAAAATTCCACCAAATTCTGCACACAACTGTCATTTTTTGTTTCAATTTTTATTTTCTTTCTAGATATGCTGAATTACTCTATCAATATCTACGACGACGGCAATGTTCTTAGCATAGTAACCAACGCTGGATCCCACGGCACTCACGTCGCGTGCATAGCAGCCGCTCACTTTCCCGATGAACCAGAGAAGAACGGAATCGCTCCCGGTGCTCAGATATTAGTCGTAAAGATTGGCGATTCTAGACTTGGGTCCATGGAGACGGGAAGCTCGCTAGTTAGAGCTGTAAGCTGTCCGTTTATTTCTTTTTCTTATTGAAGAGACAAGACTAGATTGGTTTATAACACCTCACCCACAGATTCTGTGTCTTGATTGGCCGAGAGCGAGTCACATGTTACTTTCTAATTTTGCTATCTTTCTGTGCACGGCCAAAAGTACTATACCCGTAGCAACCAAAGTACTATACCATTAGCAACCAAAGTACTATTTCCACGGTGCGGTATTTGTGTGCAAATGGATGCAGGTGTGCGCGTTGTGCGTAGCGCGTATTGTTCCAAAGAGAGCGCACCGCAGACTTGGGTTCAAACATTTCGTGAAGGGGTAGTTTGGAAGAGAGAAATACATTTTCCACCAATTTTGTATTGAAATTGAAGTTTATTTCATCTGTGTTCAGATTTAAATAATTAAAAAATATTAAAACCAAGCAGAATCTGTGGGTGAAGTGTTATAAAACAAATATTGAATGCTTTATCTCGTGGTGAAGTAAAACTAGCCTCCCTCGGTAATCCATGGAGCATTCTATTTTCCCGAGGCGAAGTCCATGGATCATCTCGGGAGGCTAGTTTTACTACACCACTCGAAGCATTCAATATTTGTATACTAGTCAAGCTGGATCTATAAGCCTCAGTTTATGACACTGTTTATATTCAGTGACTCAATCAGTCAGTCAGAAATCAGTCATTGGAAGCTAGGCTTGCCCTATCGATTCAGCAAAAATATCTGTGTAATGGTAATAGACAACGTTTACTTTTGCTGTATTTTTCAAAAATGGATGGATTTTGGAGTTACTTTATAATTACTTTATGGGAAATATTGTAACACTGACCTGTTCAAAGTTTGTGTTCATAGATGCTGGAAAAAAAACAAGATAAAAAGGCTGTTCTTGTAGTCTGGTTCCCTGACCCTACTTCAGATGAAATAGAGCAATTTATAGGCGTTGGTGAATTGTCAGGTCAGGGAACCAGACTAGTTGGCTTGCACCTGTGGACTCACTAAATCTGGTAAAGTGGGGGCTGTATTTGCAAAAAGTCAGGTTTTTTTCCCGATGGTCGGCCGACTATCGTTGGGAATTGATACAAAAATTCCCACTTTTCTTGAAAATGACAGCACACCAGGTGCCACGATTTCACAGGATGCTTGAGACTATTATTCACTTACAGTCAAGTAAGGTATTTCATAATAATTTGGTAGTTTTGTGTCTGGATGTTTGCAGATTTTGTGTATTACCTTTGAATTTGGTATTGAATTTGTACAAGTACTAGTATCTGAGTTTTCAATGTGTTGTTTTTGCTTTTTCTTCATCATAATTAGATGATAGCTGTGATGGAACACAAAGCCGACTTGGTGAATTTCAGCTACGGTGAGGCAGCACATTGGCCTAACGGAGGGTGAGTAGTGTAGTCAACAGATAATACTTACATCTTGACAAGTTCAGCTTCTGGGCAATTCCACGGTTACTCACGTTACATTTTTGATGTACTTTTTGAGTTTCTTTGGGCTGTAATTGCCTTACTGAAAAGGTTTAATAACTGTTATCCCCATGATAGACAGAGTAGACCTAGACCTACCTAAGCACCAAAGATGACATCCAGAAAAATGTGTTATGTGTGATAAACAAGACGCACAAAATCGGTTACTCACGTTACGAAAATGTAACGTGAGTAACCAATTTTGTGCGTCTTGTTTATCATACGTAACAGTGATAACACATTTTTCTGGATGTCATCTTTGGTGCTCAGGTAGGTCTAGGTCTACTCTATCTACCATGGGGATAACAGTTATTAAGCCTTTTCAGTAAGGTAATTACAGCCCAAGGAAACTCAAAAGTACATCAAAAATGTAACGTGAGTAACCGTGGAATTGCCCTTATGCAAGTGTACAACTCTAACCATCGCCTTCCAGACACAATACTCAACAATGTTCTTCAGAATCAGATCCTTTGTGTCTTTTCCCTGTATCAAATTTCTTGGTTTGAAAAGGAAACGTTTGTGAAATTTATCAACATCATGATTTGCCAGATCATGCTTCTTGTAGTATTATTCTTGATGACCCGCTTGATTAGACTCCTAATAATTCAGGTTTTTTTTGTTTCAGCCGTGTCTGTAACGTCATCACCGAAGCTGTGCATGACCACGGTGTTATCTTTGTTTCATCCGCTGGTAACAACGGCCCGGCGTTATCGACAGTAGGCTGCCCGGGCGGAACAACATCCAGCGTTATAGGTCGGTAGTTTTGGATTATATGTGAGGTGTTCGGGCAAAATGAGACAGAACTGGGCAGTGGGCACACGAAGTAGTGGAGGAAAATGCACAAAATAAAATTTTAAAAAAACGATTTTTTTTTTTTTTTTTTTTTTTTTTTTTTTTTTTAGATTTATTGATATTTATAATCTTTGATATGTGTACTGCACGTATTTTAAAGGGAATGTTCAACATTTGCTTTTGCTGCAATTTTCAGAAATAAATGGATTTGGAGGATTAGTATGTTATAGCAAATGTTGTTGAAATGACTTGTTTCACGTTTTGGGCTTGTAGATGCTGGAAAAACCAAGAAAACCAATCATGTTCTTGTAGTCTGGTTCCCCGACCCCACTTAAGATGAAACGGAGCAATTTGTAGACTTTGGGGAATTGTAAGGTCGGAGAATCAGTCTAGCAGGCTTGTACCCCTTCATAGGTGTGTAATCAATTGCAAAGAAAATGCGCAATAACTTATTATGAAAAATTAGGAGCAGTTTTTGAAAAAAAAGCCAGTAATCTCCAACGCTGGTCGGCCGACCTGCGTTAAAAACAATACCATTTTTCCTTGAAAATGACAGCACACCAGGTGCCATGATTTTACAGGATGCTTTAGACTGTCATTCCCTAACAATCTAGTAAGGTATTTTGTAATAATTTGATCATTTCGTTTTGTGATGTTTGCAAATGTTGTATCTTCCCTTTAAAGAAGTAGTATCTACATTGTAACTCATGGAAAAAAATTGTTTGTAAGGATAAACAATTGGCATCTTTCATTTTCACAAATACAAAACCTGAAGCTTTAAAGACCTTTTTCCCAGTATTTTACTTTTTTTAACATGTCAATAAATGCAAACTTTAAAACAGCCATAACTTGTCAACGGAATGTCCGAATGAAGTGCAACAAACAGTATTGTAAGGAGAATGTTATTCTCTTTCATAATATCCACAAACTTTCATTTCGACCTCTGCCCAGTTCCGTCACATTTTACCAAAACGCCTCACACATTTCTTGTGCTAAAATGACAAAATCCTAAAAAGAAAAGTGTGGAGAAAAAAAAGCTGAAGTTTTTGAGTTAAGGGAGAAAAACAAATATGGTAAGAATTCTGGGGAAATCCAACGAATCTGGCAAAGATGGAAGTCCCACTTTGGCGGGATTAGAACCTGCTTCATTTCAACTTATCCCGTGTTTCCCACTTAATTGATTGATGACAGGTGTTGGTGCGTACGTCTCCCCAGAGATGATGGCTGCAGAGTATTCACTAAGAGAGCGATTACCGGGCATGGCTTATACGTGGTCTTCCAGAGGTCCAAGGTCAGGAGACGCTTTATGTTTCATTCAAAATGTCAAATATTGTTTTTCAAATGAACCACAAAGGGAAACTGACATTATAACAATATTTGAAAAGTTGAACAAAGAAATTGACTGGAGCGGGGTTTGAACCTGCGACCTCCGGATAACCGTTCCGGTGCTCTTACCAACTGAGCTATCCAGCCCTATCCGCTCCGTTCACGAGTACCCCCTCACCGGCAAAGAAGGTAACAGTTGGGGGTGACCGACCGATGCTATCTTGCCTGACTGCAATTCATTTGCTGCGAAGCGCGGCCACTGCGTGTACATAGTACACATCCCCTGGTGTGCGTCACACACAAGGAACATTGCGCGTCCACCAGCGAAATATCCCGCCCCTTGGGACGTTGTTGCTAGGTAAAAGGGCGCCCTCTTTTGTCTGCGCACGGAACCCATGTTGGCGGTTCCCAAATTTGTCAATATCTTTGTTCAAGGAGCACTAATCGGTTCAACTTTTAAATAAATATTACATAGTCAATTTCTAGAACTTTAAAGCCATTTCTTTTACACGTTTACTGGGATTTCAAGCGTTTTCGACGCGTTTATTGTGTTTATTCAGTGTGGACGGTGATCTGGGTGTCAGTATTACAGCTCCAGGGGGCGCCATCACATCAGTACCAAACTGGACCTTACGAGGTTCACAGCTTATGAATGGAACGTCCATGTCCTCTCCGAATGCCTGTGGAGGGATCGGTAAGTTGAACCCAAACGCCGTCTCGTTGATAATCTAGACTATGGATGAGATCATACATTTTCTAGTATTTCCTATTTTTAAGTGCTAAATTTTAAAAACATCAGTTTTGCCCCAAGGGTAATTGTGACCTGTTCTGTCAAAAGCAGACGCTTCTGGGCAGAGGTTGAAATTGAGATAGGGCCAAAAAACGCTGTGGTGTTGATTTTTTTCCATTTTCTAATTTTTGCATATTTGTAATCCTGAGCATGTCTAAAATATACTATAAAAGTTTGAAACCCTAATTTGATCTCTAATTATAGTATTTTTGATGATTTGTTAAGGTATATCAGTTAAAGAAATTACTGTTTTGTGACGTTCGTGGCCATTTTCTCTGTTTTCTACTTTTCGACACAATGAACTTCAAAATAGCATAACTCTGCCCAGGAATGACCGGTATCAAAAATTAAACCACCTATTAAAAGGAAACAGAACATCTTTTAACAATATGAAAAAAATCTCATTTTTGACCTTATGCCCAGAAAAGTCTGATTTTGACAGATTGAGCTTCTTGTCTGCGTCGAGAAAACCACAGTGTCATTGATTTTCTGTGAAATGGATACACTACTCGAAGTTTTGTAGTCAGCTACAGATGCCTTTGTCATATGCCCATCCCTTGTGTCTGAGATGTACTTTGATACCTTAGTGTTTCATATATTCCTGTTAATACCCTGCCAGACGCAACACAGTGCATCAGGTGGAAAAGTCTGGTGCACTTTGATGCATTCAGCTACCAACACCAGTGCATTAACGGCCACTTCTGAGACAAAGAGAGCTAGTCCCATTGAACAATGCCACAGTTGTATCCTGCTGCATTCGGTGACCACAGACTCTGAGGCAGTGTGGCCTTGAGACTTTTCCCCTGATGGATCTTGTTACACTGAGCAGGCTTGTCACTTAGTCAGGTGTTGCATGTTGCTATGTTTGGCAGGGTTCTCGCAAACATACCCTGGAGGGTAAGGGTTAAGGCCAAACAAAAAAAAGTCTCCGGTTTCTGGTATGGAGCTTGCCCAAAAAGTGGTGCGGCGACGTGGCTTTTTTTTTTTTTTTTTACCTCATTTTTTTTATTCAAATGTCGGCTGATGACTGCAAATAGTGCCCGACTAAACTTAGTGCAAATATATGGGAGTCCAGAGAGGCCACATAAAGGTTATTCTCGACCATAACCCAATCTAAAAACACGTTAAAATTGTGCAGCAGCAGGATTCCAGTCAAACCAGTGAGTTTGGCGGTTTTGAGACATCATCTTTCATTGAAAAAAAAAACTTTTTCATTTTGCCGACGCGCATGGCTACGGCGACGCGCATGCATACCAGAAACCGGAGACTTTTTTTTTTTGGCCTAAGGAGACATTTTTTTGTTGTCATGAGTTATACCTTAGGGAGACACCGGACATTAGGGAGACATTTCAATGTCTCCCTAATGTCACAACTCCTATTGAGAGGCAACATTTTAATGTCGCAAATAGGCTAGATCGATTGCTCGTGGTCCCAAACACAAATCTAGCAAAATTTGTGGGGGTAGGATAAGTGAAAATTGGGGTAAAGGGTCGTTGAAGTTGGACAAAATTGTGTACACAACCATATGGGAATGTCGCCCAAAGGTACCATTTTTTTGGTAATTATTATCTATATCATCATCTCTCTGACATTCGTGTTTTTGTTCTGCTTCATCCACCCCAGCGTTAATCCTGTCAGGTCTGAAGACAGAGAATATATCCTACACTCCTCACAGCATCCGTCGAGCCTTGGAGAACACCGCCCTCAGTGTGGATAGAGTGGAGATATTTGCGCAGGGTTATGGTCTCATACAGGTAAGTCTTGAGATTTGTCTTGAGGTGGTGCCCCTCTCCTGCTAAGGTGGTACAAGATTACTTAGTGCTCCTTCTATTAATGAGGTTTTCAACTTATTCGTGCACCTTCAATTAAGAATGCATGTGACGTGCGCATGAGTAATGCCGCCTTCAGGTTGACCGTTGCGACGACACAGAATATTCGGGGACTAACTTTTCAGGATCAGCTGCGCCTGAGCTACGATCGGGAACAAATTAGTCTCAGATTTTTTGCGATCTGAGTGTAACTGGTACGATATTAAGACGATCGGCATGCCCGTGTTTACGGTGTAAATTGAGGACACACACGTGCAACTCCATCGATAAATCGAGGACAGAAACTGAAACGAGGACTCCTCGGTTGGAAAACGTGTACAAAACCAATGAGAGCTGTTGCGAACAGTTTAAGTACAAACAAAGGAAAAGGGAAGAGGAACAAAAAAAAATCCTCAATTTACACCATAACCGATAACAAACGTGCTGCGTTGTGTGTGTGTTTCATTTCACTGTAAAGGCCGATGTGAAAAAAATCCTTTCCAATATGGATATTTACAAGGTCTCTGGAGAGATACTAATGACTCTATTAACATATGTTAGTCCGATGTTTCACCGAAAACTCTCCATTCAACCCAAACTCCCCATTCAACTGAGAACTAAACAATCAAGGCCGTCACTGAAAATTGTCCTTATTGACTACGTGTAAATGTACATGTTTACAAACTGCCTGGATGCCAGGGGGATCGTGCAAGTTTTACTTGCAGTATTTTTAAACATAGACACGCTACGGCAAATATCCATAGTCATAGTCACAAATGCTCATTTCAGTCAGAATTCAAGGTTCATTTCAACCCATTTAACCTTTGACCTTTGACAGGTGGACAAGGCCTTTGAGCATCTTGTCAGTTACTCGGATTGTCCAACGTGCAATGTAAGATTCTGTATCTCGACGGGGGGCAAGAGAGGCATCTATATCAGGGATATGACGAAATCGGAAAAACCCCGAGAATACAACGTCACCATAGATCCCAAATATGGAGACGACATCGGTGAGTAGCCCATGACTTTTTCGGTCATCTCATTTGGGAGCCATCTCTGTGGAAGTACCATGCTCACTTTCAGGTCGAAGGCGCACTCTACCCTACTCTGACGAAGAGTGGTAGTAGTAAAGTCCGTCACGAGCCAACGTGGCCCATCAAGGCGGCGTTTATCCCCGGTTTCAGTAGCATGAAACGACTGAGACTATTGTGTATTCCCCCTGGACAGGATGCTAGTCCACCGCAGGTTACTCCCCAGCTAATGCCGGTACCCATTTATACTCCTGGGTGGATACGGATATGTGTGAATTGTTCTCGTTTTGCTGAAAGAACGCACACCTTGTTAGTGATCCGTGGACAGAACTTTAAAACGGTGGTTGAGTTTTAAACTCCGTAACTTGAAAAGTACATGAGTGATGTGAATGATTCTTGTACTGAAAGAAAGCTTATGAATTGGGCTTTCGTATCCTAGATTTTGAAAGTGCTACATGCAGAACTTCACTGAAACAATGGTCCCGACATTTGGGTTTCGTTTTTCTTTTTTACCCTGTATAAATTATTTGATTGATTTGACAGGTGCACAGGAGAAGATCGCATTCACCATGCAGACGAGTTTAGTATGTGAAGCGTCTTGGGTGTCCTGCCCCTCCCACCTAGCGTTAATGAATGCATCCCGTGCTGTGTCTATACGAGTTGATCCTCGGGGGCTGAGTGAAGGAGTTCACTACACCGAGGTAGGTATAAGTCATCATCATCGTCATCATCATCAGGCTTTATTATTTCATCACGTCATTACAGGGTGAGGCAGAAAGATGGGTACCCTGTAAAAAGAAAGCTTTTTCGTCAACTTAAAGACAACTTTAAAGCAATTTAAAGGGAATATAGAACATTTGCAAACATCGAAAAATAAAACTACTAAGATTTTACGAAATACCTTACTAGGATGTTGGTAAATGACAGTCTCAAGCATCTTGTAAAATTATGGCACCTGGTGTGAAGTCATTTTCAAGAAAATGGTATTTTTGTAAAAATTTCCAACGGTGGTCGGCCGACCAGCGTTGGAAAAACCTAACTATTTTTCAACTACTGCTCCGAATTTACCATTTTTTCAGTCCAAATTTTGTTTGCTATTGGTTACATGTTCATGAACGGGTGCAGGCCAGCTAGACTGGTTCCCTTGCCTTACAATTTTCCATCATCTATAAATTGATCCATTTTATCTTTTGTGGAGTTGGGGAACCAGACTACTTGAACATTTTTGTTTTTCTTGGTTTTTCCAACCTTTTCGAACGTAAACCTTCAAAAATGTCAGTGTAACAATATTTGATCTATTATACTAACCTCTCAAATACTTCATTTCTGAAAATTACAGCAAAAGCCAATGATGTACATTCCCTTTAAAGAAAGAAACACAAACTACAAGGTTTGAGCAATCACCTAATTTTTGTTTCAACAATTTTGCTTTTGTGGTTCGGGAGATACAGAATTTTTCTTCAAAATTCATGAAAACCAATTTTGTCCACGGATCATCGAATCAGGCTAAAACACACCCGTGATCGATTGATTCTTGGCAAACAGTGGATATTCGTAGCCCCAAACCGTAAATGTGTGACGGGGGTCTTAGTAATGCACCAGATGTTGTATAGAAGAGTTGGTTCAGAAGAGGTTCTTATTACAATCAAGCCAGAAATCGTGATGAATTGATGATGGAAACCATCGCTTCCTTTCCCACAGGTTCAGTGTTTCGACACGGCTAATCCCCACAAGGGACCCATATTCAGGATACCCGTTACTGTAGTCAAGCCACTACAAACAACCAAACAGTACGACTTGGCCTGGGGTGAAACGGAGTTCAAACCGGGTCAGATAAGACGAAGCTTTGTTCAAGTACCAGAGGGTGCAACCTGGGCAGGTATGTAGTCAGGCAAAATTGGGGCTAGTATTAGGGTTGTTGGAAAGGTATGATGGATCACGAGTCAGTCATGAGTCGGTCACAAGGCTATCACAAGTCAATCACAAGTCAATCACAAATCCATCTCAAGTCATTCATAAGTCCATCACAAGTCAGTCACAAGTCTGTCGCAAGTCCATCACAAGTCAGTCACGAGTCAGTCACAAGTCAGTCACAAGTCCATCACAAGTCAGTCACAAGTCAGTCACAACTCAGTCACAAGTCCATCACAAGTCAGTCACAAGTCAGTCACAAGTCCATCACAAGTCCATCACAAGTCAGTCACAACTCAGTCACAAGTCCATCACAAGTCCATCACAAGTCAGTCACAAGTCAGTCACAAGTCAGTCACAAGTCCATCACAAGTCAGTCACAAGTCAGTCACAAGCCAGTCACAAGTCCATCACAAGTCTATCACAAGTCAGTCACAAGTCAGTCACAAGTCCATCACAAGTCAGTCACAAGCCAGTCACAAGTCAGTCACAAGTCCATCACAAGTCTATCACAAGTCAGTCACAAGTCCGTCACAAGTCAGTCACAAGTCTGTCATGATTCAGCCAGTCCTAAGTTACACATTGCTCAATTGAAATCTGACATATGCACTCGTTTGTTAACATTGTGCGTTCTCTTTAACTTGTGCCTGGACTTGTGAATTGACTTGTTTTTGACTTGTTACATCACAAGTACCTTTACTATGACACTGGCCAAGTATGAAGTTTGACAACTCAGTCAGCGCTAGAGAAGTTTCAAGAAATTCTGTCTTGAACAAATCTGATTTCAAAAATTCAACAGTTGTGTTTTTATTTTTGTCATATCGTAGGTTGTTTTGCGTGATGCCTGCTATTTATTTGAAACCTTCAATAAATAATTATTATATTAGGGAGGTTTCGCAAGCGAACGGATACGCTTACACTTACGCTTAGCTATCCGTATCCGTTTTTTACTTACGTGTAGCGAGCGAGATATGCGTGTCGTCTGCACATTTAGCGGATAGTGAGTGGCGTATGACGTCATACGTGCAGACGACACGCATATCTCGCTCGCTACACGTAAGTAAAAAACGGATACGGATAGCTAAGCGTAAGTGTAAGCGTATCCGTTCGCTTGCGAAACCTCCCTGTTGTGTTGAACACGACCGTTAGTTTCCCATTTATTTTAAACTGAAGTTTAACTCTTTTTTAAAAAATAGTTAGGTTCTTTAAATGAATCCTTTTTTTATTCTCGTTTTCAGAGTTAACGGTGACGTCTCTTGACCCCGAACTGACCTCCAAGTTTGTACTTCACTGCATCCAACTGGAAGATCACATGGCCTACAGAAGCAACGAGTTCTACAAGTTCTTCCATCTTCAAGAGTTGGGCCAGTCGACGTATCCGTTCTCAGTCCGAGGCGGACTGATACTAGATCTGGTCGTCGCTAAGTGGTGGGCAAGCCTTGGCAACACCAAGATCACTTATAGTATATCCTTCCACAGTCTGGATATGAACCAGAAGATGATTCAGATGGTGAGAATCTACCCGTTTTTTCTTTTTGTCGAAACCTTTTTTTTTTTCTTTAGGGGTTTGTAATCATAGCCAAGATTAGTCAGAAAATTTGGGACTCTCAATACTGTGTATGAGAGTCCCAAAACTTAAGGTATTGAAAACATGCAAAACAAGAAAATAGACTGGCACCTAAAACAACCAGTCCAACACGCCTTCAGTACGGTATCAATCAACCATGCCAAAAGAATGTAAGAAACATGTGGCATGAAGCGGGAACTAGTCTCAATTTACTACACATTTCTCCGTAGTCAAGCCACCAGACTGTTGACACTGAATGAAGAGGTCAGTCTTTTCAAATAGTTGGACCATGGTCTAGTATTAAGACTCATTTTGAAATCACTTGACTTCCCTCTCATGTGCAAAATATTGAAGAAAAGTCTCCTTTTAAAATTGAATTGAGTCTGCAAACTTGGTTGGTGAAATACTGAGGACATTTTCTTTGCCCCAGTGGAATTTTTGGAGAAATTTGCTTGCTAAACTGTGAGTAAAGTGGGCCTGATTTAGTTTTGCACGTTTCGGAGCACTCCAGAGCCCTGTCTGAGCCAAGATCAGTAAAGGAATGCCTTTGCCAGAAGGAAGTTGTTTGAAATGGCCCATGAGATTTAGTTTTCTTGGGAACACATTTTTGTGCAACTTTCTACTCCTCTTAAATGTGAGTTAACATATACCAAACAAACTTTAATGCATACAAGCCATGATCTTTTCCAGCATTTAATAATTGTACTTGACTGCTAGTAAACATACAAGTTAATCTGATCAGTACCTACATTTTTATTCCCACCTTAGCACGCAGCCAACGGAATTTATCGTTTTGACGTCCGGTCTCATTTGAGAATTGAGGAGGTGTCTCCGGCAATCACCATTAAGAACTGTGTACAACCACTCAGGTTAGTCCTACCTGCAAAAGTCAACTTTTTTCACTTTTTTTTTTTTAACTCGCCTCGGAAATAAACAACTGTAAGATTTTTATTGGCGCGATTTCTGCTTATTTAAAGGTAATATACAACATTTGCTTTTGCTGTAACTTTCAGAAATCGATGGATTTTGGGTTTGGATTTCATAGCAAATGTTGTTACACTGACCTGTTTAAAGTTTTGTGTTCACAAAATGCTGGAGATACGAAGAACAAAACGGCTGTTGTTGTAGTCTGGTTCCCTGACTTCAGACATAACCGAGCAATATATAGTCGACAGGGAGTTGTCAGGTCAGGGAACCAGACTAGCTGGCTCGCACACGTTTACGGATGTGTAACCGATTGCAAACAAAATGTGGTCTAACTAAAATTGGTAAATTTGTGACAGTATTTGAAAAAAGGCAGGTTTTTTCCAACGATGGTCGGCCGAAATTGATAAAAAAAAAATCCACTTTTCTTGAAAATGACAGCACACCAGGTGCCATGATTTCACAGGATGCTTGAGACTACTATTCACTTACAGTCAAGTGAGGTATTTCATAATAATTTGGTAGTTTTGTTTTTTGATGTGTGCACATGTTGTATATTACATTTAACTATAATAGGCATGATGTTAATCTCCATCTTATTTTGTCTTGTTTAGGCCCAATGATTGCAAGATAAGCCCGCTAGGAGCAAGAGATGTTCTTCCTAACGGCAGACAGATATATGAGATAGTCTTAACTTATAACTTCCATCAGGTAAGATCAAGTTCATTCGACCACCTTTACCAGCAGAAATATTATATTAATAATAACAGGCACTTATATAGCGCTTTTAAACAGGGTATCAAAGCGCTTTACAATTATTATTACCCCTGTTCAACGGGCAAACACTCCTGAAACCTTCTCAACTCCCTAGGGAGCAAACACGGCCGGTAGGGAGTCGTTTTGGCGCTCTTGGCCGTAATCAACCTCTCACAGTAACCAACTCTGTCCTGACAGGTACCAGAGGACAATATTCTGATCATGTTTACTACTCCTGATCAGAGGGTTGTGGATATGCACAAGCTGTATCGCCATGTGCCATGCCCTTAGGCAAACCACTCTAACATTTTTTTGACCCCATCCCTTGGAAGGGAAATGTACTCATATTCCAGAATATGAATTGTTTCCATTCATGCATACGGAACCAAATTCCCGACTGACAAGCTTTGTAAGGTCTGGTCAGAGTTGGTTTACTGAAAATGTAAACATTATCTTTAAAGGGAATATACAACATTTGCAAACATCAAAAACGAAACTGTCAAATTATTATGAAATACCTTACTTGACTGTAAGTGAATAATAGTCTCAAGCATCCTGTGAAATCATGGCACCTGGTGTGCTGTCCTTTTCAAGAAAAGTGGAAGTTTTGTATCAATTTCCAATGATGGTCAGCCGACCATTGTTGGAAAAAACTGACTTTTTTCAAATACTGCCCCCAATTTACCAGATTCAGTTAGTCCACATTTTGTTAGCAATCGGTTACACATTCGTGACCAGGTGCAAGACAGCTAGTGTGGTTCCCTGACCTGACAATTCCCCGACATCTATAAACTGCTCCGTTTCGTCTGAAGTGGGGTCAGGGAACCAGACTACAGACCAGCATTTTTTCGTTAGTTTTTCCAGCATCCATGAAAACACAAAACTCTACACAGGTCAGTGTAACAATATTTGCTATGAAATACTAACCCCCAAATCCATCCATTTCTGAAAATTACAGCAAAAGCAAATGTTGTATATTACCTTTAAATGTCTTGCTGAGGTAAAGATTTCAATGCAAATGTTTCTACCTAGTTTTTGTTTTTTTCAGAGTAAGACATCGGAGATTACCCCTAACTGTCCGTTACTGAGTGACCTTCTGTATGAGTCCGAGTACGAGAGTCAACTCTGGCTGCTGTTTGATAACAACAAGCAGTACATGGGAGCTGGAGATGCTTATCCTAATCAGGTTAGTCCCCTCAAAAAACATCATGACTGTAATGAATAGTCTCAGCAGTTATCATTTTTGGCGAGCTGCACGATCAGATAGGAGCCCATGTAATACCAGTTTCCATCTGTCCGGCCGGCTGGGGTGATAGTTCATTGCGAGAGGCACACACCAGGTTGGCGTTGCGGTACTTTCCTCGCCTTCCACCGCTGTGACCCGGGTTCGAATCCTGCCTGGGCCAATATGTGGATTGGGTTTTCAGTCCCTCCCTGATTCCGTGGGTTTCCCCAGAATATTCTTCTGGGCTTTTCCTCCCGCCTCTAAAACTGTAACTTCTTCTCATTGTTTTCTCTACACAGGTTTCTTCAGGCTTGCGAGCTACAGTGCCTAGGGCGCTTTTGAGGAGTCCTTGGTTTCATTGCCAGAAATGATTAATAATAATAATAATAATAACACAGCTACAGGGGTGTTTAAAAAAAAAAGTCAAATGGTTGTACAAAATAGTTGGAAATTTATAATGTTTGACTTTTTGACCAAAAGGTATTTATGAATGGGAGTAAATATGTGCTTGGTTGGTATTAAACAAGTATGCTTAATAGGGGCCTGGTCACCGATAATGTCCCTCGCCTAGCTTCGTCCCGGGCCATTAGCGGGATTTCTCAAAAGGAATGCTTTCTAATTTCATTTGACTCCTTTTTTTATCTTGGATTGACAGTACACTATCAAACTAGACAAAGGCGACTACACCATCCGCCTTCAAGTCCGACACGAACACAAAGACCTCCTGGAGAAACTCAAGGACATGGTCATGCTGATCGATCAGAAGCTCTCGTCCAGTCTGAACGTCGACTGCTATCAGAACGTGCCGAACGCCCTCAACGGCAAGAGCAAATTCAACACGGTCACAGTCCAGCGGGGATGCTCGGTGCCTGTGTTCATCCCACCCGTCGCCGACGACAAACTGCCGAAAGGGGCGTCGCTGGGTCAGATGTTGACGGGAACCATCACTCTGGCCAAGAATGAACCGGGCAAAACGGTAAGTCGTAGTCGGCTTTATTATCCGTCTTTTGTTAATGGGGCAACTTGTCGTGTGAAATATCTGTGCCAATATTGGCTGGGTGTGTAGCCTTGGTCAAGGCGTTCGTCATCATTCGTCCGTACGCGGTGAACGATCGGCGGCATATCCTCGCTATTCAGCGCATTAAAAATACAGGGTGAACAGCGACCTCATGCGGCCACTATTTTATGCAAATCATTTGGATCCAGACGAACGCCTTGGTCCAATCGTCCATGTGAGGTTTTGGGGGTGGTGCTCATTATGCTAATAGCCTAAGCTGACCTTAAAAGTTTTTCTTATTGGTCAATCGTTGCGTTGAAACTTGCATAGCGGTGAAAGTTCATTTATCGTGTGACATGTACTGTACATAATACATACACACACGTTGTGTGTATCACATTACACGCAGCACCAATGCACACAAAAATGTGGTTTCTGACACGTCTGCAAAAGGCGAATAGCTGCAAATAATTTGATGACGTCGGGATTTACCAAGGTGTGATTGGACACTCCACATATTAGCCCCGCCTACACTTATCTGTATTTGCATATGAGGTCGCGCGCTGGAAATCTAGCGCAAAATAAAGAAAAACATAAGCTTTCGCGGACGATTGGACCGGATTTGATCAGATCCAAATGATTTGCATAAAACAGTGGCCACATGAGGTCGTTGTTCGCACTTTTTTTTAATGCACTGGATACAGCGAGGATATGCCGCCGATCGTTTACCGCGTACGGCCGAATAATGACGAACGCCTTGACCAAGGCTACTGGATGTGCCGTCATCATGTAGCAATTGTCTTGTTTTGGTTTCCATGGTAACGAGGTATTGTTTCATGCTGAATTTGTTTGTGCCAGTGTTTTGTTCGGACTCGATAAGTTTTTGTTCATGCTTCCAGTCGTCATGGTAACTGGTTTGATAAATAACGGGAGTGGGGGAGTTTTTCTGTGGACTGTGATGTGACATGTTTCTCATGGCATGACTCGTCTGTATTCTGTGGGTGGATGTTTGAGTTTAATACTTTTCTCTAATGACCTTTCATAAATTCCTTAATGCTTTGATTCTAACATTTTAATAATTGTAACCGTCTGCTGAAAGACATAACCATGGATTTCATCAATAAATTGCATAATAATTAAAAACCATACGGCAATAATATTTCCAAATTAAGACTGCTGAATGAGTTAGACCCCAAAAAAACAAGTTTTCGGTTTCTGGTTTGGAGCTTCCCCTAAAAGCGGTGCGGCGACGCGGTTTTTTTTTTCCCCTACGCAGATGACACTTAGATCCCCTGAAACTCTCAAATATAGCCTTGAGGGTGGAACTTGAGGTGACCTGAGTAAGGCCATGAGGCTTGAGAATTCTGCACCCACTTGCGATTTCAACGACATGAACGTTCTTAGGGAAATTTAGATAGTCAAGACAAAAATCAGAGAAAATGGTAACGTCAGACCATACAGCCACATCGACATCGTGCACGAGCTGCCAGGCTGGTCATTAGCCTGCTCCCTTAAATATTGCGCTAATTAAAAAGCGTTCACAGGTTCCAGATACCCGACCATCGCTCCCTCAGCCTGTCTTTCAGACGCACAATTACAAAATTACAACACCGTCTGCAAATGGTGCCCGACTTAAATTTAGTGCAAAATATACGAGAGCCCACAGAGGCCACATAAAGCTCATACTCAATTGTAACCCCATGTAAAAACACATTAAAATTGCGCAGTAGCAGGATTCCAGTCGAACCAGTGAGTTTGGCGGTTTTGAGACATCGTCTTACTTTGAAAAAAAAACTGTTTAAGTTTGCCGACGTGCTAGCTACCCGATGCGCGCGCAGACCAGAAACCGGACACTTTTCTTTTGCCTTAGTCATTTCCTGCCACTGACGTTGGTCTTAACCCCCTTGACCTGTATATGACCCTTGACCTCTGTGACCTTTGACCTGTGTATGACCTTTGTGCTTCAGGGTCGGAGAAAGAAGGGTCATATGGCAGGCGATGTGAGTGATGGAAAGAGAAACCTTGGTCCCAGACCTGTAAGTCATGCGCTCACATTGATGTTTTGCCAACTAACAATTTGTCCGAAAAAAAAGGTCCGAGCTTTAAGAATTTTAAAAAAAAAGCCGCCCCAAAATGTCATGCTGTCTCATATGTTTTGCAGCCCAAAAAATAAAATTTTGTTACTAACCATGTTATCTGTGGCGCATGTTTGTTTTTGATCTTTCTTTCTCTGCAGATTTTATTGTTGCATTTGCTTCATTTATTTTTTAGCACCTTTGTTTCAACTTCTTGTTAATAGTGACCGAAAAAAGTCTAATTCTTGAAAGGAATCATTTCTGAGCATTGAGATTGCATGAAATCGTTTGACACATCTGCACCTGATTTTAACGTTTCTTTGATTTTTTGCTGCCACGTTTGAAACGATCTCCCTTTGTTTAATAACCTTCGTTTATGAAGACAAACTTTTCGTTTGTGATATATGATTGATCGGTCATTGGTTCAGTTGCTTTTTCGTACATAGTGTTGGTGTTCCCATGGTCGGGCTTTTGTTCTGACGATTTCTTTCGATTTTATGTGTACCAATTCAAAAGTTGACAGATCAGTACACATATTTTATCAGCTGTATAGCTCCAGTCACACATTCACGGTTTGGAGCTACCGATCTCCACGGTTTGAAATTTGTGATAAACCGTGGGAGTACCCTACTCATCCTTGGTACATCTCTGGTTATCCGTCATCTTCCTTGGGTATTCGTGGAGGGGCTACGGAAGTTTTAAACTGTTCAAAACTTCCGTGGTGAATCGTCATGAAAATCAATCCGATGGAAATCCATCGTTGGAAAATTGATGCAAAAATTCCACTTTTCTTGAAAATGACAGCACACAAGGTGCCATGATTTCACAGGATGCTTGAGACTATTATTCACTTACAGTCAAGTTAAGGTATTTCATAATAATTCGGTAGTTTCATTTTTTGATGTTGATGTTCGCAAATGTTGTATGTTACCTTTAAATGATAACGGAAACAGACCACACATCTTAGGTCTAAGACATATCTTCAAGAATTTCACAGCCACTTTTCATAGTTCTTAATTGCAGCTGGGAAAATGCATTTTATGTTTTGTTGCTCCAGGTGTTCAGCCAGTATTTCCTTGATACCCTAAATAAAAAAAAACCTCACCTTGTACAAATCAAATTTCTAGAAATTAAAGAAAAACCCACTGATATTGTTTGTTTTTCTCTGTCTGGTTATTGTTCTAACTTTTAGGATAGCTATCCGTTCATCTATGTCCTGACCCAGACTCCGCACAAGCCTCACGTGACTAAAGCTGAGAAAACCAAAGAAAAAACCAAAGAAGAGGAATTTCAAGAGGCTTTGCGCGACTTCAAGATCTCATGGATTACAAAGTAAGAATCAACGATTTTTTTTCCACTGTCTATAGAAAACTTTGAAGACTTCAACATCAACCATAGATGATATGTCTTTTTTTTTGTAAGAATCTTTGTGCATTCTCCCAATTCCAAATTCGTCTTTGAAGAAGCGTTGTTTAAAGAAGGCTTCAGTTTGATCTGAACTTCGCTTGCGCCGCGACAGAACTGTCGGCATCAAGCAAAAAAGTAATGCTCAGGTCACACAACTGAGAAATCGTGTGATTCTCATGGAACAAGCGGCATTTCAGCACAAACTAATCACAGCCATGCTCATGTCACCCAGGAGGCAACAACGATTCCACGGCATAGAGAGTCATGTGAGAGTCCATCATCAAACAACCTTCCACGGCCACATCTGTTGATCTAGCTGTTTTTGCCGCACACTGATAACTACACGACTGCGATTGTCGGGAAAACGTCATAGGAGTTGAAATTGTTCTACTCACTGCGATTGGATTTTTTTAGCGCCGACTCTGCCGATCATCTTATTATCATCGCAGTTACACTAGGGTCGCAAAAAATATCATAATTATTTTGATGGTTAGTAAAAAGTCTGGCTGTATATTGTCCCCAGGGAGTTTACAAGGGATCCAGGAATGACTGTGAAACAGCTAGTCTGCGTATAATGTCATGTGAAGTCTCTTTTAGTCTTGAAATACGAATACAATGTAAATGTTGATACGTTTATTTGATTACTTTGTCTGTTGTTTCTTAGGTTGGAAGGTGACAATCTCTACCAGGAGCTGCTTGCTGCTTATCCTGAGCATCTTCCTTTGCATGTCACGCAAGTCACGGCCAAGGATACACACAAGGTAGGGTCATAGTTGTAATCAATTTTGTCACACGTCCCGACAAGTCAGTCGCAAGTCAGTCACAAGTCAGTCACAAGTCAGTCAAAAGTCAGTCACAAGTCGCTCACAAGTCCATCACAATTCTATTCTCAGTCCATCACAAGTCAATCACAAGTCAGTCACAAGTCCATCACAAGTCTATCACAAGTCAGTCACAAGTCGCTCACAAGTCCATCACAAATCCATCACAATTCTATTCTCAGTCCATCACAAGTCAGTCGCAAATCAGGCACAAGTCAGTCACAAGACCATAACAAGTCAGTCACAAGTCCCCAAATGTCAGTCACGAGTCTGCACAAGTCAATCACAAGTCAATCACAAGTCAATTACAAGTCAGTCACAAGTCAATCACAAGTCAATTGCAAGGTCCCACAAGTCAATCACAAGTCAATCACAAGTACCCACAAGTCAACTGGAATTCATCAAGTCTCAAAAGCTATTCAAGTGAACAGTGACAAAAACATTTTTTTGTCCTGATTTGTCTTCTTGTTGAGTTGACTAGTGTATTACTTTTGTGATTGTTAACTCTGTAATTTTTCTTTCTGGATTGCTCAGGATCGGAATAAGATGTTACCTGAGATTATACAGCTTGCTGATAAGGTCATCTTGCTGATTGACCAATCAGCATTGGCGACTTACTTTGCCATGAAGACTGACACAAGACCCGACGCACTCACCTACAAAGTGTAAGTGCAAAAATAAACACATTCCCGTCAACACAAAGAAAACAGCAAAACAGTGGACCGTGCTGGGTGTGGCCAACCGCCCTGCCCGGCTGTGACTTGTGTACAGTTCTCACAGTGTTTGTGACAGAGTTATGAATAGAGTTCGACTAAGCGGCCAAGGTCACCTGACAAAAAGTTGTGATCTAATTGGTCAACGCACAGTTTGATTGACAGTCAAGAAGGATCCATTTCTGAAATGGTATACAAATATTGAGAGGCTCAGAGTGGAATGGGAGGAATATTATCGCAAGGTAACATCTGGACTTTTCCATTTTCAGGAGACGAAGCCGAGGGAACGGGAGAGGTCCAGATTTTACCGAGCGATAATGTTCCTCACATTTCACATTTTAAAGCCACTCGATATCTGTTTTATAAAACTGACATATACCTATAGATCCTTGTCATTTAATTTACATTTAGTGAACTTCTATTTCAAAACAAAATTGGTGGGAAATGTATTTTGTCTTCCAAACCAACCCTTCACGAATTGTTTCAACCCAACTCTGTAGCCACTGGCTCTGCATTCGCACACCAGCATGCATTTGCACACATTACATTGCAAGGGTCCTTTAAAGGGAATATACATCATTTGCTTTTGCTGTAATTTTCAGAAATGGATGGAATTGGGGGGTTGGAAATATAAATCAAATATAGATGCACTGACTTTTTGAAGGTTTTGGGTTTGAAAATGCTATAAAAACCAAGAAAAACGATTATTTTCCTGTAGTCTGGTTCCCTGACTCCATATAAGAAGAAACAGAGCAGTTTACATACATTGGGGAATTGTAAGGTCAGGGAACCAGTCTAGCTGGCTCGTGCCCGTTCATAGGTTTGTAATCGATTGCAAACAAGTGCAATGGTCAATTGGGGCCGGTATTTGAAAAAAAGCCAGTTGTTTCCAACGCTGATCGGCCGATCAGCGTTGGAAATTGATACAAAAATACCACTTTTCTTGAAAATGACAGTATACCAGGTGCCATAATTTTACAGGATGCTTTAGACTGTCATTTACCAACATCCTATTAAGGTATTTCGCAAAAACTTGGTAGTTTTGTTTTTCGATGTTTGCAAATGTTGTATATTCCCTTTAATAACGTTTATGAATGGAATTTTGGTTCTTACAGAGAGAATGATAAACTGAAGACCTACTTGATCAACTGCCTCGTCGTCAAAGGCTGCGCTCTAGCTGATAGAATACTGGCCATCCGAGCCGAGGGTGAAGCCACAACAGAAGAGGAAACACAACTACAGCAACAAATGGATCAAACCTTCAATGATGTACAGAAGTGGGCGGAGCCAGAGGAGAAGAAGGTAGGCGTTGGCAAGAAGGTACTGTGCTGAATGATGTCCTGTTAAACCCACCCCCCTCCCCCCCCCCCTTCCTTCATTCAAACATCTACTCTTACCACTTAAAGGGAAAATACAACATTTGCAAACATCAAAAAATAAAACTACCAAATCATTTTGAAATACCTTGCTGGACTGTTAGTGAATGACAGTGTAAAGCATCCTGTAAAATCATGGCACCTGGTATACTGTCATGTTCAAGAAAAGTGGTATTTTTGTATCAATTTCCAACGCTGATCGGCCGATCAGCTTTGGAAAAAACTGGCTTTTTTTTCAAATACTTTTTCAAATATTATCTCACTTGTTTGCAATCGATTACAAACCTATGAACGGGTACAAGCCAGCTAGACTGGTTCCCTGACCTTACAATTCCCCAATGTATGTAAACTGCTCTGTTTCTTCTTAAATGGAGTCAGGGAACCAGACTACAGGAAAATGATTGTTTTTCTTGGTTTTTATAGCATTTTTGAACCCAAAACCTTAAAAAAGTCAGTGTAACTATATTTGCTATATATTTCCAACCCCCCAATTCCATCCATTTCTGAAAATTACAGCAAAAGCAAATGATGTATATTCCCTTTAAATATCTTCGCATAAAGACTCTCGGAAAGCATGTTGCATCCTGACGCCTTTTTTTTTCATCATATATTATCTCAACAAAGTAAGGTCATCATTGCAAAAATTGTTGAAAAAAACCCATGAATTTCTGTTCTGAGAGAGGAAAGATTGTTGTATCCAGACCCCACTGCAGCGGTTGTGTACAAAGTCTATGAAGAGTCATGAAAATTTTCTTAAAAGTATTTCCTAACAAAATTGGAAATGTTTCTCAGTTCCAGATTCATGTCTTTTCAGCATTTTTGCAATGACTTTTATTGAGATGATATATGAAGAAAAAAAGTGGCATCAGGTTGCAACATTCTTTCCCTCAGAAACATTTCCAATTTTTTTAGAAAATGTTTTGAAAAATACCCTTGACTCTCCGTCGACCTTGTACACAACCCCAGAAGTGGCGTCTGGATACAACATTCCTTCCAGACTTTCTTATCAGAAGAAAATTTCACATCGCTGTTGCAGTTTTGCTACGCTGCCCTAAACTTTGAATTTCTCCAATTTCTGTAACATTAAGGTGCTTCCATTCTCGGTGAAGTTTGCACAAGTACACAATCACTACGGACGTCAACTGAAAGGTTTGATGAAGCTGACCGACGACTCCAGACCGAGCAAAGAATCCGACAGGAAAGCTATAGAGGTAAGCAGGTTGCTTAAAGCTATAGTCCATCATTTGCAGCTATCCGAAAAGTAACTGGCGTAATTATTGTTGAAAAACATACTTGGTTGAAAGATAGTAAGGGGACTAAACTCCCTGTGAAATTATTCTTTCTGGCATGCTGTCATTTTGAAGTAATCAACGAAAGAAGGCCTTTCCAACGGTGCTTCTTAAGACGCACCGTAGGAAATTTAGATTAGTAGTTCATTTTGTTATTCGGCGAAGCGCGCGCAAGCATTGGCATGACGGACACGCACGCGCGGTTGCTATAATTCGTTGGATCAGTGCGCGACATGGCGTAGCTGCAATCGGCTCAGTGAGAACGTGTCTCGGACACTGAATTCAGGCCCAATTCAAAACATGATTCAGCAACTTTTTTATTTGAAATTGAGATCCTAGAGTGCCTGACGTGGTCTGTATATACACGTTTGTATGGCGTAGGCCTCCAAAAATGCTGCTTTTTTGCAGCTTCTTTGAGAACCGCTCATCCAAACAACTTCAAACTTGACACCGAACAATCTTGGGTGCCGAGCAATACACCTGCCGATATTCAACTTCATACAGTGCCCGGTTCTGGAGATAATTGAAGTAAAGACAGACACGCAGATATTCCTGGAATTTTATCGGGGAGTCAGGTTGGCGTAGCGGTACTTTCCTCGCCTTCCACCTCTGTGACCCGGGTTCGAATCCCGCCTGGGTCAATATTTGGATTGGGTTTTCAGTCCCTTCCTGATTCCGTGGGTTTTCCTCAGAATACTCTTCTGGGATTTTCCTCCCACCTCTAAAACTGTAATTTCTTCACATTGTCTTCTCTTTACTGTGACCCCTGGGAGATCAGTGGATTCCACTGAATGGGCTACCCAGTTAAAATAAGAAATAAATGATAAAAGTTAGATAAAAGTTAGATGATAAAAGTTTGTCCTCATCGAGTTCATGATCATTTATGCAAGGTTGTCTTTTTCTCGTTTTGTTGCAGGTTTACAAGAAGTTGGGTTGGGATCACTTGGTGCGTCACACCGAGAACAGTATACCCGTCAAGTACCCCCCACACTATATCCCATTCTAGATTGGATTCTAATATTGAGCCACGACTTTGTTTCAAAAAAAAATGTAGCAGTCAAACAACTTTTATTCTGAGGAAATTAAATCATTTTTTTTGTTTTTGTACATTAAGCAAAAATTGTATCCGTAAGACGTTCTAGATTTGAAGAAAAACAAAAGTAGCGCTGCACAAACTCTCAGGAGTAAAAGTTAGTCTTCATAAAAAAAAAAATTAACCCTTTTGTATTTTGTACGTTTTTAAAGTTCTTTTAAAATCTCTTGTACATTTACTTTTCTTTTCGGTGTAAGTATGAATTCTTTCCCGATAAATTCAAAGGGGCTCACTTGACGAACAAGCTAGCCTACTATGCACTTACCGTCGTACAAGTATGAGGATTTAAAGTCGGAGTGTACGATAAATGTTGCACCATGTGCGAATAATTTCTCAACTAAGAGAATGGTTCTGAAAAGAACCAGAGGTATAAACTCGACGTTCCGGTCAGTATGCTCGGACCGTCTTCAGGAGAATGCCTAAACTCTAAGAAGGTAAACACTTCAGTGGGCAGTAAGCTTGCTCTAGGATCCCAGCTACTTGGCATCCACACAGGATGCAACTTCACACTTCATCGCTTTCGCTTCTGCCTCATAAGTGTTTACCTTCTTAGAGTTTAGGCATTCTCCTGAAGACGGTCAGAGCATACTGACCGGAACGTCGAGTTTTTACCTCTGGTTCTTTTTCAGAACCATTCTCTTAGTTGAGAAATTATTCGCACATGGTGTTTCCGCAAACCTTTCATTAGTTAGTATCTCCACCATGCAAAGCCTCAAATCTTACTTAAATGTTGACCTATTGCATAAACACGGTGAGTCAAAAAGAAAGTGACCGAATTAGAGAAAAAAAAATTTAAACTGTGGCTTGCTACATTTCATTAAAAAAAAATAGGGATAAAGTAAATGTTGTTGACTAGAAACTGTGAAAATCTCAGGTAATCTGCCTACTTGATTCCCAAGCTATGTCTATTTTAGTACAAAGACAACAAAATATAGCTGTCCACCACTGATCATTTGCCGTTCTACGAACTGATGAATAAATTATTACCCACTATATACAACTAAACATGAACATTTTCCCAACTCCATGAATAAACGAAAACTTGCAAAGGAAAACAGACAAAAATCGCCATCAGTATTTCAGAGAAAAAAAAGGAGTGGTCTTATTCAAAACAAAAACAATCCAGACAGTAAAAAATATTTCAGTCTGGACTCAAATGATTAAAATCTCATTTGTATTTGAATGCCTGTGTGTTATCTGTAATTCTCACTCAGCTCAATAGCTTCCAATGGCATTCCATGGACAGCTATATAAAAATAGTTTGTTTTAGTAAAACATGCATAACTTCTGATAGCATTGATCAATTTCAGTAATTCCTTCTTTTTTTTTACAAATGAGTGGAAGAACATACTCTTTTAAGACATACTTCATTCTTGTATCACATTTGATTGCTTTTTAAGAAAAAAAATTGTTAATCCACGTCACTTTCTTTTTGACTCACCCTGTAGATTATAAAGGTCATTGTTTTTTTCACAATGAATTTACTTTAACAACCGTTGACTTTCTGTACTGCATCATGCGACTTGTTTTACAGGCTCCCTGAAAACGCCGAACACAGTACATGTAGTCTTCTTGGTGAAGGGCACATCTTAAGGGATCAATTCTCATATAATGACAGCTTCAAACCAATTTGGTTTGTCAAAAGAACACCACTTTCAAAACTTGCCGCATAATTTTTCCGGGCAACAATTATAAGAATTCATTACATGTAGTACTTAAATCCTATTCCTCCATTAAAATCCTAACTATTGTGAGTTTTTTTTTTTAATTCATGCATATTTTTAAAATCCATAAAAAAAAATGCAATTTGAAATGAAGTGTTAGAGAACCAACTTGTAGAAAAATAATTTTAGCATTTGAGAAATTGCTCACTGTTTATCAGTACACATTTTTTTTTTATAGTGTGTGTTATAAAATGAACCCTTTAAGTGAATTAATGTGACAATGAATGTTTGTGATAATGTGGCCGTTTACGTTTATAAGTCTACAATAAGTGGAGTCCATGTGTCACTATGTTGGTTCGTGTTTATCAAACATGATATTGTCTGATATCAAGTTGATATATGGGGTTCGATCATGCAAAAGTTTTGCAAGCTCAATGCATTATTGAGTAAGTTTGTTTACGCACAAAACTCAGAATCTTTCTAATAGTGCCTTCTCACTACGCAAGTACCTCAAACGGCATCCATCTCGAATGAAGCCACTAAGTGCTACAACAGTTTTCACGTACAACAATATCGACCGCGCCAGAATTCTTATTTATTAAAAAAAAAAAAGAAGACTTTGCGTAGCTTTGATTTTTAGGCATATTTCTAGAGTAAGTTTTAATTTCTGTTCATTGATTTCATCATCATCAAATGCCGACATTGTTTCTTTACATATTTATGTTTTAAAGCAATGGAGTGTTTATATTCTGAAGTGAATTTTACTTTAGTAAAATCATTGAAGGTACGAGATTGAGTATGAGAACTGTTAGAAAACAGAATCTTATTTCTACACTTTTCAAAACTTGCACTGAGGTGCGAAGTCAATAACCAGTTGAAAACCAGACAGGCTGGTACGGCTTGTGACATGACACGTTTGGGAAATCAGTTTGTTTAAGACCTGCGAGTGCCGGCGAGTGGGTGTGAGTGTCAGGAACTCGCCTCGCGGGAAAGGGAATACTCGCAAAGCACTTGCAGGTACTCGCAGCTGGCAGGGGACGCTCGCAGTTGCTCACCGGGTTTTGGACATTTGAGTGGTAGCGAGTGGGCATGAGTGTCAGGAACTCGCCTCGTGGGAGAGGGAATACTCGCAAAGCACTTGCAGGTACTCACAGCTGGCAGGGGACGTTCACAGTTGCTCACCGGGTTTTGGACATTTGAGTGGTAGCGAGTGGGCATGAGTGTCAGGAACTCGCCTCGTGGGAGAGGGAATACTCGCAAAGCACTTGTAGGTACTCACAGCTGGCAGGGGACACTCCCAGTTGCTTGCCGGGTTTGGGCCATGCGAGTGGTACGGAGTGCCAGCGGGTGGGTGCGAGTGTCAGGAACTTGCCTCGCGGGAAAGGGAATACTCGCAAGCACTTGCAGGTACTCGCAGCTGGCAGGGGACGCTCGCAGTTGCTCGCCGGGTTTTGGATATGTTTAAAACTTGGCAAGTTCCGCAAGTACTTGCAAATTCACTCGCCTGTGTGAGAGTGCAACTCACTCTTCGCAGGGCCAGCGAGTTCAGTTTCCGCATCCTGAAAGAAAAAAAAAATTACAATATATAAAGCTGGCAGACTACCACCGCAAGTCCAAGAAAGACAGACTCTGGTACAACTCGCAAGGGGCTACTCGCAGTCACTCGCATCTTGTGATAGCAAACAATTGCAACGCTTGTGAGTATTATCTAACACCCCCACCCCCTTCTCTTGTCCGGGAATACACTCGCTGGCACTCGCTACCATTCGCAGGTCCATGCTCGCCCCGTGGGAGACTACATTTTAATCAAAGTTCTGTACTTAACCCTAACCTCCCCAACTCCAACAAAATCCATCCCCCCATTTTGGTGGATTTTGGTGGACTTGGTCTGGCCTGGTTTGACAAAATATTGACGGAGTATGATGGACTTGGGCTTGGAGGCCTGACACTCAGTGCTAGGGGCATCCGATTGATTTTGCCGAGCATGCTGTACTGCTGTTGTCATATAAGCCATGCGTGTTAAATCCATCAATATCCACCAGTACTTCAGTGGTGGATTCAATTATGTCATGTATTGGAAGCAGAGTAATTGATGGATTTTGGTGGACTTGGTCCAGTACTTAGTAAAAGACAGTAGGGAGTTGGAGTTAATAGCTTAGTGAAGCTGATGTCGGGGTAAAATGTTATAATCATTTTGCGACATTCACAGAACCCATTTTGTAAAAAAAAAATTGATTATGCAAGTATCATTTGGAAAAAAAATGAAATACTTGAACAGAAATTGATTGTTTTATGACAGTAATGAAACCTCAAGGGTTTTCCACGAGGAAAAATACATCTACCTCAAAAAATCATCTAAGTGCATTTTAGACTGTTGTACACACCGCATGCACTTTGTATATCTAAGCACAAATGTAATTTAATAGCCACAAAAAGATAGAAAGGCATCCTTAATGATGAAGTTCGGATAATAAAACTTCCTGTGACAAAAAAAAGATATTAATGAAATATTCTGTGAAATGTTGGCAAGCCGAGCTAGAAACATTCAGGGATCATTATTCAAATTCTGTAGAAAAGAATGATCATAGAAATGGTTTAGTTTTGTGGATTAGCATCGATGTTAAATGAGAACTTGAAATATGTGATAGTTAAAATATCTGAAGAGCATTTTAAGGTAGAATACTCAGATCAAGGTTGTGACTTTTTATAAAGAGTAAGTAGTGCAGGTGTAAGACTTTGCTGTAGACAATATTGAAAGACATATGTCCTGCTAGTGCTGGTTTGGGTTGTTTATTTTTACTGTGTAATGTATATGGTGGTAATTAAAATCTAGGTTTTAACAGTTGTTTCCCTACGCGTACGTGCCATATTTTCTTCAAACCTCTGTGACTTATTTAATTTTTAATGTATGTACCAAATGGTTTTCCAGGGAATTAAAAAAAAAAGCAACCCTCCAGATAACAAGCTTTTTTCCGGACTTGTTTTACTTTTACTGTGCAGTTTGTTGTGTTTTGTTTTGTTTGTTTATGGGGGGTTGTTTGTTTATTATGTGAATTTTAAGGCTAAAACAAAGTTGAGATTTTAAAGGTGGTCGCAAATATTATCACAATGAAATCCTGATAATAAATTGGTCGTTGGAGTCTGTCGTTCTTTGCACAATATAACGAAATTCTTAACAATAATGGTTTGATTAGAAAAAAAAATCAGCGTGCACATTGCATTATGATCATCCAGCTGGCTAGCTGCAAGTGTTGGAAAATGTCTGTGCCACGCCGCGCACTTCACTTGTATCCATGCAGTAAAGTATTTAAATACCATCAGTGAACTTATTGACCCCTAATTTACATATGTAAACACATGCTCAGAACAAAGAAAAAGTGACGTAAATGGAACTGCGCAGGTCCGCGTCAGACCACGTGACAGCATTGCAACCAATCAGAGCCCTTGACTAATGGCCACCGCCAAGCTCAGTTTCTGAGGCGAGCCATTGACCAGTCTAAATTCATCAGAAGCCCCGACGTTTTTGGCAGATTTTTGTTGTTTAATCAAAGATCGGCGTTTTTTATCTGACCTGAATTGACGTTGAAATATCAAAGATCAGTGTATGTGACGCTGCAATCATGTAGTTTCTTAAATCGAAGAGATCTGGATGTGCAAACGTGCTAATCCTGGGTTGCCACAGTGGTGCGTAGGATTTGGACTCGCACGACAACCGAGGGAAGTCTTCTGGGGGTCGTCTTCTGTACGCCATCGTTATCGGCAAATTACATACACAGTCAAAGCAGTCCGACATCGGTATGTTGGTGTCAGCTGCTGAAAAATAGCTCGAGTGGACTTTTTTGATGCCAACATTCAGCCGATCTTCCCATTTTATGAGATTCTGGGACCTTCCAAGTACTTGCTGCCGTTATGACAGACGCATCAACCACGCTGACAAGCCTATGGGTGGGCGAAGGTGGGTGTTTTGCGAGCTTGATTTCCATGTTGATGACCTTGTGAAGTTGCGGTTTTTAATTCGGTAGCTGGCAAGCGAAGTCGACGTGTTGATCGACCATGATTTACCGGTGAATGCCGGGTGTGGTGGCCTAGTACGAGTGCCGGTGGTGCGATCATGATCGTCCATTTCCTGGTCTGGATTTCGATGTCCGATGCAGTTTATGTCGACAATAAGTTTCTTCCTGCCACATATGGCTTTTGCATTATAATTCCTTCTTTAAAAAATTGCTCTTTTTTAAATAAAAGTGAAAGACAAGGTGCAAATATTTTATGTTTAAACACGCAAAAGTTTGATACATGATCATGATGTATTTCTGCATTAATTAATTAATGTTTTACACATACACCTTAACATTCATTTAGTTATTCGTTCCAACATGTCTAATTAGTAACAAGGTGTTTCACGGTAATATGCACCATCTTGCCAACGGAGAAATTTTACATGCATTGCTGTGACAGTGTGAGCTGTGTACGCATCGTCAATGGAAAACCTTGGCATTTCCAAGTCATCATGCGGTCATTCCAAAATGCGCCCGCGTCTAGCAACACGTGTTCTTTTTGCCCCGTCAACAAGATAGTGCATATTATTATTCCCGTGAAACACCTTACTCAAATGTTGAAATTAATGCATACTCCATAAACAAAAAATGTATTTTTGCTGGGTGCAGGCACTAACATGATTCAGAAAAGACATAACAAATTAAGACAACATGATTTGAATGTTTAATTGCAGCTGCTCTTAAGTGTTCATGTTGTGAGCTGTAAATCAGACGCGTACGTCTTTTTAATGTAAACTGTTCATTTCCACCCATTTTATCCTTTTTCTCCTATACAGTTGTATAGAACAGCAAGTGTTTAAAATCTGTATATTTTTATACACTTTGAATTTTAAATCTCTTTAGTTTTACCCTCTTTGTATCTTTTTGTACCAGCACAATGTAGAATTTTTTAAAAAAATATCGTCATGTATTTTGGACACATGTCAAAATAGGTTTCATAATTTCCTGAGATATTCCGCCACTTTGATTTCTATGGTGAAAAAAATTCAAACTATTGAAATGATAACAAAAATAATTGAATTTCAGAATCCAATTATGGTGTGATGACACAATTCAAGCTTTGTTTGTACCACTTTATACTGTATCAAATATCTTATACAGGTATCATACCCGTACTAGTGCGTACACAATACACATTTAATTTAGTCACACGCACTTTTAATAAATTCCTGCACTTAAATTTCATCTTAAGTAATGTTCATGTACATGTTTACATGTACATGTATACGTGTACATGTACATGTACTTGAAAAGATATTTTGAGATCTAAATTAGAAAATTTAAAAAATATGAATACAAGTCACATTTTGAACATTCGCCTGATCATTCCCCCTTATCTTTTGTACATTTGCCTGATAATGTGAAGACAAAGCCTTTAATATTGTGCAGTACAGTTTTCATTTTTAACCATGAAAAAACTAACAATTTGTGGCATCATCCGCCCTTAAACATGCAGTGTATTATAAAATGTATCATGCATTGTTCATTCGGTCTTTTTTTTTGGCATACACGGTGATGGTCTTTGTGTCTTTGCCAATAACAGCTGGTGGTTTAAATGCCTACTGTGGGCAGCTGATCGTCGTCGTACCAGCACACCAAGCACATGCCCATACAGAGCGTATTCAATCTGTAGGTCAAGCCAGCCGTCCGTTGCTATTCATCATTACAGGCCATGTTACACACAACTCCCCAGCAAATCCCCCCCCCCCCAACCCCCATTGACCGCAGTGTATGCATGCCTGCACAGCACTCACTCAACTAACAATAGAGCCTATCTACTCGGAGCAGGTGCTAGGAAGTACTCATTCAAACACACACACACTCCTGGGCTGAAATAGCTCTACACGGCATGTACCAGTATACATCTAATAAGGAAGACTTTAAACCTTTGCCATTTGACTAGAGTTGTGCTTTAGGGGATATTACAAAAGATTCACTAGAGTGAAAAAAAAAGAGAAATCTACATATCCGGTTCATACAGTATGTACATATGTACATTGTACCCAAGTGAGAAGTACATGAACAACAAAAGATTGTTGGTTTCGACAGTTGACATACCGGTGCATCTTGGGCAAATAATGGACTTTGTACATTTAGCTGTATAATGATAAATGATGTCGTTAGTCTGTGAACGGATGTAGTCATGATCTTGTCAGTTTTCAACATCGGAATTCATGTGATACACTTATATTAAAACCATGTTTGGCAAACATACAGCCTATTGCACATGCAGACATGGTACTGAGTGATAGCATGTATAGGACATGAATGAACACTGTATGTTCAAAGTTTCGGAAAGATTTCCATATATATACGAAGTTCACTCAACACCCTGTGTACAAACCCTATGAGATTGGACTGAAAAATTCTAAGTGTTTTCTAAAAAAATGCTTGTTTTTTCTCACTGCTCAAATTGACTTTGATGTCATGAAATTGCTATATGGGGGCTTGTTAGTCAATACAGAGGAAAATTAGTGAACTTCGTATATGGAAATCTTTCCAAAGTTTCAACTCGTCCAAATTGAAAGGAGGGCTGTGCATCGGAACCGGGTACCCGAGTACCCGACCGCTGATGTCAGGAACCAGTTCCTAGATTATGGAATCGAGTACCCATAATGAACTTTACATATTACCCAGTTACTTCTCAGACAATGAAAAAGAAAGGTGATCAATGCCATTTATGGGGGATTTTCAGAAATGAAAACCAAACTGCATGGAAAGACAAAACAGATTCATGTGATGACGCTTGCAAAAATGCAACTTCACCGTAAAGCTAAAAAGCTCACTGTACACACTTGTATTGCGCTGTATTGACGCACCAATTTTGTAATACAACGTATTATCGTGCCGACCTTTATGAACAATGTGAACAGCAACTTCCGAGATTTAAATTTTGGGCGGGTTAAAAGTTTAACGGGTATCCGATTTCCCAATTTTTTTTTTTCAATTGGGTACCAGATTCCTGTACTATCCAGAAATGCACACCCACACCCCTAAGTGAAAGTGTTGATGAATATGAATATGTACTACATGTATTATTCAAGCGAACTTTTCTGAAGGTTGTTCGTCTCACAGGAGGCCTGCGCGTGCATTGTTGGATGGTATCATAGCCTCAGCTCGCTAACTCTGTTCAATTGTCTGCTAGTATTTAGGATCAATACCGTTTCACTGTTCGCATTAAGCCGACTTCATAGGTTCTTTTACACCACAATGAATACACATTGTAGTACCACTATGAATTGCATGTGTACTCAAGGAATGAGGAAATGTATAAGCAATTTTGTTTCATTTCTTTTATTTGGCAATGCTACATTCGAACGTAAAATTTTATGTTTGAAAGACCGACTGCAATAATATGATAAATCCTTGGGTAGAGAGGATATGAATGATTAATAACGATAAAGCAGACAGGAAGAGATATGAACACAAGCCAACTTTATTTCCTCCCAAAAGCCGGGATAGTTGGGGACGCCACATTGCATGGGAGTTCTACTTCTTGCACACCCACGTGTCCAGGAGTACATTTTATTTATTGGGTATACACAAGTGTTCAATGTGTCGTCAGAGAAATGTTTATGTTATACCTCAGTCTTGAATACTGTATTTTCATTGGCCTAAAACGATCATGTGTTAAGTTTATAATAAGTCATGGCATTCTCCCTGTGGGATATCACGTAGGTTATTTTCCACAGGGAGTGTGCTATGACTTTGTACGTACGGTGTGAAACGCTTCTATCGTTGGTACCTACGCCATTTTCACCATGTTTTCGCACATGTGTGGGAGCAGCGAACTAGCAGACGATCAGCTGTTTCGAGCATGCGACATGCGTTTGACTTGCCATTTGATTGTCGTGATTGTTTCTTGTTTACTGCTGTTTGTTTTTGTGATTTTTACATCAAAATCCAAAGAATCAAAGAGGTATAACAAATTCGCCTCAGGTGCTATGCGCCCCTCGTGTGTTCAAAACTATCATATCCCACATCACAGCAGTCAACAATTGTTAAATGTGCTTGTAAATTGAAGACAAATGCATATGGCATGGCCTCATATCCAGTGTGCGGGCTCATGGTGCAGGCTTTTATTTGTACAGTGTCTGCCATTAGGTGTTGTCCTTGGCATGCATGTACATGTATATTAGTATGGAGTTGCTGGCAATATTGCCACAAAGTATGCCAGCAGTTTTCATGTACAGGTACCAGTAATGGCGCTGGTAAACAGAAACTGTCATTGTACGTCATCAGCTGAGAGTGAGAACCAGTCAAAGCAATATGAACATGTATAATTTTGGTTGGTAAACAGATCAGAAAATGTGTGTGCTTAAAGGTACAGTCCATCATTTGTAATTTGTGCATTTTGTTCGTTTGAAGCAACAAAAGTGCTCAAGATCTAAAGAAGGGTGCTGAACAACCAACCTGATGAAGTTTCAGCTCAGCTTTAGCTGTATGTTTCGAGAAAAGCAACATTCTATGATCTCGATTTCAAATCAAAAGTTGCTGAATCAGGTTTTGAATTGGGCCTGAATTCAGCGTCCGAGACACGTTCTCGCATGTGCATCGTGCCAATGCTTGCGCGCGCTTTGCCGAATAACAAAACAAACTACTAATTTGAATTTAGAAGCACCGTTGGAAAGGCCTTCTTTTGTTGATTTCTTTAAAATAACAGCTTGCCAGAAAGAATCATTTCACAGGGAGTTTAGTCCACTTACTATCTTTCAACCAAGTATGTTTTTCAACAATAATTACGCCAGTTACTTTTTGGTTAGCTGCAAATGATGGACTCTTCCTTTAAGCCTGACGCACACCTTTCCGATTTTACCGGATCATCTGACCTTCGGATGAACAGATCGGAGATGTGCGCTGAAAAATCAAACCGATCTGACCGTACACCGGGTGACCGGTGAAATAAAACGTGTTTGATTTTTTCGCATCCGATGTCTCCGGAAAGGTGTACGGGTAGCACTCCGATTTCACTGAACATGATAATTATGTTAAACCAATCAGATTCACGAAGGAAGTCACATGATTCAAAATTGAGGCTGCCATTTTGTCATCATGTGACGGGTCATCATGTGACGGGTCATCATGTGACGGATTGAATCAGGGATGTGTGCGGGTTAATGTTGCGGTCTTCACAAGGGTGAAAAACAAATGTATCGGTGAACTGGTAAAATCGGAAAAGTGTGCGGCAGGCTTGAGCAACACCATGAGAATACACCATGCACTGTCGTTCCCTGCCACGTGTTGTGATGTATTTCATTACCCAGCCCACAAAAATGTGACATTTTTCATTTAACATAATGATTGACCTGAACTCCTTCCCCCAGCAGAGTACCACTACATCTAGAACTGAGGAACTGGAATCTTGTTTCTTCAAAGTCCTAATCCACAACTCTGACCTTGTCTTGACCCTGCTTCCAATGTAATTTCAAGAGATCTGAAATATATGCTTTGCCTCAAAATCTTCTCACTTGCAGTTGCAGCACCTTACTCGAACTCACCACATGTAGCCCTCTGTGGATTCTTCACATATTCAGAGAGTGAACATTTATAATAGTAATGTATTTATAAAGTGCACGTATCCAGCATTATTGGTGCTCGAGGTGCTACATCATTATTACCCTGCTCATTGGGCCGATGAAACATTCCAAATACCATCTCAGCTCCCTGGGGAGTATACAGCTCCATGCTGCCATTTTGGCGCAAAGCAGCTAAATGCAACCATCTCTGCCCTCGCAGTTACCCAATTTACTCCTGGGTGGGGAGAAGCAAGAGTGACAAAGTGCCTTGCCCAAGGGCACACGCACCATAACCCCAGGCTGGACTCGAACCCACAACCTGCAGAATTACCTGCAGACCACGAATTCAGTACTCAAGACCACGACACCGCCGCACTCCACCGATTACCAATTTGCTTTTTAATTTACTATTATTTAATGAGCGCTACTTTGCCCTTCATTTGGGTGCCTTTACATAACTGAACATACTCGTCCCTTCTAACTAAGTTTGTCATGTTGTACAAGTTGCAGTTATCAAAGTTTATTTTATAAAAAACAAATCTCAAAAGTCTAACTGGTCAGTTTTTCATTGAATCGGTTCTGTTGTCAGGTACAAGCAGTCCGTTGAAGAGTGCACCATCCACACCCTCCAAAGCAGCAGGCAAAGACGCAGTCCACGCCGATATTGCAAACTTCTTTAAAGAAGCTGAAATCGAGGGAATAGCTAAAGAGGTGAGTAAACGCAACCCATCGCCAAAATTCGACTTTGGTCCATAGTTCCTGTCGGGATTAAGCAGCTTCTTTCTTGCTTATTTATTGGCACGTGTTGGACAATATCAGAAAGTCTGGGTTTTTTTAGCTTAAAAATAGTCCAGCAGCCGATTTCACGAAACTTTACGGAATGGCGCAACGCAGCTTGGGCCACAATTTATTGCGGAAGTTGCGCGACATTTCACACTGCGCAACATTTCGCTCATGACATATTTCACGAAAGTCTCAGAGTGCATAAGTCTACGACTTGCCAACCCAATAAATTCTAGCGTAACTTGCACAATCATTTTAAGTGGCGTAAGTTGTGGCATAGCAACTGAAAATGACCTTTTTTACGAGTAAATCGTGATCGTCGTGGAGCCTGTCGACACACAACTTGTCAATGTTGATACAAGACACAGCTATTTGTTTGAGGTACATGAAGTGCTATTTTACTTGTGACAGAATTTTTGGAGTTGCCGCACGATTCCGAAGAAAGTCAGACAAAACAATTTTCAAAATGGCGGGCTGATGTGATTCAAGGACTGTTTGGTGAACGAACAAATTGATACACAAACACAGCGGTTGTAAATGCTGTTATTATCCTTGTCCGAGATGTCGAGATTACAGTAAAACATACAAGTTTCCTGAAATCGATCGTAAGATTATTGTGCAGCTGCGCAACAAATGCGTTGCGTAAGTCTTACACATGGTGCAAGCTACGCACTTTTTCGTGAAATACCGGTAGGCTGTTGAGGTCTAGCAAGCTCCATTTTTATATGGCTAAAGATATAAATTTGCAAATAACCCCAAACTAGTATTGCTAATTTTTTTGCAGAACTCCAAGTAACTTGGACATTGAAAGCAAGATTATTTGTAATCTAGTTGGAATGCTTGATGTAATTGATTGAAATCGACCTCAGTTTTTCCTTGGAAAGGTTGTTGGCAGTGGTTGGAATGTGTGTTTGTAGTGAAGTTATACAAACTTTCTGGATTGCAATTGTGGGGAAAATCCGCTTTCTATTTTAGCGGTCCAGTTACCAAGAATGTATAGCTTACCCTGCCTTAAATGCAGCCTGTGTGTTGTCAATAATAAGGCCCAAAAAAAAAATCTGCTTCCGATTACATGCCTTTCAAAAATAGGGTCGGTAGGTTGGAAAATCTTTCTTTTTGCCAATTTTACTTTTGTGCTGATTGAGTGGGAGTATTCTATCATATGTGTATTTTGTATTCTGAATTATTTTCATTTGTGCCACGAAAGCTATCGAAAGTTTCCTTCAAAAGTGATAAAACCTTGCCCAATTAATGTAAAGATATATTTAAGATCGATGATTCTTAAAAAATAACAGAGAATTTAGGTCGCGCACACCACTTTGCAAAACGTTATTCACGATGGCAGCTGGTCAACACTGGACGTATATCGCGCTGTATCACAGCGTGCGTGACTGCGCTGTGTAGCAGGCAACGAACCAGGTGCTTCTGGCGGTAGAAAAATTCAGCGGAAACACGCTACGCTGTAGCACTTCAAGTACGAGCAGTACTTACAGCCTCGAAATAAATACATTAATACAGAAAATACATACACAGATTTATCAGGTTCTGTGAATCAACTTGCAGAAATTTATTTTCTCCATCAATGTTTGTTTGGCATTTTTACGATGTGAAATTCAACCTGTTATGTTATGTTTGCTACAGACTGGTTCCGGTCCTTAACTTTGGCCATTTTTTAGCGTTCGACAGGAACCGGTCTAGCATTGCTGCATGCATATGACGCATGGGCTTTTACCACCACCAAGAAGCCTTGCTGATCGCTTTGAGGGTGGGGGGGGGGAGAAACAACGGAGGTTTTCTTCCGAAAATAGCGAATGCAAGTACGAAAACAAACAAATACGGACAGCGGAAATATTACAAGCATTTTTTACGTAAAAAGGTTGTTGAGAAGCGTTTTCGTGAAGACAGAAAATGCAACATTTTTTTTTTTTTTTTTTTTTTTGACTTGCAGATAAAAACTTTAGTGTCGGGCCTTAAAATTAGGGTAGGTCGGGTAACCGGAAGCAGAATTTATTTTTGGTTCAGCCTAACTGCAAAGGAATGCATACTGCTTGACATCTTTTTTTTCTGGCCCTATTTGTGTGCATAACGATTGCCAACAATAAACTCAAAGGGCGGGGGTGATATGGTAGAATCTAGATGGGTTAGTTTCATTTTCAGCCCGGTTCACCCATCGTCGGCCATGAACAAAGCCTCATGCAGTGTAACTTGGCAGACAGGTTCCCACCAGTTAACACAGAACCTGGATATTAAATACACAAACTTCAAGGATCCTGGAATCCAAATTTATATACATGTACAATTTGTATTTTGTGCATGTATAATGGACAGAATTGCCTTTTTTCAAACCTATTGAGATTGCCAAATATGCTGTCCCCTTGACTCCGCAGGGAGGGGGTAGGCAGGTCCGGACCCCAGCTTATTTTCAAATTTTGTTCACATTTTTTTCCAAAAGCCACTTTCATCTCTCTGTTTACCCGCACGTGCTTGTGTTGTGGTACAAAACTTTGATTAGCCACTTGGTACTTGGTACTTGGTTGGTTCTTCTCCTGAGGGCTTCCACAAGGGAGTATAACTAGGAGGCCAGAAACACCGGGGCTAACCCCTTCTCTTAGCGATAAGTGTTACTGGGTTCTTTTACGTGCGTTAGGCCTTATACAACACACGGGACCTCCGGCTTAACGTCCCATCCGAAGGACGAAGCAATGATGGTTAAGTGCCTTGCTTAAGGGCACAAGTGTCCGGGCCGGGCTCGAACCCACGCCACTGTTGCCTCTGAAACGCCAGAGCATGAGTCCGGTGTTTTTAACCGCTAGGCCATGACACTCGACCGCCCCCCTGCTATGTAAACAGTCACAGACAGTCAAAATTCACTTCCACTTCCCCTGCTATACTTTTAACAAAGGCTAGTCACCAGCAGTCAGATCATATGTCTAGCAAGCACTGTAGCCAGTCAAACTGGGTCAACAGACAAAGTGGGCAAGTTGCGGTCACAGCTGTTTTATCACTCACCGGGAGTCAGAGCACAGCTGAATCAAGTTACTTAAACAATCACAACCAGTCAACCCTGAGCTTTATGTGGGCTGGGAATTCTGAACTGTTGGAAACAGTCACTTGTTTGATTTTGACTGGAAGGACTACTTGGCTCAGAATGTATGTTCGCACAGGAGGGCTATAGTAATTTTTGATTCAAACAGAGCACACATACATTATTATTATTTTTATTATTATTAATCATTTCTGGTAATGAAACCAAGGATTCCTCAAAAGCACCCTAGGCACTGTAGCTCGCAAGCCTGAAGAAACCTGTGGAGAGAAGACAATGAGAAGAAGTTACAGTTTTAGAGGTGGGAGGAAAAGCCCAGGAGAATATTCTGGGAAAAACCCACGGAATCAGGTAGGGACTGAAAACCCAAATCCACATATTGGCCCAGGCGGGATTCAAACCCGGGTCACAGCGGTGGAAGGCGAGGAAAGTACCGCTACGCCAACCTGACTCCCCATGTATGCATGACCTGGTTATTTACATGTATAAACTCTTAACAGTTGGTCACTTTGCTACGGAGAGCTTTTGCTGACCAAAGATCAGCTTTGACCCAAATCTACCGGTAGTCCACACCATAGCAACAAAACAAACTAATATGCAAATATATTCAGCTTGGGAAGCAATACACTTATTGCGTGATTAATGACCTGTTGCAAGAGCAGGCTAACCGCAAAAAACTGAGAGCAGAATTTGCATTTTAAATGCCCAGTGCACGAGGCCCCTATCCAAACACGCACTAAAGTGGACAAAGAAACTTAGTGCAACATCGACATTCCTGTACAGACCATAGACCCTACACAGGCTGAATCTGTGTAGTGTTATGATCTGTAAAGACAACCATGTGCTGTGGGTACATGTACACGTATGTACATACATGTATGTGTGACCCCATTATGGGTACCATAGTGTGTGTGTATGGATTGGAGATCGAGACTGCCTGTAGCAACCAACACAGTGTCAGATTACATAATAAGCAGTGTAGTGCACACATGCACTACCAGCACAGTGGATGACCCCATAAGTCCAAGTTGACCCATGCATTCCTGCTACAGCAACTATGATCCACACAACTACCATACCTCCATACATGCCTTAGTTTAATACAAACCAAATTCACTGAAATGTTTTTGTCATTGAAAATTTTAAAAACCTTCAATTAATTTAAACAAAATAACGTGTCAATAAAATTGCATTCATTCCCATACTGTCTGGTCATGTGGTGGTAGGGAATTCGGATCAATATAATGGATTTGAATTAAATTCTGAGCACTCACTCTGTGCATTGTTAGTTAGTGTCCTCGTTCGTTACTTTCATGCAAATTTGAACATGTGTTACTGATAGTAAATGCACAGCCAGTGGTAGGCCTATATGGTTTATCATGTGCCGAAACAAAAAAGTTAAAAAATGGAAGTCCTATCACTATCGCCCACAAGAAAACACACATTTCGAATCTCAATAGTTCAGAACCTTGTTAAAAATTTGCTAAACGGAAGCACAGTTCAATCACTTAGGCCAAGTTAAAAAAAAAAAAAATTCACCTGGACTTTTTGAGAGAAAAAAAAGGAGGAGGAGATCCCTTTTGTTTTTCGTCATTTTTTCTTGGAGATGACAGATTTTCCAAGATGGATTCCTCCATTTTCTTGACTCTTTTACTGATAGTCGTGTGTCCATATTGAGCCATAGTGCCTTATAAAAGATTCTAAACTCGCTAGTTAGGTACAATTTTGCTGGAAGGACTTTAAAATAAAAAAAAACCAGGAGGCGGCCGGGAAAATAGGAACGCGAAATTGGTTCAGTGTGTTGTTTTTTTTGCCTGATTTAGATGCTGTTGGGTACCAATCATATTTAATTTTTTTTTAACTGTCTCTGCAATCTTCACAAACAATAATTACCAAACTTAGAAAGTGGACACAGTTCCATACCTGGACATCACTTGTCACCCTGTGCACAAACCCTATGAGGCTGATCTGAAAATTCTAAGCGTTTTCTCAGTAAATGCCTCAAAATTTTCCCTGCTAAGTTTGACTTTTTAGGACATATAATCACTTTCTGGTGGCTGGTTACTGCAGGGAAAAATTAGTGATGGGCAGATATGGGAATCTTTCCCCAGAAAGTTAAAGGGAATGTACATCATTGGCTTTTGCTGTAATTTTCGGAAATGAACCATTCAAGGGGTTAGTATAATAAATCAAATATTGTTACACTGACATTTGTGAAGTTTTGTGTTCGAAAAGGTTGGAAAAACCAAGAAAAACGAAAATCTTCAAGTAGTCTGGTTCCCTGACTCCACAAAAGATAAAATGGATCAATTTAAAGATGATGGAAAATTGTAAGGCAAGGGAACCAGTCTAGATGGCCTGCACCCGTTCATGAACATGTAACCAATAGCAAACAAAATTTGGACTGAAAAAATGGTAAATTTGGAGCAGTAGTTGAAAAATAGTTAGGTTTTTCCAACGCTGGTCGGCCGACCACCGTTGGAAATGTATACAAAAATACCATTTTCTCGAAAATGACTTCACACCAGGTGCCATAATTTTACAAGATGCTTGAGACTGTCATTTACCAACATCCTAGTAAGGTATTTCGTAAAAACCTGGTAGTTTTATTTTTCAATGTTTGCAAATGTTGTATATTCCCTTTAAGTCTCACAAAAACTATTACATGAACTGTACATCAAATAACAACAGAACTTGATGTGATGTACACACTTCAACACCAGCAGTTGTTATGGCAGACCTCCCCTCCCAGCTTGGCTTGTAGACAGTCAAGTGCTTGTCAACACAACACCATCAGTAAATACCATTTGCCAGTGTGGATTTGCAAGGTTTGCCGTGTCAAGGTCAAAGGTCATATTATATAGCGCCCTTATCTTTGGCTGTTCTTGCAATACTGCATAAAGCTTTTATGTTTACTGTACTTTTTATTTCATTGAGGTTTAGCCTTCCATGTTACAAGCACTGAACTGTACAGCGCAGCCTGTATACATTTATGAACAAAACATGTGTTGCGAACATGTGCACACATGTATACATGTGGTTCTTAAAGGGAATATACAACATTTGCAAACATCAACAAATAAAACCACCAAGTTTTTACGAAAAACCTTACTAGGATGTTGGTTAATGACAGTCTAAAGCATCCTGTAAAATTATGGCACCTGGTGTGAAGTCATTTTCAAGAAAATGGTATTTTTGTATAAATTTCCAACCGTGGTCGGCCGACCACCATTGGAAAAACCCAACTATTTTTCAACTACTGCTCCAAATTTACCATTTTTTCCAGTTAAAATTGTGTTTGCTATTGGTTACATGTTCATGAACGGGTGCAGGCCAGCTAGACTGGTTCCCTTACCTATACATTGATCCATTTCATCTTTAGTGGAGTCAGGGAACCAGACTACTTGAACATTTTTGTTTTTCTTGGCTTTTCCAGCATTTCCGAACACAAAACTTCAAACATGTCAGTGTAACAATATCTGATCTATTATACTAACCCCTCAAATAATTCATTTTTGAAAATTACAGTAAAAGCCAATAATGTACATTCCCTTTAAAAAACATTGATTTACATTGGTTGGGGGATGATCATTTATTAACAAGTGTACATGTACATTTTTTGTACTAGTGTACTCATGTATTTGTAACATGGTTACAGTATGCTCGCAAGTACACAAATTAAAGGTACATGTAATATAGACAAACATCAAAAACAACACAACCAAATTATTATGAAATACCTTACTTGACTGCAAATGAATAATAGTCTCAAGCATCCTGTGAAATCATGGCACCCAGTGCGCTGTCATTTTCAAGAAAAGAGGAATTTTTGTATCAATTTCCAACGATGGTTCGGCTGACCATCGTTGGAAAAATTAACCAAATTTAGTTAGTCCACATTTTGTTTGCAATCGGTCACACATCTGTTGAACGGGTGCAAGCCAGCTAGTCTGGTGCCCTGACCTGACAATTCCCCGACGTCTACATGTATAATTTGCTCCATTCCGTCTGAAATACGGTCAGGGAACCAGATTTCAAAAAGCATTATTTTTTCCTTGGTTTTTCCAACATCCATAAACACAGAACTTTAATCTGGTCAGAGTTACAATTATTTGCTATAAAATATTGACCCCCAAATCCATCCTTTACTGAAAATTACAGCAAAAGCTGTAAGTAAAAACATAAATATTGTTTGTAATGAGTACATGTACATGTATGTGTTCACTCACACATGTGCTATACATGTACGTCCATATGTCGCAATAGTAGTGTTCTACTCCTAGAGGTTTAGACCAAAAACATTTCTTAATGTGTAAAGCATATGATATTGTGTGCATCGCAGATCCCATGCATGATAACCACACCTGGAATAATGCGGATTTTATATCATAGCAATTGCAAAGCATTTCTCCTAATGTTTGAACTTTGACAAGCATTTAAGAAAATACGAGACGTATATAAGGAATCTATTTAAACCAATGCAGAGAAAAGCAAAACGAAGTTAGCATGTTAGGAACAGATTGATACACATGTAGCTTTTCCCACATCAATTCTAAAAAGGATCATCTTCCTAAATAGCTTAAATACTTGGGGGTCCTCCCCCTGGACCCCCCCCCCCCCAACTTTGCCCTCCTTCCCTCCCCCCCCCCCCCCCCCCCCCCCAGTTTTCTCCCAACACTTTATCAACAAATAGACTAATTATGTTTATTTTCTTCACTGTTAAGTTTAATACAAATGTGGGTTAGGGTTAGGGTTCCCTAGCCCGGGAAATAAAAAAGAGAAATATACGTTCAAAAACCATGCCAGAATTATTTGAATGATAAAGGCAAAGAATTGACAACTTTGATTTTTTTTTCTTCTCATAGGCCGGGGTTCTTGACACCAATGGAAGTTTGAGGGCAGTCAAAGAGCAGACGCCCCAGCATGTACAAAGAGGTAAAGAACTTTCATTTTTGACATCGTTTGGAAATTGAGCCAACTTGACTCCACCTTATGCAAACTACCGGTAGCAGCGGTAAAGAATTACAGCTGTTGTCAGTTTTCAATCATAGAGGGCGCTTTCCTGGATCAGCAGCCCTGGACTTTCCATGCACACACAAAAATCAGTACATGAGTAATTGCTCTTGACAAGAATTGTAGATGTACACGTGTACTTGTGAAGCATGGTGCAACAGACTCGGACTGTGTGTGTGTCTGGGATTGGGGTGATGTGTTACCTCTAGCCCCATAAACGTGGCTCAACTACTGGACTTCCTCTATATTATGAGCCACACAGCGGTCATATGCTATTTGTTGGGAAAAGGTGATTTTGAGGAAATCAAAATCAGGACTGTTTTTTTTTTTACTTAATATTCACCATAGAAGATGCTGTGGTGAGCCACATTTATGGGGTTATGTGACCTCATCAACCATTCTGAATCCAACAGAATCTAATAACTGCAAAATATGAGTCTTGCTGATCCCAATAGAACCCAACAGCTAAAGGTTCGGCGATTGTGTAATGTAGGACTCGTCTTTAGTTTTCGTCAAATTAGAGTCAAGGTTGTTTTTTTATCATTTTTAAAATGACTTTTTCAATCTAAAGCAGACTTTGATTAATTTTCATGACATAATTTTTTTGTAATTTTGAACAGTTTCTTGTGGTACAAAATGCAATTTTCTCACACGTTTTACGGTTGGTGCCATGCCAACTAACGCGGTTTTGCGTGTTTATTGTGCGTCACGGTGATCGCCATCTTTATTTTCATGTTGCGTTTTTGTCGTCTTCATCATCGCCTTAACCCAGAAAAGGCCCCTCGAAATTTTTTAAAAACCTGCCCTCTATCTACGGCATACCTGTTGGGTCGTAATGTCGTTGACTAGTTTGGCAAGTCCAAAAACCTGAAAGTGGATTTGTGTTCCATAAAAGGGATCCTGGCCCTACATTACACAATCGCAAAAGGTTCAGTTGTGTAACCCCACGTATCAACAAGAGCTTGCCAGCTGTTGGATCTCGTTGGATGCTGCAAGACAAGACTTTTGTTTTGCATCTTGCTGTGTGAGACTTAAGATCACAATCATGTATAATAATTCATTGAATTCCTCTTCTCTTAGTTTACCCCGTTCTTCAACTTGTGACGTCCCCAAGGCCAAAGCTTGGCGCAACGCAGATATTACCTAAGACGATACAAGTAGTCAATTCGTCGACGGGAGCACCAATGGTAAGTCCGGTATAGTCTCATGAGATTCGTCAATCAAGAAAGTTTGGTCGAATACCCAAATATGAATATGCAATGTTGCTTGTCATAAATCTACTGGTTTGGTTTGCAATTATATTTCTAATAAAATTGTCAAAGCGTCCTCTGGTTTGAAGGAGTGGTAGATATGGGAATAGAGGTCAAAAGCATTCCAGATTTCGTAGTTTAGGTTTTGAAAGTACTGTATTTGCATTAAAGGGAATATACAACATTTGCAAACAACGAAAAATAAAACTATCAAGTTTTTGCGAAATACCTTAACAGGATGTTGGTAAATGGCAGTCTAAAGCATCCTGTAAAATTATGGCACCTGGTATACTGTCATTTTCAAGAAAAGTGGTATTTTTGTATCAATTTCCAACGCTGATCGGCCGATCAGCGTTGGAAACAACTGGCTTTTTATCAAATACTGGCCCCAATTGACCATTGCACTTGTTTGCAATCGATTACAAACCTATAAACGGGTACGAGCCAGCTAGACTGGTTCCCTGACCTTACAATTCCCCCAATGTATGTAAACTGCTCTGTTTCTTCTTATATGGAGTCAGGGAACCAGACTACAGGAAAATGATCGTTTTTCTTGGTTTTTATAGCATTTTCGAACCCAAAACCTCCAAAAAGTTAGTGTAACTATATTTGCTTTATATTTCCGACCCCCCAATTCCACCCATTTCTGAAAATTACAGCAAAAGCAAATGATGTATATTCCCTTTAAGTGTTACGATAACCGTGGTCAAGGCGTTCAGTGGGAGTGTTCGATAGTCAGCCGCTAACGTATAACATAGACAGCTGCCTCGCACTAGACACTCACACGTACATACTGTATGAAGCACGAACAGCGACCTCACGCGGCTAGGCTACAATTTTCAAATCAGTTTGTACTGAACGAATGCCTTGGAACATCCGTGGGCTTTGGCGTATGTTTTTCTTTATTTTGTCGCTGGATTTCCAAAGACCTCGTATGCGAATAAAGATGAGATTGTTATTCAGTGCTTAGTCGTGGAGGCTCATATATTACATGGACAGAGAGCTGGATAGTGTGGCTACATTCTGCAAACAGTTTGGAGTCCGCAAACCAAATATAACTCGATATAAATCCAGGGACAAAGTAACGAAAATTGCCTGAAAAAGATTGGCCATTGTATGGTTGTTCCAAGACATTCATTCAGCCCCACCTGATGTGCATAGTGTAGCCTAGCCGCGTGAGGTCGCTGTTCGCACTTCACACAGTACGTGTGACGTGAGCGCATCGTTCGCGGCCAAACATCGATCATCGAACCCTGTCGTTGAACGCCTTGACCAAGGCTAGTGTTACGAATGCTGTCACCGTAATATTTGTCATATAAACATACCACGTTTCATCATTTGATTGTTTTAGACACTGATCGCCGAGCCCAGGAACATTCTTCAGTCAAGTCCTAATGTCATCACAGCGTCGCTAGTCCAGTCTCAGTCACCGTCATGGAGCGGGTAGGTTATATAACTTCCATGTTTCTCCCAAGGAAAAGTCTCTCAAGTTCGGCTGTGCCCAAATTTCTTGGCTATCGCAAGTAACACACATCCATTGGGGGGTGACTTTAACAGACTCCATAGAGCAATGTGAAATCAACGGCCACAGCCACAGCCTCAGAGTATTTAAACAGTCTATGGGGAGTGTAGCCTAGTGGTTAGGGTTTGTGACTCGTGATCAGAGGGTCAGGGGTTCGAATCCAGCTGCTGGTCATATGTTGTCCTTGGACAAGCCACTTCACTCCCACTTGCCTCTCTCCACCCAGGAGTATAAATGGGTACCGGCATTAGCTGGGAGTAACCTGTGATGGACTAGCATCCCGTCCAGGGGGAATAGAAATTTCCCAGTCGTTTCATGCTCATGAACACTGGAGATAAACGCCGGCCTGATGGGCTACATTGGCTCGTGACAGACTTAATTTACTCCCTGTTCAAATAAGAACCTTTGCTGTTCTCCGTTTTGTAACGTTTATCTGTGTTCAATATGTCAGCATATTGACAAAATGACAAATCGGTGCACACAACTGCAAAACCAAATTTTGAGAAAATGGCGTTTTAAAGTCGGTCGATTTTTGGAAATCGCATTTTTGCGTACGTTCTTGCCCAAAATTGAAAGATATGTCAATACTGTGATAGCCCAGTAGTTAAATAGCCCCCCCCCCCCAAATGTTTTGTTTTTGTTTAATAATGTTTAATCATGTTTAATTAGGAGACTTTAACTACTAAAGATATTTTTGTCACTTTGTCAAAAGGGAAATTCTACTTTGTCAATGTTCAAGCACACAGCGCTTAAGAAATAACGGCATAAACTTTGGTTACTATTTCATCGACATAACATCCCATCTCTCCTCAGGAAGAAAAGATCACACGACTACGCCAGCACAGATTACGTAGACAATAGCGCTAAGAGAAAGAAACGCGAGAAGGAGAGCAAAGGCTTGCGCCACTTCTCCATGAAGGTCTGCGAGAAGGTTCAGCAGAAAGGAGTCACGTCGTACAATGAGGTCGCCGATGAGTTAGTACGAGAGTTTAGTATGCCGCCACATCAAGCGCAGTTATCATCACATGATCAGGTGAGTTTCCCTAACACGCTCCCCCAACCCACCACCCCCTGTCTTCCCACCCCACTCTTCACTCACTACTACCCTTACCCTACTTGCCCTCCCTGTCCAATGAGTGTTCAAAGCTCAGTGTACCACCCAATCATGCACACTATTGCATGTGTTTTTCCTTCCAACATCACCGATTATGTAACCAGCAAATCAGAATTGGAAAAAACAAATTACAGTAAACTCTCGTAAAGTCAAATTCACACATACTGAAATTTGTATCCTTGTGGAGACATTTCTTTGTTCTGGTGTAGTAAAGTTTTCGAGTTTGAAAGTGCAGTTTCAAAATGGTCTTACTTTAACCTGGATTAATTTCCTTGGCTGAAATTCGGACTTAATATCCCTTTTCTCAAACTCTTCCATTTGCGACCGATCAACCCACCTTGGAAATTCCTAGTTTTTGAGTAAAATCCATATATCTATTTTGTGAAAACCTTGTGGAGACGTATTCATATATAGAAATTGCCCTGTGGAGACGTATACAATATTTTGTTCCCTATTGTGTGCACGTCTCCAGAGGGCATGGTGTATCAGATCGGATACCTCGAAACTCTGTTTATATCGAAGTAATACTACATTCCCGTCAAGAGAATAGGAGATTATGTACACATAAAAAAACCCTGTAACTCGAAATGCCCGCACTGGTATCTCCGTTTATCTCCAACTTTTGTTCGGCCAGTCCATAAAAAACCTGCCAAAACAGTTACAAAGACAAAGAAGTGTAAAAACATTGTGAAAGTTTTTCATGAGTCATTATTGCCCAACGCACTTCATCTTTTCACGTGGGAATGCAGCATACACGATGCCATTGGGATTGAACCAGCCTTTATCGCAACAAATCCTGGCTTTCCAGTTGGCCTGATCGCTAACGCTGGCCCAATTGTAACCCGCATGCTGGCTTCCAATCGCTGGCTCTTTACGCTGGCCGTGTGACTGCATTCGAAACTTGGTACTTGGTTGGTTCTTCTCCTAAGGGTTTCCACAAGGGAGTATGACTACGAGGTCAGAAACACCGGGGCAAACCCCTTCTCTTAGCGATAAGTGTCACTGGGTTCTTTTATGTGCGTGAGGCCTTATACAACACACGGGACCTCCGGCTTAACGTCCCATTCGAAGGACGAAGCAATAATGGTTAAGTGCCTTGCTTAAGGGCACAAGTGTCCGGGCCCGGGCTCGAACCCACGCCACTGTTGCCTCTGAAACACCAGAGCATGAGTCCGGTGCTCTTAACCGCTAGGCCATGACACTCCATTCGCGGATGTGTGCAAATTGTATCTTTGATTATACCGCTGGCCCAGTTGCAGCTGGAGTGCCCTCTATCGATTAATTTGACTGCACATCGGAAAACCCCAGCATGGTGCGTCGATATCGATTAGCAACACGAAATATAGATTTGCTACACGCAGTTAAAGGAAAGTGTCTAAAATAATGTATCCATTTTGTAGCAAGGTATGATGGAAGCCACTCATGGATATGTACATGTATCTATGACATGACCATGGAACAATCAGGAACATGCTTGCCTCGAACTCTGGATACCTACATTTTTTTACCCATACCCTTGAGATTTGACTTAACGGGAGTTTACCATACATGTACCTAGAGTGTTATAAGATGATGACTTTTGAGATGTATCAATGTTTCAGATTTGAATTTTGTAACCAACTTGTGTTATATCTTTCCACGATTGATGCTAACAGCTCCAGTATGACCAAAAGAACATCCGGAGGCGAGTCTACGACGCCTTGAACGTTCTCATGGCGATGAACATCATCTCCAAGGAGAAGAAGGAGATTCGGTGGATCGGCCTGCCGACAAACTCAGCCCAAGAATGCGCCAATTTAGAGGTCCAGAAGAAAGAGAGAGAAGATCGGATACGGCAGAAGACCGCTCAACTACAAGAACTTATTCTGCAAGTAAGAGGACAAGATTGTTGCTCTCGTGCCAACTTTATTTATCGTTGGAATGAATAGATTGGTAGTCTGTACAAGAACCATGTTTTATAACCTTTTGAAGAATAAGTTGTGGGTTTGAGATAAACTTATTTTTTTAATTTTTTTTTTGAGATTTTTGTCGGATCCATGCATAATTCAATAGAGGTACTACCGTAAACTTGTTTGCCGATTTCCCACTTTGCGGCCCAAATATTGTTACAAATGAGTGGAAAATCTATTCACCCTAGATAATAATAATGTGTGTATTTATAGTATCTACCAGTATTGGTGCTCAAGGCGCTACATCATTATTACCCTGCTCATTGGCCAGTGAAACTTCAAGAGACTATCTCAGCTCCCTGGAGAGTATACGGCTCGATGCTGTCATTTCGGCGCAAAGCGGCTAAAATCAATCACAATAACCATCTCTGCCATCACAGGTACCCATTTACTCCTGGGTGGAGAGAAGCAATGAGTGACAAAGTACCTTGCCCAAGGGCACACACACCATGACCCAAGGCTGGACTCGAACCCACAACCTACAGAGTTACCCGCAGACCACAAATTCAGTGCCCAGACCACGAGACCACGGCACTCCGCTAGATACCCTACCCCAAGATCATTTATTTATATTTATGTCGTGATATGTTTTGTCTTCGTCTTACAGCAAATAGCCTTCAAGAATCTTGTCCAGAGGAATAAGAAGTTGGAGGAATCAGGAGTCGGTCCTCCTACCAGTAACTCTGCCATCCATCTGCCTTATATCATAGTCAACACCAGCAAGAAGACTGTCATAGATTGCAGTATCTCCAATGACAAGTAAGTGCCTCGACATTTTTTGACAAATTGCAGCCTTAACTGGGCAATCGGTGTGTCTGGCAAAACTCTTTGTCATGTGTGCACTCACACGTGAGGCTAGTCTTGGTTCTAAGATGTCCTTAGCGGTGCGATGTTTCAGGGTTTTTGGACTGTGCAGGGATTCACCGAAGCGGGCGCCCTCTACACATACGCCAACAGGCCGCAAAGGACGTCTTGGGAATTTCGTATTTCTGCTCGGGAAATTTGCATGCATGACTTAAGTATATCTGGCTCTGTACAAAGGCCTACTGCAGTTTTCCAAGCCATACGTGTATATGGCTTGCAAGCAAGCTTGTAAGCGTCGTTGGAAAAAGAAGAAAAAAAATGTTGACCGCATGGACAAAGCAATCAATTTTGCAGCAAAGAAACTGTGCCTGGGAAGGCTAAAAATCAGTGCTCTTCATCAAATTGAACGTGGCTGTGATTTGACTGAACCGTACGGTGGGCCGGTAGTCAACGCCTAATGCCATCGATTCCATGTGTATGGGCTCCGTGCACAAGTACCCCTTCAACGGCCAGAAAAGGAGAGTTGAGGGGGACCTAGACTGGTTCCCGGTCCATCCACTGCGTATTTTGAATGATCCATGGGGGTGGGGATTTGTCTTGGAGACTATCGCAAGTTAAATTTGAACGTATTCCCGCGCCAACGACGCCTGACGCTCACTGCACGTTGGGATAAATAAGTCGTGAACCTGTAGAGTACGCACACGCTGTGTGTCCCGTCCGAGGGGCTTTCCAAAATGTTAAAAATGCGCCCTCTTTTGTTGGCGCACAGAGCCCATACGGTTTTTGGGACAGCTATTTTGTTTCCACCGATGTGCATGTACTGTTATTTTGAATATTAAGTCACGCTTTATTGCAGTGTGAATTTTCCAAGACGATCTTTGTGTGCGGTTCATCGACCGAGTCAGGTTCGTGAATGGGAACATGAATGCTGCTGCGCGGCACAAAGGCTGTTCCGTCTAGCGTGAACTCACTTTGTGATAAGTGGAAACCATTTCTAGTGCACTAAACATTTCATACTCGACGTTTAACACTTGAATGTTCCTTGTTCTTCTTTTGACAGATTCGAGTACTTGTTCAATTTTGACAACACGTTTGAGATTCATGACGACATAGAAGTCCTGAAGCGAATGGGGATGGCGTTTGGTCTGGAGAAGGGACAATGCAGTCCGAGCGATTTAGAGAAAGCTAGAATGATGGTACCTAAAGCGTTAGACCAATATGTATTGGGTAAGTCATCACAGTTTTGGACGTAACAAAAAAAAAGAGAAGAATAAGGGTCTGTGTTCTGTTAACTGTCACCACGAGTCCATCACCAACGCTAGCCACCCATTTGAGTTGACTGAGCAGAATCCAAGATAAACACTCAAATGTGAAGTCTGTCAAATCCAATAAAATCCCACAACTGAATCAAGCTTATTTTAAACTATTAAGATCAACCAGATGCAGTTGCTTGCTGTGGCATCTGTAAAACGCCATGGTCCAGTGGTTACGGTGTTTGACTCATGTACTATGGTGCGTGGGTTCGAACCCTACCAGGAACATGGTGTTTGTGCCCTTGGGCAAGACACTTAACTACAGTTGCCTCTCTCCCCCCAGGAGTATGAATGGGTACCTGTGAGGGTAGAGGACTGAATGTGCGCTGATATCGGCTGCCGCGTGGTCTCGTGGCCTGATGAACGGGGAATAATTGTAAAGCACTTTGAAGTTGTTGATAGATGAAAAGCGCTATCTAAGCATTACAATTATTAATATTATTATTATTTTGTCTTGTGAAATTGTGTAAGTTATCTAGAGAAACCCCTTTCTCTGTGTGTTTGCGTCTGAGGTAACTCCTCTTAAGTTAATAAAAACTCTAAAATTGTAAAGGCTCATGTAACACTAAGAAAAAACTTTGTATTCATTTTTGCGATTTGTGTTATAAATGTTTGTAGAAATGGCCGACAAAGATAGAACCGCAACCTCCAGTACATCAATCAGGGCGGGGCCCAGCGGGATCCACACCCACGCCTCATCAAGCCACACCCAAGCCACGCCTTTAAGCTCCAAGGCCTACCATCGTAACCCACAGCTGTCACCGTTAGCCACGCCCCTGTCACAGACGGACGAGGAGGTTGCCATGGCGGTGGAAGGCATCGGTTACGCCTCTCAGAGTTCCAGCCTCGGGTCTTTCTCGGATGCGGGACCGTCGCGCGGTGCCACGGACACGCCCTCGACGCTTATGGACAGTGGGTCCGATTCGGAGTCCGAGATTGACGTATAGGGAAACAGGGAGTATTTATTATGCAAGAATCACCCGATGGCTAAGTTTGTGCTAGATGTTCACCGCCCTGTTTATCAAATGCATCTCTGTCAAAACAATAACGAAGCACAGAATAAGTCTCTGTAATGCCAAAAACTGCTCTGCCTGTCTTTGTACCATCTCAAAAATACCCCGGCAATGCATGGTCTTCTGCAGGCCCGGATTATCCAATAGGCACAGTAGGCACTGTGCCTAGGGCCTACGAAAAATTCAGGGGCCTTTGAAAAATTGAGGTCTTATGAACATACCACAGTTTGCCATACAACACGCGCACGAACAACACCCATGTTGACGTTACATACCTAGTGTGGACATGGTTTTATTTTCATGTAGTTAAGAAAAACCTCTGAAAGAAAACTCATTTTACTCACACTGTGAAAACTCCAAAGTGAAACTACAATGAAAAATAACCAAAACGATTTAGTTTTCTCGGAAAAAAATTGTTTTTCAAATGCTACATTTTTTTTAGACAAGCTGTTGCACACTGTGGCATAGGTAGTTTGAGCGCACTACTGAAGTTGATCAGTCGAAGAGAGTTCGCATACATGTAGTTGGTCTTTTCTCGGTACCTAGTCCTACGTGTAGCAGAAAGTTGACTTATAACCTAAAGTTGACTTTAAAGCAACCATTCGGATTGTATTTATATCATTTGACAGGTCCCTGTTTCGTTTACACGTGGTAGATGTTTGTTACACAAGAACTCATTCACAAGTTCCACGCTGGCAAGCAGTATTTAATCGTGTACAAATGGATTGTTGTTTTTGTTTTTGTATGTAATCATGGTTTGCAGTTCAGATGTGTTAACTTGAATACAATTGGATCGTTGTGTAAGTTTTGATTTTACTGAAATTCTTGATATCACTCGCTGGCAATGCAGTGTATTTAAAAACAAGGTTGGTGTCGACGTATTACATTCAAATTAGTTAACAAGCCTACCATATTGGACTCGGTATGTCCTCTGTAGTACTGCAACACGTCACGCATGTCGCACTGCATGTTGCGGGTGCAGTCATGATAGCGTCACCGACACCAAGTACTGACACTCGGTGGTGCATGAATGCCCGGCACGCGCAAACTTCACAGAACCGTGTAATTTTGATTTTCACGAACTGACACCCAAGTACTACGTGCGCACACTCCGTACATTTTTGTTTTCACGAACTGAGACTTGTCTTCATTGCACCAGTTTAAAGGTTTTTAATAAAATGTTGGTGTAAACCCACGGATGGAGCAAATATGTGTCAAACATTTCAAAGCATTTCTCTCCGAAGTGTGTTTCGGCCACGTGCTTGCATTTCAGTTCTTGAAAACCAAAATTCTATTGCGGGTCAGTGTAAGAAGTGCACGCGCGCACCCACGTGTCAGTTCGTGAAACCGAAATTATTGATTACGCGGTTTTCACGAACTGAAGCAGACAGCACCTGCGTGTCAGTTCGTGAATATGATGACGATATGTACACACGTGTTGGATTTTTGCCAGGCATGCCATTGCGCAGTCATGGCATCGTTGGTCTAAACATCATTCGGCAGGGCATAATGAGAAATACATGTACATGTCCATTGGCACAATCTCTTTAAAGTATGAGAACTTTAACTGGTATGTCTTCAGGAAAAGAACTAAGTACAAGGATGAACTTAACAATTTGTTTTACGCAACCCACGTGTGTCACTGTGTTTGGTTTGATGTAGAGCTTTCATGTACATGTGCTGAGTGATTCTATCTATCTTGTTTGACAAGAATCTGAAACTCGGCTCTGAACCTTTGAACTTGATTTTGATTTCTGAATGGAGTGAAACGTGTGTCGAGTGTGGTTTTTACTGTTAAATTTGTCCTACTTCCTATATGTAGGGTTTGATATGCATGATCCCTGCGTGCTTTGAGTTGCAATGTTCGCGCAAACGCCTACCCAGAATACTGCTATGTCCATTGTTTCCACATATAAATCATTTTAGATAGCACATTACTCTCGGAAGTGACGTCACTTGCAACATCATGGTGAAAAATTCACACTCTAGTACGTCTGTATAGAAATAAGTGTTCTTGTTTTGTGAGGAAGTTCAAGTAATATGTCTTAATAAGCATTACTTTACCTCATAAATATTCATCAAGCAGCCACGGCATTTCATTGGTCCGTTCCAGCAACTCAACCGTGTGGAAGTTTTTACTATTTCCCCGCGTCTTCGTACGGGCGTGTGACGCGCAAAAAACAGGGAGGCATTATCACACACCTGGGCAGGAGCCTACTTTGCCAATCTTTTTACCAACAATGCAGGCGTTTTACGTGCGTACCTTGGAGATCACCGGTGAGGACAGAAATTTGTGCAGGTCTATTACGGCATACATCAAAATGGCGACCGGTGGGGCTCACTTTGCGATTTTAACCGAGGAAGAACCGGGTGACATTTTGGACAATAATAAAAAATAAACCCAGTGTTTTGTGTGAATGTTAAAGTTATTAAATGACACAACATTAACATTCTGTTCTGTTTGTCTCCATAAATAAAACTTCATGTTTCAGAAACACAGCACGATCAAAAACAGTGTAAAATGAACCAATGAACAGCGGCTGCCTGATGAATATTTATGAGGTATAGTAAAACAAATACAACATGTTTTTGTTCGGAAATAGTAAAAACTAATGATCTCCTGAGGCGAAATAGTCCCAATCATCCAACACCTCAGGGTCGTTAGTTTTCACTATTTTCCCACAAACCATGTTGTATTTGTATACCAACATTACATCATGTTTCATGACGGAAACAGCCAAAAAAGTTTAATTAATTTGTACGAAATTTGAAAGCCATGGGGTATGTACATGTATTATAACAGTATGAGGCGGAGATAATGTGGGAGAATTTTAGTGATTTTTTGCATGGTTTTTGTAACGTAATACAGAAAAATCCCACAAAAAAGTTGCCATCTAAATCTGTGGGAATTTATACAATTTATATGTTAGTCTGTATTAAGAAGTTCATTTTAGAATGTAACACAAATGTGGAGAGAATTCAAGTCGGTCAGCTCGGATGTGCAAGACTGAAGTGCGCACAGAGTAGAATAGCGCCCTCGGTGATCGTAGTTCAATAAGGGCGTTTCACAATGCAGTGCGCCACCAAGAGTTTTCCACGGAGAGTTCATTTTTCCCAGTGCATTGTGTTAGATATTTGACAAATTCGCAGTGCGGGACATATGAAATTGTTAGTTTTTTCCTGTGAGTAGTTTCGTGAGCATATGATTAGAGTAAATGTTTACCCCTTTCTGTTTATCAACATGGTGTTTTTTGTAAGGCGACCGAACGCTTTGCCCAAATCTATAACAAATTTAGCTCAAGTTGTCTACTGACACTCGTTCAAATGGACCATGTTCTGTCGACCGTAAACTTGATAAGAAAAAAGACTCTCCATGGCAAACTCTTGGTGGCGCACTGCGTTGTGAATCACCCGAATCGATACTTTGTTGACTACACTTAGAGCATTTTGGTGGTACATGTAATTGTTAAAACAATGCTATATTTTTATGATGTAAACTGGTGGGCCAATAGTACACAAGAGCTAGGGCGGAATATAAGTGCATCATTTACACATTTTTTTTATATATTGGTTCATCCACTTAAAACGTGTTTACAATAAAAGCGAACGGTTTTTGTGAGATAAAAAACAGTAAGGGGACTCGCTTGACTAAAATGTAAATAGAAAAAGTCATCATTTGTGAAGACGATGACACAAATGCAGCTTTTTTCCACTGAAACGGGTCGCATTTGATGAAAGGTTTTTTTTAGCTAGTGTACGGTAAAAGGTAGACTAGCTTGGGATGTCGAGAGCAGTTTGTCATAGCGTACGAGAGTTGTGTTTTCCTTTGAATATTATGAACTGTGAATGCCGCAGACTGTTGTACATATGTAACATGTTTGAGTGAACTGTGTGAGTTAAAACTGCGTGTTTTCGAACTCTTTCGATCCAGTGTATGTCACATAAAACAGGAACAGACTAGTTCGGAATAGGTAAACTTGATCAAATGTATTGGGTAGTTTACTTTATGCCCTTTCAAATAGATATGAACAGGATTTTTAATGGATATTATTATATACTTCCATTGTAAATACACATTCTCAATCTTTACAGAGTTTTTTTTTTGTCTTCTTCGCTATAACAGTTTTGAGTGTGGGAAAACAGTAAAAATAAATGTATGGAAATCCTTCAGATTTGGATTCGAAATATATATTGTGAAGGCTATGAAGATCTCGATTTGTAAGATTTTACACTCTTATTAAAGAATGGGTGTTCCCAATTAATCTTTTGCTGGAATTGTGTTTTAATACTGTCTTGCAAATTTTAATTGTGAGGGATTAACCTTGCATTTTTATCAAAATTGTGCAAAATTTGATATTTCTGAAAACTAAATGATTGTAAGGGGTAAACCTTGCATTTTTATCAAAATTGGGCAAAATTTGATATTTCTGGAAACTGAATGATTGTAAGGGGTTAACCTTGCATTTATATCAAAATTGTGCAAAATTTGATATTTCTGGAAAGTTAAACATTGTAAGGGGTTAACCTTGCATTTTTATCAAAATTGGGCAAAATTTGATATTTCTGGAAACTGAATGATTGTTAGGGGTTAACCTTGCATTTATATCAAAATTGTGCAAAATTTGATATTTCTGGAAAGTTAAACATTGTAAGGGGTTAACCTTGCATTTTTATCAAAATTGGGCAAAATTTGATATTTCTGAAAACTAAATGATTGTAAGGGGTTAACCTTGCATTTTTATCAAAATTGTGCAAAATTTGATATTTCTGAAAACTAAATGATTGTAAGGGGTAAACCTTGCATTTTTATCAAAATTGGGCAAAATTTGATATTTCTGGAAACTGAATGATTGTAAGGGGTTAACCTTGCATTTTTATCAAAATTAAGTAAGGTTAACCCCTTACAATCTTTAATTTTTCAGAAATATCATATTTTGCCTAATTTTGATAAAAATGCAAGGTTAACCCCTTACAATCATTAACTTTTCAGAAATATCAAATTTTGCACAATTTTGATAAAAATGCAAGGTTTACCCCTTACAATCTTTAATTTTTCAGAAATATCATATTTTGCCCAATTTTGATAAAAATGCAAGGTTAACCCCTTACAATCATTAACTTTTCAGAAATATCAAATTTTGCACAATTTTAATAAAAAAGCAAGGTTAACCCCTTACAATCTTTAATTTTTCAGAAATATCAAATTTAGCCCAATTTTGATAAAAATGCAAGGTTAACCCCTTACAATTATTAACTTTCCAGAAATATCAAATTTTGCACGATTTTGATAAAAATGCAAGGTTAACCCCTTACAATCATTAAGTTTTCAGAAATATCATATTTTGCCAAATTTTGATAAAAATACAAGGTAAACCCCTTACAATCTGTAATTTTACAGAAATATCAAATTTTGCCCAATTTTGATAAAAATGCAAGGTTAACCCCTTACAATCTTTAACTTTCCAGAAATATCAAATTTTGCACAATTTTGATAAAAATGCAAGGTTAACCCCTTACAATCATTAACTTTTCAGAAATATCAAATTTTGCCCAATTTTGATAAAAAATGCAAGGTTAACCCCTTACAATCTTTAATTTTTCAGAAATATCAAATTTTGCCCAATTTTGATAAAAATGCAAGGTTAACCCCTTACAATGTTTAACTTTCCAGAAATATCAGATTTTGCACGATTTTGATAAAAATGCAAGGTTAACCCCTTACAATCTGTAATTTTACAGAAATATCAAATTTTGCCCAATTTTGATAAAAATGCAAGGTTCACCCCTTACAATCTTTAACTTTCCAGAAATATCAAATTTTGCACGATTTTGATAAAAATGCAAGGTTAACCCCTTACAATCATTAAGTTTTCAGAAATATCATATTTTGCCAAATTTTGATAAAAATACAAGGTAAACCCCTTACAATCTGTAATTTTACAGAAATATCAAATTTTGCCCAATTTTGATAAAAATGCAAGGTTAACCCCTTACAATGTTTAACTTTCCAGAAATATCAAATTTGCACAAAGCTAAACATTGTAAGGGGTTAATCTTATGTTTTCATCAAAATTTGGCAAAATATGATATGACTGAAAAGTCTTAAATTGTAAGGGGTTAACCTTGCATTGTTATCAAAATTGGGCCAAATTTGATATTTCTGAAAAGTTAACAAAACGTAAGGGGTTAACCTTGCATTTTATCAAAATTGGGCAAAATTGGATATTTCTGAAAAATTAAAGATTGTAAGGGGTTAACCTTGTATTTTTATCAAAATTGGGCAAATTTGGATATTTTGGAAAAATTAAAGATTGTAAGGGGTTAACCTTGTATTTTTATCAAAATTGGGCAAATTTGGATATTTTGGAAAGAAATAACAATTGTAAGGGGTTAACCTTGCTTTTTTATCAAAATGTGGCCAAATTTGAGATCTCTGAAAAGTAAAAACGTAAAGGGTTAACCTTACATTTTTATCAAATTTGAGCAAAATCCAATATTTCTGAAAAGTTCAAAATTGTAAGGGGTTAACCTTGCATTTTTATCAAAATCAGGCAAAATTTGATATTTCTGAAAAGTAAAAAATTGTAAGGGGTTAACCTTGCATTTTATCAAAATTGGGCAAAATCGGATATTTCTGAAAAATTAAAGATTGTAAGGGGTTAACCTTGCATTTTTATCAAAATCGTGGAAAATTTTATATTTCTGCAAAGCTAAGATTGTAAGGGGATAACCTTGTATTTTTTATCAAAATTGGGCAAATTTGGATATTTTTGAAAGAAATAACAATTGTAAGGGGTTAACCTTGCTTTTTTATCAAAATGTGGTAAAATTTGATATCTCTGAAAAGTTAACAAAACGTAAAGGATTAACCTTACATTTTCATCAGATTGGAGCAAAATCCAATATTTCTGAAAAGTTCAAAATTGTAAGGGGTTAACCTTGCATTTTTATCAAATTCTGGCAAAATTTGATATTTCTGAAAAGTAAAAAATTGTAAGGGGTTAACCTTGCATTTTATCAAAATTTGACAAAATTGAATATTTCTGAAAAATTAAAGATTGTAAGGGGTTGGGGGTGACCTAGACTGGTTCCCAATCCATCCACTGCGTATTTCAAATGTATCCAAAGTCACTGGAGGCGGGGATTAGTCTCGGAGAGCATCAAAAGTTGAATTTGAACATATCCGAGCACCGACGACGCCCGGCGCTCGTGTGAAGACGAGGTGGCTAATAGCTTTTACACACGTATTCAGAAAGTCATGCGTACTTCGCGCGTGAACCAGTACGGTGCGCACGCTGTGTTTCCCGTTCACAGAGCTCTCAAAAGAGGAAAATCGCACCCTCTTTTGTTGGCGCACGGAGCCTTTAAGAAGTTATTACAAATATTCAACACGTCTAAACATTGCAGAATGTCATCCACTCGATATTGTTTTGTTTTATTTCCTGTAGAAATACATAACGAATTCCAAAATATATCTCAAACAAAATAATACAGATATATTTTCTTACCCCCACTTTATTCCCCCAATAATAATTTGTTTTCAATGATTCTGGCATTCATCTTTTCACAACATTTAATCTGTGCAATCAACACAAACGCAAACGCGTAGGTGCTGCAGATAATTTTTGCCGCGGCCGTACTTTGACCGTCAAACTCACAGAAAATGCGGTAATGTTGTTCGCGTATGTTGTACCTGCGCGTTGCGTTTAGAGCCCATCATCCGAAATCAATTCCATGTGACTTTACTTTGTTCCGTAAACACGCTCATGAATTCAAAATGTCTGCGCCCAGGTCGGCTTCAAAGTATCTCTGTGCAAGGGTTGAGGAGATAGCGCTCTAGTAATTTTATACGGCTCTATGGTCTGACATGACTGTGATTACCATGTCACTACATATAATTCAAATGATCACATTCAAAGATTAAACATAGATCAATTCGATCTGCGTTGAAGTCAATCTTGATTCCCATTTGATCCGGATTGAATTTGAAGAGGAAAAAAAACCAGGTATTGACTAAATTTTTATATTGGGTTATGCTTCTCATCAATAAACGGATTTATGAGGACTATATGGGCTCCGTGCACAAGTACCCCCTCAACGGCCAGAAAAGGAGAGTTGGGGGAGACCTAGGCTGGTTCCCGACCCATCCACTGCGTATTTGGAATGATCCAAAGTTGTTGGGGGCAGGGATTAGTCTCGGAGACCATCGCAAGTTAAACTTGAACGTATTCGTGCCGACGACGCCTGACGCTCACGCACGAAGACGCTATGGCTTAGCTTTGTGCTCATTCAGGGGAAATAAGTTGTGCGTACTTCGGGCGCGAAGCAGTACAGTGCGCACACGCCGTGTCACATCCAAGGGGCTCTCAAAAGTGGTAAAAATGCGCCCTCTTATGTTAGCGCACAGAGCTTAGTGTACTCAGTACTGTTCAAGACCTTGTCGAAAAAAATGGCAAGCAAATCCCGCCAAGCTCAGAGGTCTAGAGGTTAAGTTGTCTGCACTAGTAAGCAGCAGGTTCCGGGTACGAGTCCAAACGGAGCATGTTTTCTCTAACCGCGGTGATTACAGTGTTTACCAAAATAGGTCGGTAAAAGGCAAAACAAATAACTGAAATAAAAAATAAGTGATAAAAAAAAGAATAAGTCCTGAACTTGCAAATATCATAATGAAATTATCAATCCAAAATCTTATTTTGAATTTGATTCATACCGAGGAAATTTACTTAAACAAAAATTTAAAGGCACTCGGTTTCCTTAAACATGTACACGTGAAAGAAGTTTTGCAATTATCTTGACTTAAATATCGACTAAAATTTGGTCAGCTCTGTGACACAGCTCTTAGAAAATCTTAATGTAGAAAACTGACATAAATGACTTGAATACCAAACGTTGGGAAGAAAACATTTGGCAGATTGTAAGCAGTTCCCGAAAAAAAAATGATAATTTCACTTACGAATTATGAATGTTTGAGTGCAATTGTAAGAGTAATTTCAAGTCATTGACTCTACCAGTGCAGTCAGATAGTATACATATAAAGAATGTTTATGAGTGCAATGGTAAGAATAATTTCATGAGGTGACAGATGGATTCTATCATTTCAAGAGGCGAAGCCGAGTGGAATGGAACATTCCATCTGTCACCGAATGAAATTATTCTTACCATTGCACGAATGTGAAACATTCATTATTTGTTTTATACAACACCTGAATAAATCCTCGTCGACTGATATAGTGTGCCGCGTTTTCTCTTCTCAGTCCTGAGTTGTTCAGTTGTGAATCAATAGAACGCTTCAACAGATGTTCCTGTATGTTTTGCAAATTTGTCTAATCGTTTGGCGGCATATTTTTATTTGCTTCTTTGCGTTAGTAGCTAACCTACAAGTTCTGATATTTCGTCTTCTGTTAGGAGAACAAATGGTGTGTCAGTCTAGCGTAACGTCCACATTTTGTGGAACAGATTCGTGGTCACAGCGCCACCAGCAGCAGCACTGAAGCCGTGTAATGGAAGTTCTATTCACCGTGCAATAGAACTTCCATTGCACTGTGCGCTGCGCGCCTGCGTTGGGATGAATAATTCAATGACATGTGATCAACAATCCACCAATCAGATGACAGGGATTTATTCAGGTGTTGTATAATATACAAATAAGGAATGTTTATGAGTGCAATGGTAGGAGTAATTTCTTGAGGCGACAGATGGATTCTTCCATTCCAAGAGGCGAAGCCGAGTGGAATGGAACATTCCACCGAATGAAATTATTCTTTCCATTGAACAAAATGTGAAACATTCATTATTTTATACAGCAACGGAATAAATCCTCGTCATCTGATTGGTCAGCACCACCAATCGCGTGACCGTGCAATGAACTTCTATTTTACCGCGGAATGGAACTTCCATGTTCGGGGTGCGGTTCGGCCGTGGATTGGGACAAATGATTCAATGACATGTGATCGACAACCCACCAATCAGATGACGGGGATTTATTCAGGCGTTGTATAAAATGCAACATGTTTTACCAAGTAGTGATCTCATTAAACCCCGGTGGGTTCAGTTGCATGGTCACAATCCCTGTGTATCAGATAGTTACTTGCACCATTGCACAGATACGACGACCTCTCTTCGTTTGGGTATATCAAGGTTGCCGTCAATTTCATTCATTCATTCATGATTGCTTTCATTAATTATAAACCCTCCATCTCTGGTCGGCAATTTCAACGAGGCCAGCCCAGCAGTCAAAATCAATCAAGTGACTGTTTTCAACGAGTTGAGTGCTCCCTGCCTTCATAAAGCAGGATTGACTGGCTGTGATTGTTACGAAACCTGATACAGCTATGCTTTGACCGTAGGAGATTGATAAGCCAGCTGTGCCTACCAGTCACCTGCTTTCGTCTGTTGACGGAATTCGACTAGTCACAGCTCCTACAAGAAATATGATCTGACTGTTAGTGACTAGCTTGTGTAAAAGGCGTGGCAGGGGAACAGGATTGACTTTTGGACTAACAGGCCTGGTCAAACAAAAGGAGGGTAACGGGCATAATTCTATGTCCCAACTACCCACAACTTTTGACGGTGAAAAAAATGATTTCCTGATTTTATCCTAAACCTAATTTTGGCAATCATGGAAAGTGAAATTTAAAACTACCACCCCCGCTACCAAAAGGATTGAATCCTCCTCCGCCTCCAAATGGATTGCCCCAGTGTTGGTTTCTCCTCTGTTGCTCCTCGGGATCCAGCGGATCCTCGCCCTGATCAAACTGCTGACGTTTCTCTGTCAAAGACACGAAATGGAACGTAACGTCAAGGAAGGGGATGGAAGAAGGTCGTTAGAGCGAAAAATGGTTCGGAAAGAATGTTGCATATCCTGACGCCACTTTTTTTTCATCATGTTTTATCTCACTCAAGGCCAATCCTTGCAAAATGTTGTTAAGAAATGCATTTGAGACTGTGAGAAATTTCCAATTTTGTATGAAAACACCTTGAAAATGCATTTGACTCTCTGTAGTTTGGCGTCTGGATGCTACATTCTTTCCAATGGGTCAAAAGGTCAAATTCACGTTTTTTTTTTCGGGTACTCGATACAGCTTTGAAATATCTTTCGTTTGGTATAAAGTTTGCCTCAAGGGGGGACGTCATTCTGAAGTAATGAACAGAATGAAATAGAGGGAAGGAGGTTTTTCATTATATATGTCCTGGGCATAAGGATGTTAGCATGTAACACTAATGTAACAAAACATGTTCCCAATGCGCTATAACGTCCCACTGAAAGGAGGAGGTACAGCAAAGTTTCTCTCCGGAAGAAGGTCGTAATTAATGTTGTGCAACCCAGATCCAAAACCGAAACCGACTCGACCCGAAAGTGACTTTTGGTCCGGTCCGTTTTCCCATCATTTCAAACGGGTCGGGTCGGTTTTAGTTTTGCATTTGCGATTTTCGGGTCGGGTCGGGTTGGTTAAGCAGTCTTGTGAGAAAAACCAAAAAAAAAACCAGTTGCAGTGGAATGTTATTGCAAAGTTACTGTGCCGGTACAACCAACGTGCGGCAAAGTTATGGGTCTTCACCGTACTGTATGGTACAATTCTTTTAATACTGAGCGACGTTGCGGCACGAAAGGCAGATATTTGGGGGGGGTTTGTGTCGGTTCAGTTTTGGTTCAGTTTCGGGACGGTTTTTGCTTGATTTTTGTCGGATTGGATCGGATTCGAGGAGTTCAGATCAGTTTCAACTGTTCTATTTTGTACTTGAAACTCATATTTTTTTAGAGCTATTTTTGTTTTGTAGAATGGGAAATTTAGCAAACACACTTTACCCATACTTAGTTATGGCATAATAAGTTCACAAATTTCAAACTATTTCTGACTGGAAAATAAAATCTGAAATAGAAGGGGAACAAAAAACGGCTTTTGTTATAGAGTATGGGTAAAGCAACTTTAAGGAAACCTGAACCACTGCGGAATTATTTTCTCGACAATGACCCAATTTGCCATCGGCAAATTTTATCATTTCTTCAACCCTGGTGTGATCTTGATACTCTTCCGCCGAACCTTGACCTTTGACCTCCCGTGACCCTCGACCCTTGACCTACCTGGATCTGTTAGTACTTCTTTAGCGGCAGCGATATCCATGAACACTTTGGAGGCTTTTTCTTTGGCTACGCCTTCTTCGTGTTTATCAGGATGCCACTGCTGTGCCAATTTCCTGTATGCTTTCAGGATTTCTTTCTTCTTTGCAGTTCTATTTAAAAGGATCAAAGAAAAGAAAAGGACTGATAACATATTCTGTCTTCTTCTTTTTTTTTTTTAACCCTAACCACCCTAACTCCATCAAAATGCATCCCCCCTTTTTGGTGGATTTTGGGGGACTTGGTCCAGAAGGCCTGGCGTGACTAAATATTGATGGAGTATGATGGGCTTGGGCCTGGAGGCCTAAAGCGCAGTGCTAGGGGTATCCGATTGATTTTGCCCAGCTTGCTGTACTGCTGTTGGGATAAAAGCCATGTGTAGCAAGTCCATGAATGTCAACCAGTGTGTCAGTGGTTGATTCCATTATGTCATGTACAGTTTTGTATTGGACGCACAGTGATTGATGGATTTTGGTCCAGTTCCTAGTAAAAAAGGCAAGGGAGTTAGGGTTTAAGATTATCAATTTATATATATGTTTTCACCGGTGTTGGTTTGTGTGTTGGTTGGTTGGCTGGTTAGTGTGTTTGTCTGTGAACAGGATAACTCAAAAAGTTCTGGACTGCTTTTCACGAAAACAATTTTAGGGGTGGTCCTTGGTACAAGTACAAATCGATTAGATTTTGGAAGTGATCCAGATCTGCATTGGATGCAGGATTTTCTTAAAGGGTTTTTCACCCATCACATCGAAAAGTTTCACAATATTGCTCTGTGTGAACGTGTGCATGGCACTGATTCAGTGACCCTGTATGCCTTACCGCCCACCTAATCTAACCACACAGGTCAATGGACTAGACCATTCTATACAATAAGGGAGTGGAAAGGTAGACCTACACAGGCATATACGTGTAGAGGGGTGGTCCTTAGTACAAGTACGAATTGATTAGATTTTGTTTAGCCTTGGCGGAGGTGTGCGCCTGTGAGTGCTTGCTAGTTTTTCAATTAAACGGTTGTGTATCAATTATGAACATCTGAAGAAAGATATTGACAAAATGGGGAACTGCCAACATAGGGCTGGATAGCTCAGTTGGTAAGAGCACTGGAACGGTTATCCGGAGGTCGCAGGTTCAAGCCCCACTTCAGTCAATTTCTTTGCTCAACTTTTAAAAAAATATGAAAAGATATTTACTAAACTGGAACTTGCAGTTAAAGAATTGTAGTACTGCGAGTGAAAAAAATGACGAAATTCATATTTTTCATCAAATCGTGTAGATAAGCGTGCTTTATCGTGTCGCCTTTGTTTCAAGCAATAGAGAATGACAATTGAATTTCTGAATTTCTTAATGTATACATTATTAATATTAACAACCGTCAGTTTCTATTTGCCATATTAACAGCATACCAGCAACAATATTTGATTCTTGAATATCGAAAAAGTCAATTATTTGTCCAAATAATGAGATGCTATCAAGCAAAAATTGAAAGGGCAAAGTTAGAATCCAAAGAATGGTACAAATATTATAAACATCTGCATGCCTGGTAGACAGGTTTTGTTAAGTTAAAAGGAATATACAACATTTGCTTTTGCTGTAATTTTCAGAAATGGATTTGGGGGGTTAGTAATTTATAGCAAATATTGTTACACTGAACAGTTTCAAGTTTTGTGTTCACGGATGCTTGGAAAACCAAAAACAAAATGCTGTTCTTGTAGTATGGTTCCCTAACCCTACTTCAGATAAAATTGTCAGGTCGGGAAACTAGACTAACTAGCTTGCACCCGTTCGTGGATGTGTAACCGATCGCAAACTAAATTTGGTGAATTTGGGGCAGCATTTGAACAAAACGTGGCTTGTTTTCCCAACGATGATCGGCCGACCAAGCAATGGAAAGTTATACCAAAAATTCCACTTTTCTTGAAAATGACAGCACACCAGGTGCCATGATTTCACAGGGTGCTTTAGACTATTCACAATAATTTGGTAGTTTTTTTTTTTTAAAGTTTGCAAATGTTGTACATTACCTTTAAAGGGAATGTACAACATTTGCTTTTGCTGCAATTTTCAGAAATAAATGGATTTGGAGGATTAGTATGTTCTAGCAAATATTGTCGAAATGACTTGTTTCACGTTTTGGGCTTGTAGATGTTGGAAAAAAACAAGAAAACCAATCATGTTCTTGTAGTCTGATTCCCCGACCCCACTTAAGATGAAACGGAGCAATTTATAGGCTTTTGGGAATTGTAAGGTCAGAGAATCAGTATAGCAGGCTTGTACCCCTTCACAGGTGTGCAATCAATTGCAAAGAAAACAATGAATAACTAATTATGAAAAATTAGAAGCAGGTTTTGAAAAAAGCCAGTTTTTCCAACGCTGGTCGGCCGACCAGCGTTGGAAAAATACCATTTTTCTCGAGAATGATAGCACACCAGGAGCCACGATTTTACAGGATGCTTTAGACTGTCATTCCCTAACAATTCAGTAAGGTATTTCATGATAATTAGATCATTTCGTTTTGTGATGTTTGCAAATGTTGTATCTTCCCTTTAAGCAAGCAAGTTAGCATTTCCAATCATACATGTATACATGTGCACAGTTTATTCCAAGTCATCTATTTTTTTTTTTTTAAATTGGGGGGGGGGGGGGTTGTTGGGGGGGGTGTTGGGTTGTGGAAGCAGAAATGGGATAAGGAAAAAAATCACACTTCTAATTTTAAATGCATTTGTGGAAATTTGGGAGGAGCGCTTTTAAAGGGAAAATACAACATTTGCAAACATCAAAAAACGAAATGATCACATTACCACGAAATACCTTACTGAATTGTTAGGGACTGACAGTCTAAAGCATCCTTTAAAATCGTGGCTCCTGGTGGGCTGACATTTTCAAGAAAAGCTGTATTTTTCCAACGCTGGTCGGCCGACCAGCGTTGGAGAAAACTGGCTTTTTTTCAAAACCTGTTCTTAATTTTTCATATTTAGTTATTCTGACTTTTCTTTGCAATTGATCACACACCTGTGAAGGGGTACAAGCCTGCTAGACTGATTCTCTGACCTTACAATTCCCCAAAGTGTATTAATTGCTTCGTTTCATCTTAAGTGGGGTCAGGGAACCAGACTACAAGAACATGATAGGTTTTCTTGGTTTTTCCAGCATCTACAAGCCCAAAACATGAAACAAGTCAGTTTAACAATATTTTATATAACATGCTAATCCTCCAAATCCATTTATTTCTGAAAACTGCAGCAAAAGCAAATGATGTATATTCCCTTTAAATGACTGGAAGCCAGTGTTGTATTTCACAAACTCACCGTTTAACTCCTAATATCTTGTAGTAGTCTCTTTTCTGCGATTGCTTGAGTAATTTCTGCGCTCTATTCAGCCCTTCTTGCGTTCTCTGACTATCTTCCAGCTCATTGGCTCGCCTAAAATCGTCCAAAGCTGAAAGAAAAAAAATTACATCACGGGGTCAAGCTTTTCAATTTATTCATTCGTCGTTTACACGGAGGGTTTCTACAAAAGTTTAGAAATGTGCATACCTGACTGAAAAAAAACATGGTATCCGGTATCCGTTAAAGAAACTCAGCCCCAAAATTGATATCTTGGAAGCTGTACAGATTGTATCATAAAGTTCCGCATGGTAATTAACCTACTGCGGTAGAATTGCGTCAACGCAGCTTTTGAAATGTTGTCCAATTACGTGACATACAAATAATTGTTGAGTAATTGTGTCAAGTTATAACACTTTTTGGTTTGACCGCATCTTACCTTTATCGAACATTTCGTCTAGTAGATACGCCTCGGCTCTGTCTAATAAAACGTCCACGTTTTCACTCTCTCGTTCTAAGACCGCGTTACAGATTTTGTAAGCTTGGGCCGTGTCTTGTAACTGCAGATGTAAAATACAACAAAGACAAATCAAATTAGGTTTTGCCCTTCGCCGACGTTTAAACACTGTATACTCAGTGTGTTACCTCCCGAGTGAAAGATGGAAAAAAAAATCACTCGGGTGGGACTCGAACCCACGACCTCCTGCTTTCTAGTGCACATGTCTTACCACTCGACCACCGAGCTAACGGGATCGGTTGGCTGGTTCGAATCTGATGTACATGGCAGCGGGTACCGCATAAACTATTTTATATAAGATGGGATTTTGCATTTGGGTGATATAAATCAAATTAGGTTTTGCCCTTCGCCGACGTTTAAACACTGTATACTCAGTGTGTTACCTACCGAGTGAAAGATAGAAAAAAACAAAAAAACAAAACAAAAACAAAAAAATTCACTCGAAGACACACATGTGCAACATCATGGATGAATTGAGGACAGGAACCAAATCGAGGACGACCTGGATTGGAAAACGTGTACAAAACCATTGAGAGCTGTTGCGAAAAAGTTAGAGTATATACAAAGGAAAAGGGAAGAGGAACAATAGAAAATCCTCGATTTACACCATAAACAAACGTGTATGTAACCACACAAACTGGAATTTGTATCCTTGTGGAGTCATTTTTTTGTTCTCGTGTACTAAATTTTCGAGTTGGAAAGTGTCATTTCAAAATGCACCTATTTTAACCAGAATTAATTTCCTGGGCTGAAATTCGGACTTAATATCCCTTACATAAAATACTTTAATTTGCGACGAATCAACACGCCTTGGAAATTCCTAGTTTTAGAGTAAAATCCATATATCTATTTCGTGATAACCTTGTGGAGACGTATTCACCTATAGAAATTGCTCTGTGGAGATATACAATCTTTTGTTCCCTATTATACCTCTCCCGTGAAGAGGGCGACAGGTGACCAAGCCCCCCGTTTGTACGTCACTTAAAGCCAGAGTCCATCATTTGCAAAAAGTCACTGGCATAACTATTGTTGAAAAACATACTTGGTTGAAAGATAGTAAGGGGACTAAACTCCCTGTGAAATTATTCTTTCTGGCAAGCTGTCATTCTTAAGAAATCAACGAAAGAAGGCCTTTCCAAAGGTGCTTCTTAAAAAGCACCGTAGGAAATTCAAATTAGTAGTTCGTTTTGTTATTCGGCGAAGCGCGCGCAAGCATTGGCTCGACGCACACGCGCGCGCGCGGTTGCTATAATTCGTCGGATCAGTGTGCGACATCGCGTAAGTGGCAATCGGCTCAGTGAGAGCGTTTCTCGGACACTGAATTCAGGCCCAATTCAAAACATGGTTCAGCAACTTTTGATTTGAAATCGAGATCCTAGAAAGTTGTTTTTCTCGAAATATACAGCTAAAGCTGAGCTAAAACTTCATCAGGTTAGTTGTTCAGCACCCTTCTTTAGATCTTGAGCACTTTTGTCGCTTCAAACGAACAAAATGCACAAATTCCAAATGATGGACTATACCTTTAATCTCGACAACCACTGCAAGTTTATTCACTATCACTCACCTTAGTATAACAGTGACATATTTTGGCTTTGCTTCTCATGTGATACACGTAACCTTCTTCCGGCTCGGTTTCCATCGTTTGTTGATATCTTTGAATCGCTTCGTCATATCTAAATGTAGAAAAACAACAGAATTTCACATCTTAACAAGTCTAGCCATTCTGCTCCAGTTTTTCTTTATTTTTAAAAGTGTTCTTAAAAAGTAATCCCTCCACAAGTGAAATCAGTGTCTGCTGCTCAGTCTGTCTGTCCCTCGATCTGTTGGTTTGTTTGTTGACTCACCTTCCCTCGTTGATCAAGTTCTGGCCTTGCGTGTACTGCCTGTCCAGTTTCTTGACTTTTTTGTAATGAGAGTAGCATTCCTTGTGGTCCTGGTCTAGCTTCAGGCATTCTCGTATGGCACTGATCATAAAAAAGAGGGCAAAAATTTATATGTTGTTATAAGAAAAAAATGGTGGTGGAATTTAAATCCGGATTTTAAAATTCAGTTTGAATTCCACTATTCGATTTCGATTTTGGAAGCTGGATATTCAAAACCAACCTTAAAGGTACAGTCCATCATTTACAATTTGTGCATTATGTTCGTTTGAAGCAACGAAAGTGCTGAAAATCTAAAGAAAGGTGCTGAACAACTAACCCCATGAATTTTTAGCTCAGTGAATGCTGTATATTCTGAGAAAACAATATTCTAGGATCTTGATTTTGAATCCAAAGTTGCTGAGTCATGTTTTGAATTGTGCGTGAATTCAGCATCCGGGACACGTTCTCATTCAGCCGATTGCAGCTACGCAATGTCGCGCACTGAACCGACGAATTAAAGCAACCGTACATGCGTGTGCGTCATGTCAACGGTTGTGCGCACTTCGCCGCATTAAAAATGAGCTATTAACGGAAATTCAAGACGCATCTTTGGAGAGGCCGTCTTTCATTGTTTTCTTCAAAATGACAGCTTGTCAGACAGAATAATTTCACAAGGTTGTTTAGTCCCATTATCATCTTTTCAACAAGTATGCTTTTCAACAATAATTGCGTCGGTTACTTTTTGGATAGCTGCAAACGATGGACTCTGGCTTTAAAAAATATTAAGTCTTCCATTGTTTGTGACACAGGCTAAAGAAAATAAATCGAGATAGCACTTGCTCAACGAGACTTACACAATTTCTCAGTATTGTAACCTGAGCATTACTTTCTGCTTGATGCTGACGGTTTCGCCGCGGCGCAAGCAATCCGCAGGTGGACCTGCGGGCGGCTTAAGGTGGATTAGGGGATGGATTTGAAATTAGGAAAGAGTTCATGAAATGAAAACAAAAGCAAGATTTGTTCAGGTAGGAAATAGAAGAAACAAAGAAAGAATGATTGAGACTGGATTGTCTCCTCCTTACATGAGTGACTCCTCAAGATCTCCCAAGACGTAATTCAGGTCACTCATTTGAAGATATTCCTCGGTACAGTCTGGTTTGAGTTTCGTAATCGCTCTGTAGTCATCCAGGGCTTTGTAGTAATTACCGTACACGACGTAGGCGTCCGCTCTCAACTGTCGGATTCCGACATTCCATGGTATGTACTGTCAATCAACAAAAATAAGGATTCAATAAATACAGTGATAATAATATTTCCCTGCTTGTAGAGTTTTTGTTTTCTTTGCTGGAACGAAAGGGCAGCCTGACTAAGTCACTGAATGACTGACGTCCCAAACTGCGATTTTGGGGTCCAGGTAAGCCTATTTATGATTTATTTTATAGATTAAATCAGATAAATTTGTGGGGAAAATTCATTAATTTACTTGTTAAGAAATGCCACCATCTTTTAGAGATTTTCAAATCTGCGAGGAAATTAGGTTAAGACGTCTTTTCTTTTGGTCAAGGCATTCAACAATATAGTATCCGACGATCGATAGCTTAAATAAACAGTAGCCCCGCGCTATGCACTTGACTCACACAAAATGTACGAAGCGCAAACAGCGACCTCACATGGCTAGGCTACAATACGCAAATCAGTTGGTGCTCAACAAACGCCTTGGGAACAATTGTCGGGCAATTTCATCATTTTAGCACTGGGTTTATATCAAGTTATATTTGGTCTGCGGAATACAAACTTGTTGGGGAATGTAACCACACAATCTAGCTCTCTAAAAATGTAAAATATGAGCCTCCACGACCAAGAGCTGAATAATAATCTCATTTTTATTCGCATATGAGGTCGTTGCTGGAAATCCAGCGACAAACTAAAGAAAAAACCTCAGCCAGGGCACACTATTGTTCCAAGACGTTCATTAACCCTAACCGCCCTGAATCCTCCAAAATCCTTTTTGCAAATTGGAGGAATTTGCAGGATTGAGGTTACATGGCAAAAGTGCGTTGCTGATTTCGGAGTACGCACTGTGTCAAGTTCTTGGGCCGGACCTTGTGTTGTTTATGCTCAGCCGTGCATAAATTTAGTCCTTGATTATACTTGACATCCTCCGCACTGCTCCAGGATGTCACTGCCTCTGCCTCAGCCTATTGACAGTCATAGCCGGAGGATTTTGCAGGATTCAGGCAGTGGTCACCCCTCCATGGACCATATTCAAGAAACAACAGAGGAATTTGCAGGATTGAGGCTATATGCTATTTTTCCACGAGGCCAATTGGAGGATTTTGCAGGATTGAGGTTACATCCTAGCAAAAAGGCCTAGGGAGTATAGGGTTAAGCACCAACTGATATGCATGTTGTAGCCTAGCTACGCAGTATGTGTAAGTGCTTAGCGCTTATTAGCGCTTAGCGTTTATTTATGCAGCGGCTGACCATCGACAATCGGACACTATCGTCGAACGCCTTGACCAAGGCTACTGACGACCAGAAGTGTCAACTACTCAATATCGATGGTATTTTAGTTGTTGCTTATAATGTGGTCTCACCGTAATGACTGCCGAGTAGTATTCAGCGGCTTCTTCCGAGCGGTCTGCTTTCATCAAACCCTCTGCATCCGTCAATCGCTGCTGCAGCTGAGGAATGATGTCAAGACGCTCTCTGGCCTCCTTGTTGCCTGGGTCTTGTCTCAGCTGCAAATAAAAACACAAGTATGCATACACACAATTCTGGACAGACAAAGGAATCAGGTTGGCGTAGCGGTACTTTCCTCGCCTTCCACCGCTGTGACCTGTGTTCGATTCCTGCCAGGGCCAATATGTGGATTGGGTTTTCAGTCCCTGCCTGATTCTGTGGGTTTTCCCCAGAATATTCTTCTGGGGTTTTTCCTCCCACCTCTAAAAAATGTAATTTCTTCTCACTGTCTCCTCTCCACAGGTTTCTCTAGGCTTGCGAGCTACAGTGTCTCTGGCACTTTTGAGGAATCCTTGGTTTCATTACCAAAAAATAAATACGTGTAAAGGTACCACTAAGGAGACACGTTATCATAATTTCCTCGCACGATGGGAGACATCGGTCATTAGGGAGACATTTTCATGTCTCCCTAATAATTACAATGGAATTGAAGTTAAATAAGAAATAATTGCACTGGAATTGAAGTTGGATGACAATAAGTGGTTAAAAAAAGACACCACAACTGTGCATAGGTGTCAGAATGAAAAGAACTTTTACTTCTTTTTCATCCTCTATTTCTTCCTCTATATCGACATTCTGATATTACACCACATCATCTTGTGACTTTCTAGCTTTTTGTCAAATTTGTTGGGTTTTAATTTGTCTTGATGAGTGGAGTTTGAGTATTTGATTTCACAGATATTATCTGACTGCACTCACTGCTTCAATGTAGTCTTTCTTTGCTTCCTCCATTTTGCCCAGTTTAAGGAGAATGTTGCCGTGATGGACAAACGCCGAGGTGAAGTCGGGTTTTAGTCTCATGGATTTCTTAAGGTCCGGCAGAGCGGCTTTGGACCTTCCTTGGGCCAGGTAGACTGTAGCCCTCTTGTAGTAGGCCATGTAGTTATCGGGATCATTGTCTACAAGTAGAATCACAAAGTTCCATGACAACCGGATCCAACAATCCTAGAAGGCTCCTTCCATGTCAAATTACCCCCAAAAAATTGCAAGTTGAACCCTAACCCACCTCACTCCTCCAAAATCCTCCTTGGAGGATTCTAAAGGATTGAGGATGAATGGTGATTGAATCAAATGAGGATTCTGGAGGATTGAGGATGAATGGCGATTGAAGCACATGAGGATTTTGGAGGATTGAGGATGAATGGTGAATGAAGCACAAGAGGATTTTGGAGGATTGAGGATGAATGCATTTTGAGGCAGGACTGTCTGATGATTTTGAAGGATTTGGCGTTGGTTATCCTTCATTTAAACACGAGTGCAAAGTTTTGGGATGAGGAGGATTTTGGAGGATTGAGGATGAATGCATTTTGAGGCAGGACTGTCTGACAATTTTGAAAAATTTAGGTGGAGTTGAAAAATTTTGGAGGATTTTGGAGGATTGAGGATGGTTGTAAGCAACAAGGGCCTAGGGGGTTAGGGTTAAAGGGAAGATACAACATTTGCAAACATTACAAAACGAAATGATCAAATTATCACAAAATACCTGACTGGATTGTATAAGGGAATGACAGTCTTAAGCATCCTGTAAAATCGTGGCTCCTGGTGTGCTGACATTTTCAAGAAAAATTGTATATTTCCAACGCTGGTCGGCCGACCAGCGTTGGAGAAAACTTTTTCAAAAACAGCTTTCGAAATCTTTGCTACAAAAACTCTTTGCAATTGATTACACACATGTGAAGGGGTACAAGCCTGCTAGACTGATTCTCTGACCTTACAATTCCACAAAGTCTATAAATTCTCTGTCTCATCTTAAGTGGGGTCAGGAAACCAGACTACAAGAACATTAATGGTTTTCTTGGTTTTTCCAGCGTCTAGAAGCCCAAAACGTGAAACAAGTCATTTTAACAATATTTGCTATAACATACTAATCCTCCACATTCAGTTATTTCTGAAAATTGGAGCAAAAGCAAATGTTGTACATTCCCTTTAAACTGTACATGTATAACACCTTTGTTCTCCTTAACCCCAACCCTGCTCAATCCAACAGGATCCAACGATTTTACATATCCGTTGGGTTCTGTTGGGTTGAGCGGTAAACCCCTTGTTTACATTCCTATTGACATCTGTTGGATTCAGCAGGCAACTGAAAACATTCAGAGTCGGATTCTGTTGGGTACTGGTAAATAACACCAAGTTGGACTCTGTTGGATCCAGCAGCAAACAGTTATATAAGGCACAGTTGGATTCTGTTGGACTGAGGGTGTCAGTCATTTTACATTTTCAGGTACCCAAGAACTGGGCAAGTTGGGTTGAGCAGGAAACTCATATGAGTAACCGTCAGACTCTGTTGGATTTAGCAGGGTAGTCCTGGGCAACACGTATAAATTGCACACTGTTCTGTCTTGATATCTCACCGATGGCTGAGCTGAACTGAGCCAGTGCATCGACAAGCTGCCCCTGAGCTAGCAACGAGTTGCCAAATTTCAGCAATCTCTCCGAGTTGGATTCTGTTCTTCCCTCTGAAAACAAAACAAAAATGATTAAAAGGAGTTAATTAGCAGAATATCACTCCACTGAAGTCATCTGTCGTGGGTAGAGTACATCCTCTGTTCTAAAGCTTTTTGTAAAGCACGTGGCTTGAATTCTAGAATAAGCAGGCTCCCGTGTGCCTGCTAGCACTATTATTTTTCAAGAGGTCTGCAAGATATGGGATTTGGATTGGAGCTTTTAGCATGTAAATTGACTCTGTTGGATTTTAAATCAGTGGTCAGTAGGCCAATAGCATCAAATTTGACATTTTAAAATTTTCTGTTTATTTTATTGATTGAATGTGGATTCCTCTTTTCAAAGTTAACAGTTTATGGGGTTTTAAATGAGTAACTTGTATTTTATCTGTATTATTCACGTCCCGCTTTATCTTAATGATTTGACTTGATTGTTGTAGGTTTTCGTGTATTTTGTATTGAACTTTTAAATAACTTAAAGTCTTATTGTTCTTATTGTAAGGCGCATTTGGTCAATTTTATCTGGAAAATGCGCAGTAGAAATGTTTATATTATTATTATTATTATTGATAAATGAATTGGTACTTGCATCTAGAATTCCATTTTCTTAATCAAATATTTCCCCAAAAAAGGGCCCTGTTGATCCATAACTCTTTAAAATTTGGGAACAATGGTTTTTTGGACAATCGGACCGACAATTGACTCACCACCGTCAGTTTTTCGACATCGCAAAAGTTGCACGCACACTTGATTTGAATTGTCGCTGACCCCTACATATGCAGTGACGTTATTTCTTGGAGCATTTTCTACAGGAGGGGATTTTTGTCAGGAAGCGCTGAAAAAAGAAAATCCCTCCTGTTCAGAATATGCTCAAACCGATTCAGGAAGTAACAGATACTGCATGCAGCGACGGTTCGCATCAAGTGTGTACAACATTTGCGATGTTGAAACACAGACGTTGGTGAGTAAAACCTCTGATTTCTCGATTAAATTGTTGGTCTGACGTCCTAAAAACCATTGTTCCTAAATTTTAATGAGAGAAAATGTTGCAACCTGACGTGGCTTCAGCGGTTGTGAACAAAGTCTACAGAGAGTCAAGAAAATTGTCCAAGTATTTCCTAACAAAATTGGAAATGTTTCTTAGTCCCAGATTCATGTCTTATCATCATATTTGCAATGACTGACCTTCATTGAGATGATATAATTATGAAGAAAAAAAGTGGCATCAGGTTGCAACACTTTTTCCTTTTAATAATGAGATTTGGATCAGTCAGGTCTACTTTCTTGGGCGATTTTTGCACGAGAAAGTGAATTTCTGGTTGCAAGTAATTCGTTTATCAACACTGGAATTAAAAACCCATAGCGTGTAGCAGACCCCCAAAAATATGATCTAGAACTTAGAAGGTACTCTAGTTCTAGAACTTAGAAGCAGTTATGGATACATGCCAAATTATCACCGAATGAAGCGTATCAACATCACTAAAACAATACAGGAAGGTTTTCAGAAAACATGGGATTTTTTTTTCATCTGGATATTATTAATATTAGGCCCCATTTGGTTTTTATTAACATGATTAAAATTCAACTTGGTTGCCAAAGGCACAATTGCATTGAAATCACAATGATGAATAGTAAACATTTGCACTAAAAAGCTCAATTAAACAAGTTAACATGGATTAAACATCAAGACAATTGTTTCACAATTTTTTTTTTTTAATTATTCACGTTAACAAAATATTAAAAATGCAGGCTAGGTAGGCCTAAAGCCAAGGCCAAAAAATGCAATGAATAAAGGAGGATGTAGGAAAATAAGACAAGACAAAGAAAAACAACGTATTTTTAAAATACAAATGCGAAAGGATTTAAGTTAATTAGTAACATTCACTATTGGCATTGCACAAAATGACAAATGTTTGACAAAATGACAATCATGACAATTGAATCAATCATGTCAATAAAATAATCAATGCAATGGCAACAGAATAAAAAAGATAGTGGATATTTTGCCGGAGGTAATGACGGCAAACTAACGATTACTAAAGGTTTGCCGGCGGCAATCCATATCAACAGAGGGCGCTGTACTCTTTAAAATAGGGCTGAATTATAAGATGTATTAAATTCCCACCAAAAGTTGTGTAGCACGTGTGGTGTAATGGTTAAGCAAAGGCTCTAATAAGCGGGATGATTCACATTCGATTCCTACCGCACCACATTTTAAAGGTTTTTTTCTCATCCCCAAATAAATAAGAATATTCTTCTTTTATTATTTTAACATGTCTCAAACATTTTTTGCAGAGTATTACATTTTCTTTTTCAGATTTGTGGCTCTGGAGGATTTTTTCTAAAAGGGAAATAAAGTCCGAAATTATAAAATGGTCTGAATCCCATCTTGTGAATACGAGGTAACAACGATAATTGTGGCATGGAGCCAGACTAAAACTTGTCACCGGAAAATGTTTAAGTACAAAAAAAACAGTAACTGCGCAAGTTCAGTGCATATCCGGCAAACTAACATGACTAACGTTTACTAAAGGTTTGCCGTCTCCGGCATATGCCAATAAAAAAATAGGCCTACATGTTATTTTAAACGAAGTGGCTATCGTTACGGCACTCGTTGTTTAGCGCCCTCTACGATATTTTTTTGATACGCACGCAGGTATATAATTATTTGTTTCCCCACGTTTTATCGAGCAGTGCGCCAGCTCAGCCGATAAAGGGTAGGATTTTGCACCGCGAGGTTGCGGGTTCGAAATTCGGTTTTGCACTCGAATTTTTTTCCTTTTCTAACCTGAGGCTTTGGAGGATTTTTTTTAAAAGGGAAATAAAGTCCGAATTTCATAAAGTTCAAATTCACTTTTTTCCTTCTAATTTTATATTTTCTTGTCATGTTTTTTTATAAAAGTTGCCAGGTTGCAGTCTACCGTAACGATAGAAAATGGGAAATGCGTTACGGCTGCCGTAACAATAGCCACTGCCTATTTTAAAAACATTTTCCCACATTCTCGTTACATGATCCACTTATAAGTTATATATGCACTGATTCAGCCTTTAATTATTCGTGTTATTGAGGAGGGGAAAAAGACCTTTTTTTAAATTACGACATGATGGGGCAGGTTACGTATGAACTGTACGTTGTAAAGTGGTTGAATGTCGGACACTTCGCCCCATTTCCACGTCGCCCCATGTCACTTCGCCCCGAACCACTTCGCCCCATCCCCACTTCGCCCCATTCCCACATCGCCCCATCTCCGCTTCGCCCCATTCCCACTTCGCCCCATTCCCACTTCGCCCCCATCCCCACTTCGCCCCATCCCCACTTCGCCCCAGCCGTTACATGTAAAAAAAAATCTCATCTATTTTATTGGCTTAAAAAAACAATTTCAACAGATTCACTAATTGCTAACCAACGGAAAGAATTAGCCCATCACTAAAATGAACAATTCATAACCAACCTCTCAAGCTAGGCTCTCCACTACCGAGAAAAAAGCTTGAAGTAAAATATCCAACTTTGTTCCCAACCCGGCTATACCAACCCGTCTCCCACTTATCTGAGAACGACAATACCTTTGACATCCTAATTTCACTCTTGGAGGAACCAATCTCATCTAAATGAAGTTGTAAGCCACGTCACATATCAGACAAATTTTGACGGAACATTTTCCTCAAGGCAGTGAGTTCCTTTTAACTCACTGACCCATCTACGGATTCTTTTGAATCCAGCGGCTATGATGATTTTATTCACAAGCCAATAGGAGAGGCGTCTCTGAATGGGATAGAGCCATCATTTCTCTCATCTGTGTCTCGAGCACCTCATCAGAGAGTTTGTATTTTTCCTAAGTTTTTAGAATTGGGAGCATTTATTATCTAGGGTCTTTGGCAGTTTATTTGGTCTGCACCCCTAGCCTTCACCTTTTTCATACTACATGGGGCGAAGTGGGGATGGGGCGAAGTGGGGATGGGGCGAAGCGGGGATGGGGCGAAGTGGGGATGGGGCGAAGTGGAGATGGGGCGATGTGGGGATGGGGCGATGTGGAGATGGGGCGAAGTGGTTAGGGGCGAAGTGACATGGGGCGACGTGGAAATGGGGCGAAGCGTCCGACACCCAAAGTGGTTGATGTGTGCACAACATTACGTGAACGATTCCTACCTTCATACTGCACTGCAAGTGTCGCCAAAAGCAACGGTAACGACGAGAAAAATCGGTTAAAATTTATCATCCTGACTCCTTCATCAAAATCAACGACTGAACAAGTTTTGGAGATAACCCTTCAGTATTTATCTTAGATTTTGCAAGATGTTCTTCTGCATGTCAACGTTTAAGTACACCCGGACTTCACTCGGTAAGCACACGACAGCAGAACAACACTTCCGGTATATTACGGATGTGTTGCATTCTGATTGGTCCAAAATACTGAAAGGTCATAAAATCCGGTCAAAGGTTATAAAATATTTACACGGCGCCCTCAAGTGGTGACCTGTGGTGAATTAGTTGCAATGACAACAAGCACGCTGTGATCAGAGTGGTACAACTTGAAGTTATCTCGTAAGAAAATCTGTAAAAATACCCCCTATGATCGGTTATAAATACCTATGATCGGTTGAAAGCTTTGTTCCAATGAGTATTTTTCATATAGATCTCATAAAATAAACCATGATATGCCATGTTTTCGGTTAAATTGCAACAGTTTTGAAACATTTTGGACCACAACACCTTTCTTGCATCTTGCAAATTGACTTGAATCTTTTATTGTTTTTAAATCGAATCCTACATTTATTTGCAGATTATTTAATCTTCTTTTTCTGATTCCTGGTTTTGGAGAATTTCTTTTTAAAGGGAGATGAGCTACTTCGGAGTTACTACTGTGCATGCACACATCAAGATTCAACAATTTACTTTTGTAGATATAACAGTTTGCCATACGCGTGCAAAATCATAGCGGGGTACCGACGAAATCAAAGAAAATATCTTGTTTTGAAGTGAACGCAAACTGTTGAGTTTTTTTAATGGCAACATGGTTTAAGTTGTTTTGTATGCTCCAACTTTTGTGCGAAGAAAAGTTTCCATCTTTTTGATTTGGTTACCACATCCCCCATAGACTTGTGCGCATTTAGCTGCTGTGTTTATCCACAACATAAAATCGTTGAATCTTGATGGTGCGCATGTGCAGTAGTAACTCCGAAGTGGCTTACAGGCCTAAAGTCCGAAATTGCATTAGGTCTGATTCCAATCGCGTGAATATGAAGTCAAGACGATTAGTTAAGCCCCCTTACGGCAACAACTTTCTTAAGTCCCCAAAACACTCACGGTGCAAGTTTAGTGCCATGCCGGTCAAAGAGCTAAAAAAAATATCGGAGACCAATTCACGGTCAAATATGCACTGCCTTTTTTCTGTTTTACAGTCTCATCTCAACATTACATTTGTAGGAGTTGAACTTCGGAGTTCAGGGGAGTCAGATTGGCGTAGCGGTACTTTCCTCGCCTTCCACTGCTGTGACCCAGGTTCGAATCCCGCCTGGGCCAATATGTGGATTGGGTTTTCTGTCCCTGCCTGATTCCGTGGGTTTTCCCCAGAATATTCTTCTGGGCTTTTCCTCCCACCTCTAAAACTGTAACTTCTTCTCATTGTCTTCTCTCCATTTATCCATCCTGTTATTGGCGCTTGCGCTGTTGGATGTGGCTGAAATAAAATTAAAATAAAATAAAAAATATTTAACAACAATGTGTTTTTATTTTTCCTTTAGTGAAAGAATTCTGAGGGAAATCAACCACAGCAATGCCAGGCAAAGGAAAGAAGAAAGGCAAGGGGAAAGGGAAGAAGAAGAAGAAGTTAAAGGGCATGGGAGAAACGCCCGGCGACATTGTGAAGAGACTCTATCGAATTTATCTCAACAACTGTGAAAACAAGAAATCGATCGTCTGTCCGAGCCTGAAAAATTTCATGAAGAGCTGTTACGAGGACAATAAACTCATCGTCAAGGTGAATGGTGACAGCATCTTTTCTGGGACCTTGAAGGCAGAAAAAAAATGCAAAACAAAGTCAGGCCAACTTTACTCACTCTTTAGCCAACAAAATTCTTCAAAATGTTCATGAGGCAAAGACAAGGTCCTCAGTATTTCACCAGCCAAGTTTGAAGTCTCAATTCAATTTTTAAAGGAAACTTAATTTTTTTCAACATTTTACACCTGAGAGTGAAGTCAAGTGATTTCAATTTGAAGACTAAGACTAGACTGGTGCATGTCCAACTACTGTTTGAAAAGACTTACCTCTTCGGTAGTCTGGTGGCAGACGATCATGACTATGGAGAGATCTGTAAAAATAGAGACTAGGTACCAGACGTTTCTTTTGACACAATGATTGATGCAGTACTAAAAGGGTGTTGGACTGGTTGTTTTTACTGGGCCAGTCTATTTTCTTGTGTTGCTTGTTCTCAATACCTTAAGTATTGAGAGTCCCAAATTTTCGGACTAGGTTTGATCTTGATGTTATATCCTAACTTTAACAATTGTCCCAACTAGCTATAAACACAACGAGCCCAACTATTGTTTGGGCCATTGCTATATTTGGGTTGTAACCCATTATTTGTTCGGCTAACGAGGAGGAAGGAGCACATTTTATCTCAAAATCTTGTTCTCAATTTTGCAAATTTTTATCTGGTTTTCCAACTTTCCACAAACCCTGTCACGTGTTTGAATACAGTTGTATTTGGGTTTTTTCTTTTTCTTTTATAGTTTATTTTAGAACCTGTGGCCGACTACCAAGATCCTGAAATCAGTAACGTCAAGTTGGAGCCGCTGGTCATGTCGCTCCGACAAGAACGATACAAGTACATTAAGGAGCTGCACGTCTGGGATATACCCCTGAAGCACGAGCATCTGGCCTCGCTGGTCAGTTTAATCGAACATCATGCTAGTCTTTTGTTAGACCCTAGGTCATGGCTTTCCTAAGCTTGTTTTTCTTTCACCTAAAACAACATCTAACTTGTAGGGCTAGTTTGGAGTACTGTGGCCTCGTGGTTAAAGGTGGCAGATTCATGGTCTGCTGGTAATTCTGCAGGTTGTGGGTTCGAGTCCAGCCTGGGGTCATGGTGTGTGTGCCCTTAGGCAAGGCACTTTGTCACTCATTGCTTCTCCCCACCCAGGAGTAAATGGGTACCTGCGAGGGCAGAGATGGTTAGTGTGGTTGATTTAGCTGCTTTGCGCGAAAATGACGGCATCGAGCTGTATACTCCCAGGGAGCTGAGATGGTGTTTGGCATGTTTCATGGGCCCAATGAGCAGGGTAATAATGATGTAGCGCCTTGAGCACCAGTCCTGGTGGATACGTGCGCTTTATAAATACCCACTTTTATTATTATTACAAAGCCTTTTACAGATTACACCTTTTTTTTTTAATGCTTACATTTTAAGTCAGACTAAAATATCAATAACATGCTTGATTTTCCAGTTGCACTCGTAACATTTATGGAAACTTTCTTTGTCCATTTTTTTTATAGGCTTTGATGTTAGACAAAGGTGTGTATCCATTGACTCGGTTGGAGCTCATCGATTGTGACATCGATGCATATGCAGTGGAAAGACTCATGAAGTAAGGTCGCCGTCTGTCTGTACAACCAAGACAAATAATCACTCAGAAACTTTTTAAAATGTCCAACAATAGAGCCTGAAAGTTCACCCCTGGTGGCACGCTTCCATTAGGCCAAATAAAAAGAAAACATGATTAGCGTCCTGCCTTTTTTAAAAAAAGGAAGCGAGATACTCTTTTTTTTTTCCTTCAAAATGGCCGCCCGACCAGGCTATTTTTCAAAATGGCCGGCAGTTTTTTAAATGGCCGCCATTGGACTCAGGAAATGGCATACCACCTTTATATGGGCTAGATGCAACATACAAGGTCGCCAAAATGATAGGAAAATAAGATTGCCAAAATTCTAGAAATTGCAATTGTTTTATTGGGTACATTTATTTCTTAAGAAAATCAATCCCGAAAAAGGCCTTTGTAAAATTGATACTAGCAATCAATTTATGGCATCTATGTTTCTTCTAAAGTAGCGTGAGTGAACCAGAAGACAAGAACAGCATAGTTCTTTTTTCTGTAGAATCTATGAACACAAAACTTTAGACAGGTCAGTGTAACAATATTTGCTGTAAAAATACTATCCCAAAATTCATCCATTTCTGAAAATTACAGCAAATGCAAATGTTGTTTCTTACCTTTAAACTATAAATGCAGATAATCGGAAGGTGACTTGGATCTAATGAGTTGAAACAATTTTTCCTCCCTTTAGATGCATGCCGATGACAATAATAAGCACACTGGCTTTCGACTACAATGAGTAAGTATGCATCTTGAACCTTTTTAGAAGAATTGTTGAACAGTTTTAGTTGCTGTTTTGTCAAATTGAGTCTTTTCAAATTCTTATTTCTTGTAACAAAACCTCTTTGAAAAATGAGTTCATATCTTGTTTCTTTCTAGATTTGGTGATGAAGGCCTCCGAGGAATCTGTAAAGGCCTCAAAAACAATCGCCTGTTGCTGAGTTTGAGTCTCTGCTACTGTGATCTAGGAGTAGAGGCAGGCTCCATGCTAGGAGACATAGTCTCAACAACTGCGCTCAGGTGAGTAGTGAGTCACCGAGTCTGAGTTACTGTGATCTAGGAGTAGAGGCAGGCTCCATGCTAGGAGACATAGTCTCAACAACTGCGCTCAGGTGAGTAATGAGTAACCGAGTCTGAGTTACTGTGATCTAGGAGTAGAGGCAGGCTCCATGCTAGGAGACATAGTCTCAACAACTGCGCTGAGGTGAGTAGTGAGTGACTGGGTCTGAGTTACTGTGATCTAGGAGTAGAGGCAGGCTCCATGCTAGGAGACATAGTCTCAACAACTGCGCTGAGGTGAGTAGTGAGTCACTGGGTCTGAGTTACTGTGATCTAAGAGTAGAGGCAGGCTCCATACTAGGAGACATAGTCTCAACAACTGCATGCAGGTGAGTAGTGAGTCACTGACATGAGTCTGAGTTACTGTGATCTAGGAGTAGAGGCAGGCTCCATGCTAGGAGACATAGTCTCAACAACTGCGCTGAGGTGAGTAGTGAGTAACCGAGTCTGAGAAATTTGAGAAATAGTTGCAATGGCTGCATGGCCATCCCCGACTTATTTATGTTCAGAAATTCATATCCTGCATAACCTAAATGTTTCGTTTGTTTCAGAGATATCTACCTGAATGGCAACAATCTGGAGGCTGAGGGCGCTATTGAACTGATCAAGCTAGCGGCTGATCATGCAGAGATGGAGACTTATGAACGGAACGAGGGGGCACGTCTGAAAGCTGAAGAAGAGGCCCAGGCATTGCTGTTGGGTTAGTTTTGTCTTCTTATTTACAAACCACAAAGGGAAACTGACTAGCTGCATCATAATATTATTTTTTAATTAATATAATGCAGTAATCCCATTTGCTTCCAAAGTCTGCATCGTGACTTTGGGCATGATCCCTGGCTGTATGGCATATACAGGTTTATGGCCTTTGACTAGCGCCCCTTGAATAAAGATATAACTAGGGAACCGCCAGCACAGGGCTGGATTGCTCAGTTGGTAGAGCACCGGAACTGGAACGGTAATGGTCGCAGGTTCAAGCCCCACTCCAGTCAATGTATTTGTTCACCTTTTCAAAAAATGATCTTCATATTAACAAATTGAATTTTCGTGAGATCAAAAATAACATGTTACCTAGTGATAGAGCATATTTCTATATTCAAATGTATGCAAGATGTTTCTTTTTAAAGTGGTTTTAATTACTTGTATGGGGTACTTAAAAAAAAAAACCCAGTAAAGTACATCACATTACATCACTTCAAGATGACTAGATAAGCTTAACACCTAATTGTCCTCCTGAACATGTGTTTCAATCGGGCACCGTGCACTTACTTCATCTTGCCAGCTTGCTTTGCAGTTTGAAATTGACAGCTTAAAAAAGGTTTTGAAAACTTGGTTTTGGACAAAAGAGACTCTCCTGTCTTTGAGGACAGATATCATTTGACTAGAGATCCTTGTCTGAATCGTCGAGTGTTATCTTATTTTCTTTTTGTCAGAGAAAGAACGAGGGAGAATGCCAACAGCGATGTCATCAGAGGAGCCTGCCAAGAAGCCAGATTCAGCCAAGAGCAGCAAAGCAGGGTCTGGAAAGAAAAAGAAGAAAAAAGGTTGGCACGTTCTTCAATCCCCCACCCCCATCCCCCACCCTCCAGCCCATCCCCTCCCCACATCCAAGAGCTTAAGATTCATAGTAAGAGCGCGGTGGTCTAAAGATCGCGGCGTTCGACTCACGTGTCGCGGTACGTGGGTTCGAACCCTGACGGGGAAACATGGTGCTTGTGTTCTTGGACAAGACACTTACTACAATTGCCTCTCACCACCCAGGAGTATAAATGGGTACCTGTGAAGGTAGAGACCAGAATGCGCTGATCTCGAGCTGCTGCAAAAACTTTGAGAGCTTTGGTATAAAATGCTATATTTTTATTATTATTATTATAGTCTGTTAACATTTTAAGCAGATTTTACAAAAAATTGACAGAAAGGTGTAAATATTGATACCACAGCTTCTGGTTGTTTTTTTCCAGCAGGTAGTATATGCGGGTTCTGTATACCTCATTCAAATAAAACAAATTGTTTCTTTTACTTCCAAGACAAGGCAGAAAATACCCACACCTGGAAAGATTCTTCATTTCTTCCCTGGTATGTGTTTTTCCCTCATTTTAGGCAAGAAGAAGAAGAAGACAAAAGCTCCACCTGAACCCCCTCCTGTCGGTCCCTGGATACACAAACTGCACCTTGAAGATAACGGTATTGATAGCTACGGGCGTGGCTCTACATATGCACCTGTTATCGTTACCAGGCTTCTGAGACAGTAAGTCAATCAATCAAGTCAAAATTGACTGGTTTGTCACTGTTCAGAATATAGACTAATCCGGCGACGGCCATTTTCTGAGGTGGCACCAGGCTTGTGTGAGTCGCGCTCAGGTAGTACGCAGTAATAGACCAAGAGTTACCAAAATGTGCCCAGCCTTTTCTTTAGGAACATGTGCAGCATTCGCATGAGCGTGCACCACTGCAGTAACAGCTTCTAATTCTGGCCACCAGATTTCCGTATAGGCTTCGTGCGCCAACAAAAGAGGGCGCGTTTTTGCCTCTTTTGAGAGCCAAAAGTGAGCCACGGGACACACTTTTGTGCGCATACTGTAGGTTCGCAAAGTATGCACGACTTCCTTAATGTGCAAAAATTATAGCCACAGCATCTTCGCATGAGCGTCAGGCGTCGTCGGCACGCGAATACGTTCGAATTCAACTTGCAATGGTCTCTGAGATTAGTTACCGCTGCCAATAACTTTGGATACATCCGAAATAAACAGTGGATGGATGGGGAACCAGTCTAGGTCACCCCAACTCCCTTTTTTTGTGCACGGAGCCCATACAGCTTTGCAGCATCAACCTGTCCACAATCACTCACAAATGCCACATTTTCTGTTTTGCTAACCATTTTTCAACCTGTGAATCTCCCGACAGACTGATCCAGCATTCCAGTTGCCTTCAGGAGTTGGACATCGACGACAATCTGATCGGTGATCTGGGAGGCAGAGAGATCCTCGAGGCGTTGAACAACAGGAAGGAGGCGGGACATCCCTCCATGAAAATGAGCGTCACGCATCGCATGAACTCGGAGACGTTTGCCGCTATCACGAAACTCGGAGCAGGGCTCAAGAAGAAAGGGAAGAAAAAAGGCAAGAAAAAGGTGAGCATGTTGTGCAATGATAGGACGAGTGCAAAAAAAAGACATTTATAGTATTAGGCATGCGTGGCAGTAAAATTAAGTACAGTTGTCTTTTTTTATGGAAGTCGCCCATTACAAGGCTGATAGAAACTGCAGTGTGAATAAGAGAATTTTTTGAGATAAGGAGTTGAAATCCTGGTACATGCTTGGGCAAAAACCCGAATATAAGCTCTGTACTCGGGTTTTGTCTTAAAACAGGGCTTAAATTTCACAGCATGCAAGTTGTCATATCTGTGATAACCCCCCAAAAAAATTCACTTTGCTCTCTGCGTTCCCTGTTCTTAGAAAATCTCGCATTTGAAAAGCTGTAGAGCAACAAGTTTTTAGTTTTGCTTGATTGATGCATTTTGACCCACTGACCTCAAACTGAAGTGTGACCTTTGACCTTTGGCCTAGCTACTTGTTAATAGGTTCTAAAACACTTTTCAAATCCCTATTTTTGTTTTCATTTCAAACAGAAAAAGAAGAAATGAACTTGCCGTGGCATCTGTGAGCAAGGTATGAAAGTGTTAATATTCGTCGGGAATAAAGTGCCTTATAGAATTCTTACCAGTATTGTGTAGAATAGTGAGACATTGGCAGCAGGTGATCTACATAGTGTCACGGAAATGTCGTATCTGTCATATGACAGAAATGTTACATCTGTCATATAAAGAAATGTTACATCTGTCATATAAAGAAATGTTACATCTGTCAAATGACAGAAATGTCACATCCGTCATATGACAGAAGTGTTACATCTGTCAGATGACAGAAATTTCCAAATCTGTCATATTATGTCAAAACTGTCACATCCATCATATGACAGAAGTGTTACATCCACCATATGACAGAAGTGTCACATCTGTTATATGACGGAACGTCAGCTCTGTCATAGGAATCTGACAGACACATTATACTGTGATAGCCATTATCAAAATGTCGTCTGTGTGGGTCAATATAAATACCATCATGTGTCACTTGTCTTAGGATCTTTACATAAATATTGAAAGCGATCATGACTAACAAAAATCTGAATTTAGACAAAATAGCATGACAATTTTTCTTGGCATTGTTGAACTAGAAAGTTTTAATACTCTAATCCATCACAAATTCCACTTTACAGAATCCAAGTTATCACTTGCCAATTAATCTGGCATGCTGTGCATAGGTAAAAGAAAAACCAACATGGAATCTTTTAGAGTGTACAATTTGGAAGCAAAACGTGAACACAATCTGAAATAAAGCGTTTACTATACCCTTTTTACTTTACACAGTATTTTGCATAGTCTCATAATCCATTTTAGTTGTATTATTTGTACATCAATATTCACAAAACTTGGGTGTTTTTTTTTAACCAAGACACATACACACAGTGGGCTGAATTGAACAAGGTTACCAAGGAGGAATTTTGCTTCAGTGATTGCAAATTTGTGTTGCTGACCGGTTTCTTAATCATTTATCATCGTATAGAATTAAAGGTTATAGTTACATTTGCTTTTGCTGTAATTTTCAGAAATGGATGGATTTGGGGGTTAGTATTTTTTTATAGCAAATATTGTTACACTGACCTGTTTTAAGGTTTGTGTTCATGAATGCTGGAAAAACCAAGGCAAAAAATGTTGTTTTTGTAGTCTTGTTCCCTGACCCTACTTCAGACGAAATGGAGAAATTTATAGACGTCGGGGAATTGTAAGGTCAGGGAACCAGACTAGCTGGCTTGCACCCGTTCATGTATGTGTAACTGATCACAAGGAAATTGTGGACTAACTAAATTTGGTAAATTGGGACAGTATTTGAAAAAAAAGTTGTTGTTTTTTCAACGATGGGATATAATAATTTCACTTTACTTGAAAATGACAGCACACCGGGTGCCATGATTTCACAGGATGCTTGAGACTATTATTCACTTACAGTCAAGTAAGGTATTTCATAATAATTTGGTAGTTTTGTTATTTGATGTTTGCAAATGTTGTACATAACCTTCAAGGAACATGGAGCATATATAGTCTACTGAGGCAGCTAGAGCAAAAATTATATTTTGCTTAACAAAACATCTTTATCACTTACAATTTCATAACTAGTTCTCACGGTTAATAAGCAAAGCAATATAGAAATCGGGACCAGATTTTTTCACCAGACCTATGTTAAAGCTATAGTCCATCATTTGTAATTAGTGCATTTTGTTCGTTTGAAGCAACAAAAGTGTTCAAAATCTAATAAAGGATACTAAACAACTTACTTGATGAAGTTTCAGCTCAGCTTCAGCTTCATATTCCGAGAAAAACAGGTTTCTAGGATCTCAATTTAAAATCAAAAGTTGCTAAATCATGTTTCGAATTGTTTTGAATTGCAGCTTTACGCGGGGTTGCGCACTGATCCAACGAATTATAGCAACCGCGCGCGCCTGTGCGTCGTTCCAATGCTTGTGCGCGCTGCGCCGAATAACAAAACGAACAACTAATTTAAAATTTCCTACGGTGCTTCTTAAGAAGCACCGTTGGAAATGCCTTCTTTCGTTGATTTCTTCAAAATGAGAGCTTGCCAGAAAGGATAATTTCACAGGGAGTTTAGTCCCCTTACTATCTTTCAACCAGTATGTTTTTCAACAATAATTACGCCGGTTACTTTTTTGGATAGCTGCAAATGATGGACTTGGGCTTTAAAACAGTTCATCTAGAAATTTATATTTTCGATAATTGGAACGGATGGGTTTGGTTCACTCTTAAACTCTCAACCAAACATTTGTTGAATTTTATTTAGCTGCAGACATTCTAAAATTGTGCCTCATTTTCCGAAACTAGAACATATCCATAAAGCGTAATTATAACTTATTTTTGTACAAATTGTGGCAATTTTTGTATATATCTTTTGTAAAATAGTAAATAATGATACATTATATAAAGACATTTTTTAGATCTATGCAAAAAGTGGAATAGTACAAGTATTTACAAGTATTGAACAATTGACAACCAACCAAAAGTGAACTTCAAATATTATTCTTGATTTCCGGTTAGTCTGGTTATGCAAAACAGCTGTCTTTTTCAAAACTTTTTAAGATTTGCAGATTTCTTAACAATTTATGCATGGAGATCACATGGAGACAAAGCTGAAATTTCCCGATGCGTAAAACTTTGATTTGTAAGAATGAAGTAGTTGCCAATGTACATTTACTATTAATCAGTATTTTTAGCTTTTTGTATTCCGAGAAACCATTAAATACATTGCTAGTATATTTTCAGCAACTTAGTGGATTTTGTTTTGTTTTTGTCAAGTAGTCTTTTTTTTTTTTTTTTTTAAAGTAGCTTCTAATTCAAGGATTTAGGTGCTTCAGGAGTCTATGATCACAATGTATCATTACTGTTATTATTTCAGAAATCATTTCAGTGATTCATAATGTAACAGCAGTCTTTCAGTAAAACGTCTTTACACTTCAGTGAATGTGGCGTTTCTTCACACCTACATGCCCTCTGTTGATTCAGCCGGATTATTGGCAGGCAAGAAATGAATGAGTGTGATTATGGCCTGATCTGTGTTCCAAATTGCCTGCCATTACATGTTTAGAATCAGTGGAGGGTCTTGCAAACCATTGTCCCATCTAAGGGCGGATCCAGAACACATTTTTTTGGGGGGGCCAACAAAAATTTGGTCCCCCCAAAAATGGGTCCAAAAAATTACGGCGAGGGGTCCGGGGCCCGCTTAAGGGCCCGAAAAAAATTTGGATTCTAGATGCTCTGTGGTGCGATCTGAGGCAATTTCTGACCACTTAAACCAATTTTTATTGAGGAAAAGATGGTAGTGTACGCAGTTCCTGCCTTTATTGCGACGTTTTTTTTGGGGGGGGGGAGGGCATGGCCCCCGTTCCCCCCCACCCCCCCACCCCGTCTGATCCAGGATTCTCTATAATTTCCTCACAGAAATGTAAATGCTATTGTAGGTATTGTATTTTGGGGGAGGGGGGAGGAATTTGGGTGGGGGAGGGGGAGGAGGGAATGGGGGGGGGGCTAGTTATGCTCTGTGCACCCCATGGTGGTCTTTATAAACATTGTTATTCCAGCGAGTTTTCAAGACTGTCAGCATTTGTTGCCCCCGACAACATACTGTCAGTCAGGCTCGTGTTGGCAGTGGATGTCGAATCTAAACTTGGATCAACAACGGCGCACGCATGGCATACCTCCTCCAAACCGAAGCGTTTGGCCGCTCTGTAAACCTGAGCAGCATCGCGATCTGATACAGCGACCCTCCCCGTATACATCGAATGGATCAACTTCTGCAAGACGTCGGACGAAATCCTCTTCATGTGTACATCCATGGCATTTGTGCCATCCAAGTCCTGCGAAATCACGCGGGAGAGGTAACTACTTGAAGCTTCCAGGAGCAACCGATGGCAAGGGAAGTCTTTAATCTTGGTCCTCAGCACAACATCGGTGAGGCGAGCAGCTTGACGAAGCTTAACCATCTCGCGGATGAGACGAGAAGGATGCCTGTTGTCATGGAAAACAAAGTGAGTGGACGATTCGGTAGATGAGTCGCTGCCGATGGAGCTTGTCAAGTATCCCTCTGATCCCGTACTTACGCTCCTACTGTACTTAGGACCCACTCCAAGAGCTGATGAAAGACCATTATTCTTCATCAATCCATCTACCTCTTCATCATTGATGGTTCCTCCGTTACCTCCTAGCGACACATCTTGAAGTATCTTGGCAACATCATCACCAACTTTATCATTGATAACTGCTATCTTAGGAGATGATCCATTGAATGGTTCTCTAGGGCTGGGCAGTAGAGGGGATGGGGTAGTCAGAGGGCTCGCAGCTCGTGGGCTTTGTACAGGCGTGGTCCTAGGACTCCCCGATCGAGGACTTCCTCCGCTGGATGGACTCCTGCCTCCCGCAGTCTCACTTCGTTGTCTGCTCGACGAACGCTGTCTGATCTTCCGTCTTGAACGCTTCAAGTAATCCACACAGGCATCAATGACACTTTGGAATTGAAACATATTGGCAGCTTCCAGCAACGTCTTGACTCTGTCGTAGCCAATAGTGATGGTGGACGTGTAAGCGTAGTCGACCAGAGCTCGCATGACTTGCATGTCCACCCCTCGCATCTCAATACTATCGTGTCTACTAAGATGGCTGGAAACGGCCAACATGTCACGAAAGTACGGACTGCTGGCCGCAAGAACAATCCGATGGCATTTAATCTCTCCTCCGTAGAAGACAAGATTTAAATCGATGAGTTTATCCTCCTCTCTCATCGTGGCCAGTTTCTTTAAGGTGACAGTGGCTTTCCTTGAAGGCAGCGAGTCAGAGCTTCCAGTGGAGCTACCCGAGGCACTAGACCGGGCACCTGGGGAGCCAGAACGCCGGTACGTCTTATCCACACGGGGAGGAATCTTCAGCGCCAGGGATGCAGTTGCCTGATCGCGTCCCCTCACCGGACTCGTGACTGAAGATCTCTTGAGAGCCTCAGATGAAGATTTTGGACTTCCCGACGACGAGGAACTGAGTTCTTGATGGTATGAGGCAGGGCGTGGTCGCCGTGGGGATGAGCCTGTTGCCTTGGTAACAGATGCCATGGGCCGTTGGTGCCCATTTGTTGGGCTTGTTCCGTTGTTAACTCGGTTGGCCATTGTTTAATGCCTACAAGACAAACAAATATAGATAAGTCATGTACTGCTCCAATTTGTACACTACAAATAAGAGAGGTGCTGAGGTAGCTATTGCGCCAATCAAACGTGCAATGTCGATTTTTTTCGAACTTCATATGAACCCAATTATTTCAGGTGGTGTATCTAGCTTTGCCCAGTTTTCCGCTCTGCCAATCTTTTTATTCATTTCATAATGCATATGAATGTAAGTGTACATTCAGGCGAGCGATGCAAATTTAAATGTGAATGCACTTCCACCGTCATCACGAGATCTATACATCAACTTCAGTCTGATCTGATTGCACAACACAAACCTTTCAATCGGAATACAATGTAAAAACACATCCAATGCAATCTTTGAAGTGCGTTGTTTAGACACAGATTCGAAGGTCGAGATGTGCCGACGGAAAACACACGTTTCGGTTCCCACACGCTGAATCTATTTTTACAGTTAAATGCTGGCAGTGTGCCTGGTCAAATCTAAGGTCGCTTCATATCATTTAGAATGACTCATCCGCTACACTGCGTGCATGGCAGACACTACGTGTATTTTTAAAATATATTTCAGCCGGCATTTCTAGTTCAGATAAGAAATCATATGATTTATTTCGGATGTTAATGGTACGCGCTTTTCTCTGTGTTTTCGTTTTGTTATTGAAATGGTATACAACAATGATTCTAAACAGATGGACAGACAAGTGTATTTTATGATAAACCGGAAACAAATTTACCACCAAAAATATGGCAAATCCTAAGACTGAGTAACCATGGCAACGTATTTTCTTCACTTGACGACACTGTACGCCCTATACGTAGTGGTGACGTCACGATCACAAGTCAGTCTACCTCTCATTCAAAGAGAGCCGAAGCACTCTTGAAAATAGAAACATCGGTAAGGCTTTTTGGCTCCTGACCTCACACAATGCTTATATAATCTGGGCCGGCGGGACACTCCGGCCTATTTCCGACATAAATGTTCAATCATCTTAAACTTTATCATGTATTTTCAATTTGGAAGATTTCGTGCCGGCGAAAGTTGTTCGGAATATATTAAAATTTGTCTCGTGATACAATCCTCATTTCAATAATAGATTCAAGCACTGATAACAATCTATGGAGCCGTTTAGGCCTATGCATTCCGTATTTGATATTTTTCTTTCATCTTCGTAATCCGAAACGTTCGACTCGGTCATCGCCCTCAGCTAACCTGACCATCGGGTTCAACCAGGACATCTTCAAACAAAGAGAATCTTACCGAACCTAGCTCGGAGTTTTCCCTCTGAAACCTAATACTTGTGTCCCCTCGTGCTTTTGTAGAGGAATCCACCGTAGGTCTACACTCATCAGGTTAAGTGTTTTGGTCTTTTCAAGAAGATTTTCATCTTCTTCATCTTATTAGGATACCGCAACCTGTCTGAATCTTCTCAGTATCACAGTGAATCTGATCAATATAATGATTCAACGAGTTCAACAACTTGGCTTGAGAATTAAATTTGCATAACACAGCGGCAACTCATTTGCGAAACGCTAATTAAACGGCTGTATAGCTGTTCGATGTTTAGCATATTCCAAAATGAAGCCGGTGTGCAAAGGGATGGGGTGATGGGCGGGAAAACTCATGTTTGGAGGGGGTTTACTATACCGGCGTCAGAATAATTTACTAACTTGAAATATTATTATGACGGATTCAAATTTAAAACACCAAACTGACTTCAATCAGTTCAATGCCGATGGGCCACCGCGTGTGCAATTTCGAGCGCTTAAAGGGTCCATTCAATAAATTTTTCTTAGAAACATATTTTGTGTAACTTTCTACTCTTAAATGTATTAAAACTATTTGACATCGCTTTTTTTTTTTATTGAAAAATGCACTTCTTTAGACAATTAAAATTGTCCGTGCTTTTCCAGACAACCGAGGGCGCTGTTGCTGTGATGTCATTCCATGAAGTTCAGTTTACGGGTTGGTTTTCCGTTAAAATTGTGAACCAAATAAAATTGCTTACTGCCACGTACTGACACAACGAATCACCAAAGAATAAAAAAATCTACAAGAGCAAAGTATCCACAATACTGGCAACTTTTGGTGCAGAAATAGCGTTTTGTCTGCAGAAATTTTGTCTGAAATGACATCTCACTTTTGTCATGAATATGGAAATTCATATTAGAGAAAAAACAAAAAGGCACCAAAATACCCTTGAAAATGGCAAAATGAAAATTGAAAATAGGGTTAAAAAGGACACAAATTTAGGTGCTTATTCAAGGATTAACAGCGCGTCCCAAAATACCCGCAACATTGTTTTGCGAGACTCTAGCGTCGCTGCGGAAACACGTACCGCCATTATATCTATAACATTTTTAAAGCTTGGAATTCGAACTTTATCCCTGGTAAGTATCGATTTGATTTTCAAAGGTTTTTTTTTTTAAATGATTCGTGTTTAAATAAAGGCATGTCAAAAACACACAAAACTGATTTCAAGGAAAATCAATCATGCGCATTTTTTTTCAAATGTGGAAATGCTTCATCATCATGTGACGATCTCAGTTGCATTTTACTTTCTGTGCTTCCTTTTCTTTTCGATCCACGTAGACTACACCTTAAATAAATTCACACTATTGTTCTTCGTTTCAAGTTCAATGCATTTTTAATCATAAATCAACTGCTTTTTTTGTTATTTCAACAGCTTGTTGACTCGAGTTTGCATCTGATGTACCGCATCATCGATTTTCTCATAATTCGGTTGACTTTGTTCTCGACATGCCTTTATTTGAACACGAATCATTTTAAATATCAAACCATTACTCGCCAGGGATAAAGTTCAGATTCCAAACTTTAAAACGGTGTAAAAAAATAATGGCGCAGTGTTTCCGCGCCGACGCTATAGAGCCTCGCAAAAAAAAAGGTTGCGGGTATTTTGGGACGCGCTGTACATTAAAAAACATAACAAGGACCCCTTGAAAATTCTGGACGTTATGTTCATGAAATAGCATTTAAAAATGTGTATGCTCAAGTAAGTGCAATAAACAACAGTCCGACGTCTGCCTCAAAGTTAGATCGAGAGAAAATAATATCTTTATATTTTTCCTAAAAAAGAATAGAACACGAGCTCATCCGCCAAATTCAAGCCAGGACCTCGTCCTTATACGTCTCTGTTTATAATGAAAATTCTTGTAACGCCTGGCAATCGCTCCTGTGCATTCTGTCAAGATTGTCATGTACATAATGACATGGCGCAGATGTTTTGCGATGAATCCATCCGTGACATTGTCGGCGTCAAGATGTACTTTTCTCCGAGGTTAGAGAAGTGTATGGCAATCTCGAAACTCGCAGGCAGCGAGTAATTATGTGAATAATATTGCCCGTTCACAGACGCCACGTGAGCACGCAAAAAGAGCTCCGAATTCACAGAAGTTTTTTTTACAAATCATGTTCATTATGGCAATTTTATCGAGCCGAATTCGTACATTTTGAATGAAGATTCTTATGAACAAACTTCGTGAAAATCAATATCAGTCTGAACTGGTTGTTCTTTCGTCTTGCAATGATGTCATTTCAGATATTCTAGTTTTCCGTCCTAGACTTTTTCGTAGATCATTTATGCAGGGGGTCGTATACTGGTTATAGGCCTTTATTTTATCATTTTCGTACAGCTATTAAGGCCTATTCCATATTGTCTCAACATAATCCAATAAAATGGAGATCAATACGTGCGCTATTTATGCAAATTGCGAAGTTAATATGCAGCTCTTCTATAGTCGCCAAGCCTCATCAATATTCACCGGTCCCTTATCATTCCGGAGGACTGCATACCTAGCGGGGATATAAAGGGCAGACGACAAAGCAAAACACTATTAATGAATCACTCTGGACCATGTACACGCCTTTCTCAAGACGGAGACATTTTGACGTCTTGTTTTTCGTTCGCACAAACTGTTTATGTGAGGTCTAATAAATGACAGGCCTTTGTCGGACCTAATACCAACACAGAACCAACATTCTTGTCTTGCATTAAATGTCATTTTCCCTGCAAATGCTCACTTGGGTTGCATTTTTGTCATTAATGTCACGCCATTAGCCCCTTTAGGCTATGCTCCTGATAACATGAGGTATTTATAACATAATTCACAATCGGTCAACAATACTCACCCGTTTACTCTAGGCTGCAGAATTACTCCATCCTCAGTTAAATTTATCATATCAACAACCAACCCGCATAATGTCATTCGAATGTTGCTACATCATGATGGCGTCCGTATTGCTCATCTCACATCAGCCAAGCGAACCAGACTGCCATCCGTCTTCATAATTTTACAAACCACGCCACCAGGAATATATAGGTCAACAAATCGTACACAATCATCTGCTGTATATTGTGCAGCACAGAAATAACTAATAAAGTATAGGCCCTACATCAGCAGATATGCAGGTAGCCAACATCCACGGTAAAAATAGAAACGGTCCTCACATCTCAAAATTCGTACGGCTCCTGAACAGGTTGATGCTAAACAGCGATTTAGACAAACACACCGGCCTTGACTTGACCCAAAACCGTCGGTCCTTCTGGCCGGAGAAACAGCCGACTGTGCTCACAGCTGATCAGAAATGAAGAGCAAAATTGATGGAAAGTGAAGCGATGATCATGAGCTTCACACGTCTACAGTATAATCTCAGTGAGAGGAATATGCATGTACGGTCGTCCGGATGAAGAGTTTAATGAGATGCGAGGCTGTATTGTATTCGCATCCTTCCTACTTGGAATGATTTAACAGGAAGGGGGCGTGCTCAGTACTGATGTAATCACAGCGACTCCGATTCCATGGGTGCCCATTTACTTTTAATTTTTCTCTCTACATAAACTAAAACCAAAATTCGTGGCATGAAACATCACAGATATTTATCAATCAAACAAGATGACCATATCAGGTCTGCAACAATACAGGCCGTACTAAAGGCACGATTATCTAAGGATAAAAATCCGTCACTCCGGCGTCAGGAACTGAGAAACCATTTTGTTTTTAGGACTGGCTTCTGGAAATGACAAACCGATATTTATTAAAATGTTTAGGTCACTTCAATTTCGGGAAGATCGACTGCAATTTCGCAAAACCATGCTAGTCCGGAATGTCGACTAAAAACAGGCAATATAACTTGGGATGCAATATGACAGTATAACAAATATGCATTTCATTACAGAAACACACATGGATTCGTTCATGTTAATTTTCCAACCACGAAACGGCATGTGTGACGAAGTGGAAATAATCATATAAATAATCCTTATGGGACGGCCGCTGCCGCCGCCGAACGAACAGCGTCTGAATAAACTCGCTATAGGCCTGTACATGTAAAAGACACATCGATTTTTAGCTGAAATCAACAAAACCAATGTGTTCTTTTCACGATCAAGGTTGCACATCAAACTATATCATTGTTTCCATGGCGACATTTCGATGCAGCCAATCACACTTGTTGACATGAATTAATGATTTATCTACCGGCACTATATAGCGAACCGATCAATTCTTAACCTCAAACCTTATTGGATATTTTCTCTCGAGGCAATTTCAGGAGTGTTTGTAAGTCGTGAGGGTGGAGCGCGGCAGTTTGTGAAATAGCACGCCAAGATTAAGTCAGGTGGGAGTGTGATCTGATACACCGTGCCCTCTGGAGACATGCACACAATAGGGAACAAAAGATTGTATACGTCTCCACAGGGCAATTTCTATAGATGAATACATAATGTTTTCACGAAATAGATATAAGGATTTTACTATAAAAAAAAAAACCGTGAGGAATTTCCAAGGTGGGTTAATCTGTCGATCACAAAGCGAAGTTTTAGAAAAGGGATATTAAGTCCGAATTTCAGCCCAGGAAATTAATTCTGGTTAATTAAAATAAGAGCATTTTGAAACTACACTTCCAAACTAGAAAACTTTACTACGTACACACGATAACAAAGAAATGTCTCCACAAGGATACAAATTTCAGTATGTGTGGCCTATTTGGTTAGGGTTCGTGACTCATGATCAGCGGGTCAGGGGTTCTAATCCAGCTGCTGGCCATATGTTGTGTCCATGGGCAAGCCACTTCACCCCACTTGCCTCCCTCCTCCCACGTATAAATGGGTAACGGCATTAGCCGGGGAGTAACCTGCGATGGACTGGCATCCCATTCAGGGGGAGTAGAAATATTCTCAGTCGTTTCATGCTACTGAAACCGGAGATAAACGCCGGCCTGATGGGCCACATTGGTTCGTGACAGACTTTACTTCTTCTTCTTTTTTCGTTGCTAAAAAATGCTAGCACATCTTAAAAATTCCTATTTTATGATACAATTTCGTGTATTACTTACCGTGCCTGCAAAGAAGAGTAATGTGTGCAATAAGCTAAACCTTCAAATGTACATGTATATTGCTCCGCATACCTTCCCAAAAGATTCCCGTTCGAGAGTCTGCTGCACCATAACACCAAATTGGTCATTTCATAAGAATTTCCCTACGAAATTTGTGCAAATTGGCCGAGGCCACAGGACGTCAGGCTCAATTAGACTAATTGTAATTCTATCAAAAAGTTAATATAATTACCTCCAATTTGCCAGTCTCGACACAACAACACACGAGCCTCGCACTGCCAAAAAAAACCAGTACATGTCAAAATCTGACTTCCCACCCTTAGTAGTGCCATGTACAGCCCTACAGCAGACCTTTTAAGACTCGGAATACCTAAGCCCAGTATTTCTATTCCTCATGACAATAACCTCATGTTATTGTTCCTCTATCCCCCGTGGCCGAGGCAACTGTTACTGCCCAGCCGACCGCTCTCAATGTCCCCGCTGGAATATTATTCTAACATTGTAATAACAAAAGCGACAATGGCATTGAAAATTTACCACTTCAAAACTTTTCAACTTCCAGAATGATCTGAAAGACCTTCACATAAAGCAAATTCCAATGAGGTCAACTGCCTGTAGATATACGTGACACTGTTTCTGTACAATGTGCAATGACTTCGCGAGTTGCAATGTGATAAAAGTTGTGTCAGCTGTGCTAGTCACGGTGAAGGTTACATGTACTATTATTTATTATCGCGCCGATAAAATCAAAGTCAAATTGATTCTTTTTCAAATTCAACCGTGCTCAATCAAATAGTTTACATTAGTCATCACTTCACAAATAAAACTTTAATAAATTTGAAAGAGATACTGTAGAGTAACTGTAATTTTATAATTATGTGGCAGATGTAACACATTTCAATCAATATATTGATTATATTTAGTGTTAAAGCAACATGTACCCATTAAAGATAATATGCAACATTTACCTTTGCTGTAATTTTCAGAAATGGATGGATTTCGGAGTTAGTATTTTATAGCAAGTATTGCTACACACCTGTTTAAAGTTGTGTGTTTATAGATACTGGAAAACTAAGCAAACAATGCTGAGTTTGTCTTACATACGCAGTGTGGACTTCCGAACAAAAGACGTCCACATAATGTAGGTAGCACCGACGTTGTGTGGACTTGCCCCACGTCCACACAGTGTTTCCCCATTTCTGGAAAACAGGTTTAGAGGCATTTTTGGGTTAGGTTTATCTGTAGCAGAATGAAGAGAAACACTAAAGGGAATCATAGAAAAAAAATTGGGTTGAAAGAGTTTTCACAGTTTGAGAAAAATGAGTTTTTTCACTGGTTTTTCTTAACTACACGAAAGCAATGGAAAGTCCACACTAGTCATGTGAAACAAGTATGGGTGTTCTTGTACATGTAGTCTGTTCCCTGGCCCTACTTCAGACGAAATGGAGCAATTTATAAATGTCGGGGAATTGTCAGGTCAGGAAACCAGACTAGCTGGCTTGCACCCCGTTCCTGGATGTGTAACCGATTGCGAACAAAATGTGGACTACCTAAATTTGGTTTTAGTGTGGGCAGTATTTGAAAAAAGTCTCTTTTTTTTCCAACGATGGTTGGCCGACCATCTTTGGAAATTGAACAAAAATTCCACTTGTATTGAAAATGACAGCAGACCAGGTGCCATGATTGCACAGGATGCTTGAGACTATTATTCACTAACAGTCAAGTAAGATATTTCATAATAATCTGGTAGTTTTGTTCTTTAATGTTTGCAAACGTTCTATAAGGCCCCCCAAAAAAAGTATGTGGCTTCTGGTATGGAGCTTACCCAAAAAGTGGTGCGGCGACGCGGCTTTTTTTTTTTTTTACCTGATTTTTTTGCTTCAAATGTCGGCTGATGACTGCAAATGGTGCCCGACTAAACTTAGTGCAAATATATGGGAGTCCAGAGAGGCCACATAAAGCTTATTCTCGACCATAACCCAATCTAAAAACACGTTAAAATTGTGCAGCAGCAGGATTCCAGTCAAACCAGTGAGTTTGGCGGTTTTGAGACATCAACTTTCATTGAAAAAAAACCTTTTTCATTTTGCCGACGCGCATGGCTACGGCGACGCGCGCGCATACCAGAAACCGGAGACTTTTGGGGGGGGGGCCTAAATACCTTTAAATTAAGTGTTACAAATACACATTCAACATTTAATATAGAAATACACATTCAGCTTAAAGGCAACTGTGACACAGAGTGTTAAATTTAGTTAACAATTTGTCAATCTTCACGTGGATAAAAATAAATATCTTCGTTATCTTTGTCGATCCAAAATAAAATCTTCCCCAACCTAACTTCGTAAAACGAAACAATAAATAGTAAATATAAAAAATAAATAATATAACTCTTTAACAATTTAAGATATCTCCATTATCAATCAAACATTAAATGTGCGATACATTCGGAATCTTACACTGTTTCGTTATTTCAACCTCCAAGAGTTCTATAATCAATGACGATTTATAACAACTTTAATGCACATGTAAGGCCAAAAAAAAAAATATTCGGTCTCTGGTCAGACCAAAGTTCCGGAATTGACGCGGCGACGCGGCTTTTTTTTTTTTTTTTCTTCAAGCTTGGATTGTACAGACAAGGTGGGGTACTATTTTGCTTTTTTGGTATCCTCATGTACATTGGTGTCCTTCATCATTTGCTTTGGCGCTCTCGATCATTTGCCGTGGTGCAATTTCCCATTCCTTGGTGCTCTCTGGTAAAAAAAAAATGAGGAGGTGCGGCAATAGAGGGCGCTGTTGGAGCTACCGCGGAACATTTTGGAAAAAAAAAAAGATTGACGCGCATGATTAAAATCGACGCGCGCGCTGACCAGAGACCGAGTTTTTTTTTTTGTGGCCTAATCCGCAAACATTTAAATAGATACAAACAAATGTACTGCTTCATATTGAATAAAAATCTTCAACATCACAAAAACTTCATTTGGCAACACCTCTATTCTAAAAACCTGATTCCCATCAATGGCGGCATGGGTAGCTAGTGGGTAAAGCCCTCGCCTCTCACTACTGTGGCCCTGGTTCGAATCCCGGCTCGGACCATAATGTGAGTAGAGTTGTTCGTTGGTTCTCTCCTGTGCCACAAGGTTTTTCTCCGGGGCCCTCCGGTTTTCCTTCCTCCACAAAAAACCAACAATTTTGATCTCTGGCTGTGCTCCGTGGTCAGACATGGGTCGTACGGCGGCAGCCTAAGGTGCCTTTACATGCCATCGGCTTGACCACGTTGTAGCCGCGATGCTTTGGTCGTCAATTTGTAACCAAGAAAACTAGGCCGATTAATGTACAGTAAGAATATAATAATTTATATATATTATCAGAGAGGTACACGCAAAGACACGATAAATAAATTTTACCATTCTACATAAATGTGTACGAATTTTTTTTCAAAACTCATGAAACATCAACAATTTCAAGAAATTTGATCAAAAATGACATGAGGCACATTTTTTTTTTTACATAGTACATTTCATTGATATTCATGTTACAAACTCATGCATAATTCATGAGAGGAACTGCATCTCATGAATTATTCAAACAGAGGTGGTGCATGTACTAATATCACTCGAGCTACCGGTGCCTTCATTGTTGACAGAGGTCTCGTTCACAGCGCCCTCTGGAGACACATCTGGATCTTTTATTCTAGGAGAAATAAAATACCAACAAAAACACAGTAATAAAAAAAAAACATTTCGAACTCTTCAATCATAACATATGTTGGGCGTTCTGGCAAAATGAGACAGAACTGGGCAGAAGTTCGAAATGAGGGTTTGCGGGTATTAGGAAAGAGGATACAATTCTGCTTACAATACTATTGGTTTAGCTTTGTTTGATCTGCAGTAAACTCCGGCTAAGTCGGCACTCTCCGGACTTTGTGACGACTTACGCTAATGCCGACATCTGCAGTACGTCGTCATTTTGCCGACTTACATGAATGGCCTTTTTGCACACATGATTCATTGCATTAATTGGCTTCGATTTACCCTGGTTTATCTCCGTAATGCGCGAGTTGAATCCAGCAAATTAATCCTCGAATTGTATCATCACGTTTGGGGTATTGATAGTGGCGACCACATTTACAGAACAGTATGTACGTGCACGGTTCTGAATTAAACGCGTGCTGTTGACTGCATCTAGGCATTGGCTTCATCATTCAGTAAGACAATCCCCAAAATGGACAGAGCGCATGCGTACAGACGAGAGGGGGTACTGATATTGATATGCTCACACGATGCATGCAGTACTTGGAAACCCTTTGGCTTGGCTGTGCAGCGACACCGATGCAGCGATCACGAGTCGTGCCAATCCACTTTTCACTCGACACTTCTTGCCAACCGCAGTACAGGAAGTCGATGCCAATGCGTGATGTTTTGAACGCTGACTTACACAAAGGAATTTGTTATGCTGTTATGCTTTTCATGGAAAGGGGACCACGAGTAACATGAAGACTTGAGCGAAATGGCGACTTATAAAAGGTGACTTACAAAATAAAAAACTCAATGGAAATGCATTAAAGACTATCGGGACTCTAGTCAGACGGCCGACTTGAGCGATGTGATGAGTTGTACGATGTCGACTGATCCGGAGTTTACAGTACTTACATGATGTTTTTCCACTGTTGGCACTCGTGCGACAGCTGCTCGACTTGTTGGTTGAGCTTGTCGCGTTCGGCCGAGACGGAAGCCAACTTGGCAACCAGCTCAGCAACCTGACATGAATTCAATAAAAGTAAAAACTAAACTCAGTTAAATTGGGAACATTTTTTCCTCAAGACAGATTCAAAGTAAGGGTGTTATTAGATAGAAATACCAATACAAAGCATTTCATGATCAAGTGTGAATATTAATTTTAGGGATCAATATTTTCCATCCCCACCAACTGCGAAAGACGTGAATGGCAAATCCATGTCATTATTTGAAATATTTATTCATTTACACCTTCATTTATCCAGCGTAAACCGAAACAGCGAAAAGCTAGTTTTCATTAAGGCCCTGCATTAAATAAACTAATAATATGCATTTTACAAAATCGAAGGTTTAAAAAGGAAAAAGAAGGAAAAAACTATGACATGATATGCACTTAACGCAAATAAAAAACAAAATCTAAGAAAAGATAAAAGAAAAAGAAAATATCTGAATTTTTTAAACATTACCTTTTTTCTGGCACACTTTATTATAATTATGTATATTTACAATAATGTGTTTATTTATAAATCGCATGTATCCATCAGTATTGGTGCTCAAGGCGCTACATTATTATTACCCTGCTCATTGGGCCCATGAAACATTCAAATACCATCTCAGCTCCCTGGGGAGTATACGGCTCGATGCTGCCGTTTCGGCGCAAAGCGGCTAAATGCAATCACAATAACCATCTCTGCCCTCACAGGTACCCATTTACTCCTGGGTGGGGAGAAGCAATGAGTGACAAAGTGCCTTGCCCAAGGGCACACATAACCCCAGGCTGGACTCGAACCCACAACCCGCAGAATTATAACCGCAGACCACGAATTCAATGCTCCAGACCACGAGGCCACGGGGCTCCACTTTATGACACAACAGGCTCCTTCAAAACGTCTTGACCATACCTTGAGAGTGTTGTCACCGTCTTCATTATCCGTCCACTCTTCGTCTTGACATCTCAGCGCTCTATCGATATCCTCGTCCTTCATTCCTTCTGATATGAGAAGACGTCTCAGATTCGCCTTCTCAAGACGGACAGCCTCATCGAGCTGCTCTAGTTCCTCATCTTGCCTGAAAGAAGAAACGGCCGACAAGTTTGAATTCGATGATGAAGTGATGCAAAGCTAAGAAGTCCGAAAAGATGCGCACATACCGAGAAACAATACACTTAAAGAGCTCATGCAATGACATTTTTTTTTAATGCAATCCTTGAAAATGCACCACGTTTTACCATTTTCAAGGGTATTTTGTGTGTCTTTTTGGTTTTTATGCTAATGAAAATTTACGTATTCATGAGCAAAAGTGTGATGCCATTTCAGGCAAAAACCTCAATGTTGCAGCTATTTCAGCACCAAAAGCTGTCAGGATTACTCTTGCTGTCGCACATTTTCTTTCCTTTGGTTATTCGCTGTTGTGTCAGTACGAGGCAGTATGCAAATGAGCAAACATTTTCTCACAACTGTTTTCAATGACCACATTTTTGGGTTCACAATTTGAACAGGAAACCCCTAAACTGAACAGTGTCTTCCTGAAATGACATCACGGCAACAGCGCCCTCAGTTGTCTGGAAAAGCATGGAACATTTGAAATGCCTAAAGAAGTGCACTTTTCAATCAAATTAACCCAAAAAAGGATGTCAAATAGTTTTCATATATTTAAGAGCAGTAGAAAGTTGCACAAAATGTGTCCCTAAGAAAAATTCGTCTCATGGATCCCTTAAAAATCATTTTTTCTGCTCCAACAACGTACATCTTCTGCAAGTTCAGCATCTCTTGATAGCTCTCATTGGCCTTAGCAACCGCATCGTCCCTCTCCATCACCGCATCCTTCAGTTCCTCCTCCAACTTCTCAAGTTCCTCCAGGAATCTCTGCTCCTCGTCTTCGCTGCTGACCTGCGACGTGCTGTCTCTGTCTCCGTCCGAGCTGTGACTGGACGCAGGGCTCGGATCACTGACAATGGGCGTCAAGGACGCACGACCATTCTGTTGGATCAAGACAACATGGTTCTTATGCTGTTAAAGCCAGAGTCCATCATTTGCAGCTATCCAAAAAGTAACTGGCATAATTATTGTTGAAAAACATACCTGGTCGAAAGATAGCAAGGGGACTAAACTCCCTGTGAAATTATTCTTTCTGGCAAGCTGTCATTTTGAAGAAATCAACAAAAGAAGGCCTTTCCAACTGTGCGTCTTAAGAAGCACTGTTGGAAATTTCCATTACTAGTTCGTTTTTTTATTCGGCAAAGCGCGCCCAAGCGTTGACATGACGCACACGCGTGCGCAGTTGCTATAACTCGTCGGATCGGTGCGTGACATCGCGTAGCAGCAATCGGCTCAGTGAGAACGTGTCTCGAACACTGAATTCAGGCCCAATTCAAAAACATGATTCAGCAACTTTTGATTTGAAATAGAGATCCTAGAACGTTGTTTTTCTCGATATATATATACAGCTGAAGCTGAGCTGAAACTTCATCAGGTTAGTTGTTCAGTACCCTTCTTTAGATTTTGAGCACTTTTGTAGCTTCAAACGAACAAAATGCACAAATTACAAATGATGGACTATACCTTTAAAGCTATAGTCCATCATTTGTAATTAGTGCATTTTGTTCGTTTGAAGCAACAAAAGTGTTCAAAATCCAATGAAGGATACTGAGCAACTAACCTGATCAAGTTTCAGCTAAGCTTCAGCTGTACATTCCGAGAAAAGCAGCATTCTAAGATCTCACTTTCAAATCAAAAGTTACTGAATCATGTTTTGAATTGCAGCTATACGCGGCGTCGCGCACTGATCCGACGAATTATAACAACCGCGCGCGCGTGTGCGTCGTTCCAATACTTGTGCGCGCTGTGCTGAATAACAAAACGAAGTACTAATTTAAATTTTCCTACGGTGCTTCTTAAGAATCACCGTTGGAAATGCCTTCTTTTGTTGATTACTTCAAAATGACAGCTTCCCAGAAAGAATAATTTCACAGGGAGTTTAGTTCCCTTACTATCTTTCAACCAAGTTTGTTTTTCAACAGTAATTACGCCAGTTACTTTTCGGATGGCTGCAAATGATGGACTATAGCTTTAATTGTCACTGAGAACACTAACATGTGACATACTCTTTGGATTCACCACAAAATGATGAATACGAAATAATGTTGTGCATCGGGTCGGGTTGACCAGGCCAAACTGACCCAAAACATTATACGTGTACAATGTAGATGTAAACTGAATCCGAACCAAAACTGATTTGAATTCCCCAAATCTGACCCGACCCAGCAAAATTTCAAGCAAAAACCGACTCGAACTGACCCGAGACGCAACTGTGTCCTTTCGGTGTGCCTGAACTTACCTGCGTCATTTGAAAATCATTGTCTCACAGTAAAGAATCCTACTTTATGGTACAGTGAAGACACATTACGTTACTACGTTATCGACTGTGCGTGATAGACCGCAAACCACAAGCACGTTCGCGCAGTGGGCTGTCGTTGGACTAGTCTGGCTACCTCCTGAAGATGATCAGAGCATACTGATCGAAACGTCGAGTTTCACAACAACCGGTTCTTTCCAGAACCACATACCCATCGTCTCAAACCATCACTAGTTGACACTACCGCCAGGCAAAGTTTTAAATCTCATTCACTACAAATTTAATTTATATTGCTCTTCTGCTATTCTCCAATATTAAAGAGGTTGTGGAATGCTCGAAGACATTTCCGTCATTTTTTGGGTATATGTAGCCTAAGGTGTGATGACATAAAAACGACTATTGTTTCTGGCATGAAATGAATACAAAAGGTACTTTTGAGAGCTGTTTTTCAGGTCCTGTTTCGACCCGAACGTGCAATTTGTGTAAAAGTCGTCGTTGGGGGCAGCAAACAAAACATAGTAAATCGTGACGTAATAAACAGGACTCCCTATGCAGCATAGTATAAACGTGTCCCGTTTATTACGTCACGATTTTTCTGATTTTACGAAGAACCCGACGACTGTTGATTTCAATTATGCGCTCGCCGACCAACAAATTACTCGATGAATGTCAGTTTTGTAAACATATAAACGCACATTACAAAAGAATAAAAAATATAAAAAAAACAAAACGACTTTTAGCATTCCACAACCTCTTTAATCCAATGAAAATAAAGAATTCCCTTATCTGAGAACTCTCAATTGGAAATTTTTTTTGTAATCTTGACCTAATCTAAGGAGTTTTTTTATACCTTCTTGTCGACAATGCTACTGACAGACTTGATGTTCACGCCGGTGCCCGAGGAGCTCTTGAGTTTCAACGTAGACTGCCGAACGTTCAGCTCCGGTCTCGCGATCACGATCCACATCTTGGGTGCAAACATACAGATCAGACCCGACGTACCGCTCGCGATGAACGCAGTGCTACAGATGATGGAGTTAGCGATGCCGGTGGTTGCGAAGTAACAAACGAGGAAAACGAACCTACAAGACACAATATAAGACACAGAAGAAAAGAGACGGCAACTTGACTTTTCATGTTTAGTCCAAATCCTCACCATTTTGATGAAGTTGTGAAACCGTCTAAAACTGAGATTTGAAGCAATCTGAGATTTTTGGATATTCTTTCATTTTATATCTTCTACATGATGACCAAATTTTGAGACACAAAATTCCGCCATTCGTTATTTACGCTTATTACACAAAGCAATAAATGTGCAACAAACTCAGATTTTTGTTCGACGAAGTGACGAATACGTAGCCTCACTGGTTTTACACATGTCCTATTTTTATTTTTATGTAGACTCCACAATTTACGTTTGGACGAAGCAACAAATCCCTGTTTGATATTTCCCGAATCTGTATCCTGACTTTGGGCGTGATCCCTGGCAGCATGGAAAATGGGTTTATGGCTTCTGACTAGCGCCCCTTGAACAAAGATACTGACGAATTGGGAAAACCGCCAACATAGGGCTAGATAGCTCAGTTGGTAGAGCACCGGAACGGTAATCCGGAAGTCGCAGGTTCAAACCCCGCGCCAGTCAAATTTCAAACTTTTCAAACTTTTCAAAAAATGAAAATATCAAGAGAAATCAAGCTGAGCCTACCATATCAGGCAGCACGTCAGCATGGCAAAGCATATTCCTCGGGAATCGTTGAATTGGCCCGGTAGCTTGCGGGTCCTGAATGCCTTGTACAGACACAGGGTAGCTAAGACCGCATTGAAACCTGCACAGAAACAAGTTCAATACATCAACATCAGGTACAGTATGTTTGGCTGGATATGAATCTAGTTTTAAGAGCACTATCTCAAACCGAGGGGTTTCCACCTCTGTGGGCCTGGTTGAAGTATGATCTAGTTTTACCAAGCGATTTCGCTTCAGTGCCTACTCAACTCTGTGGATTTTTCGAGATAATTGATTAAAGATTTTTTTTTCATCATCTTCCCTCCACAGGTCAAACCCCAATAATTATTATATTCCAAATTAAAAAAAAAATGTAGCACCAGAAAATAATGACTGGAAAGCCAATTTCATAAGCTACTTTTGGATGAGAAAGACTCAACTGTTTGTCTGAGTCAGGTTGGCGCAGTGGTTACTGTCTTTGCCTTCGACTACTATGGCCGGGGTTCGATTCCTGCCCAGACCACATGTGGATTTGGGTTTTCAGTCCCTGCCTGATTCCGTGGGTTTTCCCCTAGAATATTCTTCTGGGTTGTTCATCACCAGAGAGAAATTAAGTAGATAAATAAATATAAAAATACAAATAATTTGACTCACCCACAGCCACTGCGGGGCCCAAGACCGAATTATAGTTGCACTGTAGCAACGTGACCTCGGGGTCACTCGTATCCTTGACAACGACCCCTGGCTCCAACTGTAACCAGACGACCTGGATAGCGATCTGAATAACCACGATGCCCAGAGCAAACAGCAGCTGATACTGTGGAGGAAAATGGCAAAGTTCACAGGAAAAACTATCATGGATTTGAAGATGTTGTTTCCTATCGCAAACTGAAATTCATACTTAATGGTAATATACAACATATCCAAACATCAAAAAACAAAACTAACAAACTGTTATGAAAAACGTTACTTGACTGTAAGTGAATAGTCTCAAGCATCCTGTGAAATCATGGCACCTGGTGTGCTGTCGCCAAGAAAACTGGAATTTTTTGTAGCAATTTCCAACGATGGTCTGCTGACCATCGTCGGAAAAAAATCTGACCTTTTTTTTCAAATACTGCCCACACTTTACCTAATTTAGTTAGTCCACATTTTGTTTGCAATCGGTTTCACATCCATGAACGGGTGCAAGCCAGCTCGTTTGGTTCCCTGACCGGACAATTCCCCAATGTCTATAAATTGCTCCATTTCGCCTGGAGTAGGGTCAGGGAACCAGACTACAACAACAGCATTTTTTCAAGGTTTTTCTAGCATCTATGAGCTCAAAACTTTAAACATATCATAACAATATTTATAATAAAGTACTAACCCCCAAATCAATCCATTTCTGAAAATTACAGCACAAGCAAATGTTGTATGTTACCTTTAAGAGGCAGAGAACAAATTTTAAGTCAATTTGTTGATTCGTTCGCAACTGACTTGACTTTACCGACCTGGATATTGAGGAACATCGAGGGCGCTCCGTCAGACAGCTTACGATTGAAGATTCTGGAGATGCGGTTGGTCTTCGTCAGAAGCGCCCCCACGTACACCGCGAAACTGATGCCCACCATCACGATCTTGGCGTTGCAGATCTCGTCCGTCGGCATGGCAATAAAGAGGAACGTGGAGGCGTAACTCATCGCTATGCCGACCAGGAGAAGGTAGCTCAGCTCGGTGCTGGTGGCTTTGATGGTTGCCGAATTACGGTGTCTACAGAAATAGTGAGAGATATTCGAAATGTTTGAAATACCTTCAAGAAACTTTATTGGAATGAAAACAAATCAATTCAACCTTTAATAAAGTAGATTTTATCATTTGTCATTTGTGCATTTGTTTCGTTTAAAGCAACAAAAGTGTTCAAAATCTAAAGAAAGGTGCTTAACAACTATAACCAGATGAAGTTTTAGCTCGTTGAATGCTGTACATTCCGGGGAAAAAAAGATATTCTAGGAGTCTAAGTTGCCGAGTCACGTTTTGAATTGCGCCCGAAATCAGCTTCCGGAACACGTCCTTATTCAGCCGATTGCAGCTATGCAATGTCACACACTGAACCGACGAATTATAGCAACCGCGTGTGCGTCATGTCAACGCTTGCGCACCCCTATTCTTGGTTCTTGGTTGGTTCTCCTCCTAAATACTCCACGTGGGAGTTTATACAGGAGGCCAGAAACACCGGGGCAAACCCCTTCTCTTTAGCGATAAGTGTTTACTGGGTTCTTTTACGTGCATTTATGCAACACACGGGACCTACGGCTTAACATCCCATCCGAAGGACGAAGCAATAATGGTTAAGTGCCTTGCTTAAGAGCACAAGTGTCCGCCGGCAGGCTCGAACTCACGCCACTGTTGCCTCTGAAACACCAGAACATGAGTCCGGTGCTCTTAACCGCTAGGCCACGACACTCCACATGACACTGAGGAGGTAGCACTCTAGTAATCTAATATAGCTCTATGGTTTTGCCCAGCCTACTATTCTCTAAAGGTTTATACTCAAATAGCGTAAGAGATTTTTGTATTTGGGCGGGGGTAAACGGTAGTGGGGGGGGGGTGGTAGGGGCAATACCTGATGTAGACGGCCAACGTGAAGCCAGTCGCCAGTAGACCAAGAACCGTCAGTATGACGAGTACGATAGCCACAGCGTTATCCCACTCCAAGTACACGATGGGATTCACGAGGCACGACGTCTGATTCTCATTGGTTCGTTCACCGTCGCGGCAGACCGTACACTGCAAGGAATTCTGGGCCACGCTGATGCTGCCAGCTAAACAGAAACAACGAACCACAAAAGTGTGATTAAAACATTTTTTGTATTTATACAAAACTGTGTATTTACAGAAATTGAGATATATCTACATGTATTCAAATTGTACACCTTAAATTAAATGAAATCATTAATACAATTTTGGTTTTGTCGTCACCTGAAATTTTGCAACTTTACGTTATCCAGGAGAGTGTAAAAACTTAAACGGGATCCAAATAAGGACTAGCGTAAGCAAACAAATCAAAGCCGCACCGTAAAAAGTGCACGTGCGTCCTCAATTGTCAATCAGCAGACTTGTCACAGTGGTTTAAGAAATCATCACGCAGGCCTTATCGTCTTAAATCAACTTAAACTTTACTGGGCAATTAACAGGCTTTATTCAGGGGATGTGCAGGTCTGATATTAATTAAAAATACAAAAAGTTCAGGCCATCGTAGAAACCACTGCCCGCCTACCACAATAACAGAGAGTCCACCTCTGCTCCCTCAGTGCGCACATGTCTCTATTCACAGGCATCGTATGGGGAATAAGTCAAATTACTGTCGGATTTTTTTATATCAATGTCAAACGCAAGCATTAAACAACACAAAAGACGGGACAGTTCGGGAAGGTTAGTGAGCAATCTCTATTCCGTTCGGGAAAAGAAACAAGTCCTGCCATAATCCAACGTCTGGTCCTACAATCAATGTAAAACACCTAACCGTCACACACACACAGTGACAGACCCCGAGCCACACACAATGATACATACCCTCACACCGATGGCATTCCCAGCAGCACTTGGGCGTTTGTAACGTAATGAAATGTCCCGCGGGGCAATCCTCTGAGCATCTCGACAATGGGGGCGCTCTACCGGTCTGCCACTCGACCTCCTGCCAATTACTAAATTTAGAAATCGGATCCCAATCTGCGACTTTGACGAAGGAACATTCGTCGCCATGACACTGCAGATGTAAAAAAAAAATGAGAACAAAAAAAAGAAAAAACTTCTCAGGATTTTGTTTTGCGAAAATCAAACAATCATTAAAGGTATATACAGCATTTGCTTTTGCTGCAATTTTCAGAAATGGATGGATTTGGGGATAGTGTTTTTGTAGCAAATATTGTTACACTGAACTGTTTAAAGTTTTGTGTTCATAATATGCTGGGAAAAAACAAGAAAAAAATGTTCTTGCAGTCTGGTTTCCTGACCCTACTTCTGACCTTACTTAATGCAGATGTTGAGGAATTGTCAGGTCAGAGAACCAGACTAGTTGGCTTGCACCCATTTACGGATGTGTAACCGATCATTTTTCTTCTTCCAACGATTGGAAATTGATGCAAAAATTCCACTTTTCTTGAAAACGACGGCACACCAAGCGCCATGATTTCACAGGATGCTTGAGACTATTATTCACTTACAGTCAAGTAAGGTATTTCATAATAATTTGGCAATTTTGCTTTTGATGTTTGCAAATGTAAAATTATTACCTTCAACAGAAAATAATGGATCCGTCAAAATACTGTAAAACCAATAGATGGATTTTGGCAGATTTCAGGAAGTGGGCGTTAACAGAAGAAAGTCTCACCTGGAGATTGTAGATATCATACTGGCCAATGGGATCGCCGTTCTCGTCAAACATGAAGTTGGAGTTGGTCAACCCGCTGAAGTTGACTCTCTTCACGTAATCCAGGTAGACCTCCAGATCCAGGGTCTGGGTACCATTCAGACAATCTGTCGACAGCGTAATTATCAAGAGGAGGATTACAGTAAGTTTAATGCAGTCCACACTAACCCTAACTCCCTAGGCCTTTTTGCTAGGATGTAGCCTCAATCCTGCAAAATCCTCCAATTGGCCTCATGGAAAAATAGCATATAGCCTCAATCCTGCAAATTCCTCCGTTATTTCTTGAATATGGTCCATGAAGGGATGACCACTGCCTGAATCCTGCAAAATCCTCCGGCTATGTCTGTCAATAGGCTGAGGCAGAGGCAGTGACATCCTGGAGCAGTGCGGAGGATGTCAAGTATAATCAAGGACTAAATTTATGCACGGCTGAGCATAAACAACACAAGGTCCGGCCCAAGACCTTGACACAGTGCGTACTCCGAAATCAGCAACGCACTTTTGCCATGTAACCTCAATCCTGCAAATTCCTCCAATTTGCAAAAAGGATTTTGGAGGATTCAGGGCGGTTAGGGCTAAACATGCTCGAAAAGTTAAAGGAAACATGCAGTGGGAATTCAGCTCATCTTGTTTTTATGCACATTACTATGTGTTGCAACAATACATACAAGATCTTAATACTTGTTTTCATTGGAAGTGACAAGAAAGTGGTAATTTTTCAATTATTGGCAAATCCTTTCATCACTACATGTAAGAGGGCGCTATTTTGCTTTTGTCACACAAGGTACTCCTTGTCAAAAGTGCATATGAACCGTACAAAAATTAGTCCTTCAAATTACCCACCAAAAAGTTTTGAAGAAATACTGGCCACTACTATTGTCAGTACGTAGCGCGTATCGCATATGCTTACAACCATTGCGCGAGACTATAAACTTGCCAAAAGAAGGATCAGCGTTCAGCGCCGAATGTTCATTATTGCGTGCGACTGACTATAGTCCTAGGAAAAGTCTAGGGAAAAAAATAAAGAAAAAGTGAAACGGCTACTACAGGATTCCCAAGATGTTAGTGCGAGCAGGCGCGCTGGTCTAATCATGCCGTTAGATGACGCACTACGGCCAAATGAACGTGCAACAATAAGCACGATCCACTATCGATCACTAGCATCTTGGGCCAAAACTACCCCCACCCACTTGAATTCACCATCGCACTGTGTTAGCATGTTATGCAGTCCGTATCCCAATGCGTATACGGCATCAATCACAAAGCTAGCTGCTGCGTCCTCCTGGTCCGCAAACGTCTCGTTTCCCATGCATTGCTCGCGTTGCGTGTCCGTCGGATCAAACGAGCAATCGCGAAGCTCCCCCAAGGTCAGCTGATACCAAGGATTGCGATGGTTGGAATAAGGATCCAGGCGAGATAAATACCTGCGACGGAAAACAGTGAAGATTTATTAATTAGAACCCTAACCTTTTAAGTAGCCAAGTCTGTCACAAGCCAATTTCGTCCTAAACTTACTTTCCATTTTCGTTTTGCCATTTGTAAGGGTATTTTGGTACCTTTTTGGTTTTTATGCTAATGCCAATTTACATATTCATGGCAAATGTGTGATGTCATTTCACGCAGAAACCTCAATGTTACAGCTATTTCAGCACCAAAAGATGCCAGAATTGTGGACATTTCCCGTCGTGAATCATCTTTTCTTTAGTAATTCGTTGTTGCGTCAGTACATGGTAGTAAGCCAATGAGCAAACTTTTCTCACAAATGTTTTTAATGAGCACATTTTTGGGTTCACAATTTGAACAGAAAACCACTAAATTGAACAAAGTCTTCCTGAAATGACATCACGGCAGCAGAGTCCCCATTTGTCAAGAAAAGCATGGATTTTTTTTTTTAAATGTTTATTTTTTTAAATGTTTATAGAAGTTCACTTTTCAAAATGTGCTCATTAAAAACATTTGTGTGTGTTCACTTCACCAAAAAAGGATGTCAAACAGTTTTCTTACATTTAAGAGGAGCAGAAAGTTGCACAAAATGTGTTCCTAAAAAAAACTTCATTTCATGAACCCTTTAAACTTTAAGCAATTCGCCAAATGCGCATCCATGCTCATCAACTTTACCTCTTGAAGTTCTCGTCGGGTCTTGACTTGGGTATGATTCCCAGCATGCCCCGGACTAGCGACTTCACGTTCTGAACGACTTGATCTGATTGGCCCCAGGAGTCGCTGGCAATCCACGTGCGATTGGTGAATCCGCTGGCTTGGGCCTGTGCCAATATGCGGCCTATGCCTTGCTTGCCGCAAAACGTGAAGATTACCTGGTTTAAAGGGAATGTACATCATTGGCTTTTGCTGTAATTTTCAGAAATGAACTATTTGAGGGGTTAGTATAATATATCAAATATTGTTTAACTGACATGTTTGAAGTTTTGTGTTCGAAAATGCTGGAAAAATCAAGAAAAACAACAATGTTTAAGTAGTCTGGTTCCCTGACTCCACTTAAGATAAAATGGATCAATTTATAAATGTCGGAAAATTGTAAGGTAAGGGAACCAGTCTAGCTGGCCTGCACCCGTTCATAAACATGTAACCAATAGCAAACAACATTTGGAATGAAAAAAATTGTAAAGTAGGAGCAGTAGTTGAAAAATAAATAGGTTTTTCCAACGGTGGTCGGCCGACCACCGTTGGAAATGTATACAAAAATACCATTTTCTTGAAAATGACTTGACACCAGGTGCCATAATTTTACAGGATGCTTAAGACTGTCATTTACCAACATCCTAGTAAGGTATTTCGTAAAAACTTGGTTGTTTTATTCTTCGATGTTCGCAAATGTTGTATTTTTCCTTTAAATAGAAATCGAAAAATGAAGAAGAAAAACACGATTGTCTAAACTAGCGAAAAGTTTTAAGGGGAAAAACCATGTAACGTGACACTCTTTGAAATAACTAAGAGTTTAAATAGATAAGAGCTGTTCTGAGAAGGACCCTCTATATGTAGGTATTAAAGGGACATTACGACCTGAAATAACTAAAAATGTTTTGGCATGTTTACTTATCTTATTTCAAAGGTCTGGTTGAAAGGAAACTAACCTAATGTTACACTGTTCCTGAAAAAAGTCGAAAAATCCCGGTTTATTTATGAGGCGGCGGACATTTTGTGGCATACGCATGATTCATATTTTCAGCTGTGACCATTCAATGTACGGTACACGTTGTGTGTGCGACACATAATACGCACAGTACCAATGCACAAATGTTGTTTCTCGTACGTCCGCAGAATGCGATGCACGGTGCAGCTGGATTCACAACTACCACCCGACAGCTCGAATTTTGAGAGTCAAAATTTTGATCCCCCGAAATTCATTCTCGCAAGAATAACACAAAAACGCTCAGTTTTTTAAAGGATGGTTGCGTGGACGTTCATATCCTAGTTTGTGGAAATCACAAGTTGTTAAGTTGACAAATTTCAGCACGGTCAAAACAGGGCTGTAGATTCTAAAAGCTGCAGGTTTGAATCCAACTACAGTCCAATTTAATTGAAGCTCATGTTTTAATTTGTTGTGTCTTTAAGTCCAATTTATATCCATCTGTTTCTGGTACAATATTTAGTATCAAACCACAAGTCAAAAGTTACTGAAAACATTTGAATGTCTGTGTATCGCTCGCTGTTACGATTCAAAACAATAAAAGGTATTTCGGTCAAACACCTTTATTACAACATCCTCTTTGCCAAAGTGGAGGAATTTGGAGGACTGAGGTTACATGGCAAAAGTGCGTTACTGATTTCATAGGATGCACTTTGTCAAGGTCTTGGGCCGGACTTGTGTTGTTTTTGCTCAACCATGCATAAATATAGGCCTGGACAATGCTTGAAATCCTCCGTACTGCTCCAGGATGTCACTGGCCAAGCCTCAACATATTGACAGTCACTGCCGCAGGATTTTGCAGGATTCAGGCAGTGGTCACCCCTCCACGGACCATATTCAAGAAATAATGGAGGAATTTGCAGGATTGAGGCTATATGCTATTTTTTCCATTAGGCCAATTGGAGGATTTTGCAGGGTTAAGGCTACATCCTAGCAAAGAGGCCTAGAAAGTTAGGGTTAATTTTGTTTTTTTCTGTTACCGAGATCTTTTCGTCCCGTGACAGTTGCTGGATGATATCTATCACGGCGTCGTCGGGACTATCGCTGTTCAAACCCAGAGTGTGCGTGACGCAGACGTTCCTCGCTTGCAGAAGATCGCTCAGTAGCTCCACCCCCGGCGTGCCGTAGTTGTCAATTGTGTAGATGATTGCGACATAATTCCAGCCCATGGTCTCAGCGAGGTCGGCCATCACCTCGGCTTGGTTGACGTCCGAGGCGATGGTTCGTAAGAAGTAGGGGTACAGCTTCTTGTTGCTAAGCACTCGACTGGAGGCCGAGTAGCTCACTTGAGGAACCTTGAACAAACCTGAAAAAATTAAATTAGAGTCAAGGGTGTTTTTTTATCATTCCGAAATGACTTTTTCAACCTACAGCAAACTTCTTTTAATTCTAATGATATATTTTTCTTGTAATTTTTGAACGCGGTTTTGCGTGTTCACTGCGCATTGTGGTGATGACCATCTTTATTTTCGTGTTACAAAACAAATCAGGCCAACTTTCCTCGCTCTGTAGGCCAAACAAAAAATACTTCTGCTTCCAATTACATGGCATTCGAAAATGGGGTAGGTAGGTAGGGAATTTTTTTTTTTGGCCATTTTTGTGTGTGTACAATCATATGGAGGCGTCTGTATGTAGTCAAGGGTAAAACTTTTATTCATTGATGGTTTTGGGTGTTTTTTCCCTCATTTTCCCCCAAAAAACTGGGGTAGGGGCTGTCAAAACAGAGTAGGTAGGGAAACCCGAAGCAGAACTATTGTTTTTTTTTAGATTTGAAGGTTTGCATGGTGGAAAGATACTAAGACAAGATAAGTTTGCGGCAGCACCGTGTGAAAAGAGATTTTTTCACATGGTGCTACCGCAAACTTATCTTATTTTTTTTGTTTGCCTTAGCTGACAAAATACTCAAAAATGTTCATGAGGCAAAGACAAGGTCCTCAGTATTTCATCAGCCAAGTTTGAAGTCTCAATGCAGTTTTAAAGGAGACTTTTCTTCAACATTTTGCACCACAGAGTAAAGCTAAGTGATTTCAATTTGAAGCCTAAGAGTAGACTGATACGTCCAGCTTTTTGAAAAGATTTAGTCTGGTGGCATGACTATAGAACATGTGTTATAATAGAGACTAGGTACCAGCTGTTTCTTTTGACACAGTTTCATTGATGCAGTACTAAAGGGGTGTTGGACTGGTTGTTTCATGCGCCAGTCTATTTTCTTGTGTTGCATGTTTTTTTATACTATCTTGAGTTTTGGGATATCATACACAGTACTGAGATTTGAGAGTCCAAAATGTTCAGACTAGGCCTAGTCCGAAAAGTTGGGACTCTCAATACTGTGTATGAGAGTCCCAAAGCTTAAGGTATTGAAAACATGCAAAACAAGAAAATAGACTGGCACCTAAAACAACCAGTCCAACACAGCTTCAGTACTGCACCAATCAACCATGCCAAAAGAATTCAAGAAACATGTGGCGTGAAGCGGGAACTAGTCTCAATGAATTTACTACACATTTGTCCATAGTCAAGCCATCAGACTATTGACACTGAATGAAGAGGTCAGTCTTTTCAAATAGTTGGACCATGGTTGGACATGTACCAGTCTAGTATTTACTTTTAGCCCCATTTTGAAATCACTTGACTTCCCTCTCATGTGCAAAATATCGAAGAAAAGTCTCCTTTACAAATTGATTTGAGTCTGCAAACTTGGTTGGTGAAACACTGAGGACATTTTCTTTGCCTCAGTGGACTTTTTGGACGTTTCGGAGCACTCCAGAGCCCTGTCTGGACTAGGCCTACTACTTACCCAGCAGGTTGGCGACATCAGTTGATGTCGCACTTGACCCAGTTCCAACCACTCCGATTGTCTGCGGTTCATCGCTTGAACAAGATTCTCCATCATTCACTGATATGAAATTAAGAGCTTCCTAAATACAAAACAAAAACAAAATCAAAACATTTCAATTAAAAGTTAAAACTGTTGTCGACTAAATTTCAAACAGTCAATGGTTAAATCAGTTCTTAAGCCCATTTTCAACTGTTCTATTTCTCCACAAGGAAAGTTGTCATCCATTCCTTCATGAAAACATAAAGAGCGAAGTCAGTGTAAAAACATAAGTGATAAATATTGATAAATTCTGTATCTGTATGGCTACGTTGCAGAAACCTATTCAGGCATTAACGCAACGGAGTATAGGTACTCAAGGCGCTGGGAGTTATGTCTATTATTAGAGACAGGTGTATGAAGTACAGGAGAGTACGAGACCCATTATGTAGCACCTTATAAAGGTTTACAAGGTGTTGCGGCGCATTAAGCAGCCACTGCCAGAAACACCTGGGCGAACCTCTTCTCTTAGCGACAAGAGTTACTGGGTTCTTTAACGTGCATTACACAACACACGGGACCTACGGCTTTACGTCCCATCTGAAGGACAGAGCAATAGTGATAAAGTGCCTTGCTCAAGAGCACAAGCACCATGTTCCCACGGTCAGGATTCAAACTAATGTACCATGGCACACGATTCGAACACCATAACCATTGGACCACAGCACCTCACAAATACTTCAAGAAGTGTTTACAATGAAGGTGATTAACAGTGATGATGATTATATAGATGATTTCATAATGGCATTGCTGACAAAATAACAATGACAATGGAGCATAAGGCCCAGTAAAACAAATAAACCAGTGGTTATCATTACAGCAGCCGTAACAGGAATTTCAACTGCTATCGTTACGGCATGGCAGTCAATTGTCTGGTTCCCTGAGCTAGTAATCAACGTCAGAATCTTTGGCTGTTAGAACCAGACTATCGACCGAATGGTTCTTTGTTTTCTTTTCAAAAAAATCCTCCAAAGCCACTGATTATAAAGAACAAAATGAAATCTAATTAAATTAAAAAAAAAAAGATTTGGTTAAAAACATTAAAGTAAAGAAAATAATAAAAGAAAAGAAAAAAAAAACAACAACAACCAATTGCACAGCGCAGCGCGGGTTCGATTCCAGAACCTTTGGCATTAAATAGTAGTTGAAGTTACATTTAACCAATCGAGCTACAGAAGCACTACGCCCCAACTATCGCATCGGTCCCAACTATAGTTGGGACAGTCCCAACTATAGTTGGGACCGATACCAGAGTTGGGGCGTAACAGTAACATAGATTCACAATGGTGTTTTTGCAATGCTGTAAGTAACGATAGCATTAGCAGTTGAAAATTTTGTTACTGCTGCCAAAGCGACAGCCACTACGTAAATTGTAATGAATTACTGTCAACGCCTGGTTCGGATTGGAGCAATCGTTTCGGATTTCAAAGCCCAGCTTCACATCCGGCAGTATATCGGTGTTATTATTGAGAACATCCACGGCGTACATCATGGCCTCCATTCTTAATCCAGTCTTGTGAAGAACTTTCGAGCAAGGATTGCCTTCGTCGTCCGGCAACAGCACGGCAAACATTCCCCCTAAGACGACGTCTCCTCTCTGAAGGGCGACCACATCACTTGGCCCGCCATCACCAGCAATGTCCATGGGGAAATTGGCAGCACTTCTTCGTTGTCTGAAATGCGAATGCATGGAACTAGGATTCAGTGTGCTGTTCAGCATGTTCAGTGCTTGTCCATTCTCCTCCGTAAACATCAAGAGTGCTGCCCGATTTTCTAGTCCAAATTTCTCCTTCTGGGATGTGCACAAGTGACAAAGAGTGCAGACTAAATAAACCAACAAAAATATCTGTAGATCAGAAAGTGCCATAATGAAACTCATTGAAAGAAAGCCTGAAATTGTGGGGAAAAAAAACTAAATCTTCCCCACCACATGATCGACTTGTTCCTGTCAATTTTGTACTAAAAAAAAACATGAATAATAATGAGTGTTGCACCCAGACGTCATCCGCAAAAAAATAATATGCATTTAGAAGGCACACATGGGAACCATTCTGCACGAGTATTGATAGTAGGCGAAACGTAACAAATATAATTTACTAAAATATTGAAGATTCAGATGGATGTAGAATTTCTCAGATCTCCGTTGGAACATTCGTGCACATTTATGTTCCGTTCTTGAGCATTTTTTTCCACTGACGTTTCACTTGAAAACAGTTTTCGTTAAACGACACAACATATAAGCAGACACAACATTTGCTACGGATGAGCGTTGTGTTTTAGGCTCTCCATCAAAACTAGTTTGCCACAGAAGTCATGTTGATGTTGATGTTGCAAGTGCAGACTTTCGAAGTTTCGTCCGATTTCATCAATTTTGTTCGTGGCATACTTCTGTAAACTTGAATCTTTGGAAGCAGCAAGCCTGTCGAAAGTGTCTCTTATATAAGAATGGTAATTATTCATGGTTATATTTTTTTAGTGCGTGCAGAAAACCTCAAGCATATCCTTGATAGCAGTTCACTGACATTGCACTCCATGGTTCACAACACACATCTACATGACATAACACAGGCCAAGTAAAAAAAATAACGAAGTGGCTATCGTTACGGCAGTCGTTGTTTAGCGCCCTCTACGATACTTTTTTGATACGCACGCAGGTATATAATTATTTGTTTCCCCACGTTTAAGCGAGCAGTGCGACAGCTCAGTCGATAGAGGGTAGGATATTGCACCGCGAGGTTGTGGGTTCGCATCTCAGTTTTGCACTCGAATTTTTTTTCCTTTACTAACCTGAGGCTTTGGAGGATTTTTTTTTAAAGGGAAATAAAGTCCGAATTTCATAACGTTCAAATTCACTGTTTTCCTTCTAATTTTATATTTTCTTGTCATGTTTTTATAAAAGTTGCAGTACTACCGTAACGATAGAAAATGGGAAATGCGTTAGGCGAAGTAAAAAAGACCCCAAGTTTCTCGTCCCCGCCCGCTTCCTTTTTGGAGGCCGCCTGGATTTTTTTATTATTTTTATTTTTGAAAAATGTAGTAGAAAAACACCGAAAAAGTCTACAAATTCATCGGAAAATAAATACCAATACCAATACTACTCTAAATGACACTGTAAATATGTTCAGTTCTCTTGTCCAAACTTGTCTTTCATCTTTAAAAGTGTCTTTGAACAGTGGAACACCAACGGTTGCAGGAAAAAAAGGCGGTAATCTTGAAAAAAATATAAAATAAACAATAAAAAGCCCCGCTTCCTCCCTTTTTTCAAAAACCCCGGACGAGAAACTATTTTTTTTTTTTTACTCGGCCTTACGGCTGCCGTATCAATAGCCACTGCGTTTGTAATTTGTGCATTTTGTTCGTTTCAAGCAACAAAAGTGCTCAAAATCTTAAGAAGGGTACTGGACAACTAACCTGATGAAGTTTCAGCTCAGCTTCAGCTGTTTATCCCGGGAAAAACAGCATAGTACCACGGAGAGATAATATTGACTATCCACCCGAGCTAAACCATGTTTTGGGTTTTTTTTTGGTTTTTACTATACCTCGTATATTTTCATAAAAACTTCAGTTAAAGTTACGCATATATATTTAGTTTTCTTGGCAAAATGTTGTGCGTGTTGGCCCACCGTTTCATGCATACAAACAGCTGATAGCGCAGCGCCATCGACCGATTATGCTGCTCCACCGATCGTGCCCAAAACAACATGACTGTTTGGTACAGTTAGTGCTTCATGTAATTATTTCTTTTCATGCAGAGTGGGCCAGGACCTCATAATCTAGACAGGGTACCAGACCAAGATGGCTACCTTATCATCAATGGAGATGGAGCAGTAATGGCGGTGAGTTTAATTGGTGGTTTCTTGTATTTTGAGGAAACAGTTGCAACAAAAGTCGTGATAAGCTTTTGGCCACTATTTGTTTGAAATTTCACTTGACAAGCATGCAACATGCTTGTAAAAACAAAAACAAAAAAACCCACGTTCTGTTGCAGGAATAAAAGTATGTATGATACTTTAATTAGAGAAAAAATCCACAACTAAACAGCCTTAGTAGCGCCAGTTGACAAAGACACTGAGACGGTGTCGCAAGCTTCTGCTACGAACTCTTCAACTAGAGTCCCCAAAAAAGTTACCTTGCCATTGATTTAACTAAGGCCAAAAAAAAAGTCTCCGGTTTCTGGTATGCGCGCGCGTCGCCGTAGCCATGCGCGTCGGCAAAATGAAAAAGTTTTTTTTTTCAATGAAAGATGATGTCTCAAAACCGCCAAACTCACTGGTTTGACTGGAATCCTGCTGCTGCACAATTTTAACGTGTTTTTAGATGGGGTTATGATCGGGAATAAGCTTTATGTGGCCTCTCTGGTCTCCCATAATATTTGCACTAAGTTTAGTCGGGCACCATTTGCAGTCATCAGCCGACATTTGAAGCAAAAAAAACAGGTAAAAAAAAAAAAAAAAGCCGCGTCGCTGCACCGCTTTTTGGGCAAGCTCCATACCAGAAACCGGAGACTTTTTTTTTTTGGCCTAAACTAACATTAAGAAATATTTAGATACATTTTGGCAATCGTAAATATTGCAGCGACGTAGCTTTGGATGTCATCGCGACATCTTCGTTTAGCGTTGCGAATTAAACCTGAATGAAGATGTCGTGATGACATCGAAAGCTACGACACTGCAATATTTCTGATTCCAAAAGGGTATTTAAATACTTTGTATCAACGTGATGGAATCCAGTATCAGTATACATGCTGCTAAACTAATAATGTCTGTTTGTTTGTTTGTTTTTTTTATTTTTCTCCTCAGTCTTCTGGTGATCTGGAGAATGACGAGAGAGTAGCTGGTATCTTGATGAACATGGTCCGTCTTGCGAGTAGAATCAAAATAAACCCGGACAAACCTGAAACATTCAAGAGATTATCAGGTAGACTATTTGTTACCATTAAACGGGCATTATGGCCTGAAATCTCCAAAAATTGCATGGTTTGGATTGTTTACTTATCCTTTTTCATAAGGTCTGGTTGAAAGGAACTTACCTAATGTCTTACCGTTCCCGAGAAAAGACGAAAACATCCCGTTGTTTTGCTTCGGACACGGTGGACATTCTGTGGCATACGCATACGTATTTCCAGGCGTGTCTATTCATTGTATGGGTACACGTTGCGTGCGTGTGTGTGTGACACATAATACGCTCAGCACCAATACGCAAAATGTCGTTTCTCACACGTCCGCAATATGCAGTTCACAACTAGCACTCAACAGCTCAAGTTTTGAAGGTCAAAATTTCAAAACACCCCTTTTTTAAAGGATGGCCCAAGTGGTTTTTCAAGTCCCGTATTGTGATTGCTGTATCTTTTGAACAAAACATCCTACGTAAAAAGCATTTGGAAGACCAATTATTCTACTCAGCAATACACTAGGCCAAAAAAAAAAAGTCTCCGGTTTCTGGTATGCGCGCGCGTCGCCGTAGCCATGCGCGTCGGCAAAATGGAAAAGTTTTTTTTTCAATGAAAGATGATGTCTCAAAACCGCCAAACTCACTCGTTTGACTGGAATCCTGCTGCTGCACAATTTTAACGTGTTTTTAGATTGGGTTATGGTCGAGAATAAGCTTTATGTGGCCTCTCTGGACTCCCATATATTTGCACTAAGATTAGTCGGGCACCATTTGCAGTCATCAGCCGACATTTGAAGCAAAAAAATCAGGTAAAAAAAAAAAAAAAGCCGCGTCGCCGCACCACTTTTTGGGCAAGCTCCATACCAGAAACCGGAGACTTTTTTTTTTTTGCCTTGGCCATGATTTTGAATCTTACCCCCACTTTTCTGAAAACCTACCCGATTCGACTTTTTGTGGGACAAGCTATACAATGTTCTGTTTTTTTGTCTCATTTTAAGGTAATGTTATATGTGCTTTTTTTACAATTTGATCATCGTGCATTGTGATTATGTTTGATAGTTTTTCTTGCCGTTTGTATTTCAGTTGTTTTCGATGACTTCATGTATGTAGCCACCATTTCCAGCAGCAAGGTTTATGTGAGTAAACGACGCCACAACCCACAGGAGCCTGTGTTGGCATAGTGCAACATGTTCTGTCTTAGACTTCACCAGTTGACAGATTTGTATATACATGTAAATGAACAGCGTACTTTAACCCCAACTCCCTAGGCCTTTTTGCTAGGATGTAGCCTCAATCCTGCAAAATCCTCCAATTGGCCTCATGGAAAAATAGCATATAGCCTCAATCCTGCAAATTCCTCCGCTATTTCTTGAATATGGTCCATGGAGGGGTGACCACTGCCTGAATCCTGCAAAATCTTCCGGCTATGACTGTCAATAGGCTGAGGCAGAGGCAGTGACATCCTGGAGCAGTGCGGAGGATGTCAAGTATAATCAAGGGCTAAATTTATGCACGGCTGAGCATAAACAACACAAGGTCCGGCCCAAGACCTTGACACAGTGCGTACTCCGAAATCAGCAACGCACTTTTGCCATGTAACCTCAATCCTGCAAATTCCTCCAATTTGCAAAAAAGATTTTGGAGGATTCAGGGCGGTTAGGGATAAGGCATCACAGATGCTACTGACAGGTCGGAAGACAACATCTCTCTGTTTTTCTCCTTTGACAAGTGATGTTGTTGTTGTTGTAGTTTTGCTATTTTTGTTCAGATAAAAAAGAATTCTATATTCTTCAAAATTCAACATGGTAGAGTAAAACAAGTGACATTATTATTTGTACTTCAATAAATTAAGCACATCGGGTCCTTATGTGAAGACAAACTGACTGGGTGTTACATTTCTCGATCCATAATTTCACATCAAAAAATGGACTTTGTATTTTGGGAGGATTTTAGGGGATGTATGTACGTGCATTGATTTATGTGCAAAACAGTGAACAGCAGTGATAAGTTTTTCATCCATAAATACATCTAGACTTTATTCAGATAATGAAAGGTTTGCGGAAACACCATGTGCGAATAATTTCTCAACTAAGAGAATGGTTCTGAAAAGAACCAGAGGTATAAACTCGACGGTCAGAGCATACTGACCGGAACGTCGAGTTTATACCTCTGGTTCTTTTCAGAACCATTCTCTTAGTTGAGAAATTATTCGCACATGGTGTTTCCGCAAACCTTTCATTATGTAGTATCTCCACCATGCAAAGCCTCGAATCTTACTTAGACTTTATTCGTTGGAACTATAAACAGCCGGGTAAGACACATCGCATAATTTGGCCAACTACATACGCACTAGCTCCACCGTCTACCTTGACGAGTTCCAGCTAGTTTTGGAAATCATACATTTTTTTGTACAAGATGGAGACCAATAGTATTGCAGTTGCCAAATGTTTCTACATTGCGTAGTGGTGGGATTTAAATCCAGATTTTTAAAAATCGGTTTGAATTTCACTATTCAGTTTTGATTTTGGAAACCGGATATGCAAAACCAACTTTACAAAAAAGTCCTCCTTTTCTTGGGGACAAAGGCTAAAGAAAACAACTAAAACATCCTCCAGTTTGCTTTATGGTCTCTGACTGTAACTGCATTCACTTGCCAGTGGTCTTCTTGGTACACGAATACCCTGCCCATTCGAATTATCAGAGAGTTCCCACCAATTTTGTCGACATTACAGCTCTGTAGTGTTTTGTAAAGGCCCAGTGGGTCATTGAATCCTGCAAACTTTACCCAATCATTGGGAGGGCATTGCATGCGACGCCTCACTCCTCACTTTTTTCTTGGCATGACTGTCAGCTGGGTGGGAACTTCCGGTGAAATTGGATAGCCGTTATCTGGTTTGAAAAAAAAATGTGAATAACCAGATTTTAAAATCTCTGATTTCTCCCACCACTAACATTGCGCCATGGCAACGTATAACCCTCACAAAAGTAAACATGAGGGAAATAAATGCAAAATGTGTGGAAAATCTGACAACCCACTAGTCCCCTCACTTACGCCCGGTCAAGATGAGCTGTGCTCTCGGTGCGTGCATGTGACACAAATCCAGAGTCTTGATGAGGTAGAGAAGCTGGACGAGCTGGAGAAGATTCAAAAAGAGGGTGGTGCGTTGTCTGGGCTTTTGGAAGACAAACCATCAAGCAAAGAAACTCCGGAGTTAGAAAAATCAAGACAAAAGGCCCGCGGCGCAATCAAATTAATGATGGGTCTGCATGTCCCAAAGCAAACTGGTAAAGAGGAAGTGGGACAATTTGAGCCAACTTTTGGGGATGTTCAGGTGATGGAAGCACTGGCTCCAGATATTTGTCTGAGACTCCGGAAGGGTTCACTCTGTTAATTTCCCTCAATACTGCACCCTGATAATAGCATGCTGGGCCGGAAGGTGAACTTGGAAGGGACTCTCTTTCCCAAACTAACAAATATTAATGAGTACAATGACCAACACAAACGGGCGAAGAAGTTGGTAGAAGAAATGACAAGACGCTGTTAGGTTACTGGTTTAAGGTTGATAAGAAAAGACAAGATTGCGGAGACTCACCATTTGGGGTTCACCATGCGGGCCGCCATGTTTGCACATGTTTTATTCATGAGTGCGTGTACTTACAGAACGTACAGTTCATGTCATGGAACGTACAGTCCGAAGGCCTGTTATAACATCTCCCCTTTTTCTAAAAGAAACAAACTGGTTAATAAACAACAATGTGAATATAAATTCCAAGAACTGGAATCAATTGAAAAGTTCAAATCCTTGAGTTGAGAGATTTGAGAGTCTCTGTGACTAAAATAAAGTTGCTAGTGTTCAGCTTAATGTTCAGATGAGATGAGGTTTCTTGCAGATCTAACACGTTACAGTTCTATGTCCAATAAAAGTTGATTACTGTAATTTCGCGTCTCAGTGTTGATTCTGATTCATTTGGTGCTTATCTAAATGCTAGTTTGTTCTCTTTTGATTAAGTGTGTGACTGGTCTAGTTTTGAGACACAATGTAGTCCTTGTGCCAAACTGGTGGACGGGTAACTCGAGTGGGTCGAGATTCAGCTGGTTGAGGATCCTTGGTCTCCTTGCATGATGTTTGGATGTCAAGAACTGGATCCAGGGATGGTTTGGGAAGAAGAAAGATATGACGTCTGTTTCGACGGTACTCAGTGCCGTTGATGTTGATGATGTAGGACCGTGGAGTCCCAGCCTGACGTACAACTTCACCTTCTGGGCTCAGCTGTCCTTTGGTTCGGATCTTAACCTTGTCTCCAGGCATCAAATCATCCAGCTGTCTTGCACCGTGTCGCTTGTTGAAGGTTTGTCCGCTTTTCTGTTTGTTCATGTTGTCTGTAGCCTTCAGCTTGTTGTGATCTACCTTCTTAGGCTGCAGATTACGAGGCAGGATTGGAAGTGTGGTGCGAATCTCCCTTCCCATTAGGAGACTGGCTGGACTCTGGCCAAGGCTAGGCAGAGGAGTGGACCGGTACAGCATCAAGGCGCGGACTGGATCGTCTTGGCTTAACAGTCTCTTGGCAATGTGTACAGCTTTCTCTGCTTGTCCGTTGGCCTGTGGGTAATAGGGACTGGAGGTGATGTGTTGGAAGTTGTACTCACGAGCGAATTGGTCAAATTCACCCAAAAACTGTGGACCATTGTCAGTCACCACCACTTCGGGAATACCATATCTAGCAAATGTTGCCTTGATGAAGTTTATCACAGATTTGGCTGTTGTCGAGTGGAGGTGATGTAGCTCTATCCATCGGGAATAGTAGTCTACCAGCACAAGGTACATCTTCCCCTTCACCTCGGCTAGGTCGCAGGCAATTTGCTGCCATGGTCTCTGTGGGAGTGGTGTGGACATGAGTGGTTCGGCGCGTTGCGATGGTTGCATATCCTGGCAATGCGGGCAAGACTGGACATACTGGGCTATGTCAGTGCTCATACCAGGCCACCACAAGGCTTGATTGGCTCGAAGTCGGCTTTTTGAGACGCCTTGATGACCCTCATGGATTCTCTGCAACATTTGTTGTCTCAGGCTCTGTGGAATCACAATGCGGTCACCATATGTGAGGATACCACCGACTAGGCTGATTTTGTCTTGGTCATCCCAGAACCGTTTCAACTCTGGGTCGACATCCTTCTGGTACTTAGGCCATCCATCTTTGACGTGAGTGATGACTGCACTCAGGGTACGGTCGTGACTGGTCTCTAAGGCTATTTCGACCAGCTTTGCATCAGATGCTGGCCACTGGGTTGTGATCAAGTGGACATGTGCTTCGATCTCGCCTTCAAGATCTTCATCTGGTTCGGCCACTTTATCTCGCTGGAGAGGAGCTCGCGAAAGTGCATCGGCCACAACCAGGTCCTTACCAGGGGTGTACTCTGCTTCGCAGTTGTATCTCATCAGCCTCATCAGCAGTCGTTGGCATCGGAGAGGGGCATCACATAAGTCCTTTTTGTTGATTAGGGACACTAGGGGTTTGTGGTCTGTCTGGAGCGTCACTCGTAGACCGCGGAGATAGACGAAGAAACGCTCACATGACCATACAGCAGCCAGTAGCTCCTTCTCGATCTGTGCATATCGTTGTTCAGCACGTGTCAGGCTTCGGGAACAATATGCTACTGGTCTCCAGGACTCATCTTCCTGCTTCTGAAGGATGTATCCACCAATGCCGTAACTGCTGGCATCAGCACTGACCATCGTTGACTTTGTTGGGTCATAGTATGCAAGCGTCGGGGCTGTAGTTAGCAGTGTCTTGAGGTGTCTGAAAGCACTGCGTTGTGCTGGACCCCAAGTCCACTCTGTGTCGCCTTTCATCAGAGCATTAATCGGTGCTGCCACTGTAGCTGCATGGGGTATGAAACGAGATAGCCAATTCACCATCCCCATCAGTCGTTTGACTTCCTCCTTCGTCGTAGGCGGCGACATCTGGAGGATTGCATCAAGTTTAGCAGGATCAGGGTGAATTCCACGCTTATCGAGACGATGGCCAAGGAAGTGCACCTGCTCTTGCGCAATTTTGCACTTGTCCTTATTAAGCTTCAGCCCAGCTCCTTGTAGAATTTGCAGTACATGACGGAGACGTGCGTCATGTTCCTCTGGTGTCGCACCCGTGACAAGAACATCATCCATGTAGACGACAACTCCCGGTAGATTGACCAGCAGATCACTCATGATTCTCTGGTACAGCTCAGGTGCCGATGTGATGCCAAATGGCAGGCGATTGAAGCAGAATCTACCAAATGGTGTGATGAATGTGGTTAACTTCTGGCTGTCAGGGTGGAGCGGAATTTGCCAAAACCCATGCTTGGCATCGAGGACAGAAAATAACTGGGCACCGGCAATTTTACCCAGGACCTCTTCCAAGGTAGGTATGCTAAACTGCTCCCTGGCCACGGCTTTGTTCAGCATTCGTAGGTCAACACAGACTCTGATGTTTCCATTTTTCTTTGGAGCGATCACGATCGGGGCGCACCAATCAGTTGGTTCTGTGATGCGCGTGACGATTCCTTGTTTCTCCATTTTGTCTAGCTCTGCCTTGAGTTGGGGGTGCAAGGGCAGTGGGATTCGACGAGGGGCATGGACACAGTGTGGTGTAGCGTTTTCTGTCAGCTTTATCTTGACTGGTGGGCCTTTTAGGCATCCGGTTCCCTCATAAACATCATCATCATTTATCATGGTGTACACACGCTGCACCAGGTTAAGGGAAACACAGGCATGTTTTCCCAGAACTGGCTCACCATCGCCAATGATAAGAAAAGTCAGGATATGGTACTTGCCCTTGACTTCACATGATAGGCGTTTCTGTCCTCTTGGCTGGACTTTTCCGCCGAAGAAACCGCACAGACGGGTTGTAGTCGTAGACTGCAGGGTCGGGTTGTGGAGCTTCAGGGTGTGGTAAACATGAAGTGGCAGTATGTTTACCTCGGACCCAGTGTCAAGCAAGAAGTTGATGGGCTTTTTCTCAACAAGGATGGTCTGGCGCCAGGAAGTGTGTGATGGGGCATTTTTACTGGATACGGAGCCTACAAAGAACTCAGTCTCATCGTCAGATGAAGTCGGTGCCATCACAGCTCGCGTGTGTTTAGGTTTGGATCGGCAAACCCGGCTAAAATGTCCAGTTTTGTGACAGGACTTGCACTTCTGGCCTCTAGCAGGGCATGTAGCATGACTTGGGTCGTATCCGCAATTGGGACACCTGGCCTGGTGGGTGTTGGGTTTGGTCGATCGATTGTGGGGCATCTTCTGTCGAGGTTTGGGGTGCATCGCGTGAACAGCCGCCGTATTGTGTGCTCCTTTAATTTCACGGAGATCTTTGGTGGCTGTCTCTAGAGTTTTTGCAACATCCAGGGCTTTCTGGAAAGTGAGGCTATCCTTAGTCAGAAGATGTTTCTGAACATACTCACTTCGGAGGCCACAGATCAGGCGATCACGCAAGGCGTCATCGAGAAATGTCCCAAACTGGCAGGGGCTGGCAAGATCGCGTAGTGCAACAGCATACTGAGCGATGGACTCATCCATGTGTTGTTCGCGTTTGTAAAATCGGAAACGCTCTGCTACAACTAGACGCTTTGGGCCGTAGTGTGATACAAGCATATCACAGAGTTCTTTGAAGCTCTTTGCAGACACTGGAGTTGGTTCAGCTAAGCTTTTTACAGTCTTGTAGACAGTAGCACCAACTGCACTCAACAGAACTGCCGATTGTTTCGCCGCAGGGATGTCATTTGCAACAAAATAGAGGTTAAGACGCTCGATGTAGTTGCGAATGTCTTCAACTTGGTCGTACTGGTCGAGACGGCCAATTAACGGAGCGCTGGATACCGCCCCCAACGATGTAGACTGCGTCATTGCGATGTCTACGTGTTCCCGTGCGTGCGTGAAACTCACAACAATTCGTTCGAAAGTTTAACTTGTAGCGTAAATGTCACTTTTTTCATGCGAAAAGTGGAATGCAAAATGACGGTTATTTTATACTGTATCAACCACCGCTGCCACCATGTTAGGTTACTGGTTTAAGGTTGATAAGAATTGACAAGATTGCGGAGACTCACCATTTGGGGTTCACCATGCGGGCCGCCATGTTTGCACATGTTTTATTCATGAGTGCGTGTACTTACAGAACGTACAGTTCATGTCATGGAACGTACAGTCCGAAGGCCTGTTATAACAGACGCCACTCCAAGAAGGTATTCTTATTGGATAGTCATGGCAGGAATGGCCTGAAATGTGTGAGTCTAACGCTCAGGCCTCTATGCTTGAGAGTAGGCAGGCCTGCAATGATTCTGCCACTTAAGGGGGGGGGGGGGGGTCGCTAAATGATTACATGTTTACTTCATTACATGCGTTGATAGGTTCCTATACATACTGAGAAGTACTACGATATCATACCGTGAAACGACTTTCACCAGATTTGTTTATGTATTAAACGTATGCCTTACTGTTTATATAAAATGTATACATATATCCATATTTTTTATTACATGTAATGTAATGTGATGCTTACATAGCAATTTATACATATACCCCCAAAATAATAAAATTATTGAAGTGTCATTGCAAACTTGTGATATGAAATTTGAATGTAACTTTTCAATATTGGTGTGATCTTTAGCACATTCTCTGCAATCACTTGTACATTTTGAATTCGTTTTTCTATGGAGAGAAGTACGCGTAATTGTGATAAACTGTCATGCCCAGGGACACACACATCCAGTTGACTTTGTTGACGTACGATTGTTATGATCAGGTAACAATCACTAAAAGTTGTGAGCTTATATTTAAAAGCAAATTACATAAAGTTTTATCTGAAGGTGATGGAGGCCCATCTGATTGTGACTCTGATCATAACGTTCCAACAGTTACTCCTTTGACTAAAAAGGGTAGTGTTTGCTTGTATTTTATCAAATAAATAATAGGGCTGTCCCGAATATTCGAATATCCGATCATCAACCAAATATTCAAATAGCTTTTTGCTGGTTTGAATATTCGAAAACCAAAAACTGCCCACGCACACACACACAACTGTGATATTATTTTGTCGTAAAGTTGCGGTGCCGTGTAATATTGCCCGGTGCCACTTTTTGGTTGACGGCGGTTCATTGTTCCCATCCTTTTAGCAGCTTAACCAGTTCGCACTGGGTGACGTGTATACCCCAAAAGGTTTTGCAGTATTGGGAACGGATGACAGACAAACACGCAGGGAGCGAGGCCGGAAATATATGTCAGCAACCCGCTCGCAGCGAGCGAGGCTGAAAATATGAGAGTGCTGTCCCGAGGGTGATTGCTTCAACCCGCCTGGCTAGAGGTCGAGTGAACAGTTATCCCGCACCTCGTTCCGTTCTTGTCAAAATAATCCCGGCGTGAACTGGTTAAAGCCTTTGACAAAAGTTGACCAAGTTGACAGTTTGAAAACGCTTACTGGTACTACAAACCACTCCGGCGGACCATGGAGCAATGATGTGGACCATATCGATCGTTGCACACAGATTTTAACTGGCACGCTCTGCATGCAACTTTTTGACCGGCGCGGCATGATGCAGCTGGCTGTTTCGAATATCCGAATACTCGGTCAAACACAGTTTTCAGTAATCGAATACTAAATTATTTGAAAACGAACAGCCCTACAAAGTTGGTTTCATAAGATTTGGTCGTATGTGGGAGTAGGCATTACTTTATAAACTTCCTTTTTGAAATTAAAAAAAATATTGCATCGCTGTATCATATCTGTAATAGCCAAATTACTCAGATCTTTTGTAGGACAAAACGTAAAATAAACTTGTACAAGATATCTTATTTTGTCTTGTGGGTTGCTACGTTCTCATTAATTTGTCGTCATATGTAGATGTTCTTGCACTTCATGGAAAGTGTGGTTAGTCTTGTGATATTTGGCGAGTGCAAAGTTTTTAGCAAACTGCAAAACCTCTTCACACGTGACAGTGAAGTGCAGACGAAATAATCATATCTGATAATGAAACCAAGGATTTTCTCCTGAGGGCAGAGCACTGTAGCTGGCAAGCCTGAAGAAACCTGTAGAGAGAAGACAGTGAGAAGAAATTACAGTCTTAGAGGTGGGAGAAAAACCCCAGACGAATATTCTGAGGAAAACCCACGGAATCAGGCAGGGACTGAAAACCCAATCCACATAATGGACCAGGCGGGATTCGAACCGGGGCCACAGCTTTGCATGGAAGGTGAGGAAAGTAACGCTACGCCAACCTAACTCCCTGTCACACCCAACCAATTGGATGCGGCATCTGTAGACATGTTGGCATGTTTTTTTGGTCAGATTTTATAAATGTTATTTCTACTTCTAGCATACTGCTGTTTAACTTGAATCTTTGGAAGCAGCACGTCAGTCGAGAGTCTCTCGATAACAGTGATAACTGTTAAAGGGAAAATACAACATTTGCAAACATCAAAAAATATAACTACCAAATCGTTTTGAAATACCTTGCTGGACTGTTGGTGAATGACAGTGTAAAGCATCCTGTAAAATCATGGCACCTGGTATACTGTCATTTTCAAGAAAAGTGGTATTTTTGTATCAATTTCCAACGCTGATCGGCCGATCAGCGTTGGAAAAAAATGGCTTTTTGTCAAATACTGGCCCCAGTTGACGATCGCACTTGTTTGCAATCGATTACACACCTATGAACGGGTGCAAGCCAGCTAGACTGGTTCCCTGACCTTACAATTCCCCAATATATGTAAACTGCTCTGTTTCTTCTTATATGGAGTCAGGGAACCAGACTACAGGAAAATGATTGTTTTTCTTGGTTTTTATAGCATTTTCGAACCCAAAACCTCAATAAAGTCAGTGTAACTATATTTGCTATATATTTCCAACCCCCCAATTCCATCCATTTCTGAAAATTACAGCAAAAGCAAATGATGTATATTCCCTTTAATGGTAATGTTTTAAGTGTGTACAGAAAAATGTACAGCACACATTTAATACAAAGTTCACCGCACACAATTATAATGCATGATAATAATATCCAAACTGATTGGATGTAGTAACTAAATACTGTTTACAAATGTGCTCGTTTATTCAGAAATTCATGAAGCATGATATCCAAACTGATTGGATGTTTCCAAAGTGTCTTTTCCATTTGCAAAACTTCTTTTTAGAAACCCATTCATTTAGAGACACACTCTTTACAAAAAAAATGGTCCGGTTAACTTGTTCTTTATGATGGGACTTGCGGTTTTGCCTATAAAGTCAACTGAGCGTGATCGGCTGACTGATAAGATTTACGCACAAAACCCTCGGCCAGTGAGGAGTTGCATAGAAAGCTGGCCGAACCACTTTTTGCGAAAGTGTGCCGGTAATGATTTGAGAAAATGTTTTTATATCATTTCAAATAGACTTGTTCTCAACAACCAAAAACTTCCAAACCATTTCCTATATGATATTTAATGTAATAATCAATATGGGTCTTCAAAGAATATGCATATTCAAGTTTATGCACATACATATTGGGCAGTCCTGCAGCAGCAAACGGACGGCCAATTATGTGCTCGATAAAACACGTGCTCTGATCATTTGAGTGAACTAGATTAATCTGTATATAAAGTACGGAGGGCATTTAAGTTGAACAATTTAATGTCTATAATAAATATACCCCGAAACTTTCAGGATAATCCCGTAACGTATAAAAAAAAAATCAGCCAAGGTTTTCAAAACGTTTTACACAATTGTAATGTAATGTGGAGTTCGGGTTTTACAGCACCGCCACGTGTTAATGTTGCGTGCGATATGTGATAGCACATTGCGTGATAGGGGTATTTCCCAGTGTGAGAAATCTTTCATGGGATTTCCCAGTGTGAAGTCAAGTTCTTTGACTTTGCTGCCATTTTCACGGTGTCAAATTCAACCTGTATGTCATTTCGCCAGTATTATATAAATACAAGGGTGACCGTTTTAGCCGATTTTCCGCTAACTTTGCTTTGACAGATTTTTGTTTGAAACGAGTTTGACAGAATGGATTTTTTTGGGCAGATTTCCGGCGGAATTCTGTAAAATTTATTTGACAGAAAAACAGCAAATTTGAAAAAAAATGGTACAATTAAAAAGCTTCAATCTTTTCAAACAAACCCTTGCATAATGGGACAGGTTGGCTCAGGTCTAGGTGCCGAGTTCACTGGGAACCGGACCGTTCGTTGTGACGTGACCGCGCCTTTGCCAGAAATTTAGGCAATTTCATAACATCTTTATGTGACTATAAATTGTTCACAATGTAATTGGAAGCTTAATTAAGGCAATACTACAAATCTGAATGTGATTTTAAGTGTTTAGAGTGTATTTCGAGTAATTCTGGGGAATTTGGCAGAATTTTGATAAATCTGACAGATTTTTGAAGTGCCGTTTAGCAGAACTTGGCCATGACATTACGGTACTGTTGTGCCCATTCTTGAAAATCACGCATTCTCGAGAATGGGCATGCACATTCTTGAGAATGTGCAACTGGATCCTTGCTCAATCTTGGCAAAAAATAACTCTTCCAGATTGAGCGCACATTCTCGAGAATGCGCGACAAGATAACGGTCTTGTCGATGCCGAGCACCGGCTGCGCTTGGCAAGTCTAGCTGAATCCTCGTTCACTGATTCTCAATAATTATACTGTTGCAACGCAAGGCTCTGAAAAGTAGAGTGGATATGATAAGTAAAGGCGTATTAATATGGGGGGGGGGGACCGGGAAAATATAAGAGACATAATAATACTAGTGCAAAGAATTCTGATTTTTGGGATAATAAAAGCGAGGGGGGGGGACGTAAGAATGAAGAATGTGAAGAATGAGAATGAATACTGCGACATCCCATAGTGCTAATGCTATTTCCCATTTAAATTGCCACCAATTTATTGTTCACATCCCACCATAACGTCGCAGAGCTGGATTCTATCTAGTCAAAAGAGCAATTTTGGCAGCTTCTGGACATCGTTTTTTTTTGTGTGGCACGCATATGATACATGCAGGGACTTGTAACTTGTCTAGCCTAAACAAAGCACTTCCCAGACTAGTTCCCAGTCCTCCGTTATTACAAAACTTCCCATAGTGGGCAGAAAAAAGCAATAATAACAGGTTTAATTTGATTCAAATTATCGTAATTATACGAGTACAGAAGCATAGCACATTTTCTTTCCTCTTTATATGAATTGTTTCCCTTTTAACCGCTATACAATTCATTTAACATAATTATGTCGTGCAATGTTTGTTAAGATTGGGCAAAATTCATAAATTGTGCACGTGATATTCCCAACCAATCTTAAGAATGAGCGCTCATTCTTAAGAACGCGTGCTCGTTCTTAAGAATGGGCGCTCATTCTTAGAATGCGCGCCCATTCTCGAGAATGTGCATGCCCATTTTCGAGAATGCGTGATTTTCAAGAATGGGCACAACAGTACCATCATTATGAAGCTTTGACCCCAACACAACAACATGCGCTATGACGACGGGCACAGAAACCGTTTGATTTCACGCGCGAAATGGTAGCTAGAGCCGTAGAGGTCGAGTTCGTACAATCTCGTGCGTCGAATGTTTCTATGCAACTCTTTGGAGCCACGTTCACCGGTCTACTACCTTCCTTGTACCACCGATCTTAGATCTAAAAGTGCCAGTCTTCTGCAGTTCTGGTGATTTGGACAATGAGAGAATTATCCTGATCATGGACATGGTCCGTCTTGCGCACATCAAATCCAGACAAACCGGAACAATTCAGCAGGTACAGACTTTTTGTGTACAGTCGTTTTCCTAGTTCCGGATAGCAAACATCATTCAGGCTGATTTCGGCTCAACTACTCCACGAATTCAAGTGACATTGATTAAAAAGTTTACCTTGAGTGATGGAGAGACCACGAAATAATTTTCAAAATTTAAGCTCTTTTCATTTTGATTTTACGACGTCAAAATCTTTGGGTATATCAAAACCCACTCCGTCAGAATTTTTTTAATTTTATCACCCTAAGTATTGGTTTCGTTGTCTCATCATGTTATAATTTTCAAAAGTCATGGTATGTGCTCTATGAAAATGTCATCATCATCCATTATCTTTAAGGGGGGATTTTAATGAGTGCCCTGTTTTCAAAACTTTTTTTCACGAGTGCCCGAGTTTGTTTTCACGAGTGCCTTTTTATTTAACGTGGAGCGTGAATGTCGGCAATTGTGCCGGTGTCATAATCGGACTCGTATGAAAATCGGACTCTTTTGAAAATCGGACTCTTTTGAAAATCGGACTCTTTTCCCCTTTTATTGGTTAAACCCTCTCACGTGACCGGTCCCTCTCCTAAGTATCTATGCATGAGCATGCGCAATACCACCAATGAGTCCGTATTTCATCAAACCTAAATTCATGCTACACCGGCATGAAAAGTGCCACATTATAGACCATTATCATGTCGCGGACAATTTTGCACCAAAAAAAACCATTATTCAGTGTTACAGGGAACATGACTAAAATGGTGGCAGCATGAATTAAGGTCTATTGTCCGATCACTCCAATGGCGTCGTGTATAGCCCTCTGCCCTCCAATTTGATTCAACCTTTCATTCATCCGAACCCCTTCAATTTTCATTAAAAGTCAATTTCTCCAAGTTTCACGGACATTTACATGGGCTTATCAACTAATCATGTAAGGGTATTTTCACGTTTTTTTTAATGACCCTGGCCACTGAGGTTTATCATTGGTTATACATAACGGTACACTAGTCTATCTCCATGGGTAAACATAGGACTTTCTTAAGGGTGTTTTCACGGACTCCTAATCTGTTTTAATATGCTGAAAAATCCGTGAACATTTAGTTAACTGTAATTTCAAGGGAAAATGGCTCTTTAACGAATTTCTAAGGGATGAAGATGTTCAGAGTGAGAGTGCCCTTTTTCAAGTCTAACCCCCTCCCCCCCCCCCCCCCCCAATGAAAATGACCTTGATACGGCCGCACTGAATTATGTTTGATTATTTTTCTGGCTGTTTGTATTTCAGTTGTTTTTGATGACTTCATGTATGCGGTATAGCGACCATTCCTATAGCAGCAAGGTTTACGTGAGTAAACGACGCCACAACCCTCAGGAGCCTGTACTGACATAGTGCAGTTTCTACTCAACAGTACCATCCCAAACAGTACGGTACCTTTTGATAGATTTGTATATTTGTTATGAACAACTTCTAAGGTATCTCAAGATACTACAAACAGGTCTAAAAAGGTCGTCTGAATTATTCTCTTTCGTCAGTGATTATTTCAGAGTAGACCTAAGGTCTGACTCGGCCAAGACATACATCCCAAACGATTGACGCAGAATGAGAGATTTTAACCGTTAATAAAGACATGCATAATGGAGAAAGACAACTGATTTGAGATTTAGACTTTGTCTATCTCGGCAAAATTTTGACAAGAAGTTGTTAGAAGGGAAATAGGCTATCAGCTTCAGTCCAAAGAATGGGCGCACCGGTTATCAATTGATCGAAAGGAGCAATGCTCATTAGCGATCATTGGAAAGGTATGCACATCTAGAGTTGGAAAATGTGTGATAGCTTTGTAATGTGACTGTGTGAGCGGTGGCAGGTCTGTGGGTGTTATCACCGTTTTAATTTTTGTTTAAAATGGCTGCCAATATGCTTGTTACCGGATTAATAATATGTGGTAACAAGCATGTTTTGGCTGCCATTTTTTTAAAGAAAGTGATAGCACCCAAAAAGCTGCCACCGCTGCAATGCTATCACAGATTTTCCCAACTATGTGCATACCTTGCCAAAAATCACAATGAGCATTATTCCCCTCATTTGATACCGACCAAACTCCCAGGCTTATATCCTAAAGTGGTCTGTGGTAAGGATTATAGAAACAAATTAAAAAGCAAAGAATGCTGTTCAACTTTTTTTTCAATATCTCATATTCTTTCTTGCATCTTCAGGAAATAATGCACAATATTACAAAAGGGTAAAATGCTTGTTATAATAATTATAAGAAGCAATTGAAGTCTAATTAGTTATTTAAAAATAATAATAGTGGGTATTTATAAAGCGCACATAATCTACCATTATTGGTGCTCAAGGCGCTACATCATTATTACCCTGCTCACCAGGCCAATGAAACATTCCAAATACCATCTCAGCTCTCTGGGGAGTATACAGCTCGTTGCAGCGCAAAGCAGCAAAATCAACCACAAAAACCACCTCTGCCCTCACAGGCACCCATTTACTCCTGGGTGGAGAGAAGCAATGAGTGACAAAGTGCCTTGCCCAAGGCAAACGCACAATGACCCCAGGCTGGACTCGAACCCACAACCTGCAGAATTACCCGTAGACCACGAATTAAATGCTCCAGACCACGAGGCCACGGCGTATTTATTTACAATTTGTTGTTTGTTACAGAGTCTTCTGATCAAAACCGTACTGCTCAAGATGACGTTTACTTAGAAATGATCTCTACCAGGCCTATACGGAGTTAATTAAGTTCCAACATCTGTCAATAAAACTAAATTCAATTCCCTGTAGGGTACTTTTGGTTCAGAATTTCATATCCTTTAGAATTCAACACTCTAGAGTAGGCCTATAACAAGTGACACATTCATTGTACTGTTATAAAATACGGGCATCCGAGTCAGACCCCATGTGAAGTAAATCTGACTGGACTTTACATTTCTCAATCTTTAATTTATCATAAAAACCTAGCCAGCTGACATTTTTGGGAGTATCTTTATGTACAATTGATTTATACAGATTTATACTGATTTATACTTGTATGTACAAATGATTTATATTTGTATGTACAAAACAGTGAATTACAGCGCTAAGTTGTTCATCTGTAAATACATCTATAGACTGTATTCGTTGGTACTATAAACAGAGAGTGACATCGCATAATTTGGGCGACTGCGTACGCACTAGGTTCACCATTTGCCTTGATGAGTTCAAGGTACATAGTTGAAGAAATTCATACAAGTTGGAGATCAGTACTGTTGTAATTGCGAAACTTTATATTGCGCAAATCACATAATATCGACATCCAACCATAGCACCATGGCATCATCTAGCCCTGGCACTAGCCAACATGGGGTAAATAAATGCGCAAAGTGTAAAACTTCTGAAAACCCACTGGTCCCTTCACTTATACCCGATCAAGATAAGCTATGCTCTCGGTGCGCGCTCTCGATACAAATCCAGACTTACGATAAGGTAAAGAAGCTGCATGAGCTGGAGAAGATCGAACAAGAGGGTCGGGCGTTGTCTAGGCAGTTGGAAGACAAAGCCCCAGACAAGAAAACCCTGGAGCTAGAAAAAGTACGACAAAAGGCCCGCGGTGCAATCAAATTAATGATGGGTCTGCATGTCCCAAAGCAAACTGGTAAAGAGGAAGTGGGAAAATTTGAGCCAACTGTTGGGGATGTTCAGGTGATGGAAGCACTGGCTCCTGATGTTTGTCTGAGACTTCGGAAGGGTTCACTCCGTCAATTTCACTCAATACTTCACCCTAAGAACAACAAAGTGGGTGGGAAAATGGAATTTAAAGGGACACTCTTTGAAGTATTTGGGTCCGAAAAAACCAATAAGAAGGAGTACACGGACCAAAACACACGGGCAAAGAAGTTGGTTGAAGCAACGACAAAATTCAAGTCCAAGAAGGTGTTCCTATTGGATGGTCATGGCAGGATGCTCCTGTCAATCATACATGCGATGATTGAGCAGGAATTAGATCCAGACTCGTACGAGTTTGTAGTAGTTGATGATGACAAGGAGTGTCAATGCTTTCATGAGCATTTGTTCCCCCAGTCAGTAACATGCAGATGCATGAATATTTTGGACATTGAGTTACAGGAAACTGACATGCTTTACATGAACTTCTGTAGCATACCGTCAAGGCTTGAAAATATCCTCTTTAACAAAGAAGAAGTTCTGAAGTGGGTGTGGGAATGCATGGAAACTATGGAATGTGGGATAATGATCTCAGCAGTGATCCGTGATACGCGGACAAAGGCACAGATAGACAAAGGGACACTAACAGCTGTTGGCCCGAGGAAAGGGAAAAGCACAATGGAAAAACACTTTCTTCCAGCAGGTTTTCGAGAGTGTCTCGAAGACCTTTTTGGTGCCCAGGTTGTGTCTCGGCGTCAAAACTTTGTGACGTGGCTGATCACGCCTGAAAACTGTGCCGTAAAAGATGAGCCACTATGTCTACAAGAATGGTTTGATGGTGAGGGTATTATCTGGGATCGCAGCACTGAATTATGTCCTGGTGCTCTCGTGAAATGCAACAAAAGTCCAGGAAAACGTTATCGTATCGTAAAGCGAACACCAGATCGAGTGGATCTTGTAGAGCATGATCCAATTTTTACCTTACACAGTCTGGAAGAAGTTCGTAGAGATATCAAAAATGTTTCCATTGCAAGCGATAGTGATTCAGACGACCTGGAAATTATCAAGATTGACCACTGATGGGACCAGTGAGATAACATGGCTTATTGATATTGCGATGTCTATAAAGAGGGATTTACATGTAGTGATAGCTACTAATGAAAATGAGGATGATTATTGGTTGCAAGGAAACTGATCTTTGATAAAGACCGTGATGGCTCCAAAACTGAAAAGAAATCACAGTTGGGATATGCAAATTGGCAGAATTATGCACAGTGCATGCGCATTGGCTGATTTAATAGGGCTGATTATGTTCACATACTCCCACCCTCCTCCAGTTTGAAAATGACAGAGGACCACAATAAATTTGAGCACTGCATGTCTGCCACTTAGGGGTTATGTCTGCTTCATTACATGCGTCACTGACATGTTCATGTACATAGAGTGAAGTACATTGATGTACAGAGTACTGAGTTGATAATGTTGGCCAACGTGTATCGGTGTTTTTATACCCTTTATAATTTTTATAACTTTCATGTTTTTCATGTAAACATATGCCTTAATTTTTATAACATGTACATATTTATATATACATGTACACAGCCATGCTTATACAGTAAGTGAAGCTTATTGAGCAATTTATACAAATACCCTAAAAAAAAATGTCATTGCAAACTTGTGATATCACAGTTTAATGTAACTTTTGGATATCAGTGCGACGTAGCACATTCTCTGCGATCACTCATATCTTTCGGTATGTTTTCCTCTACGGAGAGAAGTACACGTTATTGTGATAAAGTGTCTTGCCCAGGGCCACATACACCCAATTGACTCCAATGGCGTATCGAAACCCCGTGCTCGTGTTGAAAGAACACGAGAACGGGCTTTCCAATGACGAGAACCAACACACGGACGGTGTTCGCGAACAGGATTCTGATCACTCCCCAGTGGAGAGTAGATGAAGCACGTTAAGAACAAAGATAGCAAATTAAGGCGCATAAAAGTGAAAGCACTCATTGAGTACAGTAGTTGAAGTGGGCTTGTCTTTACCAATTATATTTCGGGATTTTGAATTATTGTCGTAATATAGTTAGTTTTCCCATGGTTTTCATTCGGTGTTTTTAATGTTTTCGCCCAGTTGTACTCCACACGCACTTTACTTTACCTTGACGAATCGACTACCCACTGCATTCGCAGGTCGCTCATAATTTATAGAACAGGGTTTATAATACTCCCCGGGAGTCAGGAACAGTAATTATTGAACCAGGATACTCCGTTGATGTACATGTGATTCCATAACAACAATAAGTTGTGAACTATAATTATAAACAGACTTTAAGTTTTATCTTAAGGTCATAGGGCTATCTGATGATGACCCTTATCATAACATTCCAACATTTACTCCATTGACTAAAACAGGTAGTGTTTGCTCGTATTTTATCAAATAAATGACAAATTCAGACAAACTGTGTGTAGACAAATGCCTGGTTTCATGGGCGTCGCCAGGATTTTTTTTAGAGGGGGGCAAAAAATTTTTTTGCCAAAAAATGCTTGTATTTCTCAACACATTCTCGATTTATCAGTTTTAGAGGGGGGCAGGGACATTTTGCCCCCCCCCCCAACTCATTAAATTTACACCACTTTGTCTTCGCGCCTCTTTTTCTTTTCTTTTCTTTTCTTCCTTTTTCTTCCTTTTTTTTTTTTTTTTTTTTTTGCTTTTCCAGGGAGGGGGGGGGCAAGTGCCCCCCCTTGCCCCCCCTTCGCGACGC